GGGGAAGGTGCACGAGGCTGGGGGTCCATGAGTTGATCCGCGTTGACATCATTGTGATGTTCGCGTTGCTGACGGGTAGAGGGCGGCATATGCGCCAGGTGAGTAGCTGAACCTGGCAAGAAGTCTGCAAAGCGGGCGGGCATGCGTATTCTCCATCCAGAGCGCTGGGAGACAACAGGTGGAGGTGAGGGCGATGGCACACGACTTATTTCAATCTAGTAAATGTGTAGTTAGTACAATCCTGTTGTAGATATCAAATTAATACATACATCATTATTAAAATCGCCTTCCTGATCGATAGGCATAGAGTCCTGAATCTCGGGCTGATCTGGAACGAAAACATCGTCAGGAACACGATCGGGGGATATGTCGCGCCGAGCCCTCTTGTCTTTTTTCTTCTTCTTATCTGCCTTGCGTTTGCGACTGAAAATTTGATCAGTAAGGGAAAAATTGAGCGTGCATTGACCTGAATGTGCTGCCAGCTGCTTGCGTGAGCTGAATGTTGCGCTGCAAGCTAAGCAGCAGAGGTCATTGACCATGGAATAAATGAATGCGGAGAAGGGGGGGACACGTCCTCACGAGGTCTCACTAGTTGCAGAAATGCTGTATCATATTTAAACGGTCTTCTACTGCGAAATTACATTAATTAAACGACTGAAATGAAGCATTAGTCCTACTACACGATGTAAAATACTCGATGGGAACGTACCTTCAACATTCTCTGCGCTCGATCGTGCTAATGCGAGTCGCCAGAACTCCACGTCGGAGAATCCTGTGAATCCTTGCCGGGATATTTACCCCCGAGGAGGTGAGATCTCGCGGATCTCAGGATAAGGAGTCCTAGTAAAAGTAGAAACTTGAGTGGTAAGTGTGGAAGATTTGCGACTCACCTATTAGACATTTGAATGGGATATGTGGTAGGACCTGTAGTAGACATTTGAGTAGGATATGTGTGAAGGATTGCTGACTTACATAGACATTTGAGTGGGATGTGGTAGCTCGTTGAAGCATATATTCGAAAGTAAAACATACGATCGAAAGTAAGGTCATACGATCGAAAATAATGTGATATCAATGATCGAGATGTCTGGGAATATCAAATTCAACATCCGCTGGGATATTCCGTGATATGAAGTCCTCGCCTCGTCTGTGGCTATGTTTATCAAACATTCATATCAATACCATTCATACCATGGCTAACGTACTTACTGCCCCCGACGCCTGGACCTCTGTCATTAACGTCTTCGGGGATGTCATATTCGTCGACATCCAAAATGCCATCTCCTTAAATAACACTTACTGCTTCAACGTCCACTTAGATTCTCCCGGCCCCAAGGTTTTTTTTTCTCTATCTATAAAAACTAATCTAATTTATAACAGAAAATTGTTTTTCGCATCCAGCAACTTGAACAAACCAATAATCACGACTCGGGTTCAGATGACTCGCTCACTGAGTATGAATCCGACGAAGAGGAGAACGGTGGTAACGGGGACGATGCGGAGATGAAGACAGAAGATGCGGAGGTCGGAATCGCTGAGGTTAAGGTTGAAGATGAGGATCTAGGCGCAGTGATCGGTGGTCCAGACTTCCAGTAAGTTTCCAGCACTTTTAATACAATTGTTGACTGATTTTTCTCAAGGCCTGTAACCGCATCCCCTTGCAGCCTTCTTACTAGGCGCTTGGGGAACCCTCATCCAGACCCCGAGAATCCTACTGCGCCATGGAACTACTACGTGAAGAAAAGAGCTGAAGCGCCGGAGGACCATGAGGGGAACTTAGTAGAAGATCTGGCAGCAACCTCATAATTTTTTTTTCATTTCTTGTCCTGTACTATATCGTCTGATGTACTATATCATTTGTAAATCTTGCTCAATTGTAAATTCATCCGCATGCTCGTGTTCCCATCCCACCGTGATCAAAAGTTAGTTAGTCTCAATGTACTGATACAATGTCATCTACGCATGTATTTTATTCAGGGGGTGTTGATATGTTATTAATAAATCTAACAAACAAACATTAACAACGTGTCCTTATCTTTATCTCTCCCACCACTATGGCGCGTCACAATCGCGCCAATTCTACCTCATCGTCTTCCTCTTCTGAGTCGTCTGCGGGATCTTCTGCTAGATCGGAAGTGAGTACCCACCTGAGCACACCGCCACCCCGGATATCCAGGAAACGTGGAAGAGACGTGTTAGATGCGTCTGATAAGAATGGACGCAAGTCTAAAAAGGCCAGGTGAGTCATTCAGAGATATCAGTTGTCCCAAACAGAGCTTATCTATAGGATGCATAGCCCAGTTAGAGCCGAAAAGAAGGCCGAAAAACACAACGGTGAGGTTTTTCATTGAATTTTACGCGATCTCATATTGATCTTGATGAGATTATAGGAGATCACACACTAAAGTCCTTACGCCGCGGGAGCAGTGCATCCACGTTGCACGTTGGATCCCACGCGGACTTGATATGTTCTGCGATCTCAAGCAGACGATCCAGGTAAGTCTACTTTTGGAGCAAGAAGAAGAAGCCGAGGCCGAGGACGGAGATGAAGCGGAAGAAGAACACATCAAGGCTGCCCGCAGTAAGATCCTGGACGCCTGGTATGTACAATTGACTGCATATATGCGCACTCTGACCGCATATATGCACACACTAACTACTTATATCTATGCTAACATAATTTTCAGTGACGATATCACTCGTGCACGGTACAAGCGGACGTTCGAATACGTCATGGAACACGCCCCTTATCTTGGGACTCTGATTGGAAGGAGAAAAAAACGCGAGGAGCTCGCACAACTCATTGGCGAGGTGCGTATGTTTTTTTTACATCAATTGCAACTAACTATATATTTACAGATGCAAAATATGATTAACCATACGCGCTCTGAGGACGCAAGTCGTCTCAAGTCTCGCATGGGCTCATACGCCGCTCCAAACCCGGACAAAGAGCTTATCTGTCCGCCCATCACTGACGACAGCAAGAGCCGCGCTCTAATGGGTTTTAATCACGCCCAGCTGGGCAAATTACTTTGTCCGGTTAAGTATCTGGTCGACTACATCAAGGATCCGCATGGGTATGTTTTTTTTCTTAAGGTTATCTGTACTAACAAGTTATTTCTACAGGATGAAGAACAAGTTCGATAGCGCGTCCTTAAAGGTGACCGCTGCCTTATGGCCCGCCTTTCTCTATCCAGGCAACACTGCGGGCGAAGATTTTGACCCGGAAGACATTATTGAAGGGCTTTTTCGCGGATATCTTTTGGAGCGGGTAGGTTTTTCATTACTATATTGGGCTACTCTAATACATACAGGTTATCAAACATATCTTCACCTCTCCGTCGTCTGCGCTCAAGGCTGGCGTCTCTAGTGGAACTCGCGCTTGCAATGCAAAGCTCCATGGGATGAAAGAAGTTGGGGCCGAGCATATCACGTATGCCGCGGTTCAGGTAAGTTTTTTTTTCGCAGACTTAATTTACTCAGTCTATATTTTACAGGCTCGCTTTGCTATTAGCTCGCTTGAAAAATGGAAAGACCACGATGGTCTTTTCTATTACACTAACTTCTATACTAGGATTGTAAATCTTATTCGGGGGAGGAAGGACGAGGGGTGGGTCAACTCCCTGCTAGGACATTATAACGAGTAAGTGATTTTTCGTGTTGTGTATTTGTTCTAATTGTTCATTGATATAGGAAACTGTTCGGCAATGAAAATGGCGCCAAGCCTTGTCATTCTCCGAACATAGAGTGTTCCGAGGACAACGATATGATTGCAATGGAACGGCAACTCGCCGCACGTGCCGCACATGCTTCCAGATCCTCAGACAAATCATCTGCACCATCTTTGGCACTCGATAATCAACAAGAGTCGCATGGCAAGTCCGTCCCTCCCCCTGATAGTTTGCCTCCATATCCTCCGTTAGCCACCTCGTCTCCTCAAGAGTCAGCGTGCTTCCCTACCCCCAATCCTCAAGAGTTGGCGCACTTCCCTACCCCCGATCCTCCTGTCGACTCGTGCAAGGCGCAAGAAGTCTTACCTGCACGCCCCCCTACTCCCAATCCTCCTGATAACTCACACAAGCGCAAGCAAGTCTCCGCATCAGCCCTTTTCGATGATAACAGCCCTCTTACTGAAGAAGATGAAGAGATCACTCGACCTACTAAGCGCAAATGAAAGAATGCTGCTGTTCCACCGAAGAAGACTCCGAAACGCAAGGCAAAGAAATAGCTATTCAAGGTGAGTCACAACTGTCTCGTAGTCTGTTCAATACTTATAACCTTCACTCGATCGTATTAGGATTCACTCTACCACATCATTTTTACCGTCTCCATTCGCATTTGCATCACCCGGCTCTTCTGCCCATGTACTACTCTCACGAACTCTACAGTACTCTTCTGCTCTCGTGCTCTCATGGACCCGCATGTCTCATTTTTTCGTTGCAGTCTTCAATGACATCACTCATATGCTTTCTTCGCTATATCGTGTCCAGGCGATCGGTACGCAGTTACCACTATTACATTAGATTATATTCTACCATACCACATGTATCAGTATAGCTCAATGATAGGTGGTTATTATGGGATATGAATTTGATCGGATGTTATAACTACATATAAGACGATGCAATCATACAACACTCTGGAACATGGCGGTGAGTATATCACGCGCTCTAGAACGTGGCTGTGACCATATCACAAAAAATCGATTCGGTATATTTGTATGTATTGTACGCTCTATGATAGATACTTGTCACAGTCGTTACAGTGTGTCACAGGGGCTACACGTGTATATATATCTATATATACCTTGGGGAGTTTTGCTGATGGGGCCGCTCTGGCACTCACATATCTCGCTAGTCACATGACACGGAGACAATGGCAGTCCAGGGCCCAGACACAAGTCGGAGAAAGGACAACAAGAAAAATAGAGGCATGGCCCGCATGAGCTCAGGGGCATTGGATACAATTCGATAGATAACAGTATGTCTACTAAATGACGTCTATCCGCAATAAACGCCTCCAGGACACCCGACGGATGTCCCATGTGTTGCACCAGAAATGCCCGCGATTGTGAAAATAGCATTCACGATACCACCGAGACCTTCTCCTGCAATAAAGCCCGCGGCAATAGCAAAACAGTACATTTGATAGTTGTTAAAGAACCTGCACGAGATGATGCCGTTAGAGAAGACGAAGAAAAGATATGTCATGAGGCGCACATTCTCCTCCAGAAAAATGCCAGAGTCGAGCCGAAAAACATGGCCAGGGGGTACGTGCAGATGTCTTGCCAAAGTGAGTAGGACGAACATTACGTTGTCAAATATAGATCACTTACTCATGATAAACCCAATTCCAATAGCGTTGAAGTTGCTTCATTCTGTGTCAGATGAATCGGAGGCACAACCGTGAATTACTTACGGTATGAAGTCGTGATATTTCGGAGGCACCACAGTATACTTGGCCACGACAGAGAGGACAGCTGCTAATCCAAGTGCGATGGCGGCATATCCAGACGACGGCGGAATGGGTAACGTGCTCGAAGATACAGCAACAGCCACTGCACGCCATGACTGCACATCAGGCGTTGGGAATGCGCATGTCGTGTGGTTCAGGTCATTGATGCAGGGGTAAGCAGTAGAAAACACAACGTAGAGACCAGCTGATACAAAAATTGATACCACGGCTCCGAAGAGTTGAGCAACGAATACAGCCTTTGGAGATGATCGGAGGAGGTGCGTAGTCTTCAGGTCCCCAACCATATGCGCAGCTAATAACAGCATCAACAGATATTCCGTGTCTGAACAAAGAACCCTGGTATACCTTGTTCCGCAGAACCTGTTGAATTTACGGCATTCTAGCAGCTCGTCATGCTTGAAGATTGATTTTACTTGCCTAGTGTCAACATTCCAGAAAGCAAGTTTAGGAGTTCGCCTCGTTTGACGGCGTAGTTCTGACCCCTCCCTAAACCTCCGAAGATCAGCTGCGAAGCATTACCTATTCAAATAGTCAGTATACTTCGGTGATGAATTGCTTGATGGAGTCACCGATTGATGTGACGGGATTAATGTTCGTCCGACCAGCACTTTCACAACCAATGAAGCTGAATAAGAAGGAGAATAGAATTGCTGCATGACGGAAATCAAGAGTCAGCTTCGACTTGGAACCGATCTAACACGATGCGGACATACCAAGGAGGGTGACACCAACGTTCTGTCCGAACTGGACATCCATCACGACGCACGTAATGATGGTACTGAGGACAAGGAGAGAACCCCAGGCCCAGAAGGGGACACGTTCGTGCTCGGGTACAGGATCAAAGGAATCGTCCTCTACATTGTCTTTCGAGAACCGCTGCAGGAGCGTTCCACATGCGGAGCGCATTCCGGCATACAAGGACTTCCAATTACACCCCACTTCTGCAAAACTTGCGCACAGGAGCATCAGTGTGCCCGGCCAGATCAGCCAGTATCTAGGAGATGGATGATGGATGGGATCTGTAAGACTCCTACATACAATATTGAGAATATCTTATGGCAGGAACGACAGACAACCCACATTCCCATATAATTCATGTATCCAGGTATAGATGGGTTTGCAATGGTCCCGAAAGCCTGCCATGGGTGGTTCGTCAGGTTAGTACGTCACGCACACGAATTCCTGCACGGACCAGTCCTTTTGCAACAATTATAGGACCCAAAATAGCCCACGCGAAAAAACTCTGGATAACGCCACATATGAGCGGTGCATGCAGTCATAGGCACGATACATACTCCACCGAGGAAGCTATACGAGGCGTTGATGCCTGTGAGCATCCCTACACCAATGAACGCGGGCGTCCACTCCCAAATCCATCCCTGCCGACTGATAATCAGACAATGTTTCTATGATCAGTGATGTGCTCACCCAGCTCTCAGCGGCAATTGCTGAACTCCACCCGATTCTGTTCAGAGCGTAGAAAACATGCCAATCCCAAAGCATTCCCGGAGCATACTCGCTGACCACCCGCAAAATAATGGCAAAGACGAAGGCCCATATCAGTGCCTTGGTTTTCTTCCTTGCTGTTGCCTCTGCGTTTATGCCGACATGCAAGGAATGGATCGTGTACGCAGCAGCCACACCGGAAGGAAATACGAGCTTTAACTTCAAAATGTAGAATTTCCTCAGCGGTTGAGTGAAGCTCAAACCGAAGAATGCGCAACAAATGGTGAAAGTGATCAGTCTGGCAAAGTCATCTTTAGGGTGGACGCTCAACAGTCCAAGCTGGTAAGCGGCGGGAAAACCTGAGGTGAAGAGCAATCCAAGACTTCCTGCTGACGTAGCAGCTGATTGACAAATGTTGTTTTCTTTGGGCCCAAAATAGCCTCCGCCAAGGAAAGTGGGTGCACTTCTTGACAGTGGTTTCAAAATTGCGAAGCCTAAGATGGCGCCGAAGAGTGACGAGCCAAACGTCCACCCCGTCTGTGTGAAAGGGTGAATGTCTAATAAACGGACTTGAAGGATAACTGACCTTGAGACCCAGGTAGATGTTGCTAGCTGCGATGATGCCGCCCAACATGCAGCCGACTAGTACGGCTCGAATAGTTAGCTGTTGTTCCTCAACAGGCGCATCCGGAGACTCCGGAAACGGGTCATCTGTGTTGATGAATCGCACGGGTTCTAACTTCCCTTCAGACTCATCAGACACGGAGGTGATGTCGGTGGTAATGGCACTCTTCTCTTTGTCCGAGTGAGAAGATACGGACCGTACATAGGCCAATTGGTCCTGGTCCTGAGGAGTTATGGTCGTCATCTTCAAACCGCGAGGTAGACTTAGAGTTGAAGGTACTGTCGTTGTTTAGAGAGAGACGCGATATATATACCACATCCTCAGGCTTAATTGACAGATCCTTGGCTCTAACCATAAGGCGCAAGGTACAAGTTCAGGCTTGGCGGTGATAAGTACCTAGCCGATAAGCAAGTATGATTGGGATGGATGCGATGGCACCAGTCAGCTGACTACAAAAGACAACTTGAGGTACGCCCTGAGGAGAGTTACTACCTTGCTCAACAGCACCTAGGAATGACGTGTGATGATCAGCAGTTTATAGACGCATGATGGATGCACAAATGAAACATTCCCGATAACGAACTTGAGAGCTCTGCTCCATGGATTAAGTTTCCCCGGACCCACTTTGCCACATTGATGCTAATACCACCAAAAACAAGTAGCCAAGACAGCACTACCTTCCAGAGACTCGTCAGCATATAATTGCAGGATACACTCACTCATGGATACCACTGGTGAATATCACTGGATTGAATCGTTCATGGTATGTCACCGTATGTGGCTAGAAGTCTCACAAAGTTCAACCTGGCAATTAAGCTAAATATGAATGCGAAGGTACCACTGTTGATAATGCCAGGCTGGGCCCTGGGCTTGGTATTTCAAGCACTCTTAATCATGAAGAACTGGAATCTCACCAACAATTGTGAATACCGATGCTCTTTGCTGTGTGTAGGAACGTTCGGTAGAGCAGTAACAACTTGAACCAGATTGGCATAAGCACATGCCACCATGATGGATGTTCGCATTCTGATTTGATGCCACGGAAGCATTTATGTAATTATACACCATTTTGTATGTATCATACCGCCGGCGAGTCGTAACGTCGAATTCTTGTGTGCGTGGTCCGCGGGTCCATGCGATTTATGCTTTGGTTTCTGTCACATTCACACTTCACACATCTCTCTAGTACAACTTCCACATTTGTCACGCTTTTCTCTTCCTCTGCTCACCCGATTCCTCACATTAGACCTCCCCACTATGCAAGGCTTCCCCCGTCACACTTTAGTTCACGCGCGTTTGTCCTCTCAAACAAAAGTTATTCTTCTCTTCCCTGAATTAATCCTAGGCTGTCGGCGTCACAGGTACAGCTGCTACTAGTGAACAGGCTGGGCGGCAACTCCCCCCTTCGCCTCCTTATTTACATCACTCCTGGGAATCTGCAACTGGCAGATGCAAATGTTCAAACCTCAATGGCGCTACTTGAACACCCTCGAGAAATTCGTGTACACTTAGAGATAGTTCACGCGCCGTGGAGTTTCATTTGCAGCTTGCGAGACAGAATAGATTCGCACCTTGTATATCATAATGACCAGATCTATAGACCCTAGAAGCTTTCAAAAGTTACACCCGGAGCATTAAATCAGGGTAGACATATAGACATAGATTCGTGCGTCCACAGGTAGCAGCTGCCTAGTGCAACAAGGGCTGGGGCGGACACTCCCCCCTTCGCATCCTTATATTATACAAACAGGTGGGTTACTCGACTCGCTTTCGGATTGGCCGTAAATCCGCTGGACATTCGGATGGTCATCATTAGTATTCGTATGTCTGGATGGATCTGGATGGATCTCAGGGGTCGGGAGTTGTGTTGCATGGTGCGTTCACATTTGTACAGAACTGTGGCAACACTCCGGAGACTAGCATGCGACAGCTCTCAGAATATGTATTGGAGGGAACAACTATTTTCATGCTATTAGGGTCTGGCTAGGGGAGACTACATTCCACCACCATCGAGCGAGTTTTCCACAGCACTAGTATACTAGCTGGTGGAACCGATTGAAGCATCCATATATTCGATCTCGACTTGCAACTCGCCTCTCTATCACTGCAACCGCGAGGAAGCCACCGAACTGAACACCTCGAGGCCCGCTTCCTTGCGTTCGTGCGTGACTTCTCACTATCTTATCCTTGTCTTATCTTATAGACGTGCTCAAATTGGCATGAGTAACTGGCATAGACAACATCATGTCCTGCGTCAACTACGTAACCTCTATCCGCAATAAACCCCGCTAGGACACCCGACAGATGTCCCATATGTTGCACCAGAGATGCCCGAAATTGTGAAAATCGCATTCACAATACCACCAAGACCTTCGCCTGCAATAAAACCCGCTGCAACAGCAAAACAATACATCTGGTAGTTGTTAAAGAACCTGCACGAGGTGTCAGACGAAGCTATGAAGGCACATGAAGAATTCATGAGACGCACAGTCTTCTCCAGAAAAATGCCAGAGTCGAGCCGGAAAACATTGCCAGAGGGTATGTGCAGACGTCTGCAAAGTGAGCAGGACGACCAATCGCTGTCAAATATAAATCACTTACTCATTATGAACCCGATTCCAATAGCGTTGAAGTTGCTTCATTCTGTGTCAGACTGAATCAGAGACGCAGCCGCGAATTACTCACGGTATGAAGTCGTGATACTTCGGAGGCACCACTGTATACTTCGCCACGACAGAGAGGACGGCTGTTAATCCAAGTGCGATGGCGGCATATCCAGAAGACGATGGAATGGGCAATGTGCTCGACGATACAGCAACAGCCACTGCACGCCATGACTGTACATCAGGCGTGGGGAACGCGCATGTTGTGTAGCTTAAGTCGTTGATACACGGGTAAGCAGTGGAAAACACGACGTAGAGACCCGATGCCATGAAAATCGATACCACGGCTCCGCAGAGCTGAGCAACGAATACAGCCCATGGGGACGCACGGAGGAGGTGTGTGGTCTTGAGGTCGCCAATCATGTCCCCAGCTAAATGGAGCATCGACAAATATTCTATGTTTTCATAAGAAAACTTATACCTTGTTCCGCAGCACCTATTTGATTCACGCCATTCTAGCAGCTCGTCATACCCAAAGTTAATTTAACTTGCCTAGTGTCAACATTCCAGAAAGCAGGTTTAGGAGTTCGCCTCGTTTGATGGCGTAGTTCTGACCCTTTCCTAGACCTCCAAAGATGAGCTGCGAGGCATTACCTGTCGGCATTCAGCTTGTTAGCGCATGTGAACAAATGAGCTGAGCGATAAAGTCACCGATTGATGTGACGGGATTGATGTTCGTCCGACCGGAGCTTTCGCAGCCAATGAAGCTGAATAGGAAAGAGAATACAATCGCTGCATGATACAAGGGAAGCGTCAGCTTCTCCTTGTAATCAATCTATAATGTCGACAACACACCGAGGAGAGTGACACCAACGTTCTGTCCGAACTGAACACCCATCACGACACACGTAACGATCGTGCTGATAACAAGCACAGAACCCCAAGCCCAGAAGGGGACGCGTTCGTGCTCAGGTACAGGATCCACGATATCATCCACTACACCGTCTTTTGAAAACCGTTGCAGGAGCATGCCGCAAGCGGAGCGTATCGCGGCGTACAAGGACCTCCAATTACATGCTACTTCCGTGAAACTTGCACAGAGGAGCATCAGTGTGCCCGGCCAGATCAGCCAGTATCTAGGAGATGGATGGTGGATGGGATCTGTAAGACTCCTACATACAATATTGAGAATATCTTATGGCAGGGACAACAGACAACCCACATTCCCATATAATTCATGTATCCAGGTATAGATGGGTTTGCAATGGTCCCGAAAGCCTGTCATGGATAGTCCAATAGTGGTCAGTATGTCACCCGAAATATAAATTCCTGCACGGACTAATCCCTTTGCGACAATTATAGGACCCAACACAGCCCAAGCAAGGAAACTCTGCATAGCATAACATATTAGCGGTGTGCGTATGCAGTCGTAGCCATAACACATACTCCACCGAGGAAGCTATACGATGCATTGATACCTGTGAGCATCCCTACACCAATGAACGCGGGGGTCCACTCCCAAATCCATCCCTTTCAACTGGTAATCAGACAAAAATTCCTATAATGTATGAAGTACTCACCCAGCTCTCAGCAGCGATCGCTGAACTCCACCCGACTCTATTCAGAGCGTAGAAAACGTGCCAATCCCAAAGCAATCCCGGAGCATACTCGCTGACCACGCGCAAAGTAATGGCAAAGATGAAGGCATATAGCAGCGTCTTGGTTTTCTTCCTTGCTGTCACTTCTGCATTCTTGCCGACATGCAAAGACTGGATAGTGTACGCAGCAGCCACGCCGGAGGGAAATACGAGCTTTAACTTCAAAATGTAGAATTTCCTCAGCGGTTGAGTAAAGCTCAAACCAAAGAAGGCGCAGCAAATGGTGAAAGTGATTAGTCTGCCGATGTCGTCTTTGGGATGCACACTCAATAGTCCAAGCTGGTACGCGGCAGGAAATCCCGAGGTAAACAGCAGTCCGAGGCTTCCTGCTGACGTAGCAGCTGATTGACAGACATTGTTTTCTTTAGGTCCGAAATAACCCCCGCCAAGGAAAGTTGGTGCAGATCTTGACAGTGGTTTCAAGATCGCGAAGCCGATGATTGAGCCGAAGAGCGACGCGCCAAATGTCCACCCCGTCTACGTGAAAGGATGATGGTCCTGAATTAATAGATTTCTAACATATCGGAAGCATAGTTGAACTGACTTTAAGACCCAGGTAGATGTTGCTGGCTGCGATGATGCCTCCCAAAATGCAGCCAACTAGGACGGCTCGAATAGTTAGCTGTTGTTCCTCAACCGGCGCATCCGGAGACTCCGGAAATGGGTCATCTGTGTTAATGAATTGCACGTGCGGCTCTAACTTCCCTTCGGAGTCACCAGACACGGAGACAATGTCGGTGGTAATAGCACTCTTCTCTTTGTCCGAGTGAGAGGATACGGACTGCACGTAGGCCACTCGGTCCTGGTCCTGAGGATCTACAGTCGTCATCTTCAAACCAGAAGGCAGACTTGAACTTGAAGCTACGCTGCCGTTGGCAAAGGGAGCGCATTATATATACAATCCTCAACTGGTCCTTGTGGATGTGCTCCAACATGAGGCGCAAAGGCACGAGTTCAGGCTTATCAGTGAGAAATATGTCAGCGATAAGCAGTAAAATTGGAACAACAGTCAGCTGTAAGGTCCTGCGGAAGCCCATCTGAATATTTCTGCTCCGCTGTCCCGTGACCGATAATTGACAGCAGCAATTAAAAAGTGTGCAAACTCACCTGCTGTGGTGGTCCCGGATGATTTCGTTGGCCCAACGGCTGAGCTTGCCGTTGAAGTGTCAACACACCAACAAGTAAAATGAACTGAAACACGTTTAATCGACCGTGCAGTGAATGAATATTCATTCGACTTGTAACCCATCGTTAAAATTACATATCAGTACATTGCCCACCGAGGGATAGGATAACTTGTGCTTAACCACAATACAGGACCCCCTGGACAGCCAACTGTCGTTCCGTATACAGCACCCGAAACACCTGCAATCGTCAATACTGCATTCACGATGCCGCCCAGACCCTTCCCCAGCAATGAACCCGGCAGCAATAGCAAAGCAGTACATCTCGTAGTGGCCGAAAAACCTGCAAAGCCTATGAAATCATGACAATGAGGGTGGGAGAAATACTTACTTTCTGCGCCAGAAGAAAGCAATCGTAGAGCCGAAGAACATGGCCAAAGGATAGGTGCATACATCTGGTGATAGCATTAGAATTATCAAATGGATTCGGAATATTCCTCACTCATGATGAAACCGATACCGATGGCGTTAAAGTTCCTGCATGTCCAATTTGTAAGGGTTCGTTTCGAAGTAAGGTACCGAGAAACCTACGGAACCCAAATATGATATTTAGGCGGGACAACAGTGTGCTTCGCCACAACCGAAATCACAGCCGCGATGCCCAACCCTATGGCTGTATATCCTGATGACGGTGGGATGGGAAGGGTAGATGATGAGACCGCAACTCCGACTGCCTGTTGAATGAGTAAGCAACGTGCAATGAAAGGTACAGCATGATAGTCTAAGAAACCCACCCTCCAAGATTGCACATCAGGTGTCGGGAAGCTGCAAGTAGTGTAGGAGAGATCATTGATGCATGGATACGCAGTCGAGAAAATGACGTAGACGCCAGCGGCCATAAAGATGGACACGATGGCGCCGGTCAGCTGACCGCAAAAGACAGCTTTTGGGGACGCCCTGAGAAGATGAGTCGCTTTGAGATCGCTAATCATGTCAGCAGCTACACGACAAATGAATATATATGAGCAGTCCAGAGTATGATTACAGACCTTGCTCAGCAGCACCTGGGAGTAATGTATGAGGAGCAGTAGTTTGGAGAGGCATAATCCATACCCAAAGCAAGCATTCCTGATAACGAGTTCAGGAGCTCTCCTCTTTTAACTGAGTACCCTCTCCCTTTTCCAATACCACCAAAAACTAGCTGAGAAGCATTACCTTCGAGAAACCCGTCAGCATAGAATTGCGGTTTCCCGGATGCACTCACCAATGGATGTCACTGGATTGATGTTTGTGCGGCCAGCACTCTCACAACCAATGAAGCTAAACATGAATGCGAAGACAATAGCTGGACTCGGTAATTCAAGCACAGTTCATTGTGAAGGAGTTGTGTCTTACCAAGAATCGTGATACCGACATTCTGGCCATACTGAACACCCATGACGACACATGTGACTATGATGCTACCGACGAGCACACCACCCCAGAGCCAGAATGGAACGCGGTCTTCCGGTGGTACAGGATCCACGATCTCTTCTACATCGGTCTTTTCGAAGGAATCTCCGCGGAAACGTTCCGTGAGTGCACCTATCGCAACGCGCGCAGCAGAGTAAATGGACTTCCAGTTGCAGGCAACTTCTGTGAAACTCGTGCAAAGTAACATGAGTGTGCCTGGCCAGACCTGCACACGATGAGCGCAATGAATCTAGAGTGATTCGGAAGATAGCCTCTTACCAGCCAGTAGCGTGGCGACGGGTGGTTAATGGGATCGGTCAGAGACCTCCAGGTAACTGGTTTAACTGAGGTGTACTTGAACAATGATGAAATCACGCACATGGATGCATAATTCATCTGCCCCGGGATGGATGTAACTGCCGGAATACCGAAGGCCTGTGATCCTGTCAGATGCACCGGCGGGTAAGAAGTTCTTTGCATACCTTGCCCGTGTGGACAATGACAGGGCCGATGATAGCCCATGCGAGGAAGCTCTGCAGGCGTTATATGAGATAGGGGGCCATGCAGAGTATGACACGAACTCACACCACCCAAGAAACTGTATGATGAGTTGATACCTGTGAGCATTCCTGCACCAATAAACGCTGGCGTCCATTCCCAAATCCATCCCTGTTGTACTTCAGAAAACAAATATTTCGCATGCAACAGCAGAGACTGACCCAACTCTCTGCGGCGATGATGTCATTCCACCCCAGTCGATTGAGCGCATAAAAAATATGCCAGTCCCAAAGAAGCCCAGGAGCGTATTCGCTGACGACGCGCAGAGTAATCGCAAAACAGAAAGAGATCAACAATGCCTTGGTCTTCTTCTTAGCATCCCTCGCAGCGTTTTTGCCCACGTGAAGCGAGCGAATCGTGTACGCTGCGGCAACTCCGGAAGGAAACACGAGCTTGAGCTTCAAAATATAGAACTTCCGGAGCGGGATCGAAAATGCAAGACCAAAGAAAGCGCAGCAAATAGTGAACGTGAATAGCCGACCAATGTCATCCCGAGGAGTTGCGCCGAGAAGTCCAAGCTGGTACGCAGCAGGGAAGCCAGAGGTAAAAAGCAGTCCAAGACTACCAGCAGCAGATGCTGCAGATTGGCATACGTTGTTTTCCTTGGGACCAAAATAGCCGCCTCCAAGCCATCGTGGTGCCGTGGTAGAGAAGGACTTGAGGATAGCGAAGCCTGAAAATAACTGTCAGTGACAGTTATGCCATACCATATGAAGAACCAAACCGAATATTGATCCAAATAGTGATGCACCGAAGGTCCACCCCGTCTACATACAGAATCAGAATTTGAGGCGTCTCTAAATATTTGCACAGACCTTCAAACCTAGATAAACGTTACTTGCGGAAATAACTGCCCCTAGGAGGCAGCCAACAAGTAGAGCCCTTACGGTCAACTGTCTCTCTTCCACAGGAGCATCGGGATCGAGGGGGAAAGGGTCGTCGGTGTTAATGAAACGACCACCAGACACGAACTCTCCACTATCATCATCCTGAGAGTTACGCTCAACCGTAGATATATCATCACCAGCTGATGACGAATACTTCTCCTTCATGGCAGAAGAAGCGAGGTCGTGATGGTTAGAGATACCACTCTCGTGGATGCCGTTGGAGGTCATGTCACGCAGATACGATGTTGGATTCTGTTGATCCGAGCTTTTATGAAAATTCTTATCCGGCATGATATTTTGGAACGTCAGGTGCTTCTCCGACCTTGTGCATGCAAACGAAAGCGCTTCTGCGAGCTGTGTGGGGTGAACGTGAGACGATAAGCCAAAAAATGAATGCAGTCTGAAGGTTAACCTGATCGAGATAGACCGCTTGAAAAAGTATTGCTACCTTAGAATAAAGGTAGGACGTACAAGTCAACACCGGGGAGTAAGTGTAGAGTGCTTAACTGCACAGTGCAGTCTACCAAACTAGAAGACCGGGCGTTATGCATTGCACTCAGCTGGCGTTCGTCCATGTGGTTGATAAGACTATTTTTGCTTTATGAAAGGACCTGAAAGTATATCCACGGCCTAGTGCCAAGACCTACGATATGAAACATAGTTCTGCCTAACGGTGGAATGAAAACCTATCGGTTTGCCTATCAGCACAACTGAAATAACGACACAAAAGGCGCTCACTGTCAGTGTCGACCGGCGTCCGAGATGGTCAGTACCTGGACCATAACTCATGTGTCAGTTCCAACTAAGTAGTAGTACAGACGACATTTCCCATAACTTCAAGCTGCTGCAGTTGATAACTGCCACAATAAATTCAAACCCAGCCCTTTACAGCTCTTTGCATAAAGGATGGCACTGGCGTGAAATTTTCGTTCAATTAGGAAATGTTAGACTTAGTGAATTTTTGCTCGTGTACGCTCATACTACCCTTATATTATCATCTTCCCAACATGGGATTTCGCAAGATCAGTCGTGATGTGAAACTTGCGGCAATCCGACTCCATGAACGGAACCTTCTAAGCCTTCGTGATATCCTAGATTGCTTCCAGACGCACTTGGTTTCGGATTTTGAAGCTCTGGCACGAAACCGGCGATGTCGTGGACCGTCAGCCCAACACAGCAATGCGTGGTCGTCTGCGTGCTCTCGATCGTGAAGATATCGATTGCCTGCTTCGCCTTGTAAGGCAGAATCCTGACTATTTTTTAAATGAGCTCATGCACCTCCTCGCGACAAACCAATTCATATCTGTCCATTTCACGACAATCTTCCGCGAGCTCGAACGTGCTGATGTGAGCTACAAGAAACTCAAGCGCATTGCCAATGAACGCAACGAGACTCTCCGTGCTGCGTTCATCGCACGCATGGCTCAGTATGATCCATCAGAGTTGGGATTTATTGACGAGACGTCAAAAGATGAGCGGACACCTGGTAGACGTCCATGTAGTAGGGATCATTAGTCACAGATTTTAGTTCCACGCTTTCGCTTTTTGGACATGGTCGGAGGTAGTGTAAGGATCTTCATGGGCTGGGACTGCTCAAGCTCGTCATCTTCGCCGTCGTCATCAGAGTCAGGTTCCTCTTCCTCCGAAAGTTCTTTCATTCGAATATCATCCTCATCGGACCCATTGGAATCAAGGTCACTGTCATGCTCTAGCAGGCTCTTGTGTTTTTTGGAGGCAGGAATAGTTATAAACGGCATGATGATAATGAATTACAGGGGACGCGAGTGTACAATGAGCAAAATTTCACTAAGTCTAACATTTCCTAATTGAACGAAAATTTCACGCCGGTGCCATCCTTTATGCAAAGAGCTGTAATATGTGCTAAGATGAGTGTGAAGTACTTTTGTGACACTCATCTTAGGACATATTAAGTAGCGTTCTGACTATTCACCCTTGGGCCTCCGGGACGGCGGCGTTAAGTAGGTCGTCAGAATCGATGGCTTCAGCATTATCGTCGCAGCATGTAAGTCGAGGATTGGCATGACTGGCACTTTTAAACAACATCTAGATTTCAAGGGAACAAGTACTGAGTCAGGTCTGAGAACTGTTACTGAGTAATAGTACGCCAGCGTAAGCCTGCGCTGTTTCTCGGATAAAATTTACAGCCGCAGAAATTGAGCAGTTGAAGCGGCGCCTTAACACCTTCAACCCGGAAATTCGCGAAGTCGTTCTTTGGTTGTGCAAAGTATAACTCTGTCCTCGGTCGCGTCCATGTCTGTGACATCGTTTTTCTCGTCTTTCTTCAACACTGTGCACGGAGACGCACCGGAGGAGAAGCAGCCAGAAAACGAACACAAGGAGGAGGAAGTTACTGAGGCGGGGGAACCATCGAAAGAGTCTGAGGAAGCCGAGGAAGTAGAAGCTGAGGATGTATGTCTCCATTCCAGATACATTGTCTCCTCCTGTTGATGTCACTCCGGTATGCAGGTCCACCCGATTATTCTGGAGGAGTGCAAAAACTCAGCCGCATGCGCTTCCCTAACGAGACATTTCGAACACTGCCAGGAGAAGGTGCAAGCTGGACAAGGCTTTAAAGGCGAGGACTGTGTGGAGGAATTGTGAGTTGGTATTTGAATATAAATCTTTGCATGACGCTCATATACGGTGATCATAGATGTAAGTTATGTTGTTACTTATTCGATATTCGTATTGATTTGGGCCTATTTCAACTACTTTATATGTAGTCCAGTGAGTCGTCTGTTCTCTCATCCTTGTCATTCTCGTTAACAGCATCGTGTACAGCATGATGCACTGCGCCGACGTATGTATATTCTCTCCTGACTCCTAAAAGTTCCCATTTAACAATTTGCGAAGGCTTGTGCCGCACCAAAACTGTTCTCCAAGCTCAAGTAGACGCTAGAGTTAATATCACAGTGCGTCTTTGCTTTTCAGTCTCCTTTGAGTATCTTAGACAATCATCCCTATAGTTAGATTGTTCGTGAGGAGCAATATCATCTTTCTCTCTTGCCACCTATAACCTGCTGAGGCGGATCATGTTGATCGGTAAATGCACCAACATTCTTACTGCCCGGCGTCGTCCCCATCGTTATTTCCGTCTGAGCCGCGTGCTGCAACGTGGTCTTGGCTCCATTCTTTCTACATGAGACTGTTGGCATTGTGAGTGTGAGTGAGGTGGTGACTTTTCAGCTGTTGACGAAACTTGTATCCTGCAAATTGAAAGTTTGTCAGCTGGTGCACATAACCGCATAGCCGTAATAATGACACCGCTGATCGCACTTACAGTATATTTATATCCTGGTATTGTGACTCGCCAATGTCTGGACCTGAATAAGGTCATCTAGGAGTTTTTTTAGACAGAACATCACGATCGAATACACTAGGTACGTCAATCCCTTAATTTCAAGTAATTGAGATGCGCCCAGTGTGCTGCACCTCTGCACTAGCCTTGGCAGATAGGATTCCTCCGAAGCGTTCAGTACGCCTAACTTCGGTCGCTCAATGTCAAGTGATTGAGATGTACCCAGTGTCTGCATTAGCCGCAGATAGGCGTGCACAGCGTTCAGGAGCCTGTAGCGTTAAATCGAGTTGTTCAGAATTGTATGCTGTTCTGCCATGATGGAATTGGCCAATCGGCTAACTAGTCCGACCGAGGCATTGCATTCAGCCGCGAAGGCTAATGTCCGCCAATCTCAAGCGTCGGCCACTGTGTACGTGGTCTTCTCGACTCTCGAGGGACCGAGTTCGGCTGCTTTGTGATCCGTCGCCGCGAAAGGGCAAGTCTCTAAGGTGTGTCATGTTCCATAGAAAACTCTGATTGAAAGTTTCGTTATCCATGCGTCCAATTCCCTTATGAATGACATGAATGACTATTAAAAGGTGTAAAGTACAAAATCCTGTCTCCTCATGACAAATTTTTGGACTCCGAATTGGTTATGGCGCTAGTGTTCAAATCAAGAAGAACCAACCATTACGCGCTTGCCTGGTTTTGATTCAGAGCCTCTAGCGCCCGACAGATGCTTAAGTTCTGGAATCCTCCCAGGGTTCTCAACAATGTCCCCCTTTGCAACAGAACCAGAACTCAACCCTGATGGACCTTGTCCAAGTCCTTCGACTCCAACCTCCCCTGCATATAAATACACATGTCCGTACTCCAAGCACAAGGAGGGCAGGAATTTAGTAGTCTGTATTGATGGGTCATCGAATCGTTTTGGACTGAGGGTGCGTATGCAATTCATTGATTTTCTTTGACTAACGACTGTGCAGAACACCAATGTCGTCGAACTATACAGCCAACTCGTGAAATCTGAATCCCAACTCACTTATTACAACAGCGGTATAGGCACGCAGGCACGGCCGACATGGCGTTCTCTTACATATGTCCATTATTGGCTAAGCAGCAAGGTGGACTTGCTTATTGCTTGGTACGTGGCGCGATTGAATTTTATCGTATATTATTGATCGATGAATCAGGAATCTCGAAAAAGTGATACTGGCGGCGTATAGATGGATATCAGAAAATTACCAGGACGGGGATAGGATCTACCTTTTCGGTATGTTCTCATGTTTCATGCCATGTTATATCCGATCATCTCGTCAAAGGCTTCTCTAGGGGCGCTTACCAAGCTCGAGCAATTGCTGGAATGATTCACCGCGTGAGTAGCCTGGATTGAAGTGTTACGCCAAAGGATCATTGACCTTCTCTCTCTCTAGGTCGGCTTGATTCTCCCCGGCAACAACGAGCAAATACCATTGTAAGCATCGTCTCATCTAGCGCCATCGCGTCCTTCTCATCTTGGCGACATTCAGCGCTTTCGAGCTATACTCTAAAATAGAGGAAAAGGTGCCAAAGGCGGGAGCATCTCAGGGAAAACATGTTATGGCAAACGAGCTTGCAAAGACGTTCAAGAGCACATTCTGCAGGTCGCACGTCCACATCCATTTCATCGGCGTATGGTAAGACCCTGACATTTGTGCATGGTTGATGCCTGTCATTCATTCATGTCAAGGGACACCGTTTCTTCGGTCGGCGTTGTGAGGGGAAAGACGCTGCCTTCGACCACTAACCGTGACCATCATATGTGCTATTTCAGACACGGTCTTGCTTTGGATGAGCGGCGAGTCAAATTCCTCCCAGAGTACATTCATGGTGCAAATACGGAAGGTTCCCATTCTGATCGCATCAAGGAGGTCTGGTTTGCGGGTAGTCACTCGGACGTGTACGTTTACGCGATAAATCTCGGCACCTTCGATCGACTAACCGACGTTTGCAGTGGCGGAGGCAATCGACTCAACGAGAAGCTTCAGTCAGGTGACATTCCACTGCTGTGGATGCGAAAGGAGGCTGTCGAGGCGGGCCTGAGGGTGAAGCCCACGGAAGTCGTCTGGAAAATGGACGATTTGCAGAAGAGGACGTTCGAATCACTCCGGAGAACGTGGTGGTTGCTCGAATTTGCTCCTGTCAAGCGGGTTATATATGGCACTCAAGACCGTTACACATTCAAGTATGTGCCACTTGATCTTTTTGCGTTAATGAATTCATTCGAAATTACTTAAGGCTCCATCGTGGCGCGCCTCGGGAGATCCTTCCGGGACAGAAGATTCACGCTTCTGTCCTTTTCAAGGGGAACTACCGAGCTAAGGCCAAATTCTGGAAGGATTTCGACGTCTGGCCAGAATTGATGTACTGGAATGATCCAGTCAGCCACGAACGACTTTCGAAACTCGGTCCACTGTGGGAGAAGGATATATTTGATGCATCAACCGTTGACTCACATTTGAAATATATTCAATTACATGGAGTGGAGTGTTCCGACGCGGTTGACAGATTAGCGTTCATGGCTTCATTTAGTGAGCATTTCCCCTTAATACCGCTTACGTCCCTCTGAGGGCTTTACAGAACAAGGAAGGGCTGCAATTAAAAAGTCTGATAGCTGGGAGATCCAGTTAAATCAGTTGGTTCGCTACAGCGATGATCCGAAAGTACGTATCAGTGCTACCGTCGTACTGAGCGAACTATGTAAGTTACGGTGAACCTGTTCTTTAAGCATCGTCTCACTCTCTGCAGCGTCTGACCTTGACCCGAAGTACTTGAAAAAAGCCGCCGCTGATGTATTGAAAATGCTAGAGAGCAAGCACGATATCGACCAGATTCGAGCCTGCAAAGCTCTTCCTGCCCTGGTGAAGCATGCTGCGGTAGGGGACGAGATCTTGAGCGAAAAGACATTCCAGCGTGTACTTGACCTTGGAGGAGTCTCCGAAACCGAGTCGTTGATGGTGCAAATTCATGCATCACAGACATTGTCTTTGCTTGCTCGCGAAAGTTCGTAATACAGCCCAAGAACAATCTTCACTTTGTGACTAAGATATCTTCAGATGGGAATCGACCGGCTTTGACGGAAAAAGCGGCGAATGACATCACCGATCTTCTCAGCAGCGAACGTAAGTTGCGATTTTAACCATCATGTCTGTACATTGGAGTTAATACGATCGATCGCAGATGAAGAGATTCTGGTAGCTGCATTACGCATACTTGCCGCCCTTGTCCACGACGGTATGTTCGATCGTTCCTCGAACACAGACATGCTTGACAGCAGGTTCGCAGAACAAGCGCAAGCTACGGTGCTGGATCTAATTCCTTTGCTCATCAAACACTTGAAGCAACATGACTTTTACATCTCCCCGCCGGTGGGCAATGTTATATGTGCATATGCAAGACATGGTAACTGTTTTATATCACTCTTACTTGTTCCGTGAGCTCACAGCAGGATGCAGATAGTTTCCGTCAGCGTTTACTCGACGCAGAAAGTGGTTTCCTCGCGCTTTTGGTCGACATGTTGGAACATCGCTTAACTGACATCGAGGATCCTGCCATTCAAATCCTTCGCCAACTTGCAAGCTATGGTACGACAAATGCACTCACATCCATATATATAGTATCTCACTAGCACACCTCCAGTCGACATTCAGACTGACTTGATTCACAAAGGACACATTAAGAAGCTGGCGTCCTTGATGAAAAGTCGAAAACACGACACAAGTAGTGGAGCTACTCTTGCAATGCTCTCGATTCTCCCATGTCGTGAGTTTTTTACGCGGTGATCTCCCTTCCGCTACTAAGATTCCTTCAGCATTCATACGATTGGTGGCAGTCCAGGAAGGTGTCGTTGAGACGTTGGTCAATCATCTAAAACACCGGCAGAAGTGTTTGTTTGCGGCTTACGCACTCTCTCTTATCCTGGAACACGGTCAGTCCCTCGCCTGATAGTATGATTTAATCTCTCCGAACACAATTCAGACAACATAAGAAGCGCCATGTTCGAGCTATCAGCACCTGACTACATCGTCGGCGCGTTGAAACATGGATCATTCAATGGGACGGTCGAGAATGAGCATGGTAAAGTCGTACTCGGACGTCTCATGCACAATGGTATGCCTATGCGCTGCTTTGTTTGCCCTCTCGAGATCTCAACACTGTCGTAGATGACCTGAGGGCGGCTGTCATCAAAGCCCATACAACAGCGGCCCTTTGCACCATGTTCAGAAAGGGCGAATTAGCACTGAATCATGCAGCAGTTGATTTCCTGGACATTATGACCAACTATCGTGAGCACGCATTTCTATCTGTGCTACTTTATGCTCACGAACATCAAAGCGGACGGGAAAGAGTTCATTAAAGAATCCAAGGTTCCTATATTCCGCGCTATAGTGGGGGCCTTGGACCAACAGGACTGGGGATCGCAAAAAAATGCCGCAATAGCACTCCACACCCTTTTTGGGATTCAGCATTCTTCCGAGGGAACCTTTCGTCACGGAAGAGTTTCAGCCAGTCGTCTTGGAAAGGCTTCCGGAGATACTGAGATTGCTAGCGCATGATCGGTCTTACCGCACTGTTGGCGGTGCGGCAGCTCTCCTAGCACTCTCTGAGGACGGTATGTTCAACTCGACAACAAGTGCCCATACATGCTCATATTTCTGAAGGAACCGTACGGGCTCGTGTGCGAGAGCACGCAGATTTTAAATTTGTTAGAAGCAAGTATTTCTCAAAGACCATGAAACTACAGTATCATGGTTCAGGACCCCCGGGAAGGTAGCCTATGCTTTTTCTCATGACGTCACGGGGATCTAACGCTTGCTATCAGAGGATGTCCACAAAATGCTCGACAAATTATTTGCGGTCATGGAGGAAGGCATTGACCATCGCGGTGCCCTGAGATTCCCAGATGTGCACCCAATGCCTAGGCGCAGTCCCTTGGTCACTTCCCTCGCGATCTTATCTTGCGTCTTGTACGTTCCTTGCGGTCTTGCAGCTATGCTGACCGGATTGGCAATCGATAAGACGGACCCACCACCCACATGACTTGCGTGACGGGCACCAAGCGACTTTTTCCAGTTTCCTTGGGTGTTCATAAGCAGGAGAATTAGAGTTACAGAGTCCAATGCAAAGCAGGATATATATATCATACTGGTGTCTTGATGATGAATGCAACAAGAGAATCAAATTTTAACCCTCTCGGCTGCCTCGCGATTAGCCACATATTCTTCCAAAGTTTCGTCACCCTGGCCTCGTCGAATCTTAACGTGCGTATTGGATTGATGACAGATTCCTGCGTCTGATCACGGGGAGATATAGAAGGAACTCCTTTTCGATCGCTTTCTCGATATCCTCGAATGTGCGGGAAAGCCAGTGCCAGTTGCCGGTATGCAATCATGATCACTACCATGATCACTACATTTGTGCATGTTTGTGCGGAAAGCAGCTCTCAATTAAGTAATACAATGAACGCAATGGACATACCGGCGTCCGGTCATGCTGATCGAGGGCTTGTCTCGGACTTTCCCGAAGCGCAACAGGTTTATTCTCCGTGCATCTTGAGTGCGGTGTTATTTGGAACTAAAGACTCCGCTTGCGTCTACGACATTGCATATACTCTTCCATGCGTCACTCAAAGATGAGGAATGTGCAGTAGAGGTAAGAAGTTTAGTTTAGTGCGAGTCGAGGCAAGTGGGCACGGGGGTGCTGTGGCACGAGATTCCATGCTGCAGGGATGTTGAAAGGAACCGAGCTTGGAGGTTCAGATCAGAGAACCGGTGAGCCGCAGATATTGTCATATACTACAATATAAAGTCATATATATAATAGTTTCGCGTTTCGTCACATTGGAATATAAAGCAATATATGGATCATGTAAAACCACCGCAATCTACATGCATAATCGCTAGCAAGAACTTACCGGTTCGCTGATGCCACCGCTATGTCATACCTCGCGCTGGATTATGCGTGTCTACCATGCGGCAGCCTGGGTGTGGGACTGACACCATGAGTTCTGCCAGTGGAACACTATGCTAAGCTTCCTCAACCATGTCCTCTCCTTCAACAGAGCCTCAACTCACCACTGACGTGTCTTGTCCAAGTCCTACAGCTGCAATCTCCCCTATGAATAAATACACATGTCCATACTCCAAGCACAAGGAGGGCAGGAATTTAGTAGTCTGTATTGATGGATCATCGAATCGTTTTGGACTGAGGGTGCATATGCAATTCATTGATTTTCTTCGGCTAACGACTGTACAGAACACCAATGTCGTCGAACTATACAGCCAACTCGTGAAATCTGAATCCCAACTCACTTATTACAACAGCGGTGTGGGCACGCAGGCACGGCCGACATGGCGTTTTCTTACATATGCCCAGTATTGGCTAAGCAGCAAGGTGGACTTGCTTATTGCCTGGTACGCGGCGCGGTAAAATTTTATGTTGTATTGCTGATCTATAAATCAGGAATCTTGAAAAAGTGATACTGGCGGCGTATAGATGGATATCAGAAAATTATCAGGACGGGGATAGGATCTACCTGTTCGGTATGTTCTCATCTATCATACAATGTTACATCCGATTATCTCTTCAAAGGCTTTTCTAGAGGTGCCTACCAAGCTCGAGCAGTCGCTGGAATGATCCACCGCGTGAGTCGCCTGGATTGAAGTGTTACGCCAAATGATCATTGACATTCTCTCTCTCTAGGTCGGCTTGATTCTCCCCGGCAACAACGAGCAAATACCATTGTAAGCATCGTCTCATCTAGCGCCATCGCGCTCTTCTCATCTTGGCGACATTCAGCGCTTTCGAGCTATACTCTAAAATAGAGGAAAAGGTGCCAAAGGCAAAAGGATCTCAGGGAAAGCGTGTCACTGCGAACGAACTTGCAGAGACGTTCAAGAGTACATTCTGCAGGTCGGACGTTCACATCCATTTCATCGGCGTATGGTAAGACCCTGATCTTTGTGCATGGTTGATGCCTGTTATTCATTCATGCCAAGGGACACCGTTTCTTCGGTCGGCGTTGTGAGGGGAAAGACGTTGCCTTCGACCACTAACCGTGACCACCATATGTGCTATTTCAGACACGGTCTTGCTTTGGATGAGCGGCGAGTCAAATTCCTCCCAGAGTACATCCATGGTGCAAATACGGCAGGTTCCCATTCCGATCGCATCAAGGAGGTCTGGTTTGCGGGTAGCCACTCGGACGTGTACGTTTACGCGTTAAATCTCGGCACCTTCGATTTACTAACCGACGTTTGCAGTGGCGGAGGCAATCGACTCAACGAGAAGCTTCAGTCAGGTGACATTCCACTGCTGTGGATGCGAAAGGAGGCTGTCGAGGCAGGCTTGAGGGTGAAGCCCACGGAGGTCGTCTGGAAAATGGACGATTTGCAGAAGAGGACGTTCGATTCACTCCGAAAAGCTTGGTGGTTGCTTGAATTTGTTCCCGTTAAGCGGGTTGTGTATGGCACTCAAGACAGTCAAGACAGTCACGCATTCAAGTACGTACCACTTGAGCTTTCTGCATCAACGAATTCATTTAAGTAATCTTCCCAAGGCCCCACTGTGGCGCGCCTCGGGAGATCCTTCCAGGACAGAAGATTCATGCCTCTGTCCTGTTCAAAGGCAACTACAGAGCTAAGGCCAAATTCTGGAAGGACTTCGACGTCTGGCCAGAATTGATGTACTGGAATGATCCAGTCAGCCATGAACGACTTTCGAAATTGGGTCCACTGTGGGAGAAGGATATTTTCGATGCATCAACTGTTGGCTCACTTCTGAGAGATATTCAATTACATGGAGTGGAGTGTTTCGACGCAGTTGACAGATTGGCGTTCATGGCTTCATTCGGTAAGCATTTCCCCTTAATACCGGTTATGTCCTTCTGAGTGCTCTACAGAACAAGGACGGGCTGCAATTAGAAAGTCTGATAGCTGGGAGATCCAGTTAAATCAGTTGGTTCGCTACAGCGACGATCCGAAAGTACGTGTCAGTGCTGCCGTTGCACTGGGCGAACTCTGTAAGTCATGTTGAACCTGTCGCACCGACGTTGCCTCACTCTCTGCAGTGCCCGACCTTGACACGAAGTCCTTGGGAAAGGCAGTTGCTGACGTGTTAACGATGTTGGAGAGTAATAACCATATCGATCAAATTCGAGCTTGCAAAGCCCTTCCCTCCCTGGTCAAGCATGTCGCCTTAGGGAACGAGATCTTGAATGAAAACATATTCCAGCGTGTGCTGGACCTTGGAGGGGTCGCCGAAACCGAATCGTTAATGGTGCAAATTTATGCATCACAGACTTTGTCTTTGCTTGCTAGCCATGGTTCGTAGTCCAGCCCAGGAACGATATTCGCTTCATGACTAGATATGTTCAGATGGGTATCGACCGGCTTTGACGGACAAAGCGGCGACGGACATCGCCGATCTTCTCCAGAGCGAGCGTAAGTTAAGATCTTAACCATGCTTTTATATTGGAGTTGACACAACCGATCGCAGGTGAAGAAATTTTGGCAGCGGCCCTGCGAATACTTGCTGCCCTTGTCCACGACGGTATTTTTTTTGTTCTTTGAACGCAGACATATGCTTGACTATTAGTTGGCAGAAAGAGCGCAAGCTATGGTGACAGATCTAGTTCCAGTACTCGTGAAACATTTGAAGCAACACGACTGTTACATTTCACCGCCGGTGGGCAATGTCATATGTGCATATGCAGGAAATGGTCACTTTCTTTCGTCACTCCTGCTTGGTTGTTGGGCTTACAATAAGATGCAGATAGCTTCCGCCGTCATTTATTCCAACCAGCAATTGGTTTTGTCGCGCTTTTGGTCGACATGCTGGAACATCGCTTAACTGACATCGAGGATCCTGCCATTCAAATCCTTCGCCACCTTGCAAGCTATGGTACGACAAATACACTCGCATCTATATATAATGTCTGACTAGCATGCCTCTAGATGACGTTCAGCTTGCCTTGAATCAAAGGGGACTCATCAAAAAGCTGGTGTCGTTGATGAATAGTCGGAAACATGAAACAAGTAGCGGAGCTATTCTTACAATGCTGTCGATTTTCCCGCATCGTGAGTTCCTTAAGCAGTGGTATCTCCTGTGCTACTAAGCTTCCTTCAGCACCCATACGATCAGTGGCGGTCAAGGAAGGTGTCGTTGCGACGTTGATCAATCATCTAAAACACCAGCAGAAGTGTTTGTTTGCGGCCTACGCGCTCTCTCTCATCATGGACTACGGTCAGTTCTTCACCTAATGTTATGATTGAATCTCTCCCAATGCAATTCAGACGACATAAGAAAAGCCATGTCTGAGCTATCCGTACCTGACTCCATCGTCAGCGCGGTGGTACATGGATCATTCAACGGGACGGTCGAGAATGAGCATGGTAAAGTCGTACTTGGACGTCTCATGCACAATGGTATGCGTGTGTGCTGCTTCGTTTGCCCTCTGAAGATCTCAACACTGTCGCAGATGACCTGAGGGCAGCTGTTATCAAAACCTATACAACAGCGGCCCTTTGCGCCATGTTCAGAAAGGGCGAATTAGCACTGAATCATGCAGCAGTTGATTTCTTGGATATTATGGCGAAGTATCGTGAGCACGTATTTTTATCCATGATGACTCGTGCTAAGGAATATCGAAGCCGATGGGAAAGAGGTCATTAAAGAATCCAAGGATGCAATATTCCATGCTATAGTGGGGACGGCCCACCATACATGGAACTCACAAAAACATGCTGCAATGGCGCTCCGCACTCTTTTTGGGATTCAGCATTCTTCCGAAAGAAGCTTTGTCACGAAAGAGTTTCAACCCGTCATCTTGGCAGGGCTTCCGGACATACTGAGATTGCTAAAGCATGAAGCGGTCTTACCGTATTGTTGGCGGTGCGGCAGCTCTCCTTGCACTATCTGATGACGGTATGTTCGATTCAATAACAAGTGCCCTGTACATGCTCACATTTCTGAAGGAAACTGTCCGGGCTCGTGTGCGAGAGCACGAAGATTTTAAATGTGCCAAAGGGAAGTATTTCTCAAAGACCATGAAACTACAGTATCATAGTTCAGACCCACGGGAAGGTAGCTATGCTTCTTCTCGTAACGTTGCGGGGATCTAACGCTTGCCATTAGAGGACGTCCACAAACTGCTCGACAAATTATTTGAGGCCATGGAGGAAGGCACTGACCGTCGCAGTGCCCTGAAATTCCCAGAAGTGCACCCGATACCTAGGCACAGTCCCTTGGTCACCTCCCTCGCGATCTTATCTTGCGTCTTGTACATTCCTTGCGGCCTTTCACTTCTACTGACCGGATTGGCAATCGATAAGACGGAATCGTCGCCCACATAACTCCCGCAATGTGCGCCCCGAATTTCTCTAGTTTCCTAGGGTGTTTGTAGGATAATTACAGAGTTACAGAGTGCAATGCAAGAAGCGCAGAGACTATTTATTACAGTGTCTTTGATAACGATCGTAACATGAGAATCAAACACGTTTCTTCTCGGCCGCCTTGCGCTTGGCCTCTATTTCTGCGGCCTTTGCTAGGGGATAGTGAGTATCAGTGTGAATGGCTTAGGTGGACATTGCAGCGAACCTTCAGCTTCAGCCTTCCTCTTGGCTAGAGCAGCCTCACGTTCCTCTTTGATCTTCCTAAGGCGGGCGAGATCAGACTTTGCTTCATCGGTCTTGCCAGCAAGATGTAGCTATAGTCGAAGGGGTGAGCTGAATGAAGACGAAACATGATATTGAGCTTCAGTATAACACTGACCTTCCAGTAGCGATCCTTGGCTTCTTGTTTCTCCTTCGCCTCCCTAAAAGATAGACAATCAGCGACATAATTCCTGATTCAGCGTAAAATCTTACCTTTCTCTGCGGGTTAGCTCTCGAGGTGCACCAAGATCCGATATGTTCATCTTCTTCTCGACGTGGTTAGGGTTTATTAGATCTGCATCTGCGTCGCTCTCTCCATCTACTGGCTGTTTCTGCTCCGCTTGTTTCTTCTTGAGTGCCTTTCGCTCAGCACGGCTTAGCTCAGGTTGTGCGGCACTACCGCTGGCCTCTTCCTCCCCTTCCTCCTCCTCATCTCGTCTTCTTCCTCATCATCATCCTCCTCCAGCTTGTTGTCATCGTCTGAATCGGCCTCGCCGTCTTGATCACGAGGAGCCCTGATCAGGAAACCATTTGTCCAGTGCCATGATTAATTACCTTCCATAGAAGACTCACCATCGTTTGTCAAGTGATACAGCAGTTCCATCCTCGTCAATCACGAGGTGTTTGCTAAATCAAACAACGCTATCGAATCAGCGTGAACGATGGGATGACAGCTGTTAGTGAATAGTACCTGAAATTCCTCCCGCCACCGCGCTTGGTCTTAAACTTGCCTGTGCGATAAATGTTCAAAAATGTTCAAACAGGATCAGAGTCAACTGTTGTTACCTGTGCCTCTGACCATGTTGTTCAAGTCTTGGGTGTGATGTTGCGAAGGATCAAGGGGTGTAGGATAATCGCCTTCAGGTGGAATCTGGATAAGATAAAAAGCCGTTAATAGCCTTGTACTAGCCGAAGCTTATATCAGCAACTCCACTTGAATCGTTTTGCAACGCTACAGTTCCGCATTCAAGTCGACCATGACAACAATACCTTCCCGACTCGCGCAGGTAACGCGCATTTCAAGCAGCCGCGCAGATGCGCGCCTTCGCGTTATTGACCTATACAGGGGATGGGTCCGTGCTGTACGTGCGCTACTGGCTCAGCTAGCTTCCCATCCGACATTAACCGAACGATATTCAAGGCTCCTGAGATTTGTACCCTTTACGCGTTGAGCGTCACACCAGCCTACGTGCGGCATTGCATTCGCCAGAAGTTTGAGCAAAACCGCCACGTAACAGACCCCCGCGCCATCGAGGTGTTACTGCTCAAGGGCCAGCAGGAATTGCAGGAGACGGTGAACTGCTGGAAACAAACGGACCATATATATGGGATTTTGCTCAAAAATCAGGAACGGCCACAGCGGACATTCCTGCAGAAGTTCTATGAGGGTGGGTCTTACTATGTTCATTTGGTTCGATCACACTCATACGGTGCCCCCCACGACAGGTCGTGACGAGGATGTTGTTCTTCCCGCCGCATCTGGCGTTGTATAGGCTATTAGAAGAGAACGATCAGACTTGTTTCTTCTGGCATCATTAATTCCTTTCGAGTCCTTGATTGACGTGGGTGAGTGGTTGGTGGATGGATGCACCCCTTGTGCGGCATTGGCCGTCATCGTTCCCGGGCCTGCCCTACAGTTTCATGCCAGTTTGAATTTGTGTCCGACGATAGTTATTTTTCAGAACACCTCCTGGTTCTGAGGGGTGACTCGCAGCTTGGTGAGCAGCCATTGACACTTTCCCGTGGAGTAACGTATCATGGCAAAAGGTAACAAAGCAAATATTATTGACAATATCGTGCAAGATACTTAGGTTGGTCAGTGTGTTAGTATGTGTATATATGATCGATACTTCTGTGATGCAAATATTCAACGGTCATGACAAGCAGTCGAGCGGGTCTGGCTCGCTATCATCGACAACTCGATGCAATGTAGCGCTTGCCTTAATGCGGTCTAGAACAACCTTCGGCGGACCTCTGAATTTCGGCTTGGAGTTGGACTATGAATCGCTATCTTGTGAGAAATGACCACGACGCTAGCCATATAGAACTAACCTTTCCAGTTGGCTTTCTCGATTGAAGGGTGTTCTCCTTCTGTTTCTCGGAGCTAATTTGCACGCTGAAGTCATAGGTTATGAGAATGCTCAGCCTATTTTTGGAATAGGACGTACCCTAGCTTCGATTCTTCATCAAATCTCGCCTTTTTTGAAACAGGTTTCTTAGGCTGGCTATCTTCATCTGACTCTGGTGGGCGCTCCTTTTTCCTCTTTGTGTCTTTCTTCATAGCTGAATGAGGTTTCTTGATAGCAGGGTCTTCAGCAGCAGGTTTCGATATCGCAGCGGAGTTAGATAGAGGCAGAGATTTGGCGCTTTGGAGATTGATAACTTTAGCTTTCTTGGTAGGATGTTTCGCATCTCCGCCGACGTCATCATCAGGTGCGCTGCGCTTGGAGCTAGTGGCAGACTTCTTCATGGGGATTTCAACGGTCAGAGATCCATAAGTTTTAGTCTTTACTGGGTTTGGAGATTCGTCATTCTCGTCCGTCCGCTTTGAATGCTTCCGCGCTCGAGAAACTTTTGTCGGCGAGACTATCGGCGCTGCTGTTGAATGCCGGTATTGAGATCTTCCCAGCGTTTTGTAGATGTATAGATACGGTACCTTCATCTGGCTGCTCCTTGCTACACTTTTTGGCTAGTACATGATTGAGTGGAGCATCTTTGGTGGAGGGCCGTTTGTACGCAGACTTCGGAATCGCGGAAGGCTCGGCATTTGCAGTCTGATTGTCAGGCATAGGCACACTCTCGTCATCAGATTCGATTGTGACAATAACGGGCTTGCGTTTAGAGCGTGCCTTTGGTCGGGGAGCTTCTACCAGGGTGCCTTCGTCGTCTGATTGAGACACCTCCGCTAATTTGGCTTTCACTTTGGATTTATCAGGTGCCTTTGCCTTTGACGTCTGCACCTTGCGATTCGATGGTTCAGGATCAGCGTCGATATCTGGGTAAATTATCGTCTACATATGCAAAAATAATGATGATGAAGGACATGCCAAGATCGTTGGCTTGAACCTTTGTTTTTGGCGGCCTTCCCTTGCGCTTTGCAGCAGGTTTGGCTTTAGCTGATTCTACTTCCGGGACATCGTCGCCTGACACCTGGTATGGGGAACAGTCTCAATGGTACGGGAGAGGAACTCACCGTCAGTAGCTTTTATCTTGCCTTTACCCTTACGAGTAGTACTTGCTTTCTTCTTTGTTTGCGTCTTAGAGACTTTGCCGCCAGACTCAGTTGAGGGACCTGAACAACGATCGACAGAGGACCTTAACCGCAAAACAATGATACGTACCTGCTGCAGCATTCCCACTTACCAAGCCCGCTGGTGCCTGAGTTTTGGTGTTGGAGCGTGAAACTTTGACCTTGGCCGGACTCCCCTTAGGTTTAGTAGTAGTCTTATTGCGTTTGGCCTTTGATGGAGATACGCTAGGGCTCCGGTGGCGATGTGGTGACTTCGTGGCTGCTTTTGAAGGGGACTCTCCAGAAACAGTGCGGGCCAACAGAATGTCCTTGAGAGTATTCTTCTCTGAGGGAACAAACGCACTGCAGAAGTCGATTGGGGTGAGTTCTATACATAACATAGGTACGAGTACTGACCCTCCACGGTCCCTGAATCGTGCTTGCTGTCTCTGAAGACGTTGAGCCTTACTTTCCTCCACAGACACCGGCAGCATCTAGAGCTCACGAAGAATGTCAGAAGCAGTACAAGATGAAGAAAGCGTGTCAACTTTCAAGAGACTTCAGAAACTGAAATCATGTGACGAGTGAAAGTCAATCATGTGATGCGCGATTGTCCGCGTCTCCTGTCAAGTTGTCAACAGTCAGATCAGATTCCTAGTCATCACTCTCACCAATGCCCGTGACCTATGATGGCTTGTATTCATGTTGTTGACTTGTTCGTTACATTCTCATTTTTGTGTCTCATTTATCACATTTTCCATAGTGCTTACAATCAGAACGACTCACCGCAAGAATTCAGAACCCATGATCGAGGATATATCCTTCGAAGTCAGGTCACGCATGCTCGTTTACTCCCGGCTCTCTCTGCCCATTCATTTACATACTCCACTCTTTTTATCTTCGTCTCACTCGCCGACCTTGAGTCTAATAACCTCAATTTACTCGGTGGATGGCTATTTCGATATGGAAGTATCTGGCGTAACGTTGTCGGCCTCCGTGCCAGAAGGTATCTTGAGGACAAGCAGAAGAACGTTTCGATAAGATCGAAGCTGGAATATACTCTCTCGGAACGTGGGTTCGATGCAAGGGTGCTCGGTGACGTCTGGATGATGACGATGCCTAGCATCTTTGGCTTCGAGGGCTTGAACCCTTTGACCGTTTATTATGGATACGACAAATCTGAGGTCCTGAAGTTTATTGTTCTAGAGGTACGCAATTAAAAATCCTGGACCAGAATCTTATCCCATTTCTAGGTTCATAACACTTTTGGGGAGGGTCATGTCTATGTGCTCGAGGTGGGTAAATGCGAGGACAACGACCGAGCGCAAGGGTAATATTTTATTTTGGTGGCTCTTCTTTCTCTAACTCGTCTCAAAAATCAGTTACGATCATCAATGGACTGTCCCCCGGAATTTCTTCGTTTCTCCCTTCAATGACCGTACAGGGTTTTACACAGTTGCTGTCAGAGCACCTTCATTGCCTTTATCCGACAACCTACGTCCGGCTGTGTCAATCTACTTGTATACTTCAGACCCTGATATCACTGACGCAACCGTCATACACAAGCAGAAGACTCTTGGAGTTGGACCGTTAAAGCTCACTGCCCTCCTCTGCACGACAACCTCCTCGCCGCTTACAACGCATAACCTTATCTTGTGCCTCGCGGCAAATTTTGTGGCACTCTTCAGCACTCTTCCTCGGATCCTCTATCAGGCTTTCATCCTGCACTATAGGAAAAGGCTCAACGTTTTCGCAAAACCAGTTCCATATCCGTCCATTCGGCCATCAAGCGGGGTCCACCAATCGGGGGGGACCATATGGCAAAAAGAAAGCTTCATTGAGAAGTACTTCCGGAAGCGTTTCTATTCCTTTCTGCAGCGCCGATGCCAGGAAGTCGAAATCGTTGTCAACCTCCTCTCGGGGAACCCTTCCATTCCATTGATCACTTTCTCACCTGGTTTAGAAGCTTCCAACCTCCGGACCCTGACTATATCCTATACTTCCCCACAGTTCTTCATCCAAACCTTCCTTGCTCCCTCCGCAAACTTCATGCTAGCACTGGGCACCGCCGAAGGGCTGTTCACTCTGTCCGACGAAGAACTGTTCCTGGAAATCTACAGCCCTCCAAGCCAGCCAAATTATCCCCTGTCCCGTTTGACTCAGCACATGAGAACAACTGTTCTCCCTCGGGACTCGCGTGTCAACATCCCTCAGCCTCATCCCCTGACTGCTCCTTCATCTCTAGCCGGTTTGTCTGACCTTCTCGCTATAAGCACAGTGATGATGCTCGATTACCTGGAAATGCTAGTGTTTAGTGCTGCCAGAGTAAGGTTTGTGAAGGGAGACGAGCCGTGGTTAAGAGCACGTTGGGACAGAGCATTGCTTCAAATGGATACTGAAGCCTGGAACTCGGTCATCTGCGGTAGAGATTGGGCCAGGAGGGGCGAGGTAACGATCTGAAGTTTGTGTTCCAGTAGTGACTTGCACTTGGCAGGTCGCGTGATATCTTGTAACTTCTCGACTAGAACCTGTGAACAGCTTCTATTGTTCGACCGATTACTTAGAGCTAGACTTTGTCGGTTGCGATATGACATCATAAATCTGGAAGTCGGGATCATCTGATTGAAGTGTTTCAACTTTTATAGTATACTGTAACAGAAGGTGTGACCTCCCAACAGACCTAGGCAGACCAAATATAAGTAGGCTGTAGATTGGTACGTGGTTGCAAGAGTATGTGCTAGTCTGTTGCATCACGAGCTTTAATTCTCGATCATTGTCCTCCCGTGCTAGCATAGTGTGGCTGGTACTCAACTGATGTGTATCGTAGTATATTGCAGCTCGTTATAAAAGCCTGAGCGCAAGGGTAAGTACGATTAGTACAAGAAGATTTGTTCAATTTATCCAGTGATGAAAACTTTGGTGCAATCTAATAACCATGGTGAGGAGGCGAATACTTAGCGTGATAGATAGGAGACATCGAATGATAAGTGCTATGTACTCGAGTCCCAACAATATTTTGAAGGGCTTTCTGGTTCTTCAAGCGGATGCCGCAGCCTAGGATCGACGGCCGAGTCTGGCGGTGTTATTGGGGTGAGGGACTCTGAAGGGTGTTCAGCGACTCCTTCCTTCGGGGATGGGTCAACATCGTCCGAAGAATGTTGCATGTCTTCCAGGTCCTGCATCTCCACATCGGCCCCTCTATCCGCTTCATCCGCTTCACTATCTGACCCATCACCGAGATCCATTGCCTCGTCAACGGACATCATCGGCACGTCGCCTCCCTCTTCATGTTCGTGTTCCTCAACTGCGGGTGAGGCCTGCTCGTGCAGCAGACGACGACGTTTTTCGCTTAGATTTCTCAAGCCTCCGGAGCACCTTGGCAATGTACTCCTTCGCAAACTTCTTGATTTTTGCTGTCTTCTCATCAGATAGGGCGTCCAGTTTGCCATCTTTGTAACCGGAAGATTTCTTCTCCTTCTCGGCAATGACATGCGTGAGCTGGAGAGTAAAATCAGCCGACAATCCCTTTGCAGAGCAGTAAGACGACGCCAACCTCCTTAGCATATTTCTTGAACTGGTCGTGGTCAAGCTGCTTGGAATACTTGGACATGCACTTGACGACGACGGCGCCCACGAGCTTCAATAGCCTCTTCTCCTTATTCGCCTCCTTTTCCTCTATTGTCTGAGTCTTCTTCGGAGGTCTTTCTTTCTTTGTCTTTTTCTCCTCTGGAGGAGGCGATGGAGGGGGTACCTTGGCAGCTTCCGCCTCGGCAGCTGCTTTTGCAGCGGCGATCACAGCAGCAATTTCCTCTTTTGATCGGGGCCCACGAATCACTGGCGGTGGATAGGGAGCGGCTGACCACTGGTGCTGCTGAACAGTGATAGTAGAGGGTGGGCGTTTAGGGGCGGGACGGAAATGGTGCTGTTCGTACTGGTCTTCCCATTTCGGCTTCTTGAGTGGGCGCATTTCCTCTTCTAGCGACTCGATCACGGTAATTTGGTGCTGTGTTTCCTCTTCCTCGCCATCCTGGATATGTTTAATGACACCTGACTCTTATTGGAAACGAAATGATGGCCTACAGCTTTAATTCGCTTGGGAATGCGATATGCGATCTCGAGGGTATCCCAGTGGTCCAAGAGCTGTAAATATTCCGTTAAAATGGTGACGAGTTTGTGAATGATATTGATGACCTTTTGAGCAAGTCCTTTCATGGTTTCATTATCCGACTCGAGACACACTCGAACAGGTATTGTGATCTTCGAGTCATCGACCTTATTTCTCTGGATAAGCGGCCAGCGAACCATGGCCTCCAACGCCTACAAGGATTACGTTACTATGTGACCACCCTTACTTGAGAACAGTGACTTACGCCAATTGTGATATCGACGTCTTTGAGGTGATCTTCGAGAATATTGTGCATTAGACTAAAGCCCCGCAACCGCATAATCTGGCGCAGTGCTGCTTGGTCCTCAGTAATCTAAGGGCAATGTATTAACTTCCAAACATGATCGATCTGAAGGCATACCTTGATTCGAGTAAGGAGTTTGAAAAGGACTTTCTTGCTTTGTGTCTGCCGAATTGCTTGAACCAACTTGGGAATGTCTTTCTCAAGAAGAGGCTTAAGCTCTGGCTAAAAAGATGGTGAGCGTCAGAAGAGACAAGAGCGGAAGCAAGGCATACCATGTAGTCCTCGTCAAGCTTTCTGCCCTTCTTTTTCTTACTACCCTTGAGGCCCAGCTTCTCCACTTCGTCGGTAATACCCAATGCTAAGAAAGCAGAAGCATTGACAATCAAAACTGAAGGATTTGCTCGCAGACGCACCATCGAGGTAAAGGTCATCCATCCCAGCAATATCAGTCTGGGTCTTGCCACCGAGGAAGCCCACGCAATTAGCCTCTCCGCAATAACATGGTTGTGGTTCATGCCTTCGAGATATGAGCTCATCTGGAAAACAGTAGAGAACCGGGCTGAGCTTACCCGTAACGGTCCACATTGTAATTGAAGGTGAGCTCCTCGTCTTTACGTATGAACCTGTTTGCGAAGATGCCCATGCGGACGTGCTTGCCCACTGTCCACTTCGCGACGTAGCAGTTGGGGTTGCAACTATGATTCGCGAATCTGCCAATCCCACCTCGCTTTGTAGCATCAATGTACTGGAAGTTAACAGAAGACCATCAGCGGGCTATGAAGGAACCAGAAGGTGAGATCACGCACTTCATCTCTCTGCAACATCATGAAGTAGAAGTGCTTGACCCCTTCCTCCGCATATTGCCGCATACGCTTCATAAAGGAAGGGTGACTGACGACATCGCCGACATACTCATAGATAAATGCGTCCCTGGGTGATGATATGAGGTGTTTATAACACAAAAAGAACCAAATATCTCACTTTGAAAGATCCGTGCCCGCTCGAAGACCGAAACCCTTCTTGTCCGTCTGTACTATCTCAATGCCGGCGTACTCCTTGCGCTGAAACCTGATTTCGAGAATGCAGCATGTTAAGCTCAAGCAATGACAGCGAAAAAGTGAAGGGAAAAGTAGCTTACCGTTGGTTCTGGCAGTAAACCCTACAACGACAATCATCTGCAAGGCACTCCACCTGTGTGAGCCGATTGATGCAGTCTGACCCATGCCCACATGCATCCGATGGGTCGTCGACACCTGCACGGTAAGAACTTAGAGACTACAGCTACTCTACTCGAGAGGGTATTAGACAAACCATGCTCATATTGACAGTCACAAGTCATGCTCTCCCCTTCCTCCCTTGAGCGCCCAAGCGTCCCATACTGATAGTGGTTGTCAGGTATCTCCACGAACGTTGCGTGAGCAGCAGCTTCCGCGCGCGGAAGGTCGCCAATGAGTTGTGGACCTGCTGGTTTGGGTTTTACATTGACTGCGGATTCAGAAGATTCTCGCTTGAGGGGTGGTGATGGCTCCGGCTTGGAGGGCTTAGTCTCTGTTGGAGGAAAAAGAGATTCTTCTAGCTTAACATCCTCCTCTAGCTTTAGTTTAATGTCTGCAGAAGGGCTCTTGCTCTGAGAGCAAGATTTAGACATCGTGGTAGGGGTGTAAGTGCTCGAAAGCGTGAGTCCACGTTAGAAATGGGAACAAGACCTCCAACGTTGAAGGATAGTTCAACGTCAACTTGAGCTCCAAATCCTATATAGGAGTATAGAGAGTGCCAGTATAAAAGACTGTAAAATAAAGTATAAATGAGTCCATGTAAGTTTAAGGAGGTGGAACTGACCTGACGTCTTGTGTTGTAAAAAGTCACGGGCTATGGTAATAATATGTGGTGAGCCCGGTCTTCCAACGAGCAGTCACTAATGGCTGCGGTTACAACGTCAAAGAAGCGCAAGCGCGATCTAGATGACACTCAAAGAGTGTCCTTTGCACTCTTAGACCAGCCTGCAACGCAGCTGGGTCCCGTTCTTGGTGAGTGCAGATGGTCGTCACAGTCGAAGCCTTCAATTCAAGTAAAACCGGCGGCGCCACGTCCACCAGCTAATTTTCCCTCCGTCAAGCCCACAAAATCCACCTCTTTTAAATGCTACAAGACACAGACACAAAAGCCGAAAACGGACAATGAAGAAGTGCCGTTTGCTGAGATGCCGACGCTGATTGCGGGCGAGACAGAAGCTGTGGACTTTTACTCCTCTGAAGAGACACGACGGAGTTCACTAGGGCAGCAGGTGCGTGAATACACTCTGCGCTTATTTTTGAGTCCTGATATCTATCTATCTTGCCATTTTATCATTTATTCTGTAGGTACCTTGTCGGTGTGCATAATAAACGCACTGGCATCACAACCCTTCGAGCTGCTCCCTTGCACATCCTCACACATGAGGTTAAAGCCCTGAAGGGTCTTGAACCTGCTGCCGTCTCTACTCTTCAGCGTCTTGAGGCCCGCGCTGCACTTGGAGAAACGTTCGGAACCAAGAAGGCAAAACTAGCCATCCGCGCGCAAGAGCGGAACAAAGTCGACGTTTCTGCAATGGAGAGTGTTGCAGATCACCTCCAAGAGAGTATTCTAAAGAACACATCTACATTACCATCGAAAGGCTTGTTCGCTTTCTTTCCCACCCCGTTTTCATGCTTAACTGTATCTCTAGAGGAGGCAAAAGCGAATGCGGACAGTACTCGTCTAGTTCCGCAATACAATATCGATGCTCTCAATCCGAGCGATGTTTATCCCTTGCACAACATGATTCCCAAGCCTGAATGGAAGGCACTGTCTATTTCTGCTTATATGCAGGCGGGCGATAGTGCTGAACGGGTCGCTCTTCTCCCCTACAAGCGTTCCAACTGGATCAACGATCATTTGGGGCTTGCATTTGCCTCTCCCTCACCGAACAAGACCACTATGTACGCAGATGTATCATTCACGACCAGAATCCACCCACTGAAACACTGATATTTCCAGAAAAACGCTCGTATACATCTCAGCAATGTTCGCCTTCCACAAATCCACCTTTAAAAACATCGACAAGACCGCCATTCAACAAAAGCTCTCTATGGTCCCTAGCGTTGTTGTTGATGGACTGTTATCACGGTTCACAGAAACCGCACGTGGATCCATGGAGTACGTCTATCACACCTTCCTCGGGGCAGCGATTCTGAAAATTTCACAGGGCACAAAAGACAACTGAAAATGTGACTATGCTTCTGACGCACTTGTTCGCACTGTGTCTTCACGTCGATGATTTTGCGACCGACACGAGCGTTCTTGCGGCTGATTTAAGCATGGAGCCAGCGAAGTAAGTCTCTCAGCAGGAATACTTGTGCATTGAGCTCATGCGTAGACAGGATCAATATGTTATTCAGGTCCCTAGGTACGCGCAACCTGATTTCGATCGTCTTTTGCCTTCGCTGATTTTGTTCGTTCGTCAGGCTGCAACGTCAACAAGCTAACACAGTCAGACTTGAAGCGTCTCGGTCTGCCCGATTCTGCGGGAGAGATCAAGAGGGCTATTCTAAAGACTCCTCTACAGTTCCCGAAGGCTCGGATGAGACGGCGGGCGTAAGGCAGCGTCGTATACTTATACGTGCCTGTACTCGGGAGCATCTCTGATCTTTACTTTCTTCCATGGTGTCGATGAAATATTCCCTAGGCCTACGGGGGGCGTCTGAAGAATGGTGTCAAGAGGACTTCAAGTCAGAATTATCTGGCGTCTGGCGTATTTAGGGTGTCGATGTTCTCAATGAGTACTGCCGTAACATTTTCATCAGTGCACTGATCAGCAAGTGCCGAAACATAGTTTCCTGAACTTTTGATGGATGCTTTTGGTACTGCCAGCCGACCACGAGTCAGAGACACGACTTTCACGTCCATCGCAATTGTGTCTTCAGCCGATGATGTATCTGTATTCAAACCAATGATACAGCTTTGAACATTGTGCTTATCTACGCATTAGGCGCGGTTGCCTTGGGCTCTGAAGCAACAGATTGAGATACAATTAGGAGTCGAGATCAGGTGTACATGTGGGTGAGGTATGCACTCCTAAATTCTGAAATATCAACGGTTGCGTTAGCCCTTGGCTAGATGCTACACATGAAGTCGTCAGATCGTCTCGAGCATGCTTTGATTAGTAAGGTAAGAGGACGCAGGAAATGGATCATACGCCAATATGCACGAACACGACACGCTGGTCCAACGGCATATCTGTGTCAGAAGCTAACGACTGGACCACCCGGTGCAGCGCTCGGGCAGCTCTTTTTTAATCCACCGCCCCATCCCCGCAGAAGCGTCGATAAGATGCGACCAAGCGTTGCATAGTACTACCGTCGACCCTCCTTAATGTCCTCAAGACACTCTTCACCCTGTAGGCCGGCCGCCAGGTGTATCACTTCGTCAGGAGTTTGGAAATCACGGGCTACTGTCTCACATGCGCAAAGGAAGGCAGATTCATGCCCAGACAGATCAGTTTGAGTGATATCGAGGAGTGGCAGCGGTAGGTTGCGCATGAGAAAAGCAGACTTGAAGGGTTCCGCAAAGTCTTGTGTGCTGTGACACGCAAAATAGAACCAGTGATCATCTTGTAATGTGTGCAGGACTCTGATTCAGCACTGGTGACCTTGGTGGAGAAAACTTGTTGGGGGAGGTAGTGGAAGACTCTTCACCAATTCCAGCTCAGGCTCGACAGCTTCCAAAGCAAATGAAGATCCTATGGGGTGGTTCTGACCAATGGCAGCAAAAAGACACGGACGAGGATCCGTCATTGCTTCTACGAGCCCTGACCAGCGCGGTAATGGATGGAGTGTATAAAGAAACATACAGCTGCGAAAAGAACTTTCCACCGCGCTTGTATTCGTCGTCAGCGTCCAACGGCAAGAAATTGAAGAAGGGCGTTGCGCACCACCATATTCGGGAACCTCGTCATGCAAATCTATCCAGATTTTCAAACGAGGCAGACCACATCATCCCGTAGCTCCCACGAAACTTTCATCAGCCCTGGTTGGGTTCCTCGGGAACCGGCCTCTTTTTCAACTGTCTGCCGGAGTGTGTTCACCAATCGCACGAGTTTGTCTAGATTGATAGGGAGTTGAATGCTAGTCGGAGGTTGCTTGTGCGGGATAATGATAGCGTCACAAGCTGCATCTTGGAGATGAGAGAACAGGGGGGATTGAAGTAGGAAGTGACCGAAGCCCTCGACCTTCCAGATTTCTTCCACGCCTCTATTCCAGTTATCTGGCACTAGACGCCTGCATCGAGCATCTTCGTCGACTCCTGGGGTCCCTTCTCGATGTTCTGCAGGAGGTGTATCAAGGAGGGAGCTAAGATGTCTTCACCAAAACCTCTGCGTGGTCCACGAGGCTGTCAATGGGCGTACGGAATCGTGTCATCTGGGTCTAGATAAGAGTCCTGCCTTGTTCCAGCAATTCTACAGCGCGACACGTACCACAACGACGAAGAGCACATGATGCAGCACGAACTGCAAGTGTGGGCGGGAAGTCCTTCATGGTATCATGATGGATACTGAAGCTGTCGCAGACTCGGACATGTACGTGTCCAGAAGGTGCATGGAAATTGCATGGGCCTCTAGTTCAGTCAGGTACTAGCCTGTGGACATTATGCCCAGGTAAAACGCGAACCTTGGCCAATGGCGTCAAGCGGCGAAAGCAAATTATGTGCATGAAGTTGTGAGTGCCGCCAACACTGGCCAAGAGTTTTTGAAATAGCCAACAACATTAACATCATTTGCATCACCATTGTTTACTTGTTCTGGTTACAAAACGAGAATGACTAAAATAATATCTATATCCGGAGGGTATTGCGTCATATATATAACCATGTCCCCTTTTAACTTGTGATAGTCAGGCGGAAAGTTAGGATGCGGCTTGAATTTGTTGACAACGGTGCGATGAATGAAATTACTCACATGAGTAGAATACGCTGGTGGGCTCACGGATAGTAGTAGTTGTAGGGGGGATTAGGGGTTATTTCAAGTAGTTGTTTACATAATACCCGTAGTTCACAAGTGTCTCTACGATGACCAGCCCGGACTCTGGCCGCTCTGCCACGTTCACGACGTCGTTCCCAGGTTAGAATCACAATACGATCGACAAATATCTTCAACGACTGCAGCAAGCATGTGTGTCCTCTCCAACGCCTCCCTTCGCTATGCTTTTTCCGTGCATTCCCCGGCAATTTGTTCCGCCTCAGAACTCCTCACTCCCAGATGTTGATAGATCCGAGTCACATTCGTGCGCTGTACGGAAATTATGGTGATAAAAACTAGCCGCTAGGATTGCCTTAAGAGTCTGAGTACTGGTTTGTTATCTGCAATCGTATGAGTTTCACTCACTTCTCGCCGGACCCGTTTTGATTCGAATGTGGTTCCAGATGCTGTATGATCGTCATCGCCTGGGACAAACACTGCGAACGCTACCCGAACCACCAGATGGATCGAGTCAAGCTTCTCAAGGAACTGAAAGAGGTCGTCATACACACGAGTTACAGGTACTGCTCACTTGTCATTAACCCCTCCTTTCTTTGAATGCGATATTTTAGATATCATCCTTTCGGATATGTACTTGTCGCCTTTTTGTGACGACGAACTCTCCAGAATCCTGGAGCTCATTAATGTGGGACAGTTCCTTTCGAACCGTTTATCTTGCACGGTCTAAATTATTGCATATCAGAGAATTCCAAGGAAAATCTCACTGTGCTTGCATCGTTGGTACTTATACGCACGGTTCAATTTCCCCAGAGGATTCATTGTTCCATCAATAGCGAATTTCAAGCATCACTTCCGTATGTTCTTCATTTCAATGCATCAGCACGCAGCTCGTTCATTCTGAAGGTCAACGCTTGCGGTCTCCCCGACGCCGGCAGATCGGTGGATGTTGGTTTTCATCCACTAACCAGCAGCCTTTCCTTGACTCTCGAGGCCATACTGTTTTTGGCACCGCAGGCGCACTTGAGTGATATTCGAAGAGAGTGGGTGCATCAGCAAAACACTTTTTTTTCCCACCACCAAAAAATGGCTGGCCACAGCTTGGTCCCTTCTGTACAGAGCTGTACAGAGCCCACAGAGGCAAAGTGATTTCCTGATGTGGATGAATGCATCAACATCCCGCGGTGGAAAGACTTTGGTGGAGAACTCATGGCGGAATGGACTGGGATCACGATCTATGTGAGCATTATTATCAGTGCCCCGCTTCGTAACTTGATCCCGCTTCGTCCCTACAGGCCTACCAGCCCACCGTCATGTTAGCCGTAGACGTGAGTCCCCTCGCAGCGCCGAACGTGAGCGTTGATGAGTCGCTGTCGTTTGGGGTCTGCGCTACTAGTACTTATCTCACAATTATCTTTATCTCAGTCCTTCAGAACCAGATTTATGTGGGGGTATGTAGATTGATACTCTAACAAATTTATCGAACAATCAAATATCTCACGAGTCATGACGTTGCTTGCTCTCTGAATAAAGAGCGTCAAGGGGCTGTTTTTTGTTGCAAATTATTTATTCAGGTTCCAAGCATCGTTCCTCGCATACGATATACATATGAATCTTGAGACGGTCGCACATCAAATTGTCACATGTCTTACATAGTAGATAGTACAGATAGGTTAGCACCGGATTGCTCGATTCCTTCACTCGGCCTTTGCATGATCACACCTCACGCCAATTTGATTACGACCTTTCCAACATGTTTCTGGCTGTCGAGGTACGCATAGGCGTCAGTAGCCTCCTCGAAAGAGAATACTTTGTCTATCACTGGGCGAATTCTATGCGCTGTAATGAGTCGGTTCATGTCCTCGAACCTACCAGCCATCGATCAATACAATAGAGATAGAAAGCGCAATCGGACCGTACTGTTTTACGGAGCCAATCAAAATTCCGCGGAGGAAGATTGCTTTCTGAATGGCAAGGCCTATAGGAATGCCGTTGTTGCCCTGTACAGATATTAATACTGTCAATGGTATAAATAAAGATACACCTATTATAACGCGTACCCCGGATACAAAGCCAATGATGTGGATCCAACCTGCATAGCGTACGGCATTCATACACTTCAGCATAGTATTGGGCCCTCCGACCTGTATAATATGCGAGTGAGTTCGCAACGATAGTACTTTTCCGGCAGACTGACTTCGATGATGTGGTCAACTCCACGGCCGCCGGTCTAAAAGCCTGGTATTAAGCGTGCCACCACGAACTCACAGGAATGAACATACGATCTTCAAAACTTCTTCGTCCCATTGTTCGTTCTTTTTATAGTTAATGACGTGCTGCACGCCCAGTTTCTTTGCAACTTGCAATTTCTCATCGGAAGACGATGTAAGGATGACAGGTTGCACCAGAAGCAAGGGCGAGTTGGGCGCCGAAACTAACAGCTCAGCTCGGACATCGAGGTTAATATTGTTGGTGAAATATAACATACATTGATACTCCACCGGTACCGAGAAGCGAGGACGTAGTCGCCGCCCTTAAGGGGGACGGGTCCAAGAAAAGCGTTGTAAGCCGTCAAGGCCGCGCATCTGACGAGAGTCAACTGTCTGGGTAACAAGCATATTGAAGATTGGTCAACTTACGGAAGAGTCGACCCTTCTTCATACGAAAGATGTTCTGGGATGCGGACTAAGGACTTGAAAAGTCATTCGCAACCAATATGACGATGAAACCGAAAGAATACATACGTGAACGGGGACGTTGATGTACTCCCGGAGCACGCCATCAATGTGGCCACCAAGTCCGGTTAATTTGATCTCTTCAGTAACGTCGCCATGAATATGATTCACTGCAAAGTTAGGACAGACGCGATCTCCAACTTTCCACCCCTTGACATCTTGCCCAACTGCAACAATTTCGCCTGCTCCATCAGAGCAAGGAATGATGTCAGTCTTTTGCCTGTAACATCCGTGTTTAGCGTGAACCGAGTTGAAATACAATACATACTGTGGGTAAAGCCCCTTGGAGACCATTAGGTCACGGTACTGCAAGTACGTTAAATCTCTGACAATGTAACACTATAATATAGACAGACCTGCAAGGACACTGCGTGGATTTTGATAGTCGCTTCCGTAGCCTTTGGCTTAGAGAGAGACGCTGATTGAAGCTTCAAATTCTGGTGGCCATCACCCTATGATGTTATCGTTTCAACGCCGACCTCTGTTAGCAAGTAAAATGCAATCACGTACCTGGCTGCGATATTCACGAGAGATATTTGGGAGAGACATCGCTGCTTCAGCTGTTGTCGTTAATTATAAGGAATCTGGTGGAAAGTACGACATCAGTTCCTGCAGACTGCCACCTATTTATACTGTAAGAACAAGAGTGATGGGAACAAAGTGCTTCACCGTGGTACCCTCGCGACTTTGTAATGACATACCATCACTGTACAGAGGCGTTTCAACATTGGTCATCGGTTTTAAAAAGTCGCACCGTGATTATTGATACACCCGATATCGGGATTTGACTGAAATTCACCTGTTGAAAAGTAGTGGCTAGACTCTCAAATCCACGGAAAACGAATTTCACAAAGCATTTCTGTCAAAGCATTTTTCCGCAGCGTCCGGCATGCCGCCAGATCCGGTCGCAGCTGGAGGGAGATATATGTTAGGACTCATTAGCTTCTCATAGTCTGACCATATCATAGAAGGAAAACAGTCGTTTTCCTTATTGAGGGATATGCGTTTGGCAATTGCTGACGCATACGCGGTCAGCTAGATGCGATGCAGTGAGTGTCAGCACCGAGCTGCACAGTTCACTTAACTCCACATAGCGCCCAGACTCCTTCCCACCGCTAGCTTCGAGTGTGCATGTAAGGGGCGGACTGTCAGGGAGTGTGGACTTTACAATGAGTATCTGAGTTGTATTGTTATTATTAGAAACGTGACGACACTTACACCTCACTAAGTCCACTCGCAGCAATCAAGTAACAAGGCGCTATGCGGCAGTGCTTCGAGTGTCTTCACAAATGGTTGAACCGCCTTCCACGTGCGACATACAGAACGCAGACCTCTCGTCCATGAATACTCTGACCAAAAGAGTAGCTTCAGCCGCAAACTTGAAACCCGCCGTCCATGCAGGAGGGCAAGAAGGCGTTCGAGGAGGTTCGAGGGCCTGCGCGGGGTTTATCGGATTTTCGTGCTGTGTATCCGTGGCACTGTGAAGTTGATGATGTGCTGACTGTCCGCACAATTGTCCGCACACCACGGATGGTCTTCTGAGCTCTCGAAGCTCGCTACTAATGACCTACTATCAAAGAAAGGGCCGCAATCTAAAATCAGTCTGTGTCAATGCTGGAGTCAAACTCAGCAACCTCATGATAACGGTTCGAGTCTTACACCGACCTGCAAAATCTACGAGTATGGGAGGTGACTGCGGTATACCGTATGGAATCGAAGGACTAGGAGATTCAAGCTGAACACGATCATCGAGGACACGTGTCGGTCCCTGGCATTGCCTGCCAGAACTCATTCGAGTAATTGTCACTCGTGTTGTCGACTGCCGCGGTATCAGCAGAACCCTAAACGCAAGCACAAAACTTCAGCACCTGAATACAGTAGTGTCGGCGTTCGAGACCATGATAAAACATCTTGTGCCCCGTGGTAGTGACTGATGAACTGTTAATTGATGAGGGTCATGTTTTGTCAACAGAGTCAATGCCCAGCGGAGATTCTCTAGTGATTCGTTGAGGTCTTGGTCACTCCTGCGGTCTCGAAGCGGTCGGCGAAGGTTATTCATGACATGGCCCGATGTGGATGGCCAACTGTTTGCACAGTCAGCGCTTCCTTGAAAAGTGTGACAGCTTCATTAAGGTCTTTGCCTTCCTGGAAGTGCAAAGTCGCAAGGTTGATTAATTGACCCGGACCGATCTGGATGACCAACCGGGCGCAAAGCCAGCGCTTCCCTATGAAGCGTGATACCCTCATCCAAGTCTTCAACATCACATCAGTTGCTGATGAAGCTAGATTGACACATACTATTGATTACGACTTGCACTATAGCATTTCACTTTTTATCACGAGGTTTGTCTCCTGATTCCTGGGGGAATTCTGGATACAAATTAACAGTTGAGAGTAAGATGTGACTTAGACGTCACGAAACACTGTAGTGCCTGTAAGATCCTAGTGAATCATAAAGGAGGGAACTACAGCACCCACAGCACGCGGCGATGTACAGCGCTAATTAATTGGAATTCCTGGTGCTGGGAGCAACGGACAGAAGCAACACGCGGCATATGGAACTACCCATAGCCAATTTATTCATGGGCGTATGGCAAGGGCACGTTGTAGGGTGCGACATTGATCAACGCAGCCAAAACGAGCAGGCTCAAGAAAGGGCATTCCAAACTTTCGGACACTGTGGGGCACGCATCTCCGGGATATCACCGCTCTAGGCCTCAACCCCAAAGGTTTCATTCCACTGCAGCTTAGACAATGTTACACGAGAAGTAACGGAACTAGAACTCACTATCTGACTCAAATCTGAATCTGCTGTGCACGAGTAGCAGTACTGGCACCGCCCCTAGATAGGCAAAATTTGCCGCTCGGGAACCCTTGGACCGAACGCATCAGCATCTTCTATTGGACTGATACCTAGTAGTACAGTTCTCTTCAATGTTCATGACGCGGCTACAGCTGCGTTGATGAAGGACCCCAGTTTTGAATTGACTATGAGGCTAGGACCCCATAAGTATGCTGTACTATATTAGCGCTCCCAAACACCGTGCAATCAGAATCAAGAAGGAGCGACTGTCTTCCTTCTATACGGTCTGAGACTACCACGCAATGTACTTACATTGTAAAAGTCCACTGCGCTCGCGGTTTATCACGGATGGAATGCCAGAGTATATGCAGAGGTGATTCAGACGCCTTCTTTCGAACTCGGACGTACTCTGAATTCATCGCCTACTCATCGCCTCGTTCTCGTTCTGGATGTTCTTCATCGAGAAGTCGTTCGATGTGCGTCTATTTCTCCGCAATTCGATCGAAAGGAGTAACACTGGTTGTACGGACAGCTTCTTATGGAACACCACGAGGATACAGCTTATATGCCCATCACACGGCCCATTCGTCCGCATGTTGTTGCTGCGGCTTCTGGAATCTGCCTCATAGTAGTAACTTTGATTTACGTCCCGTGGAGCCTGTACGTCTCGTCCAGATAAGTAGGTGATCATGACCTGATCAAGCCTTTCGAGATCATTCATTGACGATATCTTAGCGCTACCAACAAGTATATAAGGAGGTCCGTTCTGCCCATCGTCCCTCAGAATTTTCTCGCTTTCCAACATCATTGCGATGAAGTACGCGTCGCGAAAGTTCATCGACCTCATTCAGGGGGCTACATCCAAGTGGGCCAACTGGGATCCACCGAAAAAGATCAAAGTATGTAAACACGCCGCTTGGTTTCAATTGATCTGACAAACACAGGTGGGCGACTATGGAATGATAATCAATGAAACTGGAGAATTCGATTGGCAAGGGAACATATACAGCTCGGATTTCCAGCAGCAGCTTAAGTCGTCCAAGTATAAGTTCGACTTTGTATTTGACCCGACGGATCCGACACTTCTCCCTCAAGAACAGGAATCAGGAGATGATCAATTCATCGTCAAATCGTGGGGTGTCACTACCAAAGAAGTCAAAGCATCTCCTGAAGTGTAGGTGCTATCGCAGTGCTTGGCTCATATATCTAACTGTCTTGCAGCGACGTGCCGGGTGCAGTAAGTGCCGCCCTCACAGTCGACTTGCAGTTCGACGGCAACAAACGAGCAGCTGTGTTGGTCATGCACAAGCCAAGATATAGCACCCTTCCGAATGACGAGCGCATCATCAAGCTGCTCAAGTCCTTGCCTGACATCGTCAAAGGGAAGTACATCGTCACCGAAGTGATATCTTGCGCAGCGTATATGATGCATTTGTCCGACAAGAGTAAGTCCGGCATGTGTAAATTGTACTTCTGCGCTGTTCACACTTAGTGGGTGTAGAAGCGGAGAAATTTTCTGTGACCCTCAAAGCCAACGCGCCTGTTGCGCCAGCTGTCACCGCTGGAGGAACAGCCAGTTTCACCTGGGTTTCGGAAGCTTCCTATGGTATGTCCCGCCAAGGAAGCGACCCGGCCGCAAGATACATGCCCTTGTACAGGCTGAAAAAGCCTCGTTCCAAATTCTGGGTGTGGCCTCTTACTCACCGCGGGGATGAGAATGATGATGATCCGATTGAGAGGTGAGCTCAAATCATCTCGTTGCTCAGAGGTGCAATACGGAAACCTCTATGCAGGTGGGGGGATGTCGATCCACCTTGGGACCCACTCGACGATGAGGGCGAAGAAGACGAAATCTATGATGCAGTATGTTTTCAGTCTTTTCTATTGGAACCTGGTGTGATCCGTCTTTCTCCAACAGGAGATGCATGGCGACTTCGGCGTTTTCAACGACGGCTATCCTGAGTAAGTGTTACTCCTGCGTAAATCTTACATGTGTCTGATGTTCCTCTCGTAGTGATCACGATGATGATTCTGACTACTGATTTATCATTCTGAATTTTGTACTACTACTCTTCTCAGGTTCAAGTGTCTCCCCAAAGGCTAGAATTGTGCCATTTGTATGTAAACGAACGGTGTTTGGTAAAAAGATAGTTAGCAAAGGAATCAACATGTCACATCATTTGGTTCATTTCCCTCTGGTACACGTTGCACACAGGACAGCACGATATCGTCCATTAAAAAAACTACATGTTTTATGGGCCAACTGCCTAATTAAGGGAGACTAACAGTAACTATGGGTTTTGTAAGTCATACTTAAGCTCACTCGTTACACCCCCTGATTGGCGGATCGTTCGCCCTGAAACTCCTCCTTTACATAACCTAGTACTAGCCCAGAGTCTCGTAACCCGATCATCGCGGTCATGTTCTAACCACAAACGTGATCTCGGGCCCGGCGTCATCTTACCGGAAGTATATAAAAGATCTCAACCAGATTCTCAGAACGTGTCATATCTTAGCTAAAACACTGAAGCGGTTGGTGGTCAAGCATGCACTACAAGTCACTCTTCCCTGACCTGCCAAAGGTCCCAGAATCAAACGTTCACCACCTGCTCTTCAACCGGCCTGACCAGAAAGAGTGGCCAGATTACACTTTGTTCGTGAATGCGGCTACTGGGCAGCAACGTTCGTTCCGGGAGTTTATCGAGCGTGTCCGCGATGGGGCAACTGCACTAGGCGCTGATGTAGCACATGGTGGCCTTGGTCTTCGTCCAGAAAATGGAGAGCTTGTGGGCATACTAAGCGAGAACTGTCCGGTGCGTTCCATACCCATTGTGCGGTTGAGACTTTATAAACATGATTTTTTCAGGATTATGTCGCGCTGATGCATTCGCTACTAGCTATCACGGTTCCATTTGCGCTATTCCCATCCGCCTTAACGCAGTACGAGTTCAAACACGCCAATTCACTCGCGCAGGCCACCAGGATCTTCGCTAGTCCCTCGTTACTGCTACTCGCTTTGTCCTCGGGTCTCCCAGCAGATCGGATCCACATCCTAGAAGGAGATAATGAAGGTTACACAAGCTATGATCAGCTCGTCGCCTCTGCTCGCAATAATAGCATTCCGCGGCTGCCAGTCCGTCATGCTACCAAGGACACTTTGGCTTACCTGATCTATTCTAGTGGAACAAACGGTCCCCCTAAAGGCACGCATTTCTTTATCTGCAAAGACATGGACGTGACGTTATCTGACGTCATTATACAGCCGTCATGATATCCCACGGAAACATCACTGGTGCCGCTCTCGGAGCGATGTCAAGCGGTAAGGAACAGGCTAAAGTTCGACCTGTAGGTCTGCCCTACGCTACTTTCTTGGTTCTCCTAACCCCTTCGCCAGCCAACAGTATGGAACACCCCTAATGGGCTTCAGGTAACATTCATCGTCCTTCCAGTCTATCACTCTCTCGGCCTCTGCACGATCAGTTTCCTCAGTTTCCTCAAGGCTTCCACAATTGTCATGCTCCCGAAGTGGAGCGTCGATTTATTCTTCGATAGCATTACAAAGTAAGTGCATACCAAGTGCATCTGGTATATGTATGCCACAGTACTACTGGTATTCATGCTTGAGCCGCGATGTAGATACCACGTCACGACCCTGTACCTCGTCCCCTCACTTATACACCAGCTCGTCTACCATCCACGCTTCAAAACTGCCGATATGAGCTTGGTCAAGTCAGTCGCCAGCGGTGCCGCATACCTCCCGCCCCAGCTTGCCGACCAGGTTTACGCCCGCTTCCCAGACATGGAAAGATTCGCAGAAGGTGCGTTCCCCACTCATTGTGCGTAGATTCCTGGTGCTACTGTTACCACAGGCTATGGTCTATCCGAATTCGTAAGTGACTCTCCACACCTTCCGACCCCCTGACCTCATTGCTCGAGGTAGACAATGACCGTCGCCATGAAGCCCATCCCTGGCCAACTCGATGGACGCGCCAAGCCCAAGCCAGGCTCTGCTGGAATTCTATACCCCAGTGTCGAAGCCCGCATTGTCCGTGCTGACGGGTCCCTTGCAGGTCCGAACGAGCCAGGTGAGCTCCACGTCCGCGGACCCACTGCGGCGCTGGGATACAGGGGAAACGAGCAGGCCACGCGGGAAACGTTTGTCGATGGGTGGGTACTCACAGGCGACCAGATGCGGATCGATGAGGACGGGGTGCTTTTGTGAGTTGGTCTCATTAGTATGGTATGCCTTCCGCCATACTAAGCTTGCAATTATAGCTTCGAGGACCGTACGAAGGCGAGCTTGCACCATCCCCCTATCACCTATTTGTGTTGTACTTACCATTCATTGCAGGACACCCTCAAAATCTCAGGGATGCAAGTCTCTCCCTTCGAAATCGAGAACACGCTCCTCGAGCAGCCGGACAAGCTAATCACCGATGTGAGCGTCGCAGGTGTTTCTGGCGGGCGTACCTCGGACGAACGCATCCCACGCGCATGGGTCGTGTTATCCTCGGCAGGCGCAGCGCTTGGTGAGAAAGAAGTTGTGGCACGGCTCAATGGGTGGGTGAAGGAGCGGCTGAGTCGGCATAAGTGGTTGAGGGGAGGTATTGGAATTGTGGAGACGGTAGGTTTTTATTTCATGTTGGTGGCGGGTTGATTGAGCTCTTGGGTAGATTCCAAAGTCACCGACTGGGAAGGTGTTGAGGCGGGTGTTGGTGGAGGAGTATGAAAGGGAGGTTAAGGCGAAATTGTGAGGACGCGTCATAAATGCATGTAGGTATCGCGTATCTGTCTTTATACCTCCGCCCGATGTCTTATCATCGTGCGACTTACTTTCGTGTTCTATACCATTACTAATGACTATGCCTTTATTGTTGGACAAGTGGCCAGTTGCCCGCCTTCAAGCTTCAGGATTCTAACCATTCCATCCAGTAATTGTAGTCTCCTACTAATAAGTGTTTTAGTTATGTACATGCTACCAAAATAACCGTAGCGCCCCCGTGCGGTGGAAGAGACCAAAGTACATGATATCCACCACATAGTCTTGTAGTCTGCCACTTAGCTGCAGAAAAGTTGGAGAATGCATTTCGTACGCCAAGAACGCAAGGCACCGTGTGATCTCCTACGTCCAGCGTCTCGGTGGATCGTCTATCGCAACTGGCCCACGGTGAACATCAAGTATCCGTATCGACTCGGCCTCGTTCCTCGGCCAGCCATCATGGTCACCGCGACGACAGCCTGAGTGTTATCCGGTGTAACGGCAATCAAATAAGGAACGGTCAGGTTCCTAGAATAGATAAACAGCACTCAAGCTCTGGTTCTCGAATCTCAGCAAGGCCCGAAGTGGATTATCTTCTTGAGAGCAAGTGATTGCCGCTGCGTGGCATAACACGATAGGCGTTTCGGATATTTTCGTTCGCACTTGGGAGGTTATCAAGCGCTTAGCAGTCGCCACTTCCCGAGTTGGCGGCTCGAGGTGCCGACAAACCTGCAGTTGAAGATACTTTGCAAAGTCGTGTGGAAAGATGAGCTTACGTTGCTGCCAGTGCTAGACCAGTTCCGCAACGAATCCGACGTTTAAAGGAAGTTGAAGTTCGAGAATTTTCGAAGCAGGTGAACTCGATAACTTGATCGGTCGTGTCTTGAGTTGCAGAATGTATCGATCTTCCATAACCTAGTGCAATACCGAATGTTACCACAACGCTGTAAGATATAACAATGAGCTCGACCAAAAAACCTTATGGGGCGAGGAAGTCTTCGGTATCGCCATCTTGGTTCTTCAGACACATTTTGTTCATCCACTGGCACCGGATAGCGGTCCGATATGGAGATCTCAACTAAGTGCCGCTATCAAAATATCCAATTGGGTGTATGGTCACTGCAGAAATGTAATATCGTGTCTTTTGCGATGAAGTCTACAAGACGTGCGGGAAAGGACCCGAAGGGTATGCAGACTATGGCGGGATGGCGGGAAAAGCACATGCAAGAAAAGAATCAAAGGCGGAGAGCGCTCATGCTTCATGACAGACTCGAATTTGTATTTGTGTGCGAATGAAGTCGAGGAGTTCAATGACATTCATACCCCATGATGACGCAGTTTAATGGTAGGAGATGGAGCAGATGGAGTACAGATGCCATCACGATGGGCTTGAAGTTTGCGCAAGCTGGCACGCGAGAACCACGCAGGACGCACGCGGGCGGACGACACAAAGTATGATTATATGTCGTGGAATACCACTTGCTATAACTTAGCGACAAACTCGTGTCAGAAAGTGATAGAACAGAGTTCAGCACATCGAGTGAATTATTTAACGTGCGTCGCCGCCGTCATGCAGCCAACGCATCAGTAAAATCCCCAATTGCAGCAGCCCAACTGTAAGGCACTCGAACCATGTAGCGAGAACACAGACGCGTGCGAGCTATGACACAATACGCCAGCGGGGTACTATTACTATTCTTAGTTCTGTTACAGCCCGAGTGAGTACGTACAACCAGCGGCACTGATATTTCCGAGCGGAATCAACTGCGATTCATCATTCTAACTAAATATTCTAATCACATGTACGATTTCGGCATCATCTCACCGTAAGTAGGTATAAAAGGCCTCAATAATATTCACATACTCTCAACCAAATCACTGCAGCGGGTCCAGAACGGGTGGTCAAGCATGTACTACAAGTCACTCTACCCTGACCTGCCAAAGGTCCCAGAATCAAACGCTCACCACCTGCTCTTCAACCGACCTGACCAGAAAGAGTGGCCAGATTACACTTTGTTCATAAATGTGGCTACTGGTCAGCAACGTTCGTTCCGAGAATTTATCGAGCGTGTCCGTGATGGGGCAACTGCGCTGGGTGCTGATGTGGCACACGGTGGTCTTGGTCTTCGCCCAGAGAATGGAGAGCTCGTAGGCATACTAAGCGAGAACTGCCCGGTGCGTCCCATACCTATCATTCGGTCGAGACTGTGAAGTGATCCTTACACTTTTCAGGATTATGTTGCGCTGATGCATTCGCTACTAGTTATCACAGTCCCGTTTGCGCTATTCCCATCCTCCATGACGCAGTACGAGTTCAAACACGCCAATTCACTCGCGCAGGCGACTAGGATTTTTGCTAGTCCCTCGTTACTGCCACTCGCTTTGTCCTCAGGTCTCCCAGCAGATCGGATCCACATCCTAGAAGGAGATAATGAAGGTTACACGAGCTATGATCAGCTCGTCGCCTCTGCTCGCAATGATAAAATATCACGGCTGCCAGTCCGTCATGCTACCAAGGACACTTTGGCTTACCTGATCTATTCCAGTGGAACAAACGGTCCTCCCAAAGGCAAGTAGCTTTTTTCCTGCTCTTAACCATATGGATGCACCGTCTGCGCACGTTGTCTGACTCCGTTGTACAGCCGTCATGACATCTCACGGAAATATCATTTCCGTCGCTCTCGCAACGATGGTGAGCGGTATGGAAACGGCTAAAACTCGAGGTGTAGGTCTGTCCGACGCTACTTCTTTTGGTTCCCCTAACCCCTTCGCCAGCGAATGGTATGGAACACCCCCACTGGGCTTCGGGTAACCTTCAACATCCTTCCAGTCTATCACACTCTCGGCCTATGCACGACCACTTTCATCAACTTCCTCGAACCTGCCACGATTGTCATGCTCCCGAAGTGGAACATCGATTTATTCTTCGACAGTATCTCAAAGTAAGTGCGCACCAAGTGCATTTGGTACATGTATGCTACAGTACTACTGATATTCATGCTGGCGCCGCGATGTAGATACCACGTCACGACCATCTACCTCGTCCCCTCACTTATACACCAGCTCGTCCACCATCCACGCTTCAAAACCTGCCGATATGAGCTCGGTTCAGACCCTCGCCAGCGGTGCCGCATACCTCCCGCCTCAGCTCGCCGACCAGGTTTCCGCGCGCTTCCCAGGCCAGGAAAGATTCACCGAAGGTGCGTTCTTCACACATCATGCGTAGATCCCTGGTGCTACTGTTACCTTTGGCAGGCTACGGCCTATCTGAATTCGTAAGTGATTCTCCACACCTTCCGACCCATCGACCTCATTGGCCGAGGTAGACAATGACCGCCGCCATGAAGCCCGTCCCTGGCCTGCTCAATGGACGCGCCAAGAACAAGCCTGGCTCTATCGGAATTCTCTACCCCGGTGTCGAAGCCCGCATTGTCCGTCCTGATGGGTCCCTTGCGGGTCTGAACGAGCCAGGTGAGATCCTCGTCCGCGGAGCCACCGTGGCGCTGGGATACAAGGGAAACGACAAGGCCACACGGGAAACGTTTATCGATGGGTGGTTACGCACGGGCGACCAGATGCGGATTGATGAGGACGGGGTGCTTTTGTGAGTTGGTCGCATGAATATGGCATGGCCTCCATACTAAACTGGCAATATATAGCTTCGAGGACCGTACCAAGGCAAATTGCACCATCCACCCACCACTTATTTTGTGTTGTACTTACCATTCATTGCAGGACACCCTCAAAATTTCAGGAATGCAAGTCTCCCCTGTCGAAATCGAGAACACGCTCCTCGAGCAGCCGGACAAGCTAATCATCGATGCGAGCGTCGCGGGCGTTTCTGGCGGGCGTACCTCGGACGAACGCATCCCGCGTGCATGGATTGTGCTATCCCCGGCAGGCGCAGCGCTTGGTGAAAAAGAAGTTGTGGCACGGCTCAATGGGTGGGTGAAGGAGCGACTGAGTCGGTATAAGTGGTTAAGGGGGGGCATTGGAATTGTGGAGATGGTAGGTTTTTATTTCATGTTGGGGGCGGGTTGATTGAGCTCTTGGGTAGATTCCAAAGTCACCGACTGGGAAGGTGTTGAGGCGGGTATTGATGGAGGAGTATGAAAGGGAGGTTAAGGCGAAGGCGAAACTGTGAAGATGCATCATAAATGCATTAGATCTCGTATATCTGTCTCGATACCCTCACCGTATTATCATTGTACTATTTGCTGTCGTGTTCTGTACCAAAACCAATGACTGTTCTTGAGATTGTGGAAAGCGCCCAAATAATAGTTGTAATACTTGCAATTGTATACTGCTCTAAATTTGCAGCGACTTGGCATTAGAAGTACTTACAACGCGACGTACATATTGCTACGATTGATGCATATGGATGATTCAGTTGTAAGTTGCTTTATACCATGCGAACTACAAAGTGCAGGAGAACCAGTTCCGTCACCATGGAAGGTGGACGACCAAAGTCACTCCAAAGTCCTTACGATGACAATGCAGGTGCAACGTTACTTGAATTTACGCTTTGCGAGTATCAACGCGCTCCGGAGTTACTGAGTCGATCATATGCATGCTGTGAAGGACGAGTGGAGCTCAGTGCGAGACGCATGCGGCTGTGGCCAATCAAAGACTGTCGACTGCCACAGGACGTACGAGTGTAGATGGGTTGGGTTTTGTGCCTGGCAGGTGGATGTACCAGTGGGACGATAGGAATCTCGTGTAGCTTTGTGAAGTCGAGCATCTTCGTCAAGACAATTGGGATGCAGGATGTCTGTAATTCTTTTTATTATTTGTCAATAGCGGAGTGACTACAACTTGGATCGAGGATGGGACCTGCGCGTCAAGCGTTTAGTTTTCAAATTTCAAAGATGGAGGGTAGAAATCAGGACAAGAACAAATAAATTACAACGGCGACGCACATGAACTGTTGTGGCACGTACTACGTACATAGCATGTAGCAAGGCATACCCATTGAAAAAATATCATCATAGTAAAAGGACACCTGCTATCCTCAAGTCAAGAAAGACCAATGATCATCACATTCCGTTTGCTAAGGACTAGACATGGTCAACGGACCATGCCAGGATCAATAGCAAAGAGAAGACGAGATCGCATAAAAGGGAATCCCCCGACGACACAAGCCAATAGTGCAGTAGCAAGGTCATCATGCTCTCCGAGTTGCAAGCAGAGCTCGTAGAAACAAGGGCGGCAAAAATTTGATAACCAAAGAATGAGGGCGGTGCCCTCATAATAGTGGTTAAACTATTAAGAACAGATACTACACTTGATCTAAGCCAAAAGGCCAGAGTGGTGAGGATTCAATTTGGAGAGAGAGCCCTTTTATATGAATAGGATGTGTGCACGGGCCAGACTGGATTAGGCAAGTCATGAAGTTGGAAATTCAACAAGACTAAATAATAAGCTGTCCAGACGCAAGTTCTGATGTATTTCATTTCAGGTTGCTACACATACAAGGGTTCCCAGACTACAAGAAATCATCTCCTTGAAATGAACTTCTCGCCCAGTGAGCGAGCGCGCATCCCGCAGCACCAATAAGGAATGACCAGTCAAACAAGCCACCGAACAGCGAGTACTCCGGCAGCGTCGTAAACAAGTTCCTGATATCATCGGAGGGACTTTGAGGACTTTGAGAATCATCTGGTACAGGGGATGCTGTGGGTGGAAAGGTCGTGCGAAGCTGGACAAGAGTTGACAGGAGATATATGCCCTAAGCACCCGTTCAGTCACACGAGAAACGTAAAGAATAATTCGTTAATACCATGAGTTGCGCAAGGGTCAAAAGCATCAGTGATGCTGATGTTTTACGAGATGTGACACGGAATGTCTGGGGGACGTTAAGTCGTCGAAAGGGATACTCAAGAGGAAGCTCACTCTTGTGACACCACGGAGCACCAAGCGGAGGGAACACAAAATGATGACGCCCACAAGGGAAAGACTGATTTGTTTTGATAGAGATGGAATATCAAAGTATAGCTTTCCACCTTCATCCCCTGTCACAGACAAGGGGAGGAGAGAAAACAGCCATGCAAGTATGTGCGCAACTATATCCCCGTATGATGCGGAAGAGGGACCCGAGTTTGACACAGACGGAGAGAGAATGTTGAAGGCTGACTGGAATAGACGTCAGTGAGAATTTCCTAAGTTGAGGGGAAGTCCATTTACACTAAACACTCGGCAGACGCAGTAAACTGCCCATGACAACGTGATCGTCTTGCCCGTGAACGACTCTGCGTACTCTGCTGCAATTCTGTTGCGCTTGAGAGCAACAACACGAATGCTCATCTGCTCTTCAAGGGCTTGAAGACCGATAACTTCCTGCTGGATTGAGTTGTGTTCTTACAAAGAGTTGACGATATGAATACAGGTTCGGATAAAACAGACAAACCACACGTACGTCCATTTCGCTTGAACGACATGCGTGACAACCATGATCCATCTGGTTGTGGCTATAAAATATTTGAGACAAAGTGCGGCGACTTATGCTGGCTCACAGTACCTTCGAGCTTGCATAGTCATCCAAGTCTCGCGAACGATCCCGCAGATCGTTCTTCACTCGTTCAAGCGCGTTTTCAGCGGATGAAATTGATGACGCCGATGGAATTGATCTTTGCAAGTTGAATACTAGTGTAAATCAGTTGAAAGTCCACTCACCGAGACCAGCTGGTGATGCCCCATGCACCACTAACTGCACCAAGCCCGGAAAGTAGGCCGAGGACCATAGTTCCCAACGTGACCAGCCGCGCTGTGACTGCTGTTAGCGGGCTGTGCGAGAGTAGCTCGGTGGGGAGTGGAATATATGAAAGGGCAAAAATAAAAAGCGCTACAGGTGCTAATGCAAAAGCAACACGGATTGGCAATGCACGGGATTGCACAAAACTGGGATTATCTGGAGATGATCAGAAGACTGTTGGATAGACATGAGAATCCGGCATCTTACCAGAACGGTACGTTAGGATGAGGCTAAATGATATAGGGACGAGTAAAAGAATCGTAACTAATAGAAGGAGAAGTCCTATTCGCCAGCTAAAATGGCGAACTCTGTTTCCCATGCAGACTCAGTTACCGCCGAGCTTGCACAATCGAGCCACGACACACCTTAGGTCCAACAAATCCAAACCCTGGCACATGAGCATGCTGAATAGGATACTGCACTCAGAGAAGCAGAGTGAGAAACACGTCTGCGCGAGTGTTGAATGCCATGGTTGGGTGCTACTTGATTGCGGAGTGACTGCGGACGCTGGCAACGTGTCTTGCGGGGCGAGTTGTTGAAGGTCCTTGTACAACTTCTTTTGCAAAAAGATGCGACAAGTAATGAACAGGGATCCTCTGCAAAAATATAAGTGAGAAATCTGCTCAGACGATTTAGATAAAGGAATTACCCTGATGCAATGACCAGGAATGCTTCTGTTGCGGTCATGGAAGGAGAATGAGAAGTATAACCCTAACCCAACTCTAGGGTTTACTGATGATAGTAACGTCACGTCGTCACGTCATACATCCACGTGAACAACCTTGCAGCTCGGGTGCTGCGAACGACCACGACAGCAACGACCGCACGAACGACATGAATGAGCCCAAAAAATCCGACCCTACAACTCAAGTAGTCCATGAGCAAGCTACCGCGACAAATATATCTTATACTCAACCGTCACTTGAACCAGTGGTATGTAATTACTAGTTCACTCCCGCAGACTCCAACTAACGGTCACACAGGCAGAAATAATCTCAGCAGCACAGCGCGGGGATCTCACCACCATTCGTGAGCTCGTAGAGTCAGGGAAATGCAAGGTTACAGATAGAGACGACCAGAATGTGTAAGCTGAACTCACCAGCGCTTTCTCCATACTCATGGATGTCCGCAGCACACCTCTTCACTGGGCAGCGATTAATGCCCAGCTTGCAACCTGCCGCTATCTCATAGAACAGGGTGCGGAAATAGATGCAATAGGGGGTGACCTACAAGCTACTCCTCTGCAGTGGGCCGCACGCAATGGATACCTCTACATCGTGCAACTGCTCATATCCCACAATGCTGATCCAACCATCTCTGACACCCAAGGCTACAACTCCCTTCACCTCGTGACACACTCGTCATCCGTAATGCCACTCCTTTACTTACTGCATCAACCTGTGAACGTCGATTCTCGTGATTCACAAGGTCATACATCATTGATGTGGGCTGCGTATCAGGGCGACGCATTGTCCGTGGACCTTCTGCTTAAGCACGGCGCAAACCCTAATTTGAAAGATGATGCTGGACTTACCCCCTTACATTGGGCCGTGGTTCGAGGAAATCGAGTTATCCTCCGCCGCCTCATTGAGATGGGCGCAGACATGCACGCGAAAGATCTTGAGGGTCGTACACCAAGAGAGATGGCCGTCGAATTAAAGAGCCTAGGCGCGTGGAAGAGAGCCATGGAAGAGGGTGGCCTGACGGAACATGGTGTGGTCAAAGCTAAACCATTGAACGAGGTCCGTTCACGCCCTTTTAATTTCCCTTGTTAATTTCTGATCTGGCTCTAGCGCAATACCAAAATTGCTATCTTCATTTTGCCCTCCCTGTTTCTATATTTCATCTTCACAACGCTTGCTATTCTTCCATGGTATACCGGCATCATACTCGCCATGGCTGAGTTCTTTGCCATGCATCACGTAAGTAGCAACGACTCACCTCGACCATGCGATGCTCATGAAAAGCAGATCGTGACTCGGGTACTATTGAATAAGAACACATACGTTGGAACAGTGAACCAAAGCCCATATTTCGCAGGCATCATCGCAGGGTCGATGCTATGGGTTGGTTACTGCTGGATCACGCGGCTCGTGCAACGTATGTTATATGCTACACTTTGGAAGCCGCGTGCTGACATCATTCCAGAGACAGAATCACACGCTTTTGTCCACCTGGCTTTCGCAATCACCTTTGGTTTATGTTTATATAATTTCTTCCGTTCCATTACTTTAGATCCAGGTCTTTGTCCCCGACCGGCACATGACGGAGAGTTGAAGGCAGTGAGTCTAGTAGTATTCTAGAATGAATCACCAGATGCTAACGGAGGCTGCAGATCATTGAGGACCTTGCTTCAGAGGGCAGACTCAATGGTCAGACATTCTGCATACAATGCATGGTGGGTGTTACTCTTGTAAGGTGCAAATGTATCTCAACATTCTACACAGGCAAAGAAACCGCTACGGTCAAAACATTGTCGTGTTTGTGATCGATGTGTGGCGCGCAGTGACCAGTATGTCTTGTCCTTTCTTAGAGAGCTACAACAGTGAACTCCGTCTGTCATAGTCATTGCCCTTGGGTCTGGAACTGCGGTAAGTTAGGCCCTTTGAATACTGGCACTACAAACCTAATACAATTTGTAGTGGGGGCAAATAACCACAGGCAATTTTTACTCTTTGTCTCGACACTAGTCATTGACATTGTGTTGTTTGATTACCTCGTTTATGAATGTATGTTCTCGATCGTCACCATTGCCATAAAATCTTATCTGAGTGTGGCAGTTTTCTCGTCGGTACCACCACCCGAATCTGTCGACTGCTCCGCAATCCTCTGCGGGCCGGCCTTGAAGGATGCCTTCCTTCTTTGCGTCTCGCTATGGTCAGCCCTGCAACTGACATGGACTTCCGTCCTTCTCGTGACGCAGTACTGGCAAGTGACTCGACAGCTAACAACGTTCGAGGTTTCGAATCTCGGGCGTTTCGGCTTCATGGGCGGTCGCGGTACCCTCGCTTCTGGCAGTGGAGGTGCTGGCGTCCAGATGGGACACCGCCACCACCATGGCGCTCACCAACAGAACGGCGACGCTGACTGCGAAGCGGAGGGAAGTGCTCACAAACCCGCACATAACCACACTTTCTGCGGGTCCCTCACCGCACCCGGAACATGTACTGCCTTCCTGCTCAACCTGCTCGGCCTCGACCGCTTTACGCGTGGACGTGCCGCACGTGGTCTCACCTCGCGTACACGCAATCCCTTTGATTCCGGAGCCGTACGGAACTGCAGAGATTTCTGGACTATGGGCAAGGAACTTGGTGTGGAGTATGGTCAGGTGTATGATGTTCCCTTGGAAGGCTTTGAGGAGGCTAAAAGACGGAGGGAAGCGGAACGGGGCGATGATCATGAAAGCCCGAACAACAGCAGGAGCAAGAGTCTGCTTGGCAAGCTCAGCATGCGGATGGGTATGGGCTCCAGTCGGAGAGGCTATGAACCTTTGAACCAGGTCTAGCGTATGTAGTTCCTTTATGACGATAAGACTATTTAATCCATTTATTGTACAAGTGGATATTGCACTGCTACGAGTACAGTACCTTTAGCATAAGTATCTTGAGCTGCAGGGGCTAGTAATGGCCTATGTCAACTGTTGAACTGCCGGCCGCCAGTTGGCAGGGCCGCCAGAGCGCGGCTCGAGTCAATGGTTGTCTTTTGGGAGACATTCCGTGAACTACAGGCATCATGATAAAGTATTGACGGGAGTATTTGCAAATCCGCTTTTGACGTTAGTCCACGCTAACTATTACCATTCCTTGACCGATCCCTAATTTCTTCCAAGGTCATCTCATTCACTCCTATCTTGCCAAGTTTCAGAACCTTCTGGGGCTTTTGAGCAATGCACCTATTCCATCGACAACTAACCATTTATTGATACGGGCTTGGAGGAAGAGGAAGAGGCCCAGCGGTCCGGTTGCTACACAACCACCTTTGACATGTCAAAGACTCTTCGTCTCATTAATGCATCCGCTGCTGGGAGTCTCACACCCGCGAGATAATGGACAATAAGGGCATGAGCGTTCACCTGGAGGAGGTGTCAAGAAGAAGTTTGTAGGTGATGTCCGACGTCAAGCCGAAGGAAGATGTTTGTATGGTAATGTCTGTTTCAGTTGTATACCCATGCTCACTCTTATCCGCACGATGACGAACTATAAGGCAGTAAGTGGAATTATTTTAGGGTCTCGCTGAATCACGACACACAAATTCCGAATGAAATAGCAGGATACTGATTTCCGCATGTCACGGTCGCGGTTATTTATTCTTGAACATTGCTATTTCGGTTACATCACGGGCAAGGTGCTCACGAGGTGAGGCCAATGTTCCGACGTCAAGTGCATGCATCTTTATCGGGGCTGCACTATGCTATGGGCAGGGGCCCGCGATGGCCGATGATCAAGAGCAGCATGATGCATGAGACATGTATTCGGACCCAGAGTATACGTCTATAGGCAGAACATCTCCAAGCAGCGCCAACAACAAAACACACGTTCCTTCTTCTCGCTGAAGCTGAGTGAACGTACTTTGCCTATTAATACTGAAGGGACCTGTTGACAGTTGAGTTATTACGGGTCAGGAGCGCGCTCAAAGGAAGCTTGACAACCTCGTCAATTCCTGCCGACCGCTTATGCAGAACAAATGACTGCCCCTACCAGACCGCTGAATTAAATTTATCGCCTGGGAGTACGGGTATTCTCACCTGGAGTCAATGTTCAGGTATTTAACATGACCCATCGCAGGCTCCAAAGACAGTCCACCAGTTCAGCATGAGTCTATTGAAGATCCCCTTTCTCGTAGCTTCCGCCGTCGGCGTCCAAATTTCGTTGACTTCTTCTTCTCGACCACCGTCATCTGAAGAGAAGGTGGTGCCCACCAAGTTCGAATCGTTCCTCAGATGGGTTCTGGCACTTCGCGGTCTAGAGTTTATGAAGGTGTGTTGTTCTTATACAATCTGTATGGATCTGTTGACAATATAACAGATCGCCGTATGGGCAGCATCGTCTGCTGAAGTGGCCAATATTCTTGCCATGAATATAGCTCCCTCGCAGTTTCCGGAGGGCATCTATGGTGCTAGAATTTTGCAGCTTCTGCGCTCCGTTCACCCCACGCCAGTCACCCCCGTCTTCCTTGCCAGCAGTCTTGCTGTCACAATTGGGGGCGCGTTGAGGCTTTATTGTGTGTTGACGCTAGGAAAGCTTTGGAGCTTCCAACTTAGCGTCAGAAATGAGCACAAACTTGTGACAAGTGGGCCGTACTCTGTCGTTCGCCACCCAAGCTACACTGGCCTCCTTCTCCAATCCGTCGGGATCATCGCCATGTACGGAAGCCCGGAGTCGTGGATGAGGCAGTCTGGGATTCTACAAGTGCCTTTTGTTAAAGTACTAGCGGCGATTACCTTCTTTTTATTTACAGTAAGTGTTTGGATTGCCATCAGCCGACCTTCGGTGGAGGACAAGATGCTCCAACATGCTCTGGGAGAAGAATGGGAGAATTGGGCGAAGAAGGTGAAATATCGTTTACTTCCTGGTGTTTATTGATTACATCTAAGTATACTGGGCGTTCTGCAGTGTACTAGTTTACTTCTTGTACAATGTACCACATGACAGGTATTGATTATATGTTGTACATCACAGTTACTCACTGTGCACTTGTTATCAATTACGAAACAGACTCAGAACCGTTTGCTTTCGCCTTGTTGTACTTGTACTGAATAAGAGTGCGGAACGGCGAGCAGACACCTGTGGGCTAGCTATACTATTTAATACTAGTATGTTGGTGTGTCGAGCGCACGCCGCAGAGCCCCGATCGCGAGGCTGACCAGCTGAGTAAGTATTTGATGCATAGTACATGATTTTGAAAGCACTGGATGGTTGAACACCCTCAAATTGAAGGGAAGTTTGACAGACCCTGTCCGAGTCAATCCCCCAGACCGCTTAAGTATGTAGAACAAGACAGTGGACACGCCACAAGAAACATGTTTCAGATTTATCGCCCGGAAACATGCGCTGTCTCGCCTGTAGTGTCAAAGTCCAGGTATTTAACGTGACCCATCGCAGGTTCAAAAATCAGTTCAGCGGTGCACCATGAGTCTATTGAAAATCCCCTTCATCGTAGCTTCGGCCATTGGTATCCACATTTCTTTGACTTCTCCTTCTCGGTCACCGTCATCCGAAGAGAAGGTAGCTTCCCTCGGTGTTCGAATCTTTCGCAAAATGGGTTCTGGAACTTCACGGTGTAGATTTAATAAAGGTGTGTTGTTTCTATACTCTGGTTGTTGTCTATGGAATCGTGGTCAATATCACAGATCAGCGCATGGACAGCATCGTCTGCTGAAGTGGTCAGCATCATTGCCACGCATATAGATCCCCTCGCAGATTCCAGAGGTAATATATGGCGCCAGAGCTATGCAGCTTGTGCGCGCTCTTCACCCCACGCCAATTACCCCCGCTTTCCTTGCCGGCAGTCTTGCTGTCACGATTGGCGGAGTGTTGAGGCTTTATTGCATATCGACGTTAGGAAAGTTTTGGAGCTTCCAACTCAGCATCAGAAACAAGCACAGACTTGTGACCAGTGGACCGTACTCGGTCGTCCGCCACCCAAGCTACACTGGTCTCCTTCTCCAATATATTGGGATCATCATCATGTACGGAAACCAAGGGTCCTGGATGAGGCAGTCTGGGATTCTACAAGTGCCTTCCATTGAAGCATTAGCAGCGATTAGCTTCTTCTTGTGTACTGTAGGCGCTTGGGCTTCCATCAGCCGACCGTCAGTGGAGGACGAGATGCTCCAGCGTGCTCTGGGAGAAGAATGGGAGACTTGGGCGAGGAGGGTCAGATACCGATTGCTTCCCGGGATTTATTAATGACATACATACTCTCATAGCGCTCTTTGCGGGCTTGTTGTCTTCGCGTACCATACAACAGGAATTCGTGTTCCATTGAGTTGATTGTATGTTGTGCGTCACACACCGAAACCGTCATGGTGGTTACCCTTGGCAGGTAATTTTCGTCGAAGAATTCAACTTATTTCTGTTATCAATTCACCAGCATCGCTCTGAAGCAGCATAAAAGGCAGACTGACTTCGGTTGCTTTCCCCTGGTCGTACATCAAATACATTGCGAAGAGCGCAACCAAATGGCGGGAAAATACTCGTGGGCGTAGTGCTGATAAGCATATCATATGCAAGCCCGAGACCCGGGGGGAAGCACGGCCAAAATAAGACGAAATCAAGGACGAGAGGGCAGGGGACTAACTAATTCAACGAACCACACAGATGTTTCACTAGCCTATAATGAGGGGGACTGCTACCCCCCTGCGGTGCATAGGACTCCGAACAGAGTCTGGGCAGCCAGATGGAGGTCCTGCCAAAGAAGTCCTCGCATAGTGCAATCACCGGCAAGAAATTCAGCGAGAAGGGAAGACTCTTGGGGGAGGGGTTCAGTGGGGGAGAAATCTGAGAGTCAGAAAAGGAGCAGCCGATAAATAGCAAAGCACCCAAGCGTGGCGACCACTGGAACAGTCTCGATAAACGAAAAAAACTATGTTCGGTTGTCAAAATTAAATCGGTGGGTCATTCAGTCACAATCGACTTTGTGCAAGAGACATACCTGCGAAGGCATGTGTTTCCTCAGTGGGAACTTCCCTAAGGTGATTCACGTTGGTGTTGTTTCCAACAAGCATGATGGGAATATTCGGGTCTACGTCATCCCGGAGCTTTTTCGACCACCGCGTTACATTGACGTACGTGGCATGTTTGGCGATGTCCTAGCAAGAGCCCACCGACGGCACCACGGTAGTACCTGCGAAAACGTAAGCCTAAACGATGCACAACGACCGGAGGGCGATTGCGTACGCAGAGGTGATGGCACGGTAACGCTCTTGGCCTGCAGTACCCCATATCTGTGCCTTCACCATCTTGGCATCAACATTGATCAAGCGGATCTCGAACCCGACACCAATAGTAGATTTAGACTCCAGGCTTGAACTCGTCGCCAGTGAACCGCGAGATAACTGGGAAATTTATGTGAGCGTCTACGCGTCCCTTGGTAAGTACACCATTCCTTACGATTTCTGTAGGCTACCGTGAGCTAGAAAGCGACAAACGGGGCATGAAACATGCTTACGATTTGCCAATCCCAGTGCCACAATTATGATGGGGTAATTGTAAGCACTGTGGAAACTATTGAACGAGTTGGATAACGGACCTTGAAGAGATATCATATTCGGCCATGTCGAGTTGTTGGGAGCGTTGAGTGATCAGTGAGGGGTCAATTTGATGGATAGAACGAAAAGAACGCGTAAGGATGGTTTGGAAAGCTGACTTGCCCTTTGAGGTGTCCAGCGCTGAAGTCTCATACCTGCGAAGGACTTTGCCTCCTCAGTGGGAACTGCCCTAGTAAGGTAATTCAAGTCGGGTTTCAAGCACGATCGGAATGTTTGAGTCTACGTGAACCCAGAGCTTCTTCAACGTCCCGCTGTTAACGTATATCGCACGTTTGGCAATGTCGTACACCAAAAAAGTACCAACAGCACTAGCATAATGCAGTGACATACTGGGGTGTCACGAACACAGAATACGACCCCCGATGACTGACAGGTGGTATGAGAAGACGTACCTGTGAATTAAAATATGATATCAGTGTTGGATGGATGTAGCTGCATGAACGGACTCCATAAACGCGAATACACCCCTTTTAGGATTCTGGGGCGAGGTTCCGTCCACTATTTGGAGAAATCAAAGTCATACTGAATACTTTACGCTGATTCAAAAGAGGGGGGAAACAGAGAACGACGGTATGGCATCGGCCTACGATGCGATGACAATAGTTGATTGCTCTGCAGCATGTTATGGAAAGATTGAGACTACGAAGCTGGAGCACTGCGCCGCAATGCTTCGCGTGCGGCTTCCCTCTTCGCAGCCTGCGGTGTTCACATCCACTCAAATCACGCTCAACCTTTTCCTTCCTCGCGCGTTGCCTCCGCTGGTTCAAGTGGCTCCAATCTTCCCCAACACCTACGTCAGCTGCCGTGAGTAGAGGCAGTCCTAGTAATTCTGACTTCGAGAGAAGGCGAGGGCTTAGGTGGTGGAGGGGGTGTCGTCGTCCTCTACAACCAAGTATTTCGTGGTGCGGCGAGTAATACAGCCTGCTCCTTCCGCGCAGCTTTGGTCACCGTCTTGGAGCTGATGTTCAATTTCCGCTTGCGAAAGCGTTCGCTTAGTGCAGAATTTCTCAACCTCCTTCGAATTCACTAAGTCCAGGAGCACCACTCTCTTCAAATATCTGCATTATAAAACCAAATGCGTTGACTAAGACTCATATCGGTGTCAACTCACTGTAGGGACTGTACAGGGTGCTCTGGATGGGGCGGTCGCGTAGAGGGCTGCCCTGTGAATGCACGATAGTGGGATGTTGTTTTTTCGGCACGTTGTACTCTGGCAACTCGTCTGAGATGAATTGGATCCCTGTCTGCTTCATGGCAAAATTGTAGATGTCCTTGGTCGACAACGGCGTTGTGGATGAGACAAGGGTGTTGTGCACGAGCTCATACGCAGAAGGCAAGCAATGTCGCGGCCATAGTTTTTGGCGGAATGAGGGAATGACGGCCTTGACGTTGTCCTCAAGTTGCGAAGTGACAGAGTTATGGAGGTCGGCAAAACCCGCCTGGACTGCACGCAAAGGGGTGTACGACGTACGTACTACGCTCAACTTCAGCAGACGCACGACGACTAAATATGTCGAGCACGAGGCTAATTCGAAAGCTCTTGAAACGTCTATGGCAAGTGTTGACGGCACTCACAACTTCATCTACCCAGCGGTTGCGCATTCTCGTGTCTTGCTTTCAGCGCTTTGTCGCCAACATTCACATTTTACCTGGACACAATACTGACTCAAGGTCCTCCACTGCAGACTCACGATGTGCTAGGGCTTCCTGTGCACAGGCTAACTTGCCATTGCCGCTGTACAACCGACAAATAGCTTCGGCGAGTGCAGCAAGCAGCACTCAATATGTGGTGTCATCTTCAATACCTCCGTGTGTCATGCCTGTTCCATGCATTCCCAAGCGACACGACCCGCTCCAGACTTCTTCGCTCGCAAATCTCGGTAACACAATCTCTTCCAATGCCCCCGGCATCACTCCCCATTTTGTGCCATTCGCTGCGAATGATGTTTCACGATACGATAATCGTCCTCTTGTGTACGTACAGCACTCGATCTTAATTGTGGATGGTGTTGAGGAGTCGCTCTCCAGAGATAATTCTCGCAAGTGTGATAGAATTCCAGCGTTCATGAGGAAATTCCCCAACGAGTGAGTGAATCAGGTCATATTTAAATGGGGATGACAAACTGCGCAGATCATATTCATGGTTGAATGGTGATTGGCAGTCATGTATACATCCCGAAGGCGCGCTGTATTTTTATAACGACCGCAGAGTAAGCATTCGATCACGAAGGTCATACGTGTATTGACTGGACACATTATCGTAGAAAACATTCACTGAAGCGAACATGGACGAAACTACGTTCTGCTTGATCGACGGATACGTAGATGGACTATACGACCTAGCACGCGCAGAATCAGTGAACCTCCAAATCGATGACATCGAGCTCGTTGTGCAGTTATGGCCGGCTGAACCCGAGGATGAACAAGTGTCCTGTCAATATTACTTTGTTGACCACGCTTTTCGAACTCTCTTTTGGCTTCACGACCACGATCAAGCGACAGTGAACATTTTTAGCGGGCTCCAAGCCGTCGCTGATCCGAGCCACATTCGTGCGTCGTGCTGAATTTATGACGACGCTGACGATACGAACTAGCCAGTAGGATATGCCCTGGAGTCTGAGTACTGGTATGTCACTTACAATTGTACGAGTTTCAGTCACTTCTCGCCAGTCTCGTTTTGACTCGAATGTGGTTCCAGATGCTGTATGATCATCATCGCCTGAGACGAGCAGGACGCACTGCGAACGCTACCCGAACCACCAGATGGATCGAGTCAAGCTTCTCAAGGAACTGAGGGAGGTCGTCATGCATGCGAGTGCAGGTACTTGTCGCATGTCAATAATCCTCAATTTTTTGTGAACGCGACATTCTAGAGATCATCACTTCGGATATGTCGTTGTCGCCGTTTGACGCCGATGAACTCTCCAGAATCCTGGAGCTGATCAACCATCTTAAAGGTACGAAAGTTCCCTTTCGATCCGCTCACCTAGCACAATCTAAAGTATTACAGAGAATGCCGAGGAAAATGATTTCCCTCATTCAACTTGTATCATCGGTAAGCACGGCCTATACCCATGGTTCAATATTATAAGAGTCATCATTTTACCAACAGCGAGGTTCATGCATTACTTCTGTATGTTCTTCATTCCGATGCCGTAGCTCGTGGCTCATTTTTTGGGGGGGAAGATAGAGCCAAGTTTTTCAACTTCTGTGGTCTACCCTGTGCTCGTCTCGATGCCGACAGATCTGTGTACAAGGAGGATGCTGCCGTGCGTCCACTGACCAGCAGCCTTTCTTTGGCTCTCGATGCCATGCTTTTTTGGGCTCCGCAAGCGCACTTGAAAGATATTCGAAGGGTGTGGGTTGACGAGTGCATCAACACGCCGCGGTGGAAAGACTTTAACAGTAAACTCATGGCGGAATGGACTGGGATCACGATCTACGTGCGTATAGTCAAGTCAGCAGCCCGCTTCGTAATTTGATTTGTTTTTGTTCTTACCAGTCTACCGTCATGTTGGCCGTAGATGTGAGTTTTCTTGCAGTGCCGAACGTAAACATCAGCCAGTCGCAATCGATCGGGATCGTTTCTACCTACCTTTCGATTATTTTCATCACCGGCTCGTTGATCGCCTCAGTCCTGCTCGCGCGTCAGAACCAGAGATATGGTTTTGAATCAGCCGACAAAGCGGCAAGTCATCATCATTACGTCCATTGCTGCCACGCTAACTAGTCTACTTAGGCTGAATTCCTCTCAAATTTGACGGGCACATTTTTTGGAGTGAAAGCCCTCGCAACGGTTCACAGTCTGCCATACGCAATGCTTATGTGGGGGTAGGTGGATCGATACTCTTTAATCAGGACTAATGGTCACCTTATTCTTGACCAGGATGATCTACTTTGCAATTGCCCTTCTGTACAACGTGTTCAAATCTACGACGACGGCCATGCTAGCATCAGTTGCCAGCGGGTGTGTGGTCGTCACCATGTTCATATTGTGGTTCATCTGGGCTGCGAGAGAGGTTCATGTTTTCAGGCGACTGGCTAAGCTCATTCTTTCTTCCGTGTTTGTGAAAGATACCCAACCTTAGCACTTTGGGATTTTATCACCGTCAACTTTCCATACAATGGTGTTGGCAGAAGGCTTAAGATACACTGAATCTGTTATCTCCTTAGCACTACATTTCGAGGGAGTATCTTAGTTATTACGCTCTTCGATGTGCAAGCACTAGCTAGATCAAACATATATCGAGGACAAGATCATGATGTGCATGTTTCTCATCTGTAAACTCAGAAGATTGTAATTCGTAACTCGGTGCACTACGTTTTCATCATTGATTTCTCCTTTTGATCACAATTCAGCAAAAGACATGGACAAGGATCTGTCGTGACTCCTGCGAGCCCTGATCAGCACGTACCGTACGTGATAGTGTGCAATGAGGAAACGTATAATTGGAAGGGACTTCCCACCACGCTTGTAGTACTCGCCAGCAGCATATAACGGCAAGAAGAACTCGGGCACCATCATTTTCTGGGTCTTGTCGTGCAAATCTGCGCAGGTTGCCAACTACAACTTCAGAGTCATTCTCGCACTATATGTCGACAGCAGGCAAAACTGCCGCGTGGACTGGTCGCGTGCCAGGATTAGATATCATGTATTAATTATGCGAATGCCCTGCGACGCGAGAGGGAAACCCACAAAGTGCTGCATCAAGCACGGCGGATTCATCGGCATGTGATGCGATCTCCACTGAACTATGGTAGATTCGGGCGCCAAGAAATGTAGAACAGGATGCTTACTCGCCAACAACGGCTTAGCCACAGTTGACATTGCGTCGCAGTTGGCACTGAGGATAGCCTTAAAGCCTCTATGTACCTCCTTCCAAAGTTTAGTCATACTACGCTTTTCCTTGCGGATATCCCCTCCGGTTTTTTGGGATAAAACTATCTGACAAAATATCCTGCAATCTCGAGCCTAGTGCTATTCTGCACGCGGTGCACAATGCGCTGGCAATTACTGTGCTCCCGTGGGCACAGAATATTCCCTACTGTGTCGCAGATGACGGGGGTGTGAGGGGAGGACGGATCTGTGAATTGAATCAAAACTGAACAGGACACATGAGAACGAGCTCGATAAACGCGAACGAACGAAGGCTAAGCTACATGGGATCAACCGCCAGCGCCACCAGATCTGTCAGCATGCGCTCAATGATGTGGCGGCGTGCACACACACAAACGGAAGACAAGGTGGAAACAAAACAATGCCCCGAGCCTCGCTGGCGATCCTCCAGATCACTGCGCAAAACAACAACCGGTGAGAAATCCAACCCAGCACGATCCGCAATGTACTCACCCGTTTACTATTCTGTATTCTCCAGAATAGTCAATCCATAGCCTCCCAAACGCCAACTCTAAAAAGTAAAGCGCCAGTCAATTTCAGGCATATATCACACTCCAAACCGACTCACTCGTCAAGCTTCAAGCTTCAAAACGCTCCAGACATCCAAACTCGTAATCCTCTGCGGTTTATTCTCCATCTCCGTATCCTGGTTCTCCTAAAACTGTCTCCGCGAGCTCTCCCTCCCTTGATCCCATCCTTCATAGTCATGTCTTATCTCTATTGCTGAGAGAATTTCAAGGGAGTCTTGGGACCGAATCTGTTTTGTATTCATAATTTGACAGTCGTTGTTACACCTCAATTTGAGGGCATGGTGAACGAGAAGAGAATGTACCCAAGATTCCCCAGCCCTTGCCGGGCCTCTCTCGGTCTCTTGCACATCGATGACATGTGCTACGGCGTGACAGCCGTCGTAGTATCTGTGGCAGATAGACCGGATACTTGATGGGAGCGATATTGTTCCCGCTGCATGTCAGGTTTAGCGAGAGTCTGACCAAAAGGCTGGGCGAAACGCACTGTTCTGCTCAATAGTCGGTCCGATGTTGGAGTTCAATCCAGGGAATCTCATTATACAGACAAGCTCAACCGATCGCGTACGTACGCGGTGGTGTGCACGCCTATGCGAGGTAAAATCGTTGGGGGATGCAGCGCAGCAAGCAAGGGATGCAGTAGCAGCACCTGGGGCAAATTGATGAGGAATGACATGTATGAGCTAACGTAGGTCCTCGCGAGAACATGGTTTGATTCAGGTAATGATGATGGGGAGTGGAGGTACATTGCGGAGAGGAGAGGATAAGATTTTGGCCCCTGAATGAGAGCCACCGTACCGTGCGGAATGTGGGGTCCTGGTAAATTGGGATGGGATAGTCCATGGTGTGCCTGACTTGCAGGATTGCCAATGCTGTGAGACGAAGGCCATTGGTGAGGAGGACATGGAGGAATGTGGACACCAAAGAGGCTGACTCTGAAAGGAATATAATGGAAGCGAATGAATAGAGAGGGACGCAAAGAATATGAGCAAGGCTGAAGAATGCGCTAGAGAGGAGTATTTCAGGTAATGGAAAGGGGAATGATGCTGGGTATGACGATGGGGAACTTGGTATAGGCCAGGCCAAGTCGGGAAGTAGCGCAAGGACGGTGAAGATCACTACCGCGAACAATGGCACAAAAGCATTCAACAAGACGACACGAGAGTAGGAGCCTAGGAAAGGTTACAAGAAGGGTATTTTGGCGTACGGATAGGATGAAGGAGTTGAAGCGCTGTAGGTAATGGCATGATGTGAAGACTACCAGGCCATAAAGAGGTCCAAGCAAAAAGGTAGATGTAGATATACGCACGATGAAATTTGAAAGTCTGTCGACCTCTTGTAGCTCCTCAGGCCTCTTCCAGCTTATTATAATCAACTTCTCCACGTTTCGGGCGCTCGTCCTCCAATTGACTCTCAGGGCGAATGCTACGTAGGCCATGGCCAGGCCAAGTTAGAAAAAGTGTTAGAATCGGCAAGTGCCGAGACATTACTTTTGACGAGATTCTATTTCCTCTGAGGACAAGCTCTCCCTAAGAACTGTATTTCGCTGTATTGGCGCATGGCTGAGAGCAACTTACTGCGTTGTAATACCCATCTCCCAGAAGATTAGACCCTGGTACCGGTACTTCTCATTCGTTCTTTTCTTCCTACACGATCAACACCTTGCTGGCAGGTCCATCTCTAATCGCAAACACACACACCACTCCGCCATCGCACCGTCCGAGTCCCGTCTCAATGACTTAGCTCGTTGTGCGTCGTGAGAAGCTCCTACCTCGCTGCCTGGTGACACGAATCATCATCGGCTGTCCATCCAAACCTATGATGGATGACATACTGGAGTACATTTCCACGCTTAGTTGAAGCCGTATTATATATGTGGTGAGTTGACAGTGTAGCAGTGTCACTGACGCTGCTAAGCATCTACCAGACAGTACGTGGTTGTCTTGCGAATCCTCGAAGTCATCCCCTTCCGCCCTGCCGCACATGAGGCCCACAGGAATGCTATGTACGCGGATATGCTGGTCAATCATGAGTCGCACAATTCAGAGACACAATTATCAACTCCTTCACAATTATGTCTTGTCCCTGCGTTGTGCGATAACAGATCTGTTCGAACCAATGATATAGTTTGAACCTCAGTCTTACCTACACGTTAGGAGCAGTCACCTTGGGGTCTGAGTCAACACACTGGGAAATGCAATTTAAATAGAAGTCGAGAGTAGGCGTAATACATATCGGCGAGTTATACAGTCCTATAGTCTGGAATATCATTCATTGGCCACAACTGGCGCGCAGTCATAGTAGTTGGATGCTACATGTGAAGTCGTCAGATCGTCTCAAGAAAGTCACGGTAGAGTAAGGACGCACGAAATTGATCATATGCCAATGTGCATGAACACGATGCGCTGGTCCAAGGGCAAGTCTTTCAACGACTGGACTGCTTTGTGCAGCGCTCGCGCAGCTCGTTTTGAATTCATCTTTCCGTCTCCGCAAAACTCCTTGTAGAATGCCTCGACTAAGCGTTGCACCGTGCTGTCATCAACATTCCAAAATGTACCAATCACACTCTTCACCCCAGAAAATTGTAAGCCAGCGGCCAAGTGAATCTACTTCGTCAGGAGTTCTGAAAGTCACCGACTGCGGTCTGACAAGCAGAAAGAAATGCAAATTCGTGCCGAGATAGATCCGCTGTGGCTGATATCTTGAAGTTGAAGTGGTTCGTCGCGCATGAGAAATGCTGACTTGAAGGGTTCCACCGAGTTTTGTGTCCCGTGACAGGCAAAATGGACCCAATGATTATCTCGCAATGTGAGCAGAGCGGTTGATTTCGTTGAGTCAGCGCTCGTGACTTTAGGTAAAGGAAATGGTTGGGGAAGGGGGTAGGAGGCTCTGCACCAAGTCCAGTTCCGACTCGACACATTCCAAAGGATGTTTATGTTCTGGTGGGTGGTTCTGACCGATGGCAGCGAAGGACACGAGGAGAGACTTGTCACGACGTTTGCGAGCCTTGATGAGCGCAGTAAGGGATGGAGTGTATGAAGAAACATATAGCTGCGAAAGCTGACTTTCCACCGCCCTTGTATTCGCCAGCGGCGTGCAAAGGCAGGAAGTTGAAGAGTGAAGGTTGGGCACCACCAGATTCGCGACCCTCGCTCTGCAACTCCGGCTAGATTTTCAACCACAGGGTTCACTACCTCGACCCACAGCTGTCTCAAAGTTTCCACCAGCTTTGCTTGTGTCTCCTGCTCGTTTCTCACCGTCCGTTGGAGTGCGATCACTAATTGCACCAATTTTTCTACAGTGATAGCAAGTCCTACAGTGATAGGAGGGTCCTGGTGTGAGACGATGATTGCATCGCAAAACGACTTGCTTGCGATGAGAATGATGATGGGGCCATCACGAGCAGCATCTTGAAGTTCGGAGAACAAGGGGGCGAGTAGGAAGCGGTCGAAGCCCTCGATCTTACGGATGTCATCCAGAGCTGTATTCCAGTTCTCCACTCCACGTCTGTACCTCGTAGCTTCTGCTTCTACGTCAACTCTTGACATCCCTTCTGGATGATTCGAGGGAGGTCGATCAAGAACAGAGCTGAGGTCTCGGAATTTCTTCATCAATGCCTCTGCATGAACACCACGATCCTGGAGGCTGTCAAGAGGCGTGCGGAATCGCGCCATCTGGGTCCATATGAGAGTTCTGCCTTGTTCCAGCAACTCTACAGCACGGCACACATCGCCACGACGAAGAGCGCATGATGCGGCATTAACTGCGAGCGTGCTTGGGAACTCCTTCATGATACGATGACGTGATGACACCGAAGCTGTTGCAGACATGAAAGCATCCAGAAGTTGGATGGAAGTTGCACGAGCCTCGAGGTCGGTGCCATGTGAATGTTGATCAGCATGGCGAACCCAGCTTAGACTTGTGCGCAGGCGGGCTAGCAAACCACCAGAGACAGAATTTGCTGCTACCTTGAGATGATGCATGGCGGTATTCAGATCCTCGGTGTGTTCACCAAGGCCTGATTGATAGGCCAGCAGATATACAGCGGCTAGTGACCGACGGACTCCTAGTTGTCGAGGATCATGTTGCGTTAAGAGAGTCAATGCACAGCGGAGATTCTGTAGTGACTCCTGGAGGTCTTGGTCATTGCGTCGGTGCTCGTAGCGGATGGAGAGTTCACCTGCCAGGTTATTCAATGACATGAACCGATGTGTGTGACCGACCGGGCACAAAGCCAGCGCTTCCCTGTGAAGCACGATAGCCTGATCCAAGTCTTGGTCATTGCCTCGGTGCTTGAAGCGGGTGGAGAGTTCAATTGCAAGGCTATTCAATGACATGTACCGATGTTTGTGGCCGACCGGGTACAAAGCCAGCGCTTCCTTGAGAAGTACAATAGGCTCATCCAAGTCTTGGTCATTGCCTCGGTGCTCCTTGAAGCGGGTGGACAGTCGAGCCGCAAGGTGAATCAATGACACGGACCGATCTGCGTGACCGACCGGGCACAAAGCCAGCGCCTCCCTGAGAAGCATGATAGCCTCATCCAAGTCTTGGTCATTGCCTCGGTGCTCGAAGCGGGGCGAGAGTTGACTTGCAAGGCTATTCAATGACGCAGACCGATTTGTGTGACCGACCGGGCACAAAGCCAGCGCTTCCCTGTTCAGCACAATAGCCTCATCCAAGTCTTGGTCATTGCCTCGGTGCTGGAAGCGGGTGGAGAGTTTATTTGCAAGGCTATTCAATGACATGGACCGATTGATGTGCCCAATCGGGCGCAAAGCCAGCGCTTCACTGTTCAGCACGATAGCCTCATCCCAAGTCTTGGTCATTGCCTCGGTGCTCGAAGCGGGTGGAGAGTTCATTTGCAAGGTCGTTCAATGCCCCGGACCGATCCACGTGACCGACTGGGCGCAAAGCCAGCGCTTCCCTGTTCAGCACATAGCCTGATCCAAGTCTTGGTCATTGCCTCGGTGCTGGAAGCGGGTGGAGAGTTCAATTGCAAGGTTATTCAATGACGAGGACCGACTCATGTGCCCATCTGGGCGCAAAGCCAGTGCTTCCCTGTTCAGCACGATAGCCTCATCCAAGTCCTGGTCCTTGCCTCGGTGCTGGAAGCGGATGAAGAGTTGATTTGCAAGGTTATCCAATGACAAGGACCGATGTGTGTGTGACCGACCGGGCACAAAGCCAGCGCTTCTCTCTGAAGCACGATAGCCTGATCCAAGTCTTGGTCATTGCCTCGGTGCTGGAAGCGGGTGGAGAGTTTATTTGCAAGGCTATTCAATGACATGGACCGATTGATGTGCCCAATTGGGCGCAAAGCCAGCGCTTCACTGTTCAGCACGATAGCCTGATCCAAGTCTTGGTCATTGCCTCGGTGCTGGAAGCGGGTGGAGAGTTCAATTGCAAGGTTATTCAATGACGAGGACCGACTCATGTGCCCATCGGGCGCAAAGCCAGCGCTTCCCGGTTCAGCACGATAGCCTCATCCAAGTCATGGTCTTGCCTCGGTGCTGGAAGCGGATGAAGAGTTGATTTGCAAGGTTATCCGATGACAAGGACCGATGTGTGTGACCGACCGGGCACAAAGCCAGCGCTTCCCTCTGAAGCACGATAGCCAGATCCAAGTCTTGGTCATTGCCTCGGTGCTGGAAGCGGATGGAGAGTTGATTTGCAAGGTTATTCAATGACCCGTACCGATATTTGTGACCGACCGGGCACAAAGCCAGCGCTTCCCTGTGATGCACGATAGCCTCATCCAAGCCCTGGACACTGCCTCGGTGCTTGAAGCGGGTGGATAGTGCATTTGCAAGGTTATTCAATGCCCAGAACTTCGCGTCACCGACCGGGTGCAAAGCCAGCGCTTCCCTGTTCAGCATGATCCCATCATCCAAGTCTTGGTCATTGCCTTGGAGCTCGAAGCGGGTGGAGAGTTGATTTACAAGGTTATTCAATGCCTCGTACCGATCTGTGTGACCAATCGGGTGCAAAGCCAGTGCTTCCCTCTCAAACGCAATGGCCTTGTCGAGGTCTTGACTATTGCCTCGACGGTTGAAGCGGGTGGCCAGCATTAGACCGACATTACACAGCAATTGCCCTCGCTGATCATTCGCTGTGCTGTAGTATCCTAGCGCATCATAATGAAGGGATATCACTTCATCCACGGCATGGAGGTCATCTGTGCGCAAACACAACTCTGCTCGACGAGCAAGTTCACTTGGGGACCACGGAAGCATGGATGCAATGGGCCCCTCCGCCCCAAGTGTATTTGCATCAGTGCTTCTGACCAAAGCAGAGGTTTCGATTGAAAGCAGAGCTGCTCTGGATACGTGGCTATCGGCAAGGGAGACATTTCCAACTTCATTCAGTAACTCTTTAGCCGCATCAGCATCCGCTTGAAATCCCCGTTTCGCGAAACGAGACAGCAGAGCGATGGCAAGATGGAGTTGGGTGAGAGGTCGGTCTGGATGACCTGTGGGACGCATATCAAGCGCATCTTGAAAAAGAGAGATGGGGATGTCGAGGTCGAGGTAGGTTCCATTTACCTGGCAACTGACGAACTTCGCAGTAGCTAGGTTGGACAGTGTCGCAGGGCGGTAAGGATGATCAACGGGACAGAGATCAGAGGCGCATTCGAAGTGCTTTATAGCTTGATCGAGATCCCTATGGTCTTGCGTCCTTTTGTAGCGCGCAAGAATACAATGTCCCGCATTCGTCATGAGTTCCAATTTGTATGTGTCGTATGATGTCGACTGCATACTATGAGTTCTCAGGATATGCAGAATGCTTTGATCTACTCACAGGAGCAATCGGGACAACAGCCGGGGCGTCGTCTTCATAAGAAACTCGCTGCTCCACAGTGGCAAACAGCGAAGTACATGAGGATACGACATCGCCCGCCTTGGGCTGAAAGTCGAAAGCTGGGTTGTCCTGTCAACATCCGACAGGCGCGATTCATGACAGAAGTTACGGACGACGTGAATTTTCACTGCGTTCTACTAATTCCCCTACAGAGACCTCGAATCTGCGGAGGCGTTCTCCATGACCGAGCATGGGGCTCAATTCAAATGAGGCATACACAGCAACCCGAACTTTAGAAGACGGCTCGGATGGTCTAGAATCTTTTTAATGCCTGCAGGAAAGACGGGAAGAAGGACAACTTACAGAAGTATGTTTTCGTTCCATTCGATCACAACCTGGTCTACGTGTACAGGTTTGTTACTTGTCTGCCATGTAGTACCATTAGCCTCTACTGTCACGTAGAAGCCAGCGGGGATTCGTCGAAGACCAAGAGTGAGATCAGCCGCGAGAATGCCTTGGGAAAGGTCATCAATACGTGCTGAATGGAGATACATAGGACATACTAGTAATGACGACTTGTTGTATTCCACTGACGTGGGTATCTCCCGGGTCCTGGGGGTGTTCTGGGTGGCTTAGCTCCTCTCCCATGGGCAGAGGGCAATCATCGTGAGGATCAGGCACAAAACCTGACATTTAGCTGATAAACTAACGCTTGAGAGTAAGATGTGTTAGAGGTCACGAACCGCTGCAGTGCCCGTAAAGTGCTTGATGGATTATAAAGGAGGAAACCACAGCATGCACGTGGCACCCAGCGATGTGCAGCGCTCGGATGTATTGGAATATTCTGGAGCTGGAATCAACGGACAGAAGCGGGCTCGTAGTATATGCAGCCGCCCATAAGTAGATTGATTCATGGGCATCAGATTTGAACGGCATGGGCGCGTTGTAGGGCGCGACTCATTCAAATGAAACGAGTAGGGTGCGAGGCTCATGGCACGCAGGGCATTCTACGCTTTCGAACATTTCAAGGCACCGCATGAATGCCACTGGCCTCAGGTCTCAACCCCATTCCATTGCTGTCGGACGTAAGTTACTAAGTATGTCATGCAAGAACTCGCAGAAAAGAACTCACCATTTGCCATCAGAAGTAGCAGCCTCGACACCGCCCCTAGACAATATATCGGGACCCCATAGACTCAAAAATGGTGTGAAGGCTGTTCTGCAGCATGACCAGCGAGATGTTGGAATTCATGTCTTCAACACTCAAGACCTCTACAGAGTTATTTACCAAGTCGCGAAGAATGTCACTCTTGGTTTCATCCTCATTCTCCACCTGGCTCATGAGTATCTTGGATCAAGTACTTCATAACGCGGAACAACAATGAGGGGGTGATAATGTGCGTTGGTGAAGGGACCCCACATGCTGTGGTATGTCGCATGGCGACCTTCCAGCCGAACTCTATGCACTGGCATGCATTGTGAAGGTCCACCCGATATCCGTGTGTTTATCACGTCACAGATACTCGCCCGAAGACTGATTGGTCACCCTCAAGTCATGGTTATCACCACTCGGATCGCTGGAAACATTCAAAGGATCGTCAAACATCGAGCGAGGTTCCTTTCGTGATATCGTCGAACGTTGGTTCGGAATCCTCGGATCATCCCAGGGCAACGAAAAGAATTCAGGTATGCTGGGCATCTGTGTGTATGATATCGTCAGTAACTGCCACCTATGAAATGAATCATTGGCGCTGACCCGGTGAGTGACACTGCGCAGAAGGAGTTGAAGAACTGCACGATAGCTCCGCCCATGCGTTCCACTTGCATCGACTCAGGAATAGCATCATGGGATCAGTGATAGGCTGTGGCTAAGTTTGAACCACGTAGCCTACAGCAAGTACAGACTGAACTATTAACTTCTGCGGGGGAGTATACAATTATGATACGAACGTTTGATGATAAGAGGAGAACTGAAGTAATCGATAAAACAAATTGGGTCAGAACAACACGTGGGAGCCGCGTTCGTCGGAGGCTGTACTGGCATGCGGCTGCCGGCACCACGTCCCTCAGGCTAGCACTACTCCGCTCTCCCCAACCTGCTGCCTACACCCACACTCTTCCTAGTTTGCCGTGGTTGGCCGAGTGAGAGTATAGACACCCCAATGTTCTGCAACATCGTATGTAACTGCATGGTTAATGGGTGGCCCAAAGTTCAACAGACCAGCGGAATGCAAACATGATGCGGGGGAATTAACGACGGAAGGGACTGGTGCAGCGGCAGATGGTAGAGATTCGAGCTGATCTTGATCCTTCCCTACTGAAGATAGCAATCGATGAAATCGGCAATCTGACTGCTGAGATGGCTACATTGTACTTGTCATTACATTTGCTGGGGAGCCAGGCTCTAATAGCTAGCGCACATGGATACACCACGCATTATGCTAAGGACCCCACTATTAATCCAATACTATTTTACGTGCGTGCGAGACACAATGCATTAGTTACCCTTACACGAACTTGTGATGGGATACGAGAGCCGGAGTCTGGAAAGGGCCAAGCAGGCAGATATGAGAGCATAAGTCTGGAGAGGGTCAAGCAGGCGCATACACCAGGTAACGTATCAGAGTGTGGTACTGCGGTTACCACCGGAGCGTAACGCAAAGTGCTCTCGCGCTTAGAAATTTAAGGTGCTCCCGCGAGCACAGAATATTCCCTCGGTGTCGCAGATGACGGGGGGAAGACGCACCCGTGAATCGAATCGATACCAAACCGTGACATGACGCCTGAGAAAGAGCTCCATTGATGCGAACCAACGGTAAGCTACATGGAGTCAATAAACAACTTGTCAGTGCCACAGATCAGCCATTACTTGCGAAAAGTCTTGTGATTCGGCACGGAAAGCCGTGTATATGCACAGGTGGACAACAACGCCCAAACCAAACAACGCCCATAGCCCTGCTACCGATCTGCCAGGTCCCTACCCGTCGAAAACAATCGATCAGAGATCCAATCCATAAACCAACACGATCAGCAATGCACACACCGTCTACTATTTTGCACTCTCAAGAACAGCCAATCTACAGCCTCCCGAACGCCAGCCCTGAAGAACCCAGTCAGTCAACTGCACCACACACACAAACGACTCACCCATCAAGCCCCGAAACACCTAAAACATCCAAACTTGCAATCCTCTGCCGCTTCCTCTCCATCTCCGCATCCTCATCCTCGCCAAACCGTCTCCTCGCGCTCTCCCTCCTCCTCTGATCCCATTCTTCGTAGTCCTGTCTGATCTCTGTTGCTGAGAGACTTTCGGGTGAGTCTTGTTTGTTGGCTAGGAGGAGGAGGGGGATGTTGAGGATCTGGGGCGAGGAGAGGACTGAGTCTGTATTTTGTTGATGTCACGAGTCATTCGCTGCTTTATGTCATTTTGTGGTTGAGTGAGGGAGAACGTACCAAAGACTTCCCAGCCCTCACCAAGTCTCTCTCGGTCTTGCGCGTCGATAACGTATACTACGGCGTGACAGTCATCGTAGTATCTATGCCAGATAGATCGAATACCGCGTTGTCCTCCGAGGTCGAAGAAGTTCAAGATACTTGACGGGAGTGATATCTTGCCCGCTGCGTGTCAGGTTTAGTTTAGTGAGGGTCAAATCAAAAAGCTGGGATGAGAGACGTACTATTCTGCCCCACAGTAGGCCCGATCTTAGACGGGTCAAGTCCAGGAGTCTCATTGTACAGAGTCTTGATCTTCTCCAGCAGAGTCTACTTCCCCTGAATCGGCGCCATGAACTCGCTTGAAGTGCAGGGAGAAACATACCGTTTTGCCTGCACCGTCAAGGCCAATGATAATAACTGAAAACTCTTCTTTCCTGCCATCTTGAGACAGAGGTGGAGGAGTGGGTGTGAAGCCTTACCTCGTCAAGTATTCGTGCATGCCTTTGAGGAGGTGATACATGGTGGGTGCCGTGGTAAGAAATAAGGAACGGCAGTCTGAGGCGCAACGTCATTGACAAGCATTGCGATTAATCACAACTTCCAGAATCCGCGTGGATTCTTATGTTAGATATATTAAGACAACAATGATAATATGCAACACAACAGTAAAGCTCGATCCTATATATTCCTATCGTCATGTACATGCCTCCCAAAGGACAATGAAAAACAGATCAGATAAGTAAGTTCCGCGTGGATCCTTATGCAAGTGTACAATTGAGCCGAATATGCAACACAGCAGTAAAACTCGATCTTATCCAGGTACATGCCTATGTACGACCCAAACGACAGTGATAAATAGATCAGATACAGGAAGAAAACATGATATTTCGTCACCTCGCGCCTCACGACAACGCACCCCACACAGCCAAGCCCGCAAAGAAGCTCATTATACCAACCAACACGCCTACATATGCGGCTGTGTGCAGGCCTATGCGAGGTAAAACTGCTGGGGTGTGCAGCGCTGCAAGCGATGAGTGCAATAGCAGTACTAATGGTGAAGTGATGATGAACGGTACGTTTGAGCTGGCGTAGGACCTCGCGAAATCCTGGTCTGATACGGGTAAGGATAGTGGCGAGCGGAGGTAGGCTGCAGAGAGGAGAAGGTTGAGGCCTACGGATAGGAAAATGGAGTTGAAACGCTGCAGGCACGATATGAAGACGGGGATTTTCTATCAGACCATGAGGAATGTTAGAAATGGCCAAGAAAGAAAGGGAATGTACGCACGATAACAGGCAGTCCGTAGACCTCTTCGAGTTCCTCTCTCATCTTTATTACAAGCAACTTCTCCACCCCACGATCGATTCGTGACTCTACGCTTCGAGCGCTCTCTCCGTTCTCCAATGCATCTTCAAATTCTTCTTGCTCTGGAGGATATGTAGTGTCGTCTATTGGTTCCTCGAAAGACCCAGACTTTAGGCGCTCGAGAAACTCAATTTCTCTCCCTTCTGGGACCATTACGTCGCGGTAGTAAGCGAGCTGCTCGTATCCCTGTACTATGGCAGCAACAACTTCTGCAAAGTTGAGTGAGAGCCACCATACGGTGCGGAATGCGGGGTCTTGGCAAGTTGGGATGGGATAGTCCATGGTGTGCCTGACTTGCAGGATTGCCAACGCTGCCAGACGGAGGCCGTTGGTGAGGAGGACATGGAAGAATGTGGACACCAAAGAGGCTGACTCTGAAGGGAATAAAAGGGATGCGAGTGAGTAGAGGGGGACGCGAAGAAGATGAGCCAGACTGAAGAATGCGCTAGAGAGGAGTATTTCAGGTAATGGGAAGGGGAATGATACTGGGTATGGCGATGGTGAACTTGCTATAGGCCAGGCCAAGTCGGGAAGTAGCGCAAGTACGGTGAAGATGACCGCTGCAAATAACGGCACAAAACCATTTAACAAGACGACACGAGAGTAGGAGCCTAGAAAAGGTTACATGGTAGGAAAAAAAGCTGAAGCAGTAAGGTAACGCACCGATATACAATCCATTATTTTGTAGCTCCCACTCGACATCATCAAAGCCGTCATTTAGGCTGTTCATTTTCAAGCGGGTCTTCCTGGGGCATGGTGAAAGTTGGGTGGACGCTGTCAGGACTTCTCCTGAGCCTAGTGCTACTGTGTTCGCCACCGCTCGCAATACTGTCGACTGGTGAACTCATACGGGGAAAACCAAGGTCAGTATAAGCGTGCGAGTGAATGTCGTCCAAGGTAGAAAATTCATCAGTGCCTAGAGTATGTGGGGGCGCTATTTCAACTCCCGAGTCTGGATCCCATGGGCGTTGACTTGCCCTGTGAGGCAACACAGCGGCTGCAGTTTGAGCGACTCTTCTATGCATCAAAGTGATAATGACACTCCTAGTCTTTGGTAGGTCTTTGGTAAAGCCTTTGGCTAGTCTACTACATGTTTTTCACGCTCACAACTGGGCAGCGTTGTGACAAGAAGCGAGGCCTGCACCGTCATGAACCTCCCCGTAATTACGTGTGCGATCAACCCTATATCACCACCAGTCACCACAACTGGTCAGAACCACCGCATAACCACCGACCATCGAACATTCGACCCAGATCCTGGAGAACGTTTCGACCGTGTGGTGGCATAATATGCGATTCAGAACGTGGTCAATGTAAAGCACATTCCTCGGATGGCAGACTAGGATTGTGTACAAAAACCGTAGGAGCTGCCGCTGTTAACTGTTACTAGCCACTTTTCTAGTAATAAAAGTGCAGCTCATACTGTTTTTCTTTATGATCGTAGAAAGAAGACAGGGGAAATTCACACAAGCTGGCCATATACATGTATACTGTCTATCATGCATCAGATTCTATGTTCTACCAGCACCACGGGTCGCCCTTGCCTGCCCAACCAACCTGACACGGACCTGGGAACGACTGATGCTCCTAGGACATGAACTTAGGTTGGCGTTGCGAGATGAAACGGCTACACATACACGTCAAGCTCAACGTTCATAAGAATCACAGGTAACCGTAGGCCTGACTGCACTACTTCCACGGCACTGCACGACACACTAGAACAAGACGTTATTATGACAATATTACATGAACGATGGTCGTCGAAGCCATATATGTAGATGGAATACGATAGTCACGAATGAGGCCTCGGCACGTTGCTCAACCCTGCGATCGAATGAAGCCACAGCTATAAAACATTTAATGCATCAGTGCAATTAAGACAGTGTGGTAGCATGCAACGCAATTGAAGAGTGGGTACAAGTAATTGTTCTGAATTATTATTACCCCTTCTTGAACTGCATTCACAAGAAAGTTAGTCGGAGCACAGGAATCAGAGCAACACGTTCTACTAGTACCACGAGGCGTCGCGCTTCCACAGCAGATGCTCACGCCTGCCCGTCTAAACTTTCTAGGCGCAGACTGGTATAGCATTCATAGGACATTGGCAGCGATCGAAACGAGATGAAACGACCATATACCTCGAGCTCAATGTGATAACTGTCGAGACAGTATCTGACAGCACCGATTGATTGGTACGATCATCGCACCGCATGATACACCGAAGCCATATGGAATACGATAGTCATGGATGATTAATGAGGTATATTCCCTGACCCTGAGATGAAGCCATGTTAGCATCATGATCACCACGGGGTGGGAAGAACAGAAATAGATCAGCTTTCGATGCGTTTCAACAAGAGGATGCTCCCATCTCCGCATTGTACACCGGGAGACTTGAAGGGAGTACCACGTTCGGTCCGCCCATCGAATAGATTTCATCCAAGAAAGACGTTTGAAATAGAAAATGCAAACTCACGAGCTAGCTAGCTAATCCACCACGGATATTATGAGCACCTGAAACGCAGAAGAGTGCATTCATTAGCTGATTGTTCGAATTTAGAAGAAAGAAGACGAGGTCAGACAAGGCTGAAATCAATGATGTCGTCCACATTATGTGTTCGGAATGTGGTAAAGTACTGAGAGTCATCACGAACGATGACGAATGGAAGGAAAGCTCACCGTCTACTAAATTTGCACGTTTGAACCATGGAATGGCTACATGCTATCCGGATCCTCTGCTAGCATGTGTTCGTGCAAATGCAAGCAAGGAAAATTTGTAAAAATGAGTTTGAGACTCCGAACATCCCCGAATTCGCGGAGCTCTAAAGAGTAGAGTACGACAACGAGTGACTTCAACTTGACCATCACGCTGCGGCATATGTAGATGTGACCAGCTGCAGTGGATGTGATGTCTGTGATTCGTAGTGTATACCCTACGAAACACAATGATCCCATCCTATTGGAATATTACTACGGCCCATGGGCCATGGAGCTCTACTACTCTGTTCTACAAGTCCAGAGTTCAGAGTTGTTGGTGCGAAGGATCTTAGGCGCTGAATTAAGTACGAAGGTCTATTTTAGTGCGTCAGGAACCTCGAGGGCGCGACTCGGAAGTTGACGAGAAGCTAATATAGAAGGAACGACTATCTTCCTTCTATTGGGTCTGCGGCCTACGGGAGACTAACGAGAAGCGCTGAAACACATAGCCTCGTGTCGGCAGCGTTGTTGGGAAGTTATCCAAGTCTGGGAGACGAGGGATAAATACCTTATAGTGCGCTCTCTTCTTGTCCCATTACTCGTTCGCTATGGTCCAAATTTGCCCGCAATTGGAAGCCCACGGAGCTTGCACTGATTCCCAGTGCACAGGATATCATGACGTCCACATCTGCGAGCTATGTGGTGTTTTCTGCTCGTCCACTGCGTGGTACGAGGCGCATCTCCTCAGCGCAAACCATCGTCGTCAATCGGCCGGCCATGATGGACGCAGGCACCATTGCGTTATTTGTGACGCCTACGTTTCCGGTCGCAGATGTTGGGACGACCATGTCAGAGGAAGACAACACTGCAGAAATGCGGAGCATAAAGGTGTATCGGCTGATGTAGCTCCCGTGATTCAGGCACTCCCTGGCGAGTTATTCTGCAGCGCCTGCGACAGACATGTCCCAGAAGCCTTATGGGCTTCCCACCTTCAATCCGCCGAGCATCGCAGGAAAGAGGGCTACAATGCGTTCAAGACTGCGCTCGAAGAAGCCAAGAGGGACAAAAATGGCGTCGTTATCTCGGAAGGAGGAGATTTTGGAATCGTGGAAAGTGTCGACGCTGCCCGGGGAGAATCACGAACTTTGAAAATAGAGACCACGGTGGCCTCATCCCGAGTGACCATCAAGAAGGTGTCTCTGTCCTCCTCTTTCACGCGCAGGCAATCTCCGTGAGTTCTTTGCCTTTTCATTGATTTGATCATTGGGACTAACCACTTCGTTGGTAGGTTTGCTATTGCGACCTCAGTGGAAGGGGTCGTATTGACGCATCGTCGCCCTACTGCAATTGAGGTACGATTAGAAACACCTCACTCTGGGCGTATGGATGATTGCCTTGAAATCTCCTTCGAAGATGCAGCATTGCCACGTGTAACCTTCGTCATCGCTAGGGCCCTGAAGGCCATTGTGGGCAGCCAAGCTGATCATGTGTTGCTGCGACCAATCGCTCCCTTCCAACCTCGCCAAAGTCGTACGCAGCCTGAGACAGAGGTAGTGCCAGGCATTCCACCACCTTCCAACAACATCATACCGTACACCACCAAATTACCTAAAGCACAGCTATCGAAGTCACTCTTAGCTGCATTATCAGAAACGTCATCTGGAAAGGCGCTGAATCGCGTCAGAAGAGATTTCCTCCCGAATGTTTTTAATTCGTCAACGTATTCACGCTACTTCAAGATACTGCTTTGGGCGGAGGAGCACCGCATGGAGTGAGTAGTGTTGGATATCCATCTATCTCTGTTCTTACGAGTTTCCAAGGTGTGATTTGGAACGCTACGACATTCCTGACGCTCAGCTAGAACGTAACGGAAAGTATTATTTGTGAGTACGAATGTTTCTCAAAAGTTTGTGCTCATTTTGTTGTAGTTTGAACGTCCCTGGGTTGGCGGAAAAACGTCCGAGTGTTTTAATTGGTTTGGGTGTTTACTTATTTTCTTCTTGCCATCATTTACCCGTACTCTCAGGAGATCGGTTTCTTGTCCAAAAACATGGGGCTGCCGAAGGCCGTTGGTTCGAAGGTCACGTCCATGTTGTTCGACAGGAGTCGGTTGGGCTGCAATTCCACTGCTCATTTCGTGACTGGTCTCAACAACAGCGGTATACCGTACGTTTCAAGCTCAACCGCATCTCCATGCGGCGTCAACATCAGGCACTGGGCGCCGGGTTGGCATCTGAAAGGTTTTTGTTCCCTCAAGAAGCGCACATTTTACCGCTCGGCTCTCCTCCTGGCGTGGGACCTATCACACCATTCAATCCGTTGATTGCTACGAACCCACCTCAGCTTCAAGCCGTAAAATCTATCCTTCTGCAGAAACCGGGTTCAGCGCCATTTGTCGTTTTTGGTCCACCGGGCACTGGCAAGACTATAACGATAGTAGAAGCTATGAAGCAACTGCTCAAGCACAAGCCAAATACACGGATTCTTGCCATGGCACCCAGCAACTCCGCAGCTGACATCATTGCATCCAAGCTCGCGTCCACCCTCGAACCAGATCAACTTTTTAGACTTTACGCACCCTCAAGGCACTTCGAGCAGATCCCAGATGAGTTGCGGCGCTATACGCACAGGAAGTTGGTGGGGGAGCGGTTCCCCGTCCTGTCGGACATCGCGCGCTATAAAGTGATCGTGTCCACATGCATCTCCGCATCTGTTCCGTACGGTATTGGCATCCCGCGCGGACATTTCACGCATATTTTCGTCGATGAAGCCGGTCAGGCGACTGAACCAGAGGTCATGACCGGCATCAAAACGATGGCTAACGAGTATACCAACATAGTCTTGGCGGGAGACCCGAAGCAGTTAGGACCTATCATCCAATCCAGCATCGCGAGGGAACTTGGGTTGGAGCGAAGCTACCTCGAACGTCTGATGGCGATGGAGGTATATGAAGTTCACAGTGGTCATGGCCTCAGGTGATCATCGCTTGTGTATCTCCTTCGTTCAGGTTACTGACCTCCCAGCAGCGTCGTCAAGCTTGTGAAAAACTTCCGATCGCATCCTGCAATTTTGAAGTTTCCCAACGATCGATTCTATGCGAGTGAGCTGGAGTCGTGTGGCAACGATAATGTCATACGGACTTTCGAGGGCTGGAGCAAGCTGCCTTCGAAGAAATTCCCGATTATATTTCATTCGATCTCTGGAAAGGATGACCGCGAGGCTTCGTCACCCTCGTTTTTCAACATTGACGAGGTCACTCAAGTTTGCAAATACGTCCAACTTCTCCGAGACGATCGAAAGATCAAAGTTGGTAAGTGAATGCACGAATTCAATGCTGTTCACACTTACAACAGCACAACAGCTCACAACTGAGATCGGTGTAATCACTCCCTATCATGCTCAGTGTGTCAGGATTCGCAAGCGCGTGGATCACGAGGTCAAGGTCGGGCAGTGTAGAGGAGTTCCAAGGCCAGGTGAGCAAATTTCAAAGTGTGCGTCGTTCTGCAGCCGACCTTAGCTACTAGGAGCGACGAGTCATCATCATTTCCACGGTCAGGAGTAGTCGAGAATTCCTTGAGTTCGACCTCAAACGCACCCTGGGCTTCGTTGCAAACCCGAGGCGCTTCAATGGTTAGTGGATCGTCGCTGGTTGCGCGAGTAATGCTCATATCGGTCTCAGTTGCTGTGACTCGCGCCCAAGCTCTGCTCATCGTGATCGGAGACCCAAACGTCTTGTCCCTAGATCCCCTCTGGCGATCGTTCCTGAATTATATTCACTTGAAGCGGCGGGTGGGCCGGTCCTGAACCGACATGGAACACGACAGAGACGGTAGATGAGAGTGGCCAATACGATCAGCATATTCGAGAGGATGCGCTGACCAATATGAATGATCTTGCTCGAAGGATTGAGGGTGTCGTGCACTCGACCACAACAGGGCATGTATCGGGGACTGCCACGACCAGTGAAGGTGGTTATGATGATGACAATTCGGATTCTGACAATTAGCAGTCTCCGGAGTAGGCTATCTTGATGTTTGTATTAGATGGTTGTAATTTTGGTGGTTTGCTTGCTTGCAATCGGTTGTTTCTTGAATCCTCGCATGGTTAGATGCTACTGTCTCGCAACCTTCCTCAGGATCCTCAGGTGCATGCGGCGGTTTTACACTGTAGCGAGATCCAAATTAACATTGCAGATACCTATCACTGCACCGAAGAGAACCACCACCTAAAGATTTGACGACGTCCAGAAAAACAGCAGGAACACCATGATATGGCGCTGGATCTGTTCAACTATTCTTCACATGCAAAACTCACACACGCACAGACGCCACACACACACAAACGAGACGCACACATAATCACTCCTTCACATACACATTCTTGTATTGTAGGAAAATTAGTGCTGCACTATGATCATTCATAAAATTCATTGATGCCCCAAGATATCCAACTCTGCACGTGTCAACATTGGGCCAGGCTCCGTGATCAGAGCTGCCGACAACTGCTGAGCCGATCTTGAAACGCCTCGCAAGGCTGCCGTGAGGTTGAAAGAGTCTAGTAGTGAGGCCTTACGAGACGAGTATGCGCACCCTGCGTAATGACGAACAAATACATTCAAGCCTCGGAAGGCATCATGTGGCCGTGGGAGACTCTCCGGACCTTGCCGGACCTTGTTAGATTTGGGCACTTTTGCTGATGGCCCTTCTCATCGACACTGACATCAAGGATCCACCCAGCGCGAACATCTTTTTGACACCAATAATGGCAGCTTTCCGTCTTCTTTTCTCGCTCTCGTCCACCAGCCGAGGCTTTGCTGCCAATGCTGGCGGCTTCGGTGCGTTTTTTTTGCCCTTGGACTCTACTTGATTGGGGCTTATAGAACCCTTCATTAGCAGCCTTGTCTGCAATATAAATTGATCATCACTCCGAGACCTACTCACTTCTCATCACTCCGTCTCGTCCACCGGCCAGGCCTTAAAAAGATTCGAGGCTTTGCTGCCAATGCTGGCAACTCTCAGTGTGTTTCACTCCGAGACCTACTCACTTCTCATCGCTCCATCTCGTCTACCAGCCGGGCCTCAAAAAGATTCGTTTATAGAACCCTTCATCAGCAGCCTTGTCTGCAATATAAATTGATTATTGAATCATGTCAGATCTAATAGTGCAGTACTAATTTTTCTACGGTACGAGAGTGTGTATGCGACGGAGTGATTATGTGTGTACGTCTCGTTTGTGTGTGTGTGGCGTCTGTGCGTGTGTGAGTTTTATATGTGAAGAATAGTTGAACAGATCCAGCGCCATACCATGACGGTGATTAGGAATCTGCACCATGATCGTAAAAAGAAGAAACGAAAATTCACACAACAGAAGCATGGCCCGGGCCACACACAATCGATTTAAGTATGTAAGTATTTGCGCTCCTTGCCTTCCCATTCAAGGTACTCCTAGGACATGAACGCGGGGGGGCGGCGGCTGAAACGAGATGAAACAGCTAAACACCTCGAGGCCTCAAGCTCAAGCCCAACATAACTTACCTTTACAGTGTAAAAAACGGTAGGAGCTGCCGCTCTTGTTACTACTTTGCTAGCAATAAAAGTGCAGCTCCTGCTGACTTTCTTCATAATCGTAGGAAGAAGAAACGGGAAATTCACACAACAAGTTAGCCGCATGCATATATGAGTCACTGTACTGTCACTGACAAAGTCATCAGCACCACGAGTCGTCCTTACATGCCCAACCAACCTGGCATGCACCTGCGTTCTTGTGCTGGGAGGATCAAACTGACTGACTGATGCTCCAAGGACATGAACTTCGGTTGGCGTTGGCAGCGACTGAAGCGAGATGGAACGACCACACACACATCAAGCTCAACGTTCATAAGAATCACATGCAATAGGCCTGACTGCACTGCTTCCACGGCACTGCGTAACACACTAGAACAAGACGTTATCATGACAATACATATATCATGATCGTCGAAGCCATATGTATGGAATACGATAGTCACGAATGAGACCTGAGCCATGTTGCACAACCCTGCGATAGATGAAGCCACAGCTCGCGGCAGCTGTTGAACATCAGTGTAATTAAGACGGCGTGGTGGGATGCAATACAATTCACGAGTTGGTACAAGTAGTTGGTCAGAACTATTATTACCCACTCATGAATTGCATTCACAAGAAAGTTAGTCGGAGCACAGGAATCTGAGCAAAAGGTTCCGCTAGTACCACGAGTCATCGCGCCTGGCCATCTTCCACGACCTATGCCCACACCTGCCAGTCCAACCTGTCTGGGCGCAGACTGGTATAGCATCCCTGGTAAGACAGTATTAATATTAGCGGCAATTGAAGTGAGATGAAATGACCACACATCTCAAGCACAACGCGACAACATCGACAAGGTGGTAGCATGTGCCATGCAATGCAATTTAAGAAGTGTTCAGAGTAAATTATAAGCCATGACCCTTCTTGAAGGGCATTTACTAGAGCACGCAGATATCAGAACAGCCACGTTCTATTAGTACCACCCATCCAAACCTTTCTGTGAGTACTATAGCATCCATAGTAGGACATCGGCAGCGATCGAAGCTATGACCACACACCTCAAGGCTCAAGCTCAATGTGATAACGTCGATACAGTATCTGACTGCACCGATTCACTGGCACGATCATCGCATGACACACCGAAGCCATACGGAACACAATAGTCGCGGATAATGAGGCATGTTGCCAACCCTGCGATACTGAGAGTCATCATGAATAGCGATGAATTGGAGGGGAACTCGCTGTCTATCAGATTTACCCATGGAGCATTCGTATGGCTGCTAGCCGCCTCTGCTAGCGTATGATGGTACAAACGCAAGCCACGAAATATTTTACAGAGGTGTGCGGAAGTACGTAATCAAAATCTCACGTGAGTACGACCAAAAATGAAATCAACGAAAGTCGCGTTCCGAGTCGAGCGACTCCATTAATGTCCATGCAATCTCCTAGCGTGTCTGACGCCTTTCACCCATACTACTACTACAGTGCTTATTCTACATTCTTGCACCAAATTTATTCATGTAAGATAAATCCTACAAAGTCATTTAGGAGGCTAGCCTTGAATTCCTGCGGTTTAATCGCGCCGTTCGATAACAAGCTTTTGGAGAACTTTCCGACTCAGTAGGACCAGCTGGTTCGAGGTTGGGGTAGAGTGCAGAACAATGTCATGCTGAATGGCACAGCAAGTCATGTGTGTACTTCATCTGACGTCAGGGTGTGAGGGCGACTCCGGATCCTCTGCGAAAGATCTTAGAGCCTAGAAGAGCGCCCGCATACGTCCTACGTGTGCGATGAGTGGTGAAGGAACTTTCCCACGGCGATTGACCCGCCATCATATCCCTCAAATATCCGCAGTCAGTAAAAGCGACTGCTCCAGTGCCACAAGACACTGAGGGCATTACAGATATCTTCCAGGTCCTACTCATGATCCAATAGACGAAGCGCACATTCGCTCAGTCTTTCTTGGTCCATCGATTGACGATGGCGCGAAACCGATGATACAAGTAAGATCTCCACCGTCGCGACTTTCATTGATATCGATTTGAGACTCCGAACTTTAAGCTTCAAGATCTCGAAAGTCGCGCGGGGCTCTAAAGTGTACTAAGTGGCAGACCACCACCGTTTGGTACGTACGTACTTTACCTAGTTCTGAATTATCGCATCTCGTTCCTATTGGTTGATATCTTCATGACTCATGGAATTCTATTAAGGACTCTATTCTACATGATGTGTTCTCCTTATCGACTTAAGCTCGTTTCTTGGAGTCTCACAGAAGTTGTAATAATGGTAGGAGTCACTCAGTGGGCAACTACGACACGATGCTGATTCAAGTTTGGGGAGCCCGGAGTCCAGAGTGGTTGGTGATTTTCAGGCCATTTTGAAATTTTAAATCATTTCTAAGAATCACGCTTGGAATCGCGTCGTAATTGCCGACTCTGGGCTAAGTATCGCACGAAAATTGATTTTGGGGTGTCTCGAACCTCCGGGCCTCAGGAAGCGCTGAATCCGACTTTCCCACTCAGCCTCGTGTTGGCAGCATTGCTAAGAAAGCTGTCCAGCAGACCAGCGATAAATACGTCATAGTGCGCTCTCTTTTTGTCCTGTCTCTCCTCCACTATGAACAACTTGAACATTTGCCCGCAATTGGAAGCCCACAGAGCTTGCACTGATCCCCAGTGCACAAAATATCATGATGTTCACCTCTGCGAGCTCTGTGGTGTTTTCTGCGTGTCCACTCAGTGGTACGATGCGCATCTGGCCAGCGAAAACCATCGTCGCCAATTGGCTGGCCATGATGGACACAAGTACCATTGCACCACTTGCGGCACTTACATGTTCGGTCAAAAGAGTTGGGGTGACCATGTCAAAGGAAAACGACATTGCAAAAATGCCAAGGACAAAGGTGTACCGGCCGAAGTAGCTCCCGTCATTCCTTCGGCGCTCCCTTGCAAGTTATTATGCGGCGTCTGTGATACACAGATCCCACAGGCTTTGTGGGCTTCCCATCTTCAATCCCTCGAACATCGCACAAAGCAGGGCTATAATGCGGTCAAAAGTGCCCTTGAAGAAGCTCTGAAGGACAAAAATGGCGTCGTGATTCCAGAAGGAGGAGATTTCGGAATCGTGGAAAGTGCCGACGCTGAGCGGGGAGTATCGCGAACTTTGAAAATACAGACCACAGTGCCTTCATCGCGAGTGACCATCAAGAGGTATCTTTATCCTCCTTGTTCATGGGCAGGCAATCTCCGTGAGCTCTTTGCCTCTTTGGAATGATTTGATCGCTGAAGCTAACTGACTTCATTGGTAGGTTTGCTATTACAACCGCAGTAGAAGGGGCGGTATTTACATATCGTCACCCTACTTCAATTGGGGTACGGTTTTCAACACATTACTCTGGGCACATGGAGGATCGCCTTGTAATCGTCTTCGAAGACACAGCACTACATGTAACGTTCGTCATCGCTAGGACCCTGAAGGCCATAGTGGGAAGCCAAGCCAACTATGAGTTGTTGCGACCCATCGCTCCCTTCCAACCTCGCCGAAGTCGTACGCAGCTTGAGACGAACGTAGTACCAGGCGTCCCCCCACCTTCCAGCAACACCATACCGTACATCATTAAATTGCCTGAAGCAGTGCCACCGAAGCCGCTGTCAGCTGCGTTATCGGAAACGCCGTCTGGAAAGGTGCTGAATCGCATCAGAAGAGATTTTCTCCCGAATGTTTTTAATTCGTCAACGTATTCGCGCTACTTCAAGATACTGCTTTGGGCGGAGGAGCACCGCATGGAGTGAGTAGCGTTGGATATCCATCTATCTCTGTTCTTACGAGTTTCCAAGGCGTGATTTGGAACGCTACGACATGTCTGACGCTCAGCTAGAGCGTGGCGGACAGTATTATTTGTGCGTACGAATGTTCCTCAAAAGTTTGTGCTCATTTTGTTGTAGTTTGAACGTTCCTGGGTTGGCGGAAAAACGCCCAAGTGTTTTAATTGGTTTGGGTGTTTACTTATTTTCTTCTTACTATCATTCACTCGTACTCTCAGGGGATCGTTTTCTTGTCCAAAAACGTGGGGCTGCCGCAGGTCACTGGTTCGAAGGCCACGTCCACGTTGTTCGACAGGAGTCGGTTGGGCTGCAATTCCACTGCTCATTTCGTGACTGGTCTCAGCAACAGCGGTATACCGTACGTTTCAAGCTCAACCGCATCTCCATGCGGCGTCAAGCATCAGGCACTGGGCGTCGGGTTGGCATCTGAAAGGTTTTTGTTCCCTCAAGAAGCGCACATTTTACAGCTCGGCTCTCTTCTAGCGTGGGACCTATCATACCATTCAATCCGTTGATTGCTACGAACCCACCTCAGCTTCAAGCCGTGAAATCTATCCTTCTGCAGAAACCGGGTTCAGCGCCATTTGTCGTTTTCGGTCCACCGGGCACTGGCAAGACTATAACGATAGTAGAAGCTATGAAGCAACTGCTCAAGCATAAAGCTCAATACACGGATTCTTGCCATGGCACCGAGCAACTCCGCCGCTGACATCATTGCATCCAAGCTCGCGTCCACCCTCGAACCAGATCAACTTTTTAGACTTTACTGCACCCTCAAGGCACTTCGAGCAGATTCCAGATGAGTTGCGGCGCTATACGCACAGGAAGTTGGTGGGGGAGCGGTTCCCCGTCCTGTCGGACATCGCGCGCTATAGAGTGATCGTGTCCACATGCATCTCCGCATTTATTCCGTATGGTATTGGCATCCCGTGCGGACATTTCACGCATATTTTCGTCGACTGAAGCCGGTCAGGCCACCGAACCGGAAGTTATGACCGGCATCAAAACGATGGCTAACAAGGAGACCAATATCATCTTGGCGGGAGACCCGAAGCAGTTGGGACCTGTCATCCAATCCAACATTGCAAGGGAGTTTGGGTTGGAGCGAAGCTACCTCGAACGTCTGATGGCGATGGAGGTATATGAAGTTCACAGTGGTCATGGCCTCAGGTGATCATCGCTTGTGTATCTCCTTCGTTCAGGTTACTGACCTCCCAACAGCGTCGTCAAGCTTGTGAAAAACTTCCGCTCGCATCCCTGCAATTTTGAAGTTTCCCAACGATCGATTCTATGCGAGTGAACTGGAGTCGTGTGGCAATAAGAAAGTTATACGCACTTTCGAGGGCTGGAGCAAGCTGCCTTCGAAGAGATTCCCAATTATATTTCACTCGATCTCTGGAAAGGATGACCGCGAGGCTTCGTCACCCTCGTTTTTCAACATTGACGAGGTCACTCAAGTTTGCAAATACGTCCAGCTTCTCCGAGACGATCGAAAGATCAAAGTTGGTAAGTGAATGCGCGAATTCGATGCCGTTCACACTTACAACAGTACGACAGCTCACAACGAGATCGGTGTAATCACTCCCTATCACTCTCAGTGTGTCAGGATTCGTAAGGTGCTCAAGGGCGCAGCGAACGAGGTCAAGGTCGGCAGTGTAGAGGAGTTCCAAGGCCAGGTGAGCGAATTTCAGAGTGTGCATCGTTCTGCGGCCAACATTAGCTACTAGGAGCGGCGAGTCATCATCATTTCCACGGTCAGGAGTAGTCGAGAATTCCTTGAGTTCGACCTCAAACGCACTCTTGGCTTCGTTGCAAATCCGAGGCGCTTCAATGGTTAGTGGATCGTCGCTGGTTGCGCGAGTAATGTTCATATCGGTCTCAGTTGCTGTGACTCGAGCACAAGCTCTGCTCATCGTGATCGGAGACCCAAATGTCTTGTCCCTAGATCCCCTCTGGCGGTCGTTCCTGAATTATATTCACTTGAACGGCGGGTGGGCCGGTCCTGAACCGACATGGAACACGACAGAGACGGTAGATGAGAGTGGCCAATACGATCAGCATATTCGAGAGGATGCGCTGACCAATATGAATGATCTTGCTCGAAGGATCGAGGATGTCGTGCACTCGAACACAACAGGGAATGTGTAGGGGACTGCCACGATCGATGAGGGTGGTTATGATGATGACGATTCTGACTGACACTTGGCAGTCCCTGGAGTAGGCTTTCTTAATGTTTGTATGATGGTTGTAATTTTGGTAATTTACTTGCTTGCAATTGGTTGTTTTTTTGAATCTTCGCGCCCTTCCTCACGACCTCAGGTGCATGCGGCGGTTTTACATTGAAGCGAGATCCAAATTAACATTGCGGATACTTAGCACTGCATCGAAGAGAACCACCACCTAAATATTCAACGACGTCCAGAAAATAGCAGGAGCACCGCAAGAGCACGGCCGTGAATGTTATCAGGAATCTGCATCACGATCGTAGAAAGAAACAAAAATTCACACAATGGCCTGGGCCACACTCAATTTAAGTATTTGCGCTCCTTGCCTACCCATCCAACCTCACACAGGCTGGTGCTTCTAGGACATGAACGCGGGTTGGCAGCAACTAAAGCGAGATGAAACGGTTAAACACCTCGAGGCCTCAAGCCTAACATTAATGTGAATACAGGTAACAGACCTTCTTGCTGCACTACTTCCACGGCCTGTATAACACACTAGAACAAGATGTTATTGACAATATACATGGACCATGATGGTTGAAGGGTCGCGAATGAGGCATGTTGCTCGACCTACGAGGAAACCACAGGTCGTGGCAGCTGGAAGTTGGAACTTCAGCGTAATTTAAATGTAAAGGCGGTGTGGTAGCATGCAATTGCACTTCAAAACGAGGTTCGAGTAATACTCTCACCTAAACCCAGATTTGAACTGCATCCAAACGAAAGATAAGTATCCGAGCAGATTCCATGTTCTACTAGTATCACGGGTCGTCCCGCCTGCCTATTAGACCTTTCTGGGCGCAATGGTGTAGCATCCCTAGGACATTGGCAGTGATTGAAGCGATATGACACGGCAATACATCTCAAGCCCCATCTGACCGCATCTGACTGCCCCCCAAGTCACTAGTACAGTCATCGCACTACATGACACACCAAAGCCATATGGAATACAATAGTCACCGATGATTAATTAACCCTGCAATGACGCCATGTTAGATCATGATCACCACGGAAGGACAGAAAGGCTCCAAAGAAACAGATCAGCTTTCGATGCATTTCAACAAGAGAATGCTTCCATCTCCACATTGTACACCGGGAGACTTAAAAGGGAGCACCACGTTCGGTCCGCCCATCGAATAGATTTCATCCAAGAAAAAGACGTTTGAAGTCGAAACGAAAATGAAAACTCACGAGCTAGGTATTAATTCATCGCGGATGATGAGCACCTGAAATGCAGAAGAGTGTATCATTAGCTGATTGTTCGAATTTGAAGAGAGAAGATAAAGGTCAGACAAGGCTGAAATCTATGATGTCGTCCTACATGATGTGTTCGGAATGTGGTAAAGTACTGAGAGTCATCACGAACAGCGACAAATGGGAGAAGAACTCACCGTCTGTCAAATTTTAGCCACGGAACATTCATATATATGGCTACTGGCCTCCAGTGCTAGCTCGTGCAAATGCAAACCAAGAAAACTTTAAAGATTGAATTTGAAACTCCGAAGTTATCAGTGAAGTCACGCGGAGCTCCCAAAAAGGAATGCGATTCTAATCTTGGGTGCAGTGCATTTCAGTCTCGTTTATCCTTGCGTTCATCAAAACTTATTCTTTCTACTGTCTTCCGAGTGTATTCTTGTACGACTATGCAGTCCTTGCTTCGATGGAGCGTGGAGAACTCATCCCCAGGCAGCGCTCCTCCTGTGCCTGCAAATAATCACCTCGATCCTGGCATTATTGATCACATCCTCGGCAAACCGGACGCCCAGTTAATGAAGGAAGCTCTTAAAGTCGGAGTAGACGAAACCCAGGCTGAAGACGACAGACTAAAAGCCCTCGATGATCTTGAAATGGTGTGTCCCCTGAACGTTGCGCGCAGTCGTCGCTGACTCTGTCATGAATGGTCGATGTAGCTAGTTCAGAATATCGACAATGCAAATGGTGACTTCTCTGTCATCGATGTCTTGCGATCTGACACATATTACATAGACCTGAAGAAACTCAAGATGTGGGAACCTCTTCATGGCCTGCTGCTGGCGTCCGGCACAAGCGATGCTCTGAAAATGCAGACTTTGTGGATCATTGGTACTGCGCTACAGAACAATCCAGCTGCTCAACTTGCTGTAAGTCATCCTTTCCCTGCTATGCTTTAGTTTTATATTCACCGTGACTGACAGTTGTTAACAGTACCTTGACTTGGAGCCGCTTCCAGCTCTTATCAGATTGCTTTCGCCCTCATATAATTCTGCTAAGACCCGTTCGCGAGCCGTGTACGCGCTATCTGGTCTCCTGAAACTTAATGCTGCCGCCGTACAACAGATGTCCGCAGCCGGCGGATGGAGCGCACTCCGTATATGCTTAGAAGGTTTGTAGGCACAACCCTAGCACTTTAAAACATCGTGCTCATACGACGAACAGATTCAGAGATCCGAGTCCGTCGAAAGACAGCATTCTTGCTCAACACCCTTTTGATGCCAACCTCCGAGAACAAAGTCAGTTTGCAGTCGAATATCAGCATGCCTTCGTCAGAAAATGCACCAGTTTATCCAAACTCACATGCGTCGATGCTCTCAAACCCGTCTTCGATCTCAACATCGAGTATCACGCTAGATGTTCTCCAGAACGACAGTACATCAGAGGGATCATCGCTTCTCGATGCATTGGTGTCGGCGTTGACCGAGCCCGTTCCGTTCGGACCTGACGGCGAAAAGGATAAAGACGAAGAATTCCAAGAAAACATTATCAGGCAAGTTTGGCTCCGTTGCTAACGTATCCAGAGTTTGACGGCATCTCCAAGAATTTTATATACATTCGTCGCACACTGGAACGGCAGGCTTTCTGCTGCGCAGAAACACGGTCTTCACGGATTCCTAGGAGGAATGACCCAATCGGATAACTTTGGCCTGACTAGCGGTGAATTCGAGGCGTTGAGCGATGCAGTTCAGGGATCGTAGTTGGAACCCCATTTGTCCATCTGATAACGCGATTTTATCTAGCCGAACAATATTAAGTCCTTTGACTTACGTTACGCATGTTTTGAATTGCTTATGACATTGGTTGAACCAGCTTCAAGGGACTCAAGAGACTAAGTCAGGTTTCGGCTAGAGTAAGGGCGAAGCTCTATTTCTCTATGCTCAAGAGTCAAGGTTCATGTCCTCGTCTGGCAATGGAACGTCCACAAAGTACTTACTCAACCGACCGTGGTCGGTTCTGAGGAAGGTGGTTTAGGTAAGTTCGGCTCGTGCTATCATCCTCATCAATTGTCCGGACCCTGAAAGACATCAGTGCCAATTAATTTAGTGCTTCAGGCTTGGATTGAGCTAGACATCGAAGCCTTTCGAAGCCAACCTTGTTTTTCAACGACTTCGACGAAAATTTTAGATTCGATCCTTGTTCACAACCTTCACGAACACTCTCCTCGATGGCTGCTCTCTGTCTGCACAATGCACTCTTCACATCTGAATCAGACAAACGACTCGCCACGCCCATAACGCGTATCCTTTCGCTCACGACAATCCAAGAGCATAACCCAACCTCCTTGACCTTCAACTCCCCCGCATATCTCGACCTACTTTCTCGACAACCATTGCATCCCGATGGTCCACGACATTGGGATCTCGGTCTCGACCTCATTGGAGACCCAATAACTGCAGCAGAATGTAAAAGCCTTGAAGATCGCATCACGAAAGCAAAACTCCGTCGCCTGCAAAGGATTTGCGTGGCTTTCGAAGTTGTTCTTGGTATACCATATACTTGACTCACGTACCTTGAGGGCCTATCAGCTGATCAACTTTTCGTTCTCAGGTATATGGTCGATATATTGCACGATCCGCTACTCCCTCGCATTTCAAACGACTTCCATCTCCTCTGTGCGCACGCTCGCACTCGTATTGTGTATTACTTCTGCGGTCACTGTCGCTGGAGTAGTTGTGACGCTGTTTATGCCTCTCCTTCCTGAACATGTCTTCGTTCGTGCTTCGTCACATACGAGGATGACCTTACGAGGATGCTGTATAGTGTTGATTGTTGCGACTGCGATTACGAATCTTGTGTTTGTTCTCATATGGCGTCCTGTCGACAGATGCGGTTGGGACATGGATGTCGCTTGGTCAACTTTTTCTACCATGAATTCAACGTCACCGCACTGCCGAACCGCAACCCTTGCGGCTTGGACGATCGCTGCGTCCTTGCGGGTTATTGCAACCTTGATCATGATCGTGAGTCTCGTTTTCAACGATGGATTTCTAATTGATCGACGAGCCTTCCTTCAGCTGTTGTACCTCTATTTCCTCAAAGCATATCTCGTCACAAGGCATCCATCAAAATATACCAGAGAGATGTACTACCCTCCATTGATGGCCTCGGATGATACTGTAGACTCCCCTGTATCCACCCTCGACCCATCAGCATCAAGGACGCGCGTCAACCACCTAATACGGTCCACAACTGCACTCGGTCTGTCTAGCTCCACATTAGCACTCACTAATTCAAGCACCACCCTCGCACCCACCCTTTCCCCCTCCAGTCAATCCCACTCCCATCCAAGTATGCTAGCCACACAGGCATACAACCCCGCGTCTTCGAGCCCCCAACGTTCCCGTCGGATATGGCCAAATTGGACAAGTTTGCGACTCTCAGGAGATGCAGGTCATCAAAGGCAAAATGGTCGTTCCGACACACCCCACACGCTCCGCCGGAAAAGCCGTATCTCGAGTGAACATATCTCGCGCAATGCGGACATACCCGATGCCTGGGAGGAGTGCACGGAAGTGTATGCCGTCGCCCCTGGTGCCGCATCGCGCGTCCCAGGCGTTCCAAGCCCTTTGTGCGCCACTGATAAGTGTTCGATAGGGGGCCGCAGGTCTTCGTCTATGGGTACCCTGATGACTGAGTCCGACGACTGTGGCTCTGTCTATTCTTACGGATACGGGGCCACAGAACCAGCTTACCCCTATCTGGAAGTCTACAATCCTTCGATCGAGCGAAATTACAACCTCGCGCCGCCGGCTAATGTCACCCAACAGCCTCGGCTGTCCGCGGCAGTGATACCAGCCACCTTCGAGCCTGCGTCACTGCTGACGGCGACCAAAGATTATGGCGTAGAAGACGAACTGATACCCATAATGGGCGGTTTCGTACGGCGCATGTCTACCATCGAATCATTCGGCTCTCGAGAAGCAGCAACGTCGATGACACGCTCGTACTTCTCGAGGTATTCAGGGACTCTCGCATCTCATCATTCATCTCTTGGCTTAGCCAGCTGCGCGCCGTCCATCGAATCCACGTTGAGCAGGAACAACTCGCTTGGGACTGCCTACTTTTCCGTCTCGAGTGAAACGGGAGGCTCTAGTGTCAAATTTGTGAATGAACGGGGCGAGTTGGAGGCTAAAACGACGAGTCCACCTTCGTACAGTCGATATTACTATACTCGAGACGCTAACCGCACTACTTTATCAGTACCACCATCCTAGAGCACACGCGGACAAGGCGCACATCATTACCGTTAGAGGACTATCTTCCACGATCTACCATTGTATGACATCTACGAACAGGACGAATAAAAATGGAGGTCCCAACGGTAATCCTGTTCGCCTATTTGAGTCATACAGCAATTGAAATTGATGGGCAGTACTGCGTACGAGTAGAACGCTCTGGACCAATCACAAACGTCAAACATGTGATTCTGATACGCGGTACTGCATTCAGCTGTATACCCACTTCGCCGATATGAAACAGGACGCGGAGCTCAAGATAGTATGATGACAAGGATCCGGTTCCGAGAACCATATCAACGGTGGATCATCGATGATATCCCGGCACCGACGACGACGGGAGGTATACTGAGGTACAGAAGCCGAATCTAATAGAAAAGAGTGGTGATAAGGAGACTGGACGGTGAAGATCGGAATCCCATACGACAGCGTACACGTAGGATGACCTAGGATGACATTGCCTTTTGGGAGCGTTCCACAAAGTTCGACCAATCGCAGTCGTAGTTTTGATATCCCCATGGGTATTTGAATCTCGACTATGTATCGAGCGTCACTTTACAGGCGCGCTTGTTCCCCCCCCCCCCCCCCTTTGCTATTTAGCGCTGAAGGTGACTCGCTGTAAGCGTACTTGCCGCAATCACACATGCGGCAACGATTGAAACCAAATGAGTTGACACTTTCTGCCATACCTTTGTCTCACGCCGCGGAGTGCCACTACAGCGATTAAAATTCAAATGAAAATTCGGCCATGACCAGCGTGTGCAAGTATAACGCAAACGTTGCTTGCAGCCCGTGGAAAGCCTGCAGAGGAACTGAGCTCCTTCTCACGGCTTCTCCAGAATCGGGAGATGTGTCGAAAATTAGGTCATGTTCTCAAAGCTAAGGCACTGCTACCGCGATGTGGAGCATGACGAGTCTTGTCGGATGAGCCGTCCCATGTATGAAAATTTCCTCACCCACTCCCGAGCTCCCCGAAGTCATCTAATCATGTTAACATCGTCCAGTTACAGCAATTCGCATGCGATAAGATCTTTTCATAAGTAGGCATGACAATAACCACAGAACCGACGTCTAGTAGTAAAGCGTGGAACACTCTAGCAAATATGGCGCTGATGAATATGCCAACCGACAGAACATATAATGACTTCTGCACGTCGAAAACGGTGACATATACTTGAAGCGTTCACGCGGAGCTCTGCGACCCGGAGTCGCGCCGAGTCAATCTAAGCCTGCGGTGGAATCGCGAAACGGGGCGATCATCGCGTACTCCTGACGGACCGATCACTCGACTATCGATAGTTTCGTCTTCTTCAGCCCCGCAGTTTGATCTTCTACGTTATCCTGTCTTCTCTTCCCCTTCCTTGCAGAAGAGGCGACAGAAGCTGCGGTTGCATCTCTACTCGAAGGGGCGGAAAGAAGGGTCGTCTACGCCAGCGGGCTTCATGAACTGCGTTGCTGGACGACATCGCTGCTGATGAAGTGCGGTTTGATAAGGAGCGGAGGTCAACGCCAACGCTGCTATTGTCGTATATCAGCCGACTTGCCGGTTCCTTGAGCTTCTTTGATGGCTTGGCGATTGCACTGGTCGTGCTGGATATCGATTTGATTTTGATTTTCCGAGCGTGATCAGGTTGAACGATTTCTATAGGCTGCGGGTCTGGAGGTTTGGAAGACTAATGGAGAAGAGCATTGAACCTGATCGTGAGCGCACATAAGGTACCACAGATACTCACCTCTTCTCCGTTTTTATTGAATTTGCGACGTCCTTGCGGTTTGACGCCGCTAACAGATGAAGTTCCATTTTCCTCCCCATCGAGTTTTTCAGAAACAGACGGAAAGAGGAAAGGCATATATGATCTCTCATATAGATCGTCATTTCTGTCGCAAAGTCGCTGAAGCCGTAAGGAGACAAAATCCAACTACGTGCAAACTCACGAATCTGAGCTGGACTCTCCCTCTGCAAGTCCCCAAGCTTTACGAATATCAGGCGCCACTTCCCATTCGGCATCATCCTTAACGTGGGCTTTCTCGAGCGAGACACTGGATAACTGTTGTGCTCTTCGAGCATTTTGCATGAAACGCAGGTTCAAAGTCCCAGTGCTCAGCGTTTTCTCGACCATGGTGGTTGGCGTACATAAGACATCTCGGTTGATTATGGGGTTCTTGAGAAAATATTACGTAACGGAGGTTTGCGAAAGGATGCTGTTACCTCGAGCTCGGAGATTGTGTGCAGTGCTGAACCTAGAACTTCGAACCCTGCCAGCGCAAACTTCAGAAGCTAGACTCCCGTTGAGCGCAACCGAGTAAGTATGATAACAGTTCCACCGGCGCCCCTGAAGTCTCCCTGGTTGGTCAATCTTGAATCTTAGCAGCACACCTTACGACTACTTTACGAACCTGCTGAGAAGGAGGGTGACGATAGGCTTAGGTGACGCATGATGGAGGAATAAAAGAACCAGCCTCGGAGTTCAGGATTGCATTGTTTTCAATTTCATTGTATAGTAATTAGCTGACAGCCAGGCCCGTAATGTTCGTTATTAAGGGAGCCGTTGCTGACTTCCTGGTATGAGTCAGGACTTGAGGACTCTGAAAAGGCAAGTTTGTGCGGATAAAAGCTCTTGTACTCGTCATAGGCTCGGATATGATAGTTGTACCCGACTGTCGAGAGGCAACAAGTCATTTCCCCTCTGTACAGACATTTGAAAAAAGCCAAGTTGAAGATGCCGAGATGCTCGAGTTTCAAGATCTGGAGGGTGAAATTTAATACCCTTCTGTAGATTGCATTACAGCTGGGTTTGCAACTCAATTAGGATCCATTTTGGGTGTAGTTCCTTACTTTTCGTAGCGCCAGCTGCGGTTCCCATCTACGCATGCAGGATGGGTTTGTTGTTTTTTTAGACGGGAACACTACTTACGTCGTAGCCCGCGCATCAAAGGCCATCGTCATGGTTGTAAGCCGATGATCGTGATTGTCATAAAACTATGCGCAAGGAGAAGGCTTTGTCAGGGAATAATAGTCGTGTTGGGCAGGCGCTTAGGACGATGCGGGATGGGTTGCGAATAGTGACAATCCTGAGAGTAGATAGGATCAACAGTTCATGGTGGTCTGCGAACTAAGGCTTCGGTGACCACGGTGGGACCAAGTATTGATTTACGGTTATCAGGAATACATAACATTTCCCCGACGTCAGAGGCGACATTAATTCTCATAGGTCCGGGGGTGCAATAACAACTGTGCTGAGGCACGAAATGGACTGGACTGCCGATCAAGAACCCAGAGATCTGGTATAACACGACGGCCAGGCACTGAAAGGAGGGGCGCAACGGTATCGTGGGGCAGTTTTTGAGAGGATGCGGTAGATACGCGATACGGGCATGAGAACGATTTCGAAAGCACAGTAATTCTGCCTTTTGCGTCAGAGAGAGACAAGAATCGACATGTCGCGTTCAAACGTAGCAGTTGATGAACGTGGAAGATATCAATAACCGCGACAAGCTGCGAAAGGTGATTCCCAGCATCATAGAAGGATCAAAATTCGCACGATCATTAGTGCTAGCCCTGCCAGGGGGGAAGAGTAGTGGGGGAATGAATTCAGTGTAAAGGGACATGGCGACCTGGTATACCGAAAAATAGATTTTTTTTAAAATTGAATAATTGAAGTAGGTTCCGAGTTGGGTGGTATGTTTTAGAGGCCCGACAGGGTGTGAGAGATCGAGCATGTGCAGTAGTGGAAACCTATTCAAGTATAAAGTTACCAAATAACAACCTTCGACGTTGATGGTCCGGAATTATATGAAGTTATCATATCAATCTAAGATGTAGACCAAAAAAGAAAAATTTAATAAAACTCAGCAAGTTGGCTGCTGCGATAACATGTGTCATTATTGAATCATCGTTTGTCGTCGTTTGTCACTTCTCGTCTATCCCTGTACGTCTCGCTTAGTTTTACCTCGTGCGATGACATCCATTCAAAAACGGTCCGGAATCAAATATCTTTCATATGGTCTTCATCATGCCAATTAGGTTCCTTCCTTCTTACTCCCCTCCTCGATCTTACTACTACAAGGTCGATCAATTACGGCCACTATATCTCTTCGCTTCGCTCACATATATATAATATCTTCCTTCTTCTTCCATTCTCCCTTCATCTCCTCGTCTATCCAACCCAATGTCTTCTTTCCATCTTCGTCCTGTTGAACATTCTCCATCCCCACCATCAAGTGCATCAACAACTACAGCAGGAGATCATAGTCCACTTCACAAATCTTCTATCATACACCCTTCCCCGTCTTCAGGCAATTCTCTAGCACCAAGGCGTCCACTATCCCCCAGTTCGCTGCGTGGTGAGATCAATTCCTACCTATTGCACAACGTCCTCTGACGTCCATCAAGATGTTAACCTCACTCAGGATGGAAATTCTACACCGAGAAAGTATCCTGCACCACCAACAGGCCACGAACTTATGGCTCTTTTCCCCCCTGCACCACCTGCAAATTTCGCAGAGATGAGACCTGGTCCTACCAGTGGATTCTTTCAACGACAGGAGCGCGCATTTTTCGCTCAAGCAGGCAGGGAGATCGTTCGAGTTCGCGTAGAGATCGATGTACCACAGCAAGAGGACCCCCATAACACTACTAAGAGTAGGGAGCCCCCATCAAGTGGCGCACCGCGCTCTTGGCCACAATTACCGCCACACCCTCAACATCATTCACCTATTGATTCCCAAATGGGTCAATATCCCCATCATCCAAAGCAACCCAGATCATCACGTGCAATGCCCTCGCCCGCCCAACCAACATCCATGTTTCCCGTGGCGCCTCACGGCCAGCCACCCCAGCCACCTCTTAATCTCCACCCATCATCACACCATGGCGGCGTCGGTTTACGTAGTCCACCTCATGATGTTCATCCTGCCCCTGGCCCAAAAGTAGAAATTCAGGCTACAGAAGATTACCGAGAAGATTCAGATGAAGCATGGCGCAGGCCAACCCCTTATGCAGATCGCCGGCGAGCAGGAAAGCATACAAAGCGCATTATTGTTCGAAATTGATGTGAGACTTATCCTTTCTAAGAAAATTCCGTTCGATCCTAATTACCTTTCAGTTTGGCCAATAAACGTCAGATGATGACGACGGTCCTACGTTCTTCGGTTGATCCGATGCTAGTTCCTATTATATGACTTGCGCCTTGACTTGACTCTTCACAATCTCAACATCGTATCACGAGTCCCACATACTTGCCATAGTGACCACATACCGAGAGGTTATACAAAGTATAACTTTCTATCACCAGCAACTGTTTCGCAAACCCACGATCTGTCTCGTTAAGAGTGTCATTGTAATTATTTTACGATCCAAATCCGGCCCTTCCCGTTGTCAAATCGACTTCCGTCATAGACTTCTTATACAGTGGGTACGCCTCGGTTTGTGATGATTGCCGGAAGTATACAATACATACACACATACATAATCAAAGCAGGTACCGGACAATGGACAGAGATCCGGAGAACACCCCAACCGTTTCACACTTGTGCCAAATATCCGACACTTCCCTCGGGGATCCGTTAGGAACAAAGCCAAGCCCATGTCCATGGCTTCTATTAATCTCGTCCGTTCATATCTGGGTTCTTGATCTGGGACTTGGCCACAATGAGATCATGGCATGCTTGCATTGGAAATGACTCTTTTATGTAACTTGAGATGGATTTGTATGCCTCACGTTCCCCGCTGTGAAATGGAGCTACTTACCAGCCACTCTCTGAAATTACATACGATACCGGTCCGTTTTCCGATCGAGCTTCATCGTTGTCGACTTGTCCAGGTCAGGCATCGCCGCTCAAGACAAATCCCAAGAGGAGTAACCAAGGATTGAAATCAAGAATATCAATTGAGAACCGCACGTGCCTGTATTATTCTCACGACGTCCTTGAGAACTTTCCCTAAGCCAAGATTGACGACCCGCTTCGAACGGGATTGTGGGGGAACTTAATCCCTTCTACCGCCCTTCATCGATTCTGTCCGTGACGATCAAACAAGGACCCGAATCAAACAGGCGAGGAGCGACATAGACCGCGTCATGATTAGTGCTTCCGAATACTTGATTCGAAAAAAGAAGCCATAGCTGCGTACAATGATCCCTGTCTCTGCCAACGCATGTCCGTCGATCGATAAAGAAGTCCCCTAAAATGGTTGGGGGAATGGAAGGATGACACAAGTCATTCCGGTATCAAATGACACTTGAACCGAACCAGCCTGTATGCGATGATGTCCAATGATTCATTTAATACTTATTTATGATCCGCCAAGTCAGATGTATACATACAATGAGATGGGTTACTGATAAGCGCTGGGAATTCGCCACGAGGCACCTAGAAAGGGAAAGAGAGAGATAAGTGACAGGGAACTACCAAGTAGGCGAGTGACAAAGAGATATCATTTCACATACGTCACCTACTAATGGAGTGAAGTAGTGAATACGGGAGATAGAAAGGGAGTCATGAGGCAGGTTTCCGTGGGCCCTGGCGGTGATGCATGCGGAGTGGACTGGACTGGAAGATATTTCCGGGGGGTGGGAATTAGTGCTACGTTAAGTTATTTGCCAGCTGGCAGGTTGGCGGGGGGGTACATGTCGAATACACGAACGCCGTCGCGATAATACAACCAACGGCGGTTGATCGAAATCTCGCCAGACCTCGATGCTGTGCAATGCGGGGAAACAAATCATGACGTTGCCATTCTAAGGGTACTTCTAGAGTTAGGAGGTAACGGAACTACCTCGATTGTAAACTTGACTGAATACGTCTCCAACCCGCGATATTAATATTAATGACGGCCACCTGACTAAATGGAAATGTGCGCAGTTGCAGGCTGATTATCATCGTTTCGCCGACCTCGAAGTTCCGGGTCCTCATTCCATTCGTCCGATCAAATGGAAGTCATCATACAAGTCCCTGATATCGAGGCGAACAAGTACGGCTGCCAGCTGTAACGGTCGAATTGGTTTGGACGCAATATGACCAAATATTTGAATGTCAGTCACTCGAGGACCGGCTTGATCGGTTAGTGGGCGTTGTTTGAGACTAGCTATAGCTAGTGGTGTACTATCTTGATGCCGTTTTACCGCAGCAGACGGACTCCAGGCTGTTTGACATTGACAAGTTTCTAAGAGTCAGAACCTGTTAGGTCAGGACAGAACCCACTTGCTTGGGTAAAAAGCAAACTCAGCGGCCCGGAAAATGCCGCTTATCTCCAACCGCGAACCACACTGATCTTTCCGAGTCCTGGATCCTCTAGTCCTGAGTGGAATACCGTACGATCGATAGTACTGCGATACGCGGAATTATTGTTCCTCCTTGTATCGATTCTCGAGTGTACAATGGTCAGTGTTCAACAATGCTGGATCAATTCAGATTACCATGATAAAGCAGTGAATCTGATATCCGTTGGCTGTACTTCTAGTCTAAAGCGTCGAAGGATACAGCCGTATCTGAATTCTGCTCGATAACTGGCGCATCGTGAGTCTTGTCCTATCCGATCCAAGGATTTTTTGGTGGCCGGGTCACCTCCCGATATTAATCTCCTCCTCCGCAGTCCAAAAGATGCCAAGCGATATCTGGACAAGCACCAGAGACGGCTCGACGCGGCAATTGATGCCTTTTTTCAAGATGGCTGCGGCAGAACAACCGTTGCTTCAACGAGCAAGTTGAATGCCCTGTTCGAGAAATACAAGGGCGAGTACTACATATGCGCAGCACTAAATCATCACTAAATATAATCGTCGTGCATAGATCCAACTGGAGACGAAATTTCAATAGACGGAACTCTTCAATTGTGTCAGGATCTCCAAGTAGATCCAGAGGATGTCGTTCTGCTCGCAGTTGCTTACGAACTGAAATCTCCGAAAGTTGGGGAGTGGAACAGGAAAGGTTGGGTAGAGGGATGGTCACGACTTGGGTCAGTGCGCCCGCATTCATCTCCGCAATTGACCTCCGACTTAATTTTACTGTGCAGCTGCGATACCATTGTCGGCATGAAAGATGCTCTAACGCGGTTGCGGGGGAAGTTGGGATCTGACTCGACCTATTTCCATAAAGTGTACGATCACACGTTCACTTTTGCTCGGACGGAGGGACAACGGAGTCTAGGTACGCATGGACATGATCGCTGAACAGCAGGGAAAGTTATTGATTATTTTAGCGATCGACACGGCAGTGGCGTTTTGGGGCTTATTGCTTCCGACAGGACTGGCAGGCGGCGCGCTAAATCATGACTTGACAGGAGAAGACGTAGATATGGATGGCGAGGGAAGTTCCGGGTGGACAGATGAGCACACGCAATGGTGGTTCCAGTTCTTGACTGAGAAGGGGGGTAAGGGCGTGAGCAAAGATACGTGGATGATGGTGAGAGGTCAAGCAAGACTATCCATGCGTTGACTGATCCATAAGCAACAGTTATTTGATTTCATCCGCTCTATCGATTCCAAATTTTTGACACATGATGTGGAGGGTGGGAAAGGTCGTTCTGTCCTTGAGCGTCAAACGCTAATGTATTTTGCAGCTGCATGGCCTTCCGCGATAGACGATTTTGTGGCGTGGGCAAGGTCAGTGGGGAAAGTCGCGACTCCAGAGGCAACATGACAGATAATTAGCGATGTGGGAGGCTGATAGTTTTTCATTCCATGTAGAGTATCATCGCTGTGTGTGCAAAGTACGCCATATATACCGATGGGAAAGACAAGAAGGTACCATTGTACCGGTGCATTGACGAGATTGCGAAACAGGCACTTGTGACTTTACAGAGAAAGGAAAAATGGCTCGTTGCAAGCAACAGTCCAGGGGACTTTAGAATTTATTGCCATGGCCCATCACGTAAACTTCTCTCTTGACAGTAAGGATGGGAGGAAATTTGTGTGTTTAATCATTGAAAACCTTGGTGAGGCAGGCGTTATAACAACGGCCGCCATAAGCTTTGGAGCATCCCTGGTGTCGAGTTTGTTACTGACAAAAATAAATTATATACACGCGACTGACTCTATAGAGATGCGTATGACGATGTCTGATCCACTCTCAGCGATCCATAGGATATCGAGATACGTGCCGGATGCTGTGATGCCAAACGTCTCCGTCAAACCATCTTGCATCGATTTTCTTAGTTTCAGAGCATCTGCACAATGTGGACTGATAGAAAAATGGATATAGGAATGTTTTTTCAAGGATGGATGGCGCGTCATGATGTTGGGATGAAGACAAGCTACGCACGTAATTCAGGTACAGTACCATGTTGAAACTATCGATTACGTCATCCTGCCTTCTGCTTTCCGACCGTCAACTTGAAAATCCTTGGGGCTACATCCAAGCCCCTCGGATATTTTTTTTCTGTCCACCGGTTCATCAATTCTTTTCCATGCCAAGCTCGAACAGGACATGTTGTGGTTTCGTTGAAGAAGCACGCTTGCGAGCACACGACCGCCGTTACAAACCACAGCCGTGGATCGTTCTCAAGTTCGCCGTTGGGCTGACGTTGGCGCTGATTGCATATACAACCTATGTTTATGTTGGTATATTCTGTAGGGATATGATTGTAAAGAATCAGAGTGCATTGGGAAGTCAAGCTCTCGGCAGTATGTACATCCTCGTCTTTCCATGCCATCAGTGCTGAGTAGATGTTTTAGTCGTGTTTCTAGTCATATTCTCCATCCTTCTCTTGCTTGTTTTATGGTCATACATATCGGTTAGTTGGCAGATCTCAATGATACTGGCTTCATTAAATATTTTCGCCTCCTCAGGTCATAACCACATCACCAGGGTATGCAACAGACGTATGTAGTATTCAGTCCTTCGTTATCACGTTCACCACCAATCGCTTCTTCTCAAGCTTGTAGCAAAGACCTGAGCGGCCGGGATATCAGCTAGCGCCTGAGCAACAGTCCGCTACTTTCGATGACACCCGTGGAATGTCTTACGAACTTCTGTCTCCTACGATCGACCCATCTCATCACCCCTCGGCTTTACCAACTTCAGCAAATATTGTGACTGTGACGCCCCCGGCTGTTCCAGCAGCGGCTAAGGTTTATCAGTCGGCTCATCATCATCAGAATACACATGTCCCTGGTGAAGCACACATCACGAACGTACCCGCTAATCCTGAAACCATGTGTGTCCCGGACCCTGCAGCACCCTCATCCCACGCGAACTCCCATGAATCTAGCTCAGATCCGCCTGAACCGATGTTCCCGCGACGACCATCGACGACACCTGTTCTTCTCCCCGAGATTCGTTACTGCAGCAAAGACAGAATCATCAAACCTCCACGTACACATCATTGTCGAGCTTGTGGCACTGTAAGTGGAATCCTTTGACGACGATGTTACTCTCACGTTTTACGTGGATAGTGTGTTTTAAAGTATGACCATCACTGCCCATGTCAGTAAGATCTATTCTTTGTGTTCCATATCTAAATATATTGGAACTCAGGGGTCGGACATTGCGTCGGTGCTTTCAATCACAAGGTAATACTTGACAGGGCTGTCCGGATCCAGTCGTTCACTAATATATTTTTCGGAGTTTTTCGTTAATTTTGTGCAATGGGCGACGATACTTTCTTTCTGGATGTTCGCGACGATTTTAGGTCTCACCATCAAGTCACAGTCTAAATCCCCGGCTCCCGGCATCAACCCACAACACATCGTTGTAGTGGCCCTGTCTGTTGCTGTCGAATGTTGTCGACATTCTTACTGATACCTTTTCGCAGATCGGCTTTCTTCGGCATCTTCTGTTGCCTTATGTTCCTGACACATGTGCATCTAATTATGTTGAACCAAACGACTGTGGAATCCCTTGGATTTAGAAACATGAAGGAGCGTGAGCAAGACAATCTGGCGCGCATGCACCGATGTTACGACTTTGGGTGCGTGATTGATCCGTGTCCGGGTTATCGTTTTGCGCAATCGCACGTGATTGCTCACTCATCTGAATATTCAGAGCTAAGCGACGAACGCGGCAACGCTGGGATAAGGAATGGGGCAGAATTGACAAGGAAGGTAACCTCTGGTGGCTGGGAAGTAACAGAGCAAACTGGGAAAGTGTAATGGGCAAGAACGTGTGGTGGTGGTTCTGTGAGTTTTATCATATCATATGATGTTTTATTCTCCGTCACTGACAAGCGGCATGGTTTTCAGTGCCTGTGGGACATGGACTCGAGGATGGGCTGCACTATCCCCCTAACCCACGATTTGACAAGCAAGGGAGATTGATGAGAAGGAGAGAGTGGCCTTCTGACTTACGATGATATACAACCATTTTTTCTGCAGGAATCTACGCACACGCATACTTACTACATGTTATGATATATCACAGCCACAGACTTACTCTACGTTGGTTCGTCCCTTAGACATACAAGTTTCTGGATTTTTTTGTACGATACATATGTAACCCTCTCCATCATCAATGAGTTCTCCCATTGCATCTCAATATGACGTTGATTGACGAGAGCAGGAGAGCACGTACAACATTAGTCATGACTCTTCGTCAAGGCTTGTTAGCGACAACATTTTGGTACTGAGAATTGCAGCACGAAGAGAGGAAGCTCCTAGTCTGGAAAATGAATAGCCGATCACGGTCGAACTAGCCCGCACACAGAGAATCTCCAGAGGAGTTTCTCTACCACCCAAGCTCAGTTAGTCCACGGTGATTCTATCAATGACCGAGAATGCAACGTGTGCCATGACCCAAACTCATGGGTTGTTTCAAGAGGGAATTGGATGGCGCATACCGGAACTTTGTAAGTCTAAAAGGCGAAAAAGTCTTGCAACTATGAATACTCGGTAATTTGAAGAACACCCGGTTTCCGTCAAGCTTCCGTAGTTGATTTCATCTCTGGATGGAGCCTCGCATCATACTTGCAACTCGTAGCCTCATATCATTGCTGCCGGTGATGGAGTCCTACCAAGTGGGGAAAATATCCGAGGGTTATTGACAAAGTCTAAACGGCACTTTGTCAATTCATAATCATTAATGTTATGTAAATGAGTTGGTTTAGCAACGTTGAGGCCCTCGGCATCTGGCAGTGCCTCTCCGACTTGGATGAGGCGCTACCGACGGGCATGGAGTATATGCCAGGAGCAACGTTTCGCTGGGACGTGACTCAGGAGCGATAACATCATAGGGACCGACCGGGGTCCTCTCGGGCGGACCAAGACGGTCAAATCACAGTACTCACGCGAGCTCCTTCGTTACTTTCACGCATCCCACTGTTGGTGCTCTGGTCAAGTTTTCTTCTCCCAAGCACGTACTTAAGCCCTCTTAACTCTCGCAATGTCTCCAGCTCTCAACTCGAATAACGGGCACGTTGACCAAGTGACGGTTCACAAAATCGTGAAACAGCATAATGGCAATGGCGTCCATACCACCAGCAACGCAGATGACCAGCTGACTTCAGCGATGGTCATCAATCTGGAGCATGAATATGGTGCTCACAAGTAAGTCCCCTGATTCCTTGGCGAACGATTACCTTCCTCGACAGTCGAGAGATCTCGTCAAAATCACATTAACATTACCTCGGTCCGAGCCGAAGTTGATGGTTCATCTCTTCGTTGGTTCAAGAGCCACGAATGCATACTGATGAGACGCTTAATTCTTATAGTTATCATCCTCTGCCAATAGTATTTGATTCCGCACAAGGGGCAAAGTGAGGGAATTCTGCCATTTGGATTAGGTGTTTTTAGCTAATTGATGACTCCAGGGTATGGGATCCGGAAGGCAATGAGTACATTGATATGTTGTCTGCATACTCGTAGGCGTTTCGCTGCAATTTAATGTGCCTTTTGATTAACTCACCTTATTAGGGCGGTTAATCAGGTTTGTCACTCGCAAAAGACGACGCATGGGTGGGGATGGGCTGACTGGCATGCGGTCAAATTTTTAGGGTCATTGTCATCCAAAGATAGTCGCTACTCTAGTAGAGCAAGCCCAGAAACTCACTCTGTCATCTCGTGCCTTCTACAATTCTGTCTTTGGGAGGTTCGCACAGCAGATTACACAGATGTTCTCATATGAAAGTGTTCTCCCGATGAATACCGGTGCCGAGGCGGTCGAGACTGCTGTCAAGCTTTCTAGGAAGTGGGCATACCTAAAGAAGGGTGTACCGAATGGAAAAGCTATTGTGCTTAGCGTTGAAGGGAATTTCCACGGAAGAACTCTGGGGATCATTAGGTATGTGTGACTCTTAAGGCCTTAGGTCCGTTCTGGAGCCAATCTATTCATAATTCGCGGTCCAGTATGAGCACTGATCCGGAGAGCCGTGGGGGCTTCGGCCCCTACCTCGAGGGTGTTGGGCCAACTTACCAGGATAATGATGAAGTCCGTCTCATCCGCTACGGAGAGATATCGGATCTCGAACGTGCTTTCGAACTTCATGGAAGACACGTGGCAGCATTCTTGGTGGAGCCAATTCAAGGGGAGGCAGGGTGTGTTTTTCTAGCGAGTTCACTCTGAAGATGTACCTTGATCACTGATTTGCGTCTAGAATTGTTGTGCCACCCAGCGGTTATCTTGCAAAAGTTCGAGAACTCTGTACCAAGCACAATGTTCTTCTTATCTGCGATGAAATCCAGACGGTACGTTTCCTCATAAGCTTCATGAGAGCAGCAATATGCTCATTGATACTTTAGGGATTGTGCAGGACAGGGCAAGATGCTGTGCTGCGAACATGACGGCATTCGGCCGGATATGATCTTGCTTGGGAAGGCACTGTCAGGTGGAGGTGAGTTGGTCTTGGTTTTGTGCCTAATGGTTTCCCACATACCACGCGACTGCTCCACAGTGTACCCCGTCTCGGCAGTTCTCGCGGACCGCGAGGTCATGGACTGTATTAAGCCTGGAGAACATGGCAGTACATACGGCGGGTGCGTCATCCCGATGGTTTCTTCGGAAACCTATTTACGTCGTTATTTAGGAACCCATTGGGGTGTGCGGTCGCTATGACATCCCTGCGCGTCCTCGTAGATGAGAAGCTCGCAGATCGTGCACGGGATCTCGGTGAAATATTCCGCGCGGGAATTCTGGCGTTGAAATCTCCATTGGTACAGGAAGTTCGAGGGAGAGGCCTTCTCAATGCGGTGGTAATTGACGAGGACAAGAGCTCCAAGGGCCGCACCGCATGGCAATTCTGCTTGCTTCTGAAGAGCCGAGGCGTTCTTGCGAAACCGACTCATGTCAATATGTATGTGACTTGATTTTTTTTTATTTCAATCTGCTATAACTGTCTTCTGCGGTACAGCGTCCGTTTTGCCCCTCCGTTGGTGATACTCGAGGAGGACCTCCGAAAGGCCATCGAGATAATTGGACAATGTCTTTTTGACCTTGACCAGGTGAGTGTCTAACAGGGAGTTGTGAACTCGCTTTGAAACTGCCTTGATTTCTAGCTCGACGACATCCCAGGAGAAGTTGAGAGTGAGAAGGGTTTCAGAAACACTGTCGACTGATCGATGATGCGATGTTGTCTGTATGACTTTCATGTATGTTGCGTACGTAGGTTTTCCTTGCAAGTTTCTTGTTTTGGTTGCTCTAAGAAAATCGCGCGCGAACCCTCCGAACCAGTCAGGTTGTACATAGAACCCCCATCATATGATTCCTATCACAGTGATGAACGTAAGAGGTGGGAGGGCGAAGGGCCTACCTGAGGTACGTGATCTGAGCGAAAACGTGGACGTGCAGCTCAGGATCCCCAAACGGATCCAGGTGGAAGACAGCCGTTCCTTCTTCAAGAGGTGACTCAAATCACGGTGAGACGATTTGCGCCAGGTAAGTCGTGGTGATGTGCCAGGGCGCACCAGTGGCGGGGGAGCCACTGACGTGCGATTATCGAGGATCTACCGAGTTCTGTATGTCGGCGTCTCAATCAATGTCCGTGGCAACCAGCATGCTTGTCCACACCACCATGCAGGGCGGCGCTGGCCCAGCTCGTGCCCGAAATACGTATGGCTAGAATGGATTCGCTGTCAGATATGTAAAGAAAAATGCACTCGCCTCTATTAGATCGGATCATGATGCATCATGGTCCATCCGTGACATTGACAGTTGCAGCCTGTTAAAGTCTTTCATAGGACGCCGGGGGGGATTGCTTCTTGATCATGCATACACGCAGGCCCATCGCAGGGACCTGCTAGAAATCGATTGCAAAGGTAGTAGGTAGTACACATAGATAAAATACAAAAATATGAGGCACCTCGTAGGGTCAACTTCTATGCAAACCAGAAGTCGACCGAAAAAAATGCCAGTGGTCTGATAAGACACATTCATCTTCCCTAACATTAGCAACTCGACGCCCGATAGGAAGGTTCGAGCATCGAGTGAATAAAAAGGGATACGTTCTAAATGATTATGACCTGCAAAATTTTTCATTGGGCCATCATGCATCATGATGGTGTGATGCTCGGATGCAGAAAGTAGGCTAAGAATGGCCATTTTGCTGGGTTTATTAGGACTCATGAAAGGCTTGGAGCTCAGTATACAGAGCATCGCGAGAGATCGCGAGGTTTAAAATGTTGCAGTGGTGTCGACGACGGAGGAAGAAACTCAGAAAGCGCAATTTTTTTGTGATCGCGTAAGACGATGTCATGTGTTTTTCTAAGGGACACGTTAACTTCGCTAAGGAATAACTTACATAAATTGTAGTACATATAAGAGTAATTGAGGTTTGCGAGGAAGCCTCATCAGCTTGCCTTCTCGTCGTTTAGTGGAATCCTTGAGATGGCCCTCTCGAGTCCCCAAGGGCTCCGCCAACGAAAGTTTCCTGACGAGGTGTTGGGAAATTCAGCAGCCCAAGATGTGTACGGGCAGCCAGAGAAGACACCTGAAGCACGGGAGGAAGTGGTTTGGGGACAAACGCCAGGCGGCGAAGGTGAGTGTTGGTGGGAAAGCTTTCTTAGGTTTGCGCCTGACAAAGTACATTCCCAGTCTTTCGGGTACCAACTACGCACGATGTGCTAACCGGGCTTTTCCATCCACGCTACCCAAAGAGTCACCTGGATATCCTCAATCTGTCATTGCTCGGATTACAGCTAGTTCTGTTCTACGCATTGCCACGTCCTGTAGCCAAGGTTTTCTTTCTTTTCTATTTTGCATTCTGGAGGGCAGCCTATGATGCTGGGTTGGGTTGGGTCCTCACTAAACAGAGTAAGAGAAAGTGGATGGTTCGCGAAATCCAACGCCTTGGATGGCTCGATGAGAAGCGTAACCCGGCAGCTAGAAATTGGATTCGTGCCCAGTTACAGGGGAAAATGGGCAAGGACTATTCATTTGATGTGAGCTTGCTGATACCAGCCAACTGCAATACATCCCTAATGATTATGTTTTAATCGACCAGGAGCTTCCATTGGAATACAACACCTGGCTATTGTTTAGACAGTTTGTAGACACAATTCTTCTCAAGTGAGCTCTGTCAAGTGTATTAGTGTTCGGTGACTGACACGACTGCTTATCAGTGACTTCTTAGCATACTGTATGTTTGCCTTTGCGTGCTTCAGGGTTCCTGAAGGGCTCTCTTTTCCCGTCCACGCCATGAGGTAAGTATTCCTCCTCGAATCGCCTAATATCCTACTTATCTCCGTGTAGATGGATCGGTGGCGTTGCATTGATAGTATTCAACCTTTGGGTAAAAACCGAGGCGCACAACGTTGTCAAGGATTATGGTTGGTACTGGGGCGATGTATTTTTCCAGCGCGGCGCGCTTGTGTTTGACGGCGTTTTCGAATTGGCTCCTCACCCAATGTACTCCGTTGGTAAGTTGTTGCTTGTTCTTGTTAACAATTGTAAATCGACGAGAGTCAGGTTATGCTGGATACTACGGTCTTTCCTTGATGGTCGGGAGCTATGCTGTCCTTTATGTCAGCTTGGCAGCCCATGCAGCTCAATTCGCATTCCTGGTCTTTTTCGAGAACCCTCGTAGGTGATATCCAACCTTATGACTTACTGTTTCCTGATGTGTGGTAGACATCGAACGGATGTATGGCAAACGCAAGCCTATCGCACTGCGTAAGCCTCTATTTGTATCTGAAGGCAAGAAGACTCGCGCACAGAAAGTGAACGATCCCTTCCCACTCCCATCATCTGTCGAGGACAATGCAGACCAGTTGTCCACGCCTACTGCCACTGAAGGAGAGAGTGCCACAGATACTGAGCTTGAGACGGAGTGCGAAGGCGAGATTACCCCGAAAGACAAGAAACGCGAACCGGGCATCCGCAACCCCATAATTTTGGAGAGTACTATCTCTCAACATGATTTGCATCACAAGTATTTCAGGCGAGACGTGGTCGTTCTTCACAACATTGATCTACTCCGGTAAGTGTACGCCTTGGTGGGTGGATACTTATTTTAACCCCTTTTCAGTTCTTCAGATGCCATGCTTGTGTTGCTATTGGTCTATGTCATTCTAGGATCGTCCCTGCCCACACTATCGTATCATGCAACACTCACGTTACACTTCGCACACGCTTGCGCTTGGTGCATCTTCCATAGCTTTGGTCTTGGTCTTCTCCTTCGTGCCCAGAGCAAATCAAAGTTCCTCGTCCGACACTTCTTAAAGCACTACCACTATCCGTCTGGTGATCATGGTGATGGTGCAGTACAGGAAGCGTTTACCAACTGGAAGTCTTTGTACAATATTAGCTTGTGCATGTCATATAGTACGTACTTGAGGGTTAAGTGTGACGAGTGGCTAATGGCGTGCCAGCTTCACTGACGATTTTGGCGTGGAAATCGTATACAGCGCCCGTTGCCTGGTTTGAGGGCGACGCCCTTCTCTGTCATACGTTAGGAGCAGTGCGTTTCTCTGCTTATTCTCTTTCACGCGCTCAAATTTGCTTTCAGCTTCTGATCGCGCTCCATGGGTGGGCGGCTATGGAGTCCTTCGAAGTATTGGGTGTTTTCGGTATGTCCCTTGTCACTGTTCTTGTTTATCATATGTATTGAAGCAATTTTGAATGCAAGGTTGGTTCTACGGTGACTTTTTCATGGAGGACTTCCCAGCGCATCTGGAGTACACTGGTATCTTCCGGTATGACGAAGAGATGCCTCCCATCCAATAACTATTCATTGCATTTTTGCTAGGTATCTTAATAACCCTGAACTTATGAGTGGTGCCTCCTTCCTGGGCCTTGCCCTAATCAGTGGCAGCAAGCTTGTTGGTGTCCTTGCAGTTGTTAGGTTTGTGTCCCACTGGTGGTTCCTCCAGATCGTTGAAAAGTGAGTGCCGATTGAAATAACAACGTTCCGCAGTAAAGCTGACTATCAGTCACGTTACCACAGCCCGCACATGCGGAAATTATACGGCGACAGTCTCCGCAAGGATGCTGGCTTTGTCAAAGTTATCAAAAGTGTCGCTAGCAAGAATGCTCGGCTTTTAGAGTCGCGCGCGGGTCGGCATGCACCCGAGATCAGGAGGGTTGCGAAAGAAGTCAAAGGCACTTTCGACAAGGTTTTTGAAGAAACTGCTGATGTAGTAGAAGAGTTCCTCGCGAAATGTAAGTGCGAGAAATTTGCGCGTCGTGTCACACGGCACTTATGATTCCGTTTCAGCGAAGCCCAAGATATCGGAAGTGATGCAGGAGACAAAGGTTCTTCTCCAACAGTCACGGGAGAGACTGGTTATCACGTCAGTAGGAAGTTCTCGGAACGTTGTCCATCCTCTAACATTCTGTGGTTACAGCCGCGTCGCCCATGACCTGTCATCGTATGACACGGCGAAATTCAAGATCTCGATTGCCCCTAGTCAGTCTGGCGACAAGCGCTTCCATTTAGGCGAGACTATAAAGGTCAACTGGCAAGCTCCTGTCAGGCACTCCCGTCGTGACTGGATTGGATTATACAGAGTAAGTGACCTTTTATCTTCCATTACGAGCTCACTTATCATGAATTTACATAGGTCGGTGCCAACAAGTCTACATTGGTAACGAAGACGTCGTCTTTTGGGATGTGGGTTCCCGTTCACGACGAAGAATGGAATGAGGATGTACCTCTCGATGACACTAGTCGCCTCACCACTCGGGGAAAGGAGCCAGAGCTTGGTTCCGTCTCTTTTGAAAGTTCCACGCTGCCATGGACCGTTGGTCTATACGAGGTAACGGTCTGAACATTTTCATTATGCCACATCAACTGACATTGAACAAAGGTCCGTTACCATCACGATGGCAAGTATAATGTGTTAAGTCTTGACGGCCCGTGTGAGGTGTACGGTATGTGTCCCATAATCGGCTAAATGCGTTCTTGTATCTGAACAATTTGCAGTGAGTAAACCGATGTCGCTCGATCTCACCTCCGTTCGGGAGTGCTTGGCTCGCATTGTACCTCTCTGCCTAGACTCTGATCCCGATCTAATCCCCCTCTCTTGCGGGGGCATCCAGGAACCTGCCGACGCAGGCTCTGCAGCAGCTCGTGATGCGGACGATTTCAGCTTCTGGTCTGAGCGGCAAGCCAAACGTATATGTAACGCCATCGAGCAGGCATTCGAGGTTGAATATGCGCCGGAAGTGGTGATGGGCGATGCTAATTTGACTGCGCTTGCCAATCGGATATTGGTCTCAAAGCAAATGCTGGTTCTGTAGCTCTTGATTCATGACATTTTCTCATTTTATACCAATCTCGCAATCTCTTTCATGGAGTACATTACGATTATGCATACCAGTTTGTCTTTCGTTACGTAACGACCGGTTTCTTGATGACTGGACTGAGTACTGATCAACGACTGATTGCTACCTTTGCCAACCCTCCTCACCCTTTCCACCAATTCTGTCAGAAACCCCCGCTGTCCTTAGCTTGTATTGCCATGGCAAGGAAGACGGATTATTATCTCTCCCAGTGTGCTAGTGCTGCTAGCAAGGCAAGTTCACCAGCTCACAAGTTTTACCGAAGATCTCAAATCTTTTCTACAGTCATCCATGACATACCATCTCGGCGCAGTACTCGTAAAGGGGGGCAAAGTCATATCCACGGGTTACAATCATCATCGCACGCATTATGACGGAAACGACATCCTGAAGTACGGTCATCGCAAGCCCGCCTCCATGCACGCGGAAATGCATGCCATTTTCAGCTTGACTGGCATGTCTCCTTCATTCAAGCAGCAAGTTCAACTCTCGCTGCGACGTACCGCAGCAGCTAAAAGGAGACCGCCGTTTGAAACATGCTCCAAACAAGCTAGACTCAACGCACTCACACAGCAGCGTGTTTTATGAGACTCAAGCACAGTCTTCGCTGCGCGCAACCCTTCGGAGCCCTGACTCTTGTTGTGCGATTGATGGCGAATCGTCCCCGCCTTGTGACATGCTGTTTGCAGAGCCACCGAGAGGGTGGGATGCACGCCGCAGGGACTCGAGGGTAAATGGTGCGGATATTTACGTTGCGCGCGTCATCAAAAACGGCTTGGGGTCAGCAAAACCTTGTTGGCGATGTATTCACTGGTGCTGGTTGTTTGGTGTGAAGAGGATATTTCATTGGAATCCTGCCATCGGAGATTTTGAAGTGTTGAAGGTGAATGAAGGTTACAAAGATTACTACGAGACGCACACCGATGTGCGACTTTTTGGTGGTTTGGTGAGTCCTATGTTATCTCTTGGATACGGCTGTTAACTGGTTCGATAGAAACTGCTGAATGAATAATGGAGTTGTTTTCTTTCATACGCCCAGTATACTCAAACCTTAAGCTCCTACAACCCTTACTACAACTGCTCGCCGTATCGCTTCTTTGCTTTGGACACTGCGATTTAGTAATCTAGGGAAGCACAAGCTATGCACGAAATCCAGCCCGAACGACCATAATGACCTCTGCGGTTTACTGGATGAACTACACCCACTCATGTGAAATCTTTGATCCCTTAACCTTCGACTAACTCGCGTACGCTGGGAACATTATCCATTGACGTAATGTGTTCACGGCTGTCGTGAGGATTGCCAAGCACAAACGACGAGAAAGGGCAGACGAAACCTAAAATGCGAAACCTCATCACGCGCGCGGATCACCCAGACGAAGGCGCCCAACGAACATTTTCCCATTGCAGTAATTTTCAGGACGTAGGTGACCAGACTACTGAGTCGAGCCCGCTCCGTTTCTAACTTGTTGTGGTAGGCTTAAAAATGGTTTTGAAAGATGTGGCGAGAGCATTTATAGAGTACATCTACAACGACGTCCCCGCGCACCTGTTGGACGTTTCGCAGATGACAATTCTCAATCACAGTGCTCTCTGGGATATGCATTTGCCACACATGGAAGCTATAACGGAGGATATGATCCAACGAGTTAGGGGTTCCAACGAGCATCAAAACCGCGTCAATGGAAAGGACGCAATCCGGGGTTTAATTGCCGAAAGATTGACTATGCAACCCTTTCGTACTGTTGGTCGGAGAAGGGGGAGCCAGCATTTCAAGACATTTCAAGCGACCAGCTCCAGATAGGTACTAAGTGGGACGAGCTGTCCCAATCTTGCACCGTGGCCAAGGATATGGGGTGTTCCCTAACCTGGATCGATACCTGCTGCATAGACGGGTCTTCCTTTTCTGCGCGCGAACATTCTTTGGACTTCGGAGGAGATAGTTGTGCGAAGGGAACAAGCATGTACTAAGTCGGTGGGACGGTTTGTTCCCTACTTCCGTACTCTGGGCGCCCATTAATTACTTCCACTATAGCCTTTCTCCTAACAGATGGGCCGCCACCTGCCAATCAGGGTCTGATTAGGGGCCCTCAATTCGTTCATAAGGGCCTATTGCATAGAAGCAACATTCACAACAGGGCAGGTCATCTTGCAATCGGGTCCTTCTCCACACCAGAAGGGCTGCAATAGTTACAGCAAGGGAGGGGGATTGGAGTTCGTACCGATCCTTGGCCACGGACCCGAAATATTATATTATAACATGGAGGCTGTAACGAGCCATGACGTCGGTTAAGCTTACGATATGTCCGCAAGTGAGTCGTATGTTCAACTTTCTCAATTTAACTGTACTGATCGAAGCTAAGATATCATTGTCCAACTGGTTTCAACCTCTCGTTTTCTGGAATGGCCAAAACCTGCAAGAACGTATACAAGCCCTCGCGACTGTCTGACGAGGTCCGACAACAACATTACTTCACTTTGCGTTCAGTGTTTCCTTTTTCACGGATATCCACCATATCGTTCATTCATCTTTGGGAGGGGCCCTCCCGCTGAATATGGAATTCGAAATGAACTGATCCGTAGGTCGAACGCAAACTTCAATGATTAGACAAGCTTATCTGCAGAGGCAGGTCGCACCTGTAATACTAATCTTGCCATACCGCCGCTCCATCGGGTAGAGTTCACATCCGCCCTTCGTGCATATGGTGGTCACGAACGGCTGATTGCACTGGTAGTCAATGAAGTACGTCGCGTTTCCATATTGACCTCAATGCTATCTTACGCCTCTCACACTAGCCAGCATCAACCTATAGCGAATGAGCACCCCAACGATCTCAACTCGAGGTGCTTTTCCACACGCATAACTTCACCCTCTTCAGCTGTCGCAGCCAATTGGTGACCCACTACTTCTCGCAGAAGGCCATAGACGGCTACAACAGTCACTTCGCCCAGTTTGTTTGCCTGGAAAATTTGGTATCGGCACTCCCAGGAAGAGGTCTGACATCAGCAAACATTATCTCGCACCCATGCACCCAGCACTCAGCACCATATCCCACAGTTCTGCCGACGTTCCTGGATCCAGAGAACAGAGTCCCAAATATCTTTCACAAAGCGCAGTAAGTTTTGGCGTGCACCGCGACTCCTTACACTCACTGTATCCTTGCTAAAGCATGTTATTTCGCACGGACTACGCTCGTACATGGAGCCGTGGATTTGTTCGTTTGCAGCATCAGCCCCAGGCCATGCACTTTATCACTTACATCACGATCGTTGACGCAATATGGTCTCCGTGCATCCGTCGAAAGTTACTAAGTTCCTCGCTATGCCACAAGACATCCTCCTGGCGTACGAGGAGTAGTCAGCCTGAACGACATCATTCATCATAGTGGGCACCAGGGCGGAAATGATTGGAGGCAAGTAGTGGTGCACATATCCGGGATTTGATGCTATGTCAGGCCGCAAGAAACCTTGTACGTCCTGCTCAGGAAGCGGTTTCCGAGGATTGTGGTTTTTGTCAAGTGCCAGCTCTTTGAAATAAGCATAAGGTTACTGGTGCGTGTTCCCCGATGCTTAACAACAACATATTTATATGGACTGCTTCCGCAGCACGATGAGCAGTCGACTCACCGAGTCATCCGGGCGCGTGTACCAAACCTTTACGGGTCCCACAAGCTGCTGCGGCCCGCCTATCGGCCTTTCTATTACCAACTAGCGTGACCGACGTCCGAGGTCAAACAACACGCGCAACACCTACTGCTCCATCACGCCTGCGCAGCCTCTATGTCTATACCCATCACCACCATTTCGCAGGGAGAGAACTTCAGACATGCAAAACCAGTCGGGCACCACGGGATCTCTCCCGTTCCAGAGGGGGACGGATACCCTGAGATACGCTTGCTCTGCCAGGCGCCTCAAGGAGCCATCATCCGAAAGAGCTTGAACGCCTGCACCTTTACAGAGATTGATATTTTGAGCCAGACAGGTAGGGAAAACGGAAGTTCTGTCATTTCTATCATAATCTGATGATAGATTATAGCTTATCTTTCTATCAGCGATCTTATAACTCAGTCGTTTGTCCTGTACTTAAAATTTGGTGCTTTATTGCACGAACAATTGAACGATTGGTAAATGGTGCATTTACGGAGAACTTCGTCTCGGCGCAGTAGATTCGAGTGTCCAGAGAAATAGACGCCGTTTGTACCTGTTATGTCGCGAGTTAGGAGCCCTTGCTTCGTGTTCGTTCGCTGTTATACCTGGCTGCGATCTCGTTCCGCATCACTCCCCACTACTTCCACGACCACATCCGCTCTTAGGACGTACATCAAGCTCTCCCCATGGAAACTGAAATGAACCCCGAGAATCTCAGAGAGACAATCGGGCGCTTCCGAGTTCTGATCTTGGGAAGAGCGAACGCAGGTAAAACAACCATTCTTCAGAAGGTCTGCAACACCACGGAACAGCCAGAGATTTTCAATGCCGAAGGAGAGAAGGTACGGTATGTTCTATAGCATGCGTGCATCGAGCGCTGATTACTTGTGAGTAGATTGATGCTGCCGTCGTAGAAGGCTCGAGATTGGTGTGTGCACTATCTGCCCTATGAGCATGCATGCACTGATAGATGCTTAGCGCGGAAATCACGATATCACAAACGAGATGGTGTTCAAAAGCAATCCCGGTTTCGTCTTTCACGACTCGTGCGGTTTCGAAGCGGGCTCTGTAGAAGAATTCGAGGAGATGAAGAAATTTATCTCAGAACGTGCAAATGCGAAAAAATTGGAGGAGCGACTGCATGCTATTTGGTAAGTGACCCCCTCCTACATTCTGTGCTTGTTCATTGCTGTCATACAGGTATTGTATTCCAATGGACGACCATTGGCGAACATTCCAGCGGTCGGAGGAGAAATTCTTCTCCGAGTGCAATACTGGGAATGGTGAGCTTGCAACTTCAGTGTCCCTCGTCGTGCTCGAACTACATAACAATTCTTCAGTTCCCGTAATTGCAGTATTCACGAAATTTGAAGCACTCTGCCCAGTGGCATTTGGAGAACTGGGGGAGGAACTCATCGGGGTATCAAACGAAGAGTGCCTGAAGAGAATTGCCCAACGTGTCGAAGAACTGTTCAACAACACACGTGTCTGGGATCGGTTGTGCGACCCTGAAAACCGCACTCATCCCAAGTGCTATGTATGCTTACAAAGTGAGTAGTTCTGATTGATTTGTCCAGTGAACATTCACATGAGTCACCAACCCAGATATGAATGAACCAGACACAAACTGCAACATCCTGGTGGAATGCACTACTTTTGCATTGGATGACGAAGAATTGCGGCTGTGCTTAGTATCAACACAACAGTCAAATCTGGAACTTTGTATCAAGTGTGCTGTTGAGTGAGTTGCAAACTTGCAAGTTCACCTGCTTGTGTTACAACATCATGTAGAACACTTGTGGATTGTGCTCATCAACAAGTCTTGCGACTTCCAACAGATCATGAAGCCTACCTGTGGGACCTTGCTAAGTGGTTTCCATATCTCACAGTAAGATAACAATATCATGATGACTTTGTGATTGGTGCTAACCAATGGTAAATATTAAACTGCTAAGACTCGAAACATACTCACATCATATCTTTCACTATAGCTGTCTTGTGATGATAGCTAGTAAGATGCTGGTTTTTGCACCTGAACCCATGCTGATGGTCTTGATCCCTTGCTGCTCCTGGCCTGTTGACAGCAAGTAAGTGCCTTGACGGTTTCTGGTCCTGAACCAATGCTGATGGTCCCCATCCCTTGCTGCTCCTGGCCTGTTGACAGCAAGTAAGTGCCTTGACGGTTTCTGGTCTTGAACCAATGCTGATGGTCCCCATCCCTTGCTGCTCCTGGCCTGTTGACAGCAAGTAAGTGCCTTGACGGTTTCTGGTCCTGAACCAATGCTGATGGTCCCCATCCCTTGCTGCTCCTGGTCTGTTGACAGCAAGTAAGTGCCCTGGCCCCTGATGGTTTCTGCTCCTGAACCAATGCTGATGATCCTGATACCTTGCTACTGCTGGTTCTTCAATAGATGGTAGGTGTCTTTAATGATTATGTCTTGTGTTGACACATGATACTGAAGATCATATTTTCACTGATTGCAATAGCCTAATGTAAGTGTCTTCTACTCTTCAGACATTCTCATCACTCACATAATATGTAGCTTGTTGAGTATCCCTCTGTCATAACTTGTTTTCCATGTTCACTCATCTTGCTTGTACACTGCATAGAATGTGAGTGCTGTGTCACAGCTCCTCCTGATTGGTTGTTGATTTTTCTGATTGACTCTCCCCTAGCATGTCAGTCCTTTTCATATAGTCATGTAATTCCATTTCTGTACTCATTGTATGTTGACAGGGTGTATGTTATCCCCTGTCTTGTTGTGCATCAATGGTGTGCTGACCCACTCAATTTCATTGGTTTTACATAGCTTGTAAGTTCAATCCATTGGCCAATCATCCAGTTTTGACTCCTTGATAGTTTGTAAGTCATTTGGACATTGTCTTGTTATCCCATGGTCGATCAATCACAATTATTGACCAAACAGCATGTAAGTCTTTGCATTAACAATTCCTAGAAGGACACCTCATGATTCTTACATTACTGTGTCACAGAAGGCAATGGTTCTGTTTGCAATGGTTCTGATGCTAACTTTGCCATCTCAATCACTAGAACAATGTCTGGATATTGGATATTTTGTCTGTTCTTCGGCCTTTGGTGCATTCGTTTATCCACAATGATCCTTACAGTCGTTGAGAGTGTGCAATAGGCTGGCGAGGGAACACAGTTCACCACTGTGAACGGAATTATTCGGACTGGCATTGGTGAGTTTCTGACCACATGGCCAGCTGTACTTTTAATAACACATCGCAGCTACCATTATGGTCCTCGAATACTCCGCCTTCCTCGAGCATGACAATGAACTGGAGTTCATCAAGTCTGCTGTGGACTATTACATGAAATCTACTACGGCTGTCGCTGTGGAGAAAGTCGCGACGGAAATTAGTGATCGGGGCTTCAAGACAGTGCCTGAGGAGCACAAGAAAGTGCCTCAGAAGTGGAAGAAGATTTTCAAGTGGACTCGGAAACTCACGCCAGAAGCTCAAGTCGCGCCGGAAACTCAAGTCGTGACGGAAATTCAAGTCGCGACGGAAATTACTGATCGAGGCTACGAGAAAGAGGAGTTGAAGGAGAAGATCCTCGAGTTCATCCTTCAAAATCGCATGTGTACGTCCCTCGCTTCTTTGAACCTGGAACTCGAAGTTTACCAGCAGTGCAGCAAAGGACTTGATCGCAAACCTGAAGAAGTAGACCGTGACAATCGGGCCAAATTTCCTGCTTTCGATGCTTCTGTTGTATACGATATCGAGCACACCTTCAACTGCTGAGAGGTGTAGACTGCTTTTTTTTGCTTTCAGAGTTTCGATGCTCCTTCCCATGCTATCATGATGTAATACTATACCGACACTTCAGCTTCAACTGCTGAGCGTTGCAGACTGTGTGGGGTTTCAACACCCTTTTCTCGAATCGCATTCTATCGTGTTTTGTTTTGTACAATGTAGACTCGCGCTCGTCAAGTGATCACGGTTCATTCTTCCTTTTAGGAGCGACAAGACTAAACTTGAGCATAGGTTGACTTTTCTTCGACGCTAAATCGGACCGGCATGACGACGGACACGAGTCGTGGTAAAACTCGGCAGACCTTAGACGAAGACAGACAGTCGTTCCTTGCCCGAAAGGCTTAGCGAACCTGTATAATTAAATCTATTACCGCGATTAATCGTACAGGTTCACCAAGCCTTTTGGAGGCTATGAACACTGGATAAACGACCTGGAAGCATCGCGAGTGCGTCGAGGCAGGATGGAAGAAGCCCTAGCAGCGGGATTGCGGGAAATACGCATACCAAATCAAACGGTCAACAAAATAATGGCCATAGTATGGCTGATTTCCACAGCTCCAGACAGCTGCTGGCATCGCTTCATGGTGGGTGTGTCACTGTGGTAGTTTAAGTTACAGCGTTAAGTTGTAAAAAAAAACACGTGACTGGCCAAATACATGTCATCATCTCGTCCAGAGCCTCGTTTCTCCAAACGTGGAACAAGTAGGAAGTAAAGTACCGCCAGACCAAATAGAACTGAGAAGGAAGAACAGAAGCTCTAACTATGTTCCTCCATCGATAAGGGCGGTAGTGGTGCCTAAGGAAACTTGGTTCCAATTAAGGGTTAAAGCGCAAAGTGTCGGCAAACGCCGTTTCCGCTTGCATGAAGATCACATACTCACTCTTGAAGGTAACATCAACTACTTATCAAGTCGTTGGCCCAATTTCATTCTTCATGTAAGTAGATGACCCCAGACAGTTATATCATGCACTTGTTTACTAATTGTCCTTGAATTTACAGCATGGTTGCAAGCGACAACGAGGAGGCAAAGCTGTATCCTCATGCTCCTTCCCTCCCCGAGTTGCGGTCCTCTCTGCCTTCGATGCATGCTCAACCCCCGCCTCCGTCCTTGAATGACAAGCAAAGCACACAAGTGAACGACAAGCAAATCGGGACACCTGTTTCGTCGGAGCTATGCCAGGACAGGCTCCAGTTGGATGCTCGTCCATCCGTCACAGGACCGTCCCCTGCTTTGGAATCTGTCCACCCTACAACTGAACAGTCGCCAGCCGCCGTACCGTCTGGAGCGGATTTTACGATCCAACTCCAGACTGAGTTGGTAGCTACCGCCAACGAACTCTACCGCAGGGACATTGAGGGTCCCAGCGAAGAACGCGTAGGGAAGGCTCCTGAGCGTATTTCAGTGGTGCCGCTACCGCCATTTTCAAAGCGCTTCCCTAAGGCAAATACACAAGAGTTGACAGATGAGGATTATTGGTCTTCGTTTCCGCCGCACATAAAAATTTTTGTACGCAGTACTGCTCTTGGTCTCATGCGAGGCTTGTTGACGCGCACAAAGGCGCAAAAAATGTACAATATTGCACAGCAGATGGTGCAGTCCGACGCCGTACTGAGGGGTGGATTCAGCTCGACTGAAGCTACCACGATAACCGCGAAGGTCAGCAGGGACGTTCCAGGGTACCCCCCAGGAGCGTACCCTTCGTTGCCTTTTGACCCATCGATATTCTCCGATCCCGAGTTCACGTTATCGGTGGACAGAGCCACAGCTGCTCTGGGGGCTATTCCGTCATCACCTGGCCAAATGCACCGTGGGCCTGTTGAGTTCGGCCCAGAAGAGTTTATCGAGGATGACTACAGCGAAGATGCTGTCGACGGCGACATTGAGGATCAAGACCTCGATGAGAACGATTCGGATTATCCTGCAGATCCAACATCAATTGCGCACGTCCCGCATTTCCATGGACCGCTGCCTGCGACAATTGCGCAGGTAGTTCTGAGCTACGAAGAAACGAGTGGACCGCTATCAACTGACTTCAGAACTAAGTTATCAATGCCTGCCATACCAACGCCAGCAGGGCCTGTTGAGGAATTGGTATTTCATAAGAAAAACAAGAAAGTTTCATCTATGAAAATACCGGCGGTTAGCGCCGAAAGTACGGCGGTGCCGGGGCAGGGAGTTGGAGCGGCAGGCTCGGCACCGGGATCGGCGCTGGAAAAGGGTAGTAGAGGTTCCGGTGGAGAATTGAGGAAGCGCTCACTGCCTCTCACCGCCAACGCCATGCCTGCAGCACGAGCAGCGACAAAAGAAAATATATCTTCTAATCCACCACCGAGTTCCCGTGCACAGGGAAAGCAGCCTATGTCGTATGCACCGCCGACAACGACAGGGACGACGACGACAACGACGACGACCCCCACAACAGCGACGGCCACTGTCAATGGTCAACAACAAACTAGGACGGCTCGCGCGGCATCAAAGGCACCGATTACTGCTCATGCCTACCAGTACAATCATTCTCATCACCATCCATCGCCACCATCATCCAATGCATCCGTGCCACAGAAACATCGTCCTCCGGCTGCCTCTGCTCCAGGTAAATCTTCTCAGAACAACTCCAAGATCTGGAGTACTAGCTCAACGGAGGAGCGTGAGCGGATTAAAGAATTCTGGCTTGGTCTGGGCGAGGATGAGCGTCGCAATTTAGTCAAGATCGAGAAGGATACAGTCCTCCGGAAGATGAAAGAGCAGCAGAAACATAGCTGTAGCTGTGCAGTATGCGGCAGGAAGCGGTCGGTACCCGTTTCTTGATCTCACCCATGAAAATTTTTACTGACCTGAGCGCTTGTCTTTGTGTATCGTTCTTTCATCCGTCTTGGACATCTGGCGTGTATCATCGCTGGCTATAGACATGCGATCGAGGAAGAGCTTGAGGTACTGTACGATGCTTATTACGAGGAGCTAGAACAGTACGCGAACTACCAGCAGCGCTATGTGTCCTCTGGTGGCACCATACCTCCTCCCCCTGGGCCAGGTCCGTTTCCCGGCAGCGTCGAACTCGATAAGAACGGCGTTGTCATCGGTCCTCTCCAAAACAACAAAGTCTCCCATAACCCCCCACCACCCACTAGACCACCAGCCTTGACGAACGGCCGAAAACCTCCGAAACATGAAAGTGAGTTTGACGACGATGAGGGGGATGAGGACGAATATGAAGAGGAGGAAGAGGAAGAATATGAAGAAGACGAGGAAGAGGAGGAGGAAGAGGAAGATCAGGAAGAGGATGAGGAAGAAGAAGTGAAACCACGAGATCGACGTAATCCCGCCGTTCGCGGAAGAAGGCCTGTGAATAACACAAAGCCCAATGGCCGCGACGGTCTGTTCAATCTTGGGAGTAGCTTGACTGTAACTGGTTAGTTCATTTTTGACTCTGTACATCGTGTCTTCTCACCTCTCCTTTGTAGGCCCAGGTAACATTCTGACAGTTGCGGATGATCTCCTAAAGAATGATGGGCAGAAATTCTTAGAGATGATGGAACAGCTCGCTGAGCGTCGAATGCAGCGGGAGGAGGAAGCGGCCGCTGATGTTGAAGACGAAAGTGATGAAGAGGACGACGAGGAAGGTGACGAGGATGACGAGGATGAAGATGAAGAGGAGGAGGACGATGATGACGATGATGAGGAGGTGAGTCTCCTGTGTATTGATTTGTTTTCGATCTTTAACCATGTTCAGGTGATGACCGAGGAGCAGAAGATGGAGGAGGGCAAGCGGATGTTCTCCATTTTCGCTGCTCGAATGTTTGAACAGCGTGTCCTCCAAGCCTTTCGTGAAAAAGTTGCCCAGGAGCGTCAAATGCAGCTTCTACGTGAACTTGAGGACGAGGATAAGCTAACAAAGGAGCGAGAGGCGAAGAAGCAAACCCAGAACCAGAAGAAGAAAGCCAAGAAAATGTGCGTTTCTTGCACTCATTTACTGATTCGTACTGAAAATTTCACACAGACTTCAAAAACAAGCCCGGGACGAAGAGCGGGCCGCCAAAGCTGCTGAGAAGGCTGCTGAGGAGGCCGCTTTGAAGGCTAAGCAGGCAGCTCAAGAGGATGCGCAACGGAAGAAACGCGAAGAAGAACGTTCTCGTCGTGAAGCTGCTCGGAAGGCAGCAGAAGAGGAGAAACAACGCAAGGAGGAGGAGCGTCGTAAACGCGTTGCGGAGGAAAAGGAGCGCGAAGTCGAGCGGGAACGCAAGCGCAAGGAAAAGGAAGAGAAGGTAAAGCAGGAGCGCCGAGAGCGGGAGGAAAAGGAGCGCAAGGCCAAGGAGGAGAGGGATGCCAAGGTGGCTGCTGAAAAGGCTGCTCGCGACGCAGCCCGAAAGGAGCAGCAAGAGAAGGAAGAACGCGAGAAGAAGCTTGCGAAAGAAAGGGAGGAAAAGGAGAAGGCGGAGAAGGATCGACTTGCCCAGCAGCAGCGAGCTGGCAAGCAGACCCGTCCGCCAACTTCTCCTCGTCCCTCAAGCTCTACGCAACGCACTCAGAGCACCAACGGTTCTTCTAAGAAAATTCTCAATAAGCCCATCCCTGTCACGCCCACCCCGTCTGGAAGTACGCCACGGCAGTCGCTGCAGCAGCCACAGCAGCAGCCACAGCGTCCTATGCTGTCTTCTTCACAACCTGCAACACCTGTGGCACCCTCCATGCAAAATCATTTCCCTACGCCCACCACACCTCATTATCCTGTCGCTCCTGGCATGATGCCTCCACCTCCCGGTCCGTTATCCCCTCGTCTACCCTTTGCACCACCTCCACCTCCATTCGGACTGTTCGGTCAAGGACCATCGATGCCACCGCCAGGACCTCCTCCCAACCTCGCTCCATCTGCCCTTCCTCGCAATTTCGGCTCGCCTACACCCTTCGACTCAGGCTTCAGCCGTCCTCTGGCTCCTACAACACCCATTGGGCCGCCTTCGAAGGCTTCGCAGAACTCTCTTGCTTCACCAACCATGCTAGCACCAGGGCCTACGAGGCGAACGTCTATACCTGACCCTGGCCCTGTTGCACGACCGGTTTCTATTGCTCCAATAGCACCACCTGCACCTATTGCACCTCCAGCACCCATCGCTAGGCCAACGACAGGGGAGGCATCTGGGTCAGGCTCAGGTTCCCCTAGTCATCGTTCACCAAGTCCGAAGGGCATCCTTGGATCTTCTGCACTTGCAGCAGATGATGATGAGGTCGTTCCTCCGCCAGGGCGGCGCATCGTGCCGGGCGCAGTAGGCCAGTCGTGGGGTACCAATTCTAGCCCACGGGCTGTTGTCGGAGATAACCGGCCACCTTGGGGTCCGCCAGCGCCCCCAGGGTTTGGCTCGCCGCGTCCTCCAATCGGACCTTCATTGTGGGGCGGCGTGAGTCCGGCGTCTGATTGGCAGGCACCAGGGTCATTCTTTCCAAACTCTTTCGTGAACCATATTAACACATCTCCGCCCCCTCATACTGGTAACTGACTATCGTTGGCGGGCAGCTAGTCTTTCATTCTGTTCTCTTGATACGTTGCCTCGTGCTTTTCTCTTTTGCTCTATTTGCATCCTTCGATTGTGATGTATGCGATGAAATAAGCAGAAATACATTATAAAGATGTCAGATTTGGCGTGATCGTCAAGTTACATGGTGCATATTATAGCAACTTGCTCGACGCTGCCGGAGCGACTCTACTACGAATGAGCTTGATAACATACAAGGGGAGTGCGCTGACTGCTACTATAACCGCTACTTTCCATGCAAAGCGAGTGGACACGACGAAATCGAGGTCTGAAGGTATGATGAGCAATCTATTAGACAGGTGACGACCTGAACACGCACCGAAATATTCCGGTAAGAAAGCGATGCTGATAACATAAAAGCAAAGTGTGACCACTTCCGAAATGACCATATAAATATGCCTGTCCACAGTGAATCAGAACGCGTCTCCCAGCAAATGATTGAGTCTTACCAAGTCGTGATTTCTAGTGCAACCATGATGAGTTCGTTGATGACCAAAGCCGTAAAAGATATGGAAACGATGTTTAAGAATTCCGTTTCGAACAAGAGGAGGGACATGATCATGATGGCCGCGCCTGCAAATATGATGATCAACTTGTTGTGATTTGGGAATGGAATGAAAGAACTGACCTTGGTATACGCTAATCATCAACCATTGGAAGAAAGTCTTGAAAGATAGTGCGCGTCCCTACACTCAACTGTCAGTAAGTCGTAATCTATTCGCGCAATCAACTGACCTTGGTCAGTTCCTTGTATAACTCCGGGTATATCAACGCAAGATCCTCGTTCACGTCACGATCCAGAACCAATGAAAAAACAGGCGCCATCGTATAGATCGTCGCATACCCTACCATCAACCACCCCTGGTACAGCGCAATCGGGGCAAAGTAGAAGATGGCCGAGAATACAGCTTGCATGATCGAGATGATGAGGCCGCGGTGGATAACGAACTGAGCGAGCTTCGCAGAACGGCGGTACGAGTTACGCCCATGCCACATGAGCAACTTGGTGAGGTGACTGAATTGGGTGACAGAGAAATCGGCAGCAAGGGATGCTTGCTTCCCTTCTTTTCCAACGATTCCGACACCTACACGCGTGAAGTATTTATAATACCGTTTGGAACCACAGTTTAAAGGACTTACCAACGTCAGCGGCTTGTATCATACTGACATCATTACCACCATCTCCGATACAGCAAACCCGTTTCTTCGTGTGATGTCGAATCAATCGCGCTACATCTGCTTTCTGTGTCGGGGAACATCGACAAGCAACAACAGCTGATAACTTTGTTGTAATCTCGACGAACTCGTTCTTGTACAGGTTCAAACAGAGCTGAATGGATGACATGAGCACAGGCACAAACGCGTCCAAGAAGGGAAAAGAGCACCTGTAGCGACTCGCCATCAATGACTAGACAGCAATCCAGTTTCGACTGTAAGAACTCAAGCTCGTCCCTGACTTGATCAGAAGTCTTCACTACAAACTCAAAGCATGAGCGGGGAACAGAACACATGGATGACAAGAGAGCTCACACTTGGCTACCTCATGAATATACTGATTCCGCGCCACCAGCTTCGTAGAAATAGCAATGCACCGCGCCGTCTCGATTTTATCGCCCGTGAGCATCCAAATCTTGATTCCCCCATTCCTGAGCAGCTCAAGCGTCCCTTTCACCTCGTCCTGAAGCTTATCCTCGACGCCCGTCAGGCCAAGCAGCTCCAAATCGTGCTCTAGGTGCTTCGCAACGACAGAAGTCATTGCCTCGCCGCGTCCATCAAGCCGAATGCTTGCAGCATGGTGAGCGGTCTTAAATGCCGCATACTGTTGGGACGTGAGCCGCTTTCGTGCAACGACAAGTGTGCGCAGCCCCTCGCGCGCCATATTCCCAGTCTCCTCTTCCAGCCAGTCGTTCCGCTGCACGATACGAGCCATGACGACATCCGCGCCCTTTTGCAAGAAAAGTACCTCGCCGCTGTGTGCGTCTCGCACGACGATGCCCATGCGCTTCGACTCGCTTGTGAAGGGGAATATGTCGAGGATGTCGTAGGTAATACGTGCGCCGGTGGGAGTCTGGAGCTCTATACGTGTGCGGTCGCGGAAAACGAGCGTGAGGCCGACGCTCTCCGTCCACTTGACGATTGCAACTTCATCTGGGGAGGAGGCTTGGTAGGTCAATGAGCCATCGTCGTTGGCGACTGGTGTGACCTAGGTTTCGAGGAGTGAGCTAGAAAAAGAACAAGGAGAATGGCAAGGGACGCACATTGTGACAAAGTGCAAGACTAAGCACTACATCTCTGAGCCTCGACGACATGTCCCTCCGTCCTCTCATTGCAAGTTGTGCACCTGTAGCTATTGAATTACTTCTTGCGTGGGCTGCATTTTTACCGTCAGTCTGCCCGTAATAGAAGGGTGTGAGATGTAAAACACGCGCCTTGATCAGCACCAAACGCGCTCGCAAGCTGGTGTGCAACTTCGTCCATGCTGTCAAACCCGTAAGACATAGTGCCCATGTGCAGCTTCTTCATCTCCATCTCTAGGATGTCCGTCAGATCTATGTGCATATGATATCGGGAAACCGAATAGAGATAAGGAAACAATGAAGAAAAGGGTAAAACTACAGTAAGCAGCAAACAAGTTGTACACACCATTTTGCGTAAGGGTCCCAGTCTTGTCGCTAAGAAGGTACTCTATGCGTCCCAGCTCCTCAGGGAGTGTGCTCGTGCGGACAATCGTGCCAGGAATCTCGGAGTCGTTCATTATCTGCTGAGCGTAGACCGTCTTACCCATGTCAAGGTTTACACGCAAGCTAGGTTTGTTGTGTGAGCATGGCACATGAGAGAAGCGATAAAACGAAGGAGGGAAGAGAAAACACGGGCTATATGCGCTCATTTTCCATAGAGGGGAGACATACCTGATGGGGATAATAGACGAAAACAATATGAGGAAGCGGAACACATATATATACCACAGTCCCCTGAACCCATTCAGTGCAACGAGTCCAAATGACAGTGCAAATGTCACCGCGCAAAGAATCTGTATGCGCCATGTCGTCAACCTTCCCCTCGCACAAGTACGTATGCGCCTACCTTAGCAAGTCTATTGATCTCAAGATCTAGTAGACCAACCTTGGTCTCAGGATGACTCGTGTTCATGACGGCGCGCGTCTCAGCGCCCGTATACACAATGAATCCGACAGCAGAACCCGCAGCTAATACAGTGTTGCTCCACAAGACATTCTCCGCGGACAGGGGCTCGACAGTAGGGACCTGTACCATAGGTACATCATCAACAGAGTGCGTACGGGGCGAGTGGATCGTAAACGTCCCAATGAACGTGTGGATGTCTTTGATTGGAGCGTCGGCTGAGGTATGGAACCGAATAAACATCTAGAGGTGGTGAGAATAGGATGAGCGAACGCACCATAAACTTCCGCATCCAAATCTAGTAGCTCCCTATCGTCGACAAGCTTCTGGCCCGCGGGGACTGCAACGCGAAGTTTCCAGTCTGTCTCTCCGTCAAGCTGGTCGGTCCTAATGAAACACGTTCCAGAAGCATCGCTCGTTCGCAGGAGGACCATATCTGCCGGTACGCGCTGGTTCTTCTCCAACACAACGAGGTCACCTACTTTGAGGGAAGAGGAAGGGACAGAACGAGTATGTGGACCGCTGTCAGAGGAGGGAACGAGGATGAGGTATTTCTGGGAGTTTGCTTCGCGGTCGCGGAGATTGCGCTTGTAGTCATCATAGGCTTCTTTGCCCATTGTGACGAAGAGCACGAATGCGAGGGGTGCGACATATGTAACAATGAACCCTAGGCGCACGTGAGGTGGGGCAGAGCCAGTAGGAGAGAAATATGCGTACCGATCTTGAGTGCAGGAACGAACTGGGAAAGAGCGACGAGAAGGAAGTAGAGGTTGAAAAAGAATTTGAACTGTTCATATATGACGATAGGAAAGAATGTGAATATGTTGTATTTCTGATTTCGTACGAGATTAGGCGGGAACTTGGCTTGGAATTTCTCTGTAAAGTGGTATCTCAGTCAATAACTCGCAAGGGTGGTAGAAAAGACATACCTCCTGGGCGGAATGGTATTGTCCTGGACTTGTCTCGTGTCCTACTCGCCGTTGACGAACGCTGTCCCGACGTAAGACTATGGAGTTGAGCATACAGACAGAATACTCACCCTAGACGATACCTGAAGTCGTTTTGACTGTTCGCCCGCATTTCCCTCTTCAACATCCTCCAGCGTATTGTCTCTGTTCCCAAGCAAAGTTGCCTCCTCATCGAACTCGTCTGCATCTGTGTACCGTTCACGTTGCTTGCCCTTTCCCTTCACGTTTAAGTTTACGCTGCGTGTAGCAGCAGCTCTCAGGACACCCGTGTGCATATCGGTATCCTGGGCGTCGTTTAGAGGAACGTACCCGGCTCGTGTGTTTCCTATGCGTCCGAGAGAGTGTAACGGGATATCAGACATCAACGTCGACCCCAAGGCCAGTCCCACACAATTGTCAAGGCGGCAAACCAGATAATTGATGTGTCCTGAGTGACGTTGGTGAAAATGTTGGACCCTTGGATGATGTCAAGGAAGCAACTTGCAGAAAATAGGGCGCAGGGGTGTAATAGTAGGTAGTACTGCGCGTTTAGTTTTCCTGCGTGAAGGGTGCACCGCTCTGTTCTGCCTATATCGGCGATTGTGACTCGTGAATGAACCAAGAGCCGTTAGTATTATAAACAAGCCACGTTGATATACGTAGTTCTACTTGTTCAAGGTCTCGAGCTTCTGTCTAGTGCCCCAGTCTGGAAGCTTTCGCGGCAAACCGGTACCTTAGAAGCTAACCAGACATCAATCCATCAGATCCAAATGCGAAAAAGTAAAACAATATTTTTTCGCTAGCATATACTGCAAAGCGATCTATCAATAGTATCATCTAGTTCAAAGGCCAACTTCATCTGGGTACGGTAATGCCTGCACGCTCCCGATAGCAACAAATGTGGGCTTGGCTTTCGTGATTGCAGCGACAGACTAGATAGATAGTAACAAAAATCGACATCCTCCACCAAGGAAATAGGAAAAGCACCCACCTTCGAGAATGCAGCAGCATCAACCTTGTCTATTGACGCTAGCGTTGCGTCAATCGAAGCGTCCGAGCTCGCAAAGACCTGCAATCATGACAGCATCTTCAGAAACCTAAACCACGACCAAATGTCAGGGACGAACCTTGGTGCTGAGAGTGCTCAAGATCCCATCACGACCGTCTAGAGAGCTAGCAGCAGCGAACTTGGCTTTAGCCACAGCAGATTTGAGTGCGTCACCCTTAAGGCCCGTCGACTCCTTCAGTGCCTTGGTGGCGACCTTGGCTGCCTCTTTCACGCCTTCAGCGCTCGAGCCCTGAACAAGCAGACCGAAAAGCGTTGCATCTGAATATGGCATGAGAATGGACTGCACGGACGTCCCCTGAGGAAGGGCAGCAGAGATAGGCGAGAGGCCCTGCGACCACTTGACGGATGGCTGAGGCGAAAGGTGGGCGGCAAGGATAGCAAGTGCGGGGTCCGCAGGGCCGGCAGTACCAAAGCCAATGAACACGGTTTCAGGACCGCCATGCGACTCCACTCGTGTCTCACCACCAAAGTATGTCGATGGTTTACTCTCCACAGCCGTGTTGCCCACGGATACGCCTGCAAGTGCTTTCTCCACCAGCTTCGTAAGCACAGCTGAATCGACGCCGGTACCCAAAACAGCAATGTTGCCCTTGCTGAATGCACGAGCAGCGAATTCCTTTACGTCGTCGATGGAGACATGACTGTGTGGGGACGCGAAGAGGGAGGAACCGAGACCAGAACGGAAAGCGAGCGCATGTGCGAGTTCAAGTGCGCGTGTTGCGGGGTTTTGCGAGGCAGCAGTGCTCTCTGCCTCGACTACAGGGAGAACGTACTCCTGGAACTCGTGCCGCTGGAACTTGCCCGACGTCAGGAAGGAAGAGATGAGGTCGACAAAGAATGGCCTGTAAACATCATGGCCATATTAGAATTGACGCCTAAAATGCTGCATTTGAGGAAACGGACTCATCACCACGCAAGAACTCGGAAGTGAGTGCCAAATATTCGCGGGACAGACTTGCAGAAAGAATACCGCCGTACAACTCGCTTTCTCTGACCGTGCCCAGTGCCGACCTTTTGGCTGTGCTCTGCAAATAGCTACTTCAGAGCGCGTGTTCAGAATAGAGCATAGCACCCACCTTGAAAGCAAAGTTTTTCAGCGCATGCGCAACTCCAGGCTTGGGCTCGTATCGGCTGCCCGCCTTAACGAGGAACGTGACAGCGGCGGTGGGCTGGCCATTATCGACGGCTGCCACCTTAACCCCGGCATTGTCGACGACAGTGGCGAAGCTACGCGCGAAGGCCGACGCTCTTCTTGCAAGCATTTGTAGAGGATAAATGAGCTAGACGGAACGGATGGTACTTTGGACCTAAGCTGCAGAGCGGAGTTGGCTCGACAGACGGTAGTTTCCGTGTTCGTCCGAAATTTTGTTTATTTCCGCACCGCAATCGGAAGGTCTTTAAGTTGAGGTAAAGCTCAATACTGCGCAGCGGTTGGGAGACACAATCACATCAAATTGCGTTGCAAAAGGGATTCGACAGCAGTTTGTAAACAAGAAAGCATGAGCACGTTCGACAAGTCAAAGAGGAAAGTAATGAAGAAAGCAGTTACAAGAAAGAAACCAAGACAGCGATTTGAAAGCACAAGACAACAATTTGAAAGCAACTCTATAACTTCCTCGCCCACGCGGTGTGGTACACCCCGACTAGCCCGCGCACATGCTCTATGTCGTGAATAAACCCATTGACATAGTTGTCAATGTCGTGCTGGGTCATCCCCGTCTCACGGAGCATGGGCTTGAGGCTCTCCGCAAAATCCTTCAATGCATTTAAGTACATTTTACCGATACGCCTCATGACCGTGTTCGGGTGCCAGTCACCAATGGGGATGTGGAATGTCTGGATAGTTGGCACCGTGAACTGACGAGACAGCTGTATGAAGCTAGGGATTTTATCCGCAATGGGGGCCAGGTGGCGGAGTTGAAGGGAGTGGTTGACCACTTGAAAGAAGCGTTGTGCACGAGGCGCCTGATGAGCGGGATCAGAGGAAAATCCGTGGGCAAAGTCGACGTAGCGCCCAATCTCGCCGGAAAAGAAAAGACCGCCGGGACGGAGCAACCGAGCTGCTTCCTGGAGGAGTTTTGGGTAATCGGTAACCTATCGATTATCTATGAATAAAAGGAAGGTCGTAATCGATGAACTACGTACAGCTAGATCGATACTACGAGCATGGACGAAGTCCATCGCTCCATCGTTCCATCGGGAACGCCTTGTGACATCGTGAATCTCAAATTGCACATGTCGCTCAGGGCGCCTAGTGGCAATCGGAACTGTGAAGGGGTAATTTGCAACGATTCATCTAACGCGGGCATAAGCAAGCTCACCGATATCGAGCCCGTAGATCTTGACACCGGGAAACAATCTTGCCATATCCATTGGCCTGCAGGAAGGTTGGCGTAAGAGAAGGACAGATCAAAAGTAGATCAATAGATTGCGCACCAACTCCCTGTTCCGGTACACAGGTCGAGGACACGTTTTTGCCTGCCGCGAACGTCGCAGAGTACCTCAGCTACTGGACCAAGGTAGTGGAGTTCGACGATATCACGCAAGATTCTATGAAGATTGTTCAATCTCTAATAGAAAGTGAGCTATTTTAGTTGTATGGGTTGCATAGCACCTACTGCTTGCTCCGGGCTGTCAACAGGCAACGGATACGGCAAGCTACCATGGGAGTGGAAGAGCCTTCCTTCGCGCTCAGAAAAGTGGTCCGGAAAGTCATTTGCGTCAAGCTCTGTCACGTCAGAGGATGCGTCAGACGCATCATCTTCATCTGCAAGGTGGAGGAATGGGTGAGGTTACGCCACCTGGGGTACTAACGTTGGACTGACCGTGCGGCATATTGTCAGAGTACTCCAAAGCCATGAACGAGATGGCGCAAGAATGAGAACACAACTGCGCGACAACTTGATCTGATGTGATAGTTGTTGGCAAGACGCCGAAATTGGACCCCGCCGCAATTCCTGAGTTTTATACCGATAGTAACTCAGCGAAACAGAGCAGAAGGCTAAACACGAGGTCCAAAACAAGCGGCCCTTTTGAGTCCAGGTTGAGATGGGAATGATCCACAATAACAACGTATCAGCGTCGGTAAATGAGGAGTGATAGAAGCTGTATTTGCGAGGTGGTCGGTGGGTTGAACACAAGTTGAAGTCAGCGGCTGCCAGGAAGGGAAAAGAAGGTTGGTTTGGTTAGTTGATGGGGAGTAGAAAGGCCACGCAGGCACACTCGCTCGAGAGAGGAAAGCGAAAGTCCGAAGGAGCGGCATAGTTGATGATAAGTAGTTGGATCAGGATCAGGTGAGGAAAGATGCCAATTTGTCCAGAGAGGAAAATGCGACAACAGTTACGTGATAAGTTGAATAGCCTCAGCATACCCATTCAATACAACAGCAAAATGACAAGGGACACTGACAAATTCCAGGCATAAATACCATCTTCGGCATAGATCTTCAATTGATACGGCCACCACGAAACCGCCCCTAGTAGCCTAGGACCGTCCCGGACTAGGCTTTCATTACTGGATGCCTATCATTGGGCAAGTCAATGACACGCTTCTCAGGCCATCTGTGTATAAAAAGCCGCCTCATGACTGGACAGGTCACAGCGCCTACTTCTTTGCCTTTTTTTTTTTTTAATTGGCAAGCCCCCAGGCTGGTGTCGTTCGACTCGACGCGCGGGGTTACTTTAGCGCCGCATGGGAAGTAAATTCACCCGCATTAAGCTTCCTCGGCGCTCATGCCCTGAGACTCGGATGTCACGGTGACATGGCTTTTGTCCTACGGTCATTCTAACAAAGTTTCTTCTGGTGAGTACAAATATTTTTTCTGGCAAGCTGAAAAGCCTCTGACCGTGAGCAGTGCCTGTATAAATGATTCAGTTCGTGGGATTTGCCACCACCCCACAGTTACCACATTGTAGCGTACAGCGCACCTGCCAGCAGGCTGCAGCGGTGTTCGTGTTATTAGCCGCTTTCTCTGCGCGTAGTACTTCTTGAAGAGTTTATGCTTATCTACCAGTGGGAGCTGGCCAGGCTGTGTCTGACCATGAATGTCATAGTGTCGTTTCGTTTCTGGAGGAAGCTAATTATTTTTGATTTACTTCCTTAGAAGCACTGGCATGATCCCCGCGACGCGAGACAGCAGTCACGTGCGCATCCATGTGTTATGTTGTCACTCCTATAAAAGACGCGTCCACATCCACACTGGGCAGTGCACTTGCCCTCCGTTTCCCTCTGCCACGCGTTGGCTATTTCCCCATACCATCGCTGTCGGATTCCACTATGGATGACATCGATGCGTTTTTTGCTGAGCAAGAACAGCATATGAACATTCCCAACGAGGACGTGGATGAATACATCCGTGCACGATTGGAAGATTTCCATAGGAACAGGTACGTCAAACATGTTCAATTCAATCGGCTCTCTTCTGCCAGTCCCCTGAGTAGGATGATGACAGAGATCATGTTATCGATCACGTTATTCACGCACAAGGTCACCCACGCAAAGTTGATACATCGTGGCATAGTTCCGGACCATTTCTCCCTTCTGCTATAGAAGCGGCGACCTCGGAACTGCAGAAATCTGACGAAGAAGTGCCCAGGCAGTGCGTTATATACCTTTTCACGTAGCTCTTACTAATTCGAAATAATTATCTCTACAGACTAAAGCGCAAATCTACAGAACCCGAACCTCCAGCCCAGGCGAAGAAGCCAAGGCTACGAAATGTGACCACGTCAGGACCCGTTCTACCCGCTGTTTTCTCACGCAGTGACAATGCCGAACGTACTCCAAAGTATGTTGACCCTTATATTCATTTCCAATTAGTTTGATTGTCGCCTCAACTAACAAATCCGGAAACAGCGCTATAGCTTCAACCCACTTACGGTCGAGCAAAGGCGTCAAGCCAACTCCGCAACTTGCGGCTCACAGAAAGGGGGATACTCCATTTGACACCACATCGTCTACTCCTGGTCGGCAAACTGACCGTGGGCCGGTAAATCCCTCATATATTGTGAATTCACCGCGGATATGGAGCCTTAACGACGACCAAAGCGCTAATGACCATGGGACTGTCACATTCCCCGCAGTTATATCTGGATCTCATATCACGAAGCCAACAGCCCACCACAAAGGAAATGGAAACACCAAAGAAATGCCGCATGCGAGACCAATATCCGGCCACTCCACTGCACAAACCCGAGTTGCTAAGTTGGTAGGCCATGATACCATCAGCGATCACGAGCCCACAAATGGCAGCGGTGCGGAAGCGTGCATACCGTGCTCAGAACATAATGAAGGAGCATCTGTTGAGAGCGAGAGGTCACAGTCCTTCGCACCAGAACTTGGCATGCCCAGTCCACAGTCAGAGTTGCTAGACCCCTTCGTCGCGAATACCAGCAATATCACGAGCCCCAGCAATTCGCCCTATAGAGCATCACGTCGCTCGAATACCCCGGCTTCGCTGTCATCAGATACGGATGCCATTGCGTCCTCTTCTAGAGCGACAGTCGTCAAACCTCCAAAGGTCCGGAAGACCATCAACAGCTCAAGGAACAAATCCGATGTTTCAAAGCAAAACAAAGGCCAGAAAACCAAGGGAAAACCAGCACTCATTACGCCTCTAGAGTATGCGCAGAAGTTGCAGTTGAATTCTGACTTGGCAAAGAAACGCAAAAGCGATTACCTCAAGAGCAAGCGAATATTTTATATCGGTGGGGACATGCAGTATGCGAGCACCAATACGCGCGGCCGTATGGACTACGTGAGTTTCCCATGCTTTGCTCTCCCTATCCCATTGCTCTCGACAATCTATCCACGATCTACCGTATTTCGGATCCGCAATTACACACTATCATCTTACGATGAAGTAACGACATGCATCACGGGACGTCCAGGCCTGATATCATAGAATCATCATCCTGTTGCGATGCCGTTGAGTTATTTGTGTCTCACATTAAATTTCTAGATCGTCAAGCATGGTGGTACCTTGGTACCATCGTACGATCCCGCCATCGTAACTCACATCGTGACAGATGCGATGACTCGCCCGACACTGAAAGCCCTCGGATTAAAATCATTAAAAGAGATCCCTGACCATATCCCAACAGTCACTTGGACTTGGGTGATATCGGGCTACGGTCGTTCTGGCTACAACAAGGCCAAGCACGACGAGGAAGCAAATACTACGAAAGGCAAGGCTAAGGCCACAGATGATGACGAAAGCGTTCTCGATTTCGAATTTCTACACGCGGCATTCCCTGAACGCATCGATGCCGGTAGAAGTTGGCAGAAGGGAAAACAGGGAAAACAGGCCCAAGCAACGGGTGAAGTAAGCGCCTCTGCGAATGACCCTGCTGGAGATTTTAGTCGAATTTCGTGCGTCCATTCGCAGTTCCTCTTCGACTACTTTTTTTATTCCCTCGCATTTCTTAGCTCATTCACTCAAGATAAACAAACCCAAAATTCACGACCCCCAGCGCCACAGCTAATCGTTCTTCCTCCTGCACCCCTTACTTTCCTTCCCACGGGAAAAGCTTCCAGCACTGCCCACCATAACGATAAGCAACGCAGTCACGTCGATAACCCACAATATAACACAGATCCTCTTGCCGAGTTCTACGAGAAGGCGAAGGCAGAGCGAAATACAGCTGTGAGTAGTAATGCCAACAAAAAAATTCAACTCAATCCTTTCAAGAGAGATCTTGGACAGAGCGAGCCAGATGAGAGCGATGATGAAGAAAAGTTTTCGAAACCAGCTCATGTTCCTCGGCGCGTGAGTGGCTGCATTCGAAATCCCTGAATTAACCTTGAATATCGTGTCCCTGCAGGGTTTTACATGTGATCGAAAGGAACCTCAGCAGCGCGAATGTGCGAATCAAGATATCATCGATAAGGTTTGCATGCTTGTAGTTCACGTTATCCGCAGCTAATAGAGCACCCGATCAGTTAGAAGAGCTTATGGAATTGCACAAGGCAAAACTTGGCGATGAAGATCGTTGGCGAGTGTACAGCTACTCAAAATGTACGCGGTAGTATTTGTGCATCGGATCTGCAAGTGCTGACTCTACTAGGTATTCGCGCCTTGCGTAATTATCCCAAGAAAATCAAGTCATTTAATGAGGCCCGATCAATCAACGGTGTCGGCGAGAAGACTGCCCGAAAGGTGTGTGTATTTGGTGACACGGGTCAACGTTCTGCTCCCATAACACGTTGTTTTGCCAGATTATGGAAATTATCGAAACCGGCGATTTGAGACGCATTGGATATGAAAAAACGGATGATGTCGAAGCAATTAACTTATTTCAGGGGATATATGGCGTTGGTATGTAATGTTATGGCATCTTGTTGGTTGACATCCTCATCCATGGGATCAGGCCGACAAATAGCTTCGATGTGGTACAATAATGGATGCCGGACGCTGGACGATGTTCGAGCTCGCAAAGGTGGCATTAAGTTGTCTCACGTACAAGAGATTGGGTTACGATTCTACGATGGTCCGCCCTCCGTCTTCACTTCTATAGGTCCATCTGATCTATTTTTTGTTGCCAGATATCAATGCTAGAATGCCACGCAGTGAAGCGGAGAGTATCTTCAACTTAATCAAACCGATTGGTAAGTCTTTTCTTACAAGTCGTCCACCACATATTCAACATGATGTGACCGAGAAGCTCTTGAGCTCGACGAGCACCTTTACATTGATATCATGGGCAGTTTCAGAAGGTTCGCGGTTGTGTGCTTCTGCTTGGCGTACGCTCACGTTCTTCGATAGGGGCAAAGCTACTTGTGGCGACATTGATATCCTAATCACTCGACCAACCTCAGATGGGACGACACATGCAGGTAGATGCTTGTGCCTTCTTGTGACTTGATATTTTTTTACCGGGAACATTTACTTAGGTCTTCTTCCCGAGCTGCTCGCTCGTCTGCGTGCCACAAGGATCTTGACAGAGGACTTGGCTTTGCCTGATGATTTTTCCGCTCTGGAATTATGTTATCGTGGATTGTGCAAGCTTCCCGAATCAGATGCCAAGCGTCGGCGCATCGATATCTTATGTGTTCCGTGGGAGAACAGAGGAGCAGCCCTCCTTTACTACACGGTACGTAGCTCACCTGTCAGCCCCTCATGTGATAATGCGACCATGCAATTACAGGGTGACGATATTGTAAGCATGTTTAAACAACTGTTAGGTAATAACACAATACAAACATGCCACTCCAGTTCAATCGGGCCATGAGAATGAAGGCGAACGTCCTTGGATATTCTCTGAACCAACGCGGTTTGTATGCAGGCGTCGTTCGAGACCCCCGAAACAGACGTATCAAGGTTTCCGCAGGTGAGTCCCTCCTCGCAGGTGCAGCCAAGCTTACCTCATCTTCATCTCTCTTCAAGGTAACATTGTTGCATCTGAGACAGAAGAGGAAATATTCAAGATCCTAGGTAAGAGTCAGCTCATGTGGGCATCGTACTGATGACAAACGAAGCCCTAGGAGTGCCATGGCAAGAGCCGCATGAACGTGTACGGGGTTGAGGTGGCGCAGTTTAGCTATTGCGTGCTTGACGGGCTTGATGAACTTCATTTGGACCTGTTGTATATATATCCAGCTCCCAACGAACGGTAGTTCTTTGATCATCTTGCTATACGCATCTGGAAACTGGCAAGTGCTGTGTACTGGAGCTGCCTGTGTCGATGATGTTCGTACAGCGAACACCCTCTGACAAAGCCATTGGGTATCGTTGGTCTACATCGGAACGGAACTGAAGTCTTAGCTCTTCTACGAGGGGGAACGATGCTGGACCCCCGAAATTCAAGTTTGTTCTACGTTTATTTGGGAGATCCGCTAAGTTTCATCAGAAGCGACAGGATGACCGATCTCCCAGCACATCTGATGCACGAGGCCAGGAAAAAAAAATCGTGAAAAAAATCGTGAAACAAGAGTCTGGCATAATTTACCCAAGTGTCATCAGTTCCAAATCCAAGGCGATGGTAAGGGCTCCAGATGATCGATGATCCTCGAAACGTTGCAGTAATGTGCACGAGATGACGGTAAGCAGCGCGTAGAAGCATATGAACGCCACGTCTCGATCAGTGAGAGTCTATACTTGATAGTTTGTGCCCATCGAAATGGACTAACTGCTTACAAGCTCTCACGTTGAGCTGTTCATCAACATGTGGTCATGCCAGTGAGACGATACGGACAGGCATGCATTGGAAATATGGATTCTGCACGTCACACAGAAGAGGATTAAGGTGGTTGATCGTCGGAAGCTCCTCCCAATGTATGCAAGTTGACGGAGAACAAATTCCAAAAGAGGGCCAATATTCAGAATGCTAAGGAAGGAAAAGCAAGCTTAGCCAGTGGCGTGCCAACCATACTGAACTCTGAACCGGTGAATCATAACATGAACAGGGCAACAATCACTAGTACTGTTGACAACATGTTGAACAGGTTCAAGGGCACGATAACCATTTGCATTGGCTCTTGGAGAGTGTCGATCCTCCAAACCACTGTGACACAAGCATTTCGTGCTGAGGGAGAGTGAACCATGACAAGGGCGTTCACTTCCCCGTTATGAGTGACATGAATGTCGACTGATGAAAAGTTAAGCGCTATCTTCCGAGTTGACAATCACGACGAGGCAAACGGAGATGCGGAGCAGGAGCAGCTGCATATGATGAAGGCCCTTCCGTACTCCATGGTCCGGAGGGGTTTGAAAGATATTTATGGTGTTGTGAACTATGTTCTAGATGTGAAGAGTGCTAACGTGTGCTAGTAAGTTTTTCCAGTTGATGGTCGCCCATCAGGGCCTTTGATGGCTCTGGGCCTGGGCTGATTCAGGCTCTTCTTTTCGGAAGAGTAAGTATAGGCATCAACAAACTACCGATTTCGCCACAGGACCCATAAGTTTCACAAGCATGCCACAAGGTTACACATTACACAAGGTCACAAGCTTTGACAGTCCTTACAAGACTATACATATGATACTAGTCCAAACTCAATAGTCAAATATGATAAGGAGAATTTATCCATAGCCTCATGACTTCAATAGGATAAGATCCTAGTGAGATAAAAGCAAAATACAGTTGACTTGCTCATAATGCATAGCATCGGGACCCTATGCAATAAGATATTTATGCATGACTGGATCTGTAACATAACGTGACATAATGTGACGGTGTGTGACACCAGCCAAAAGTGTGACCATGCAAAATATCTACGAAGTAAAGAATGAATGTAACGTAGTCTGCCTCTTACCCTTCAAATCAGCACTCTGTTAATGGCCTCTGAATGCTTGAAGTAACTTCGAAAGCTCGAGTGATCGCTCCCCATCCCACATTTCAATGCAGGCACCTTCAAGTTGCTAGCAGAACTCTGGAGCCTGTGCACCGGGCAGTGTCGGTCCCGCTTGGTTTGCTTAACTTTCGGTGCAGTCAGCGCCACCCCGGGCTAGCGGCGAGCATTAGCATTGCACGGTTTCAATGTTTGTGGGTTTGATCCTTTGAGGGCCCTTTTGCCAATGTGATAGAGAATGCTACTCGCGGGTGCATGAGTGTGAATCTCATATTGATGGCGGGTGGGCAGATAAGAAGAAGGAGCCGCGTTCGAGAGGAAAGAGGGTAGATATATTCTTGGTAATGGGATTTGGCAATTCTAAGCACTGCCGATATCAGTATCGAGCAGCAAACGAGAGGCAGGTATAATTTGGGTATAATCTGACATACCTTGAGGCTGGATTATACCCGAGCAATAGCATACGACACCTTTTTCCAGCGAAACTCTCATGCTGTATTAACCCGGAGGGCAAAACTGCTATCTTGCTTCCGCAGGTTGAGATGCTTCCTGGTGTGTCATCTTTGCGTCCGGGTCCAAGCTACTCAACATCCGGCAAAGCACCGTGAACTTCGGATCGAGAAGTATGACACATCCAGAATACACCGTGACGGTGGCTTTCGACTGACAATCGAGATGAGTCTTGAGCATGAGGTCAATAGAATCCATCTCATATATCCATAATACAACTCGCAACAACCAAACCACCAGTGTTAGCGTCTTAATGTCGAGGGTTGCGCAGTGAGCGACTGAAACTGCGGGAGCTGTCAGGGACTCAGGGAAGGAGTGGATGGAGTGGCAGAGGTAAGGTCTATTTGTTGTGACTTTTCACGGCCTCCAAAAGGTCATCACACAGTGCAAAATATGCTGCAAATTCTCGTGCAGCACTTTTAGCAGTCTGTGAACGGAAATGAAAAGAAGTGTTGTGATATGGCAGATACTGGCCAGCTCAAGTTACTATATGTCAAGATCTGTTTTCCGCTTGCTCTAAGCTTGACAGGATCCACGTGGTCGCCGGTCGGCTGTCTAAAACTAGCCCACACCCGTTGTGCCTTCGGCACATGTCTACATATTACATTTACAAAATACTATATACTTTTATTTTAGTTCTGAGGACAGAGGACAGAGGACACGGGAGAATTTTTTGGGAAGGGCAAGAGTCAACAGCAAGACACAAACAGTGAGACTGAAGTTTACCTGGGACACTGGCTTGCAATCCTGTGGCCTCGTACCTCGGCCAGCGGGATGCAAGCCAGTGTCCCAGGTAAACTTCAGTCTCACTGTTTGTGTCTTGCTGTTGACTCTTGCCCTTCCCAAAAAATTCTCCCGTGTCTCTGTCCTATTTTCTGCTTTCCCATTTCTCATTTCTCATTTCCTATCTCCCTCCTGTCTCCTGTCTCCCATCTCCCGTGTCCCATCTCCCCATTCACCCCATTTCTCCATTCTCCACCTTCCCATTCCCATGTTTACCCATTGCCCATTTTTCCTATCTTTATATTTTCGCATTTTTCGCATTTTTCACATTTTTCTATTTGCTTGGTGTTCCTCCCCTTGTTGTGGCTTAACCAATTTTGGACAGTGAGGTCGTATAGTAAGGGAGAACGGTTTTTTGAAATTGAAACTCCGATTGACAGAACCACGCGAAATTTCTAAATCGAGGTTAAGCGAGCTAAGCGTTCCCATGTGGCCTTTAGCGAGCTACGCGTCTCCCACACACAGCCACAAAACCGGTCTCCCATAATATTATGACGAGTCCAAGCCCGTTGTGCCTTCGGCACAGGAAGCAAGCAGAGCACTTTGTGCTCTGCTGGAGGCACCTTTGGTGCCTTGCCTCAATGTGTCTACATATTATTTAATTATAACAAATCAATAATTTCTTACATTATATAGTTTTGTTCTAGTTATGGGATGTTGCACAAACAGTTTGACTGAAGGTTACCTGGGACACTGGCTTGCGATCCCGTGGCCTCGTGCCTCAGCCAGCGGGATGCAAGCCAGTGTCCCAGGTAACCTTCAGTCAAACTGTTTGTGTCTTGCTACTGACTCATGCCTTTCCCCTCAATTCTCCCATCTCTCATCTCCCATCTCCTGTGTCCTGTGTCCTGTTGTCCCATTGTCCCATTGTATTGTGTCCCACTGTCCCATGTCCCATGTCCCATGTCCCATGTCCCATGTCCCGTGTCCCGTGTCCCGTGTCCCGTGTCCCGTGTCCCGTGTCCTGTTTCCCGTGTCCCATTGTCCCATGTCCCATGTCCCATCCTCCTGTCATCCCATTCTCCCATTCTCCCATCCTCCCATTGTCCTCCCATTGTTCTCCCATCCTTCTGTTGTCCTCCTATTGTCCTCCTATCCTCTCATCTCCCCATTCACCCCATTTCTCCATTTTTCATCTTCCCATTCCCATGTTTACTCATTGCCCATTTTTCCCATCTTTATATTTTTGCATTTTCACACTTTCACATTTTCGCATTTTTCATATTTTTCTATTTGCTTGGTGTTCTTTTTCTATCCTATTGTGGCTACATTTTTATGTATACACAATTACAGTACATATACATCATTGTTGTTGGAGCCACCTGCCAAATCAGTCAACCCTTACATACTAATGGACGAAGGTTTGCGCAAAATTCAAACTCCGCTTGACAGAACCACATGGCATTCCCTTTTTCAGCGCTCCAAGGGAGAAGGGATTCAAACAACTGATGCAAGCGACGCAACCGAAACTGCCGAAATACGCAGAATACACGTCTCTCACGGTTTCCCCCATACCATTCTCCCTTACTTTATAGACTAGCCCAAGCCCGTTGTGCCTTCGGCACAGGAAGCAAGCAGAGCACTTTGTGCTCTGCTGGAGGCACCTTTGGTGCCTTGTCTCACTGTGTCTACATATTATTTACTTGTGTGAAATCAATCATTTCTTACATCTTACATTTTAAAAATATTATATAGTTTTGTTTTAGTTATGAGATGTTGCACAAACAGTTTGACTGAAGGTTACCTGGGACACTGGCTTGCAATCCCGTGACCTCGTGCCTCGGCCAGCGGGATGCAAGCCAGTGTCCCAGGTAACCTTCAGTCAAACTATTTGTGTCTTGCTATTGACTCATACACTTCCTCCCAATTATCTGATTTCTGATTTCCTATCTTAAGTGTCCTGTGTCCTGCGTCCCATGTCCTGTGTCCCACTGACCCATTGTCCTGTTGTCCTGTTGTCCCATGCCCCATGTCCCATTGTCCTGTGTCCCATTGTCCTGTTGTCCCATTGTCTTGTGTCCCATTGTCCTGTGTCCTGTTGTCCCATGTCCCATGTCCCATATCCTGTTGTCTTGTGTCCCACTGTCCATTGTCCCATTGTCTCATGTCCCATGTCCCTTTGTCCCTTTGTCCCATGTCCCATGTCCTGTGTCCTGTGTCCTGTGTCCTGTGTCCTATGTCCTGTGTCCTGTGTCCCGTTTCCTGTGTCCCGTGTCCTGTGTCCCGTGTCCTGTGTCCTGTTGTCCTGTCCTCCCATCTCCCATCCTCCTGTCCTCCCATCTCCCATCCTCCTGTCCTCCTGTAGTCCTGTCCTCTCATCCTCCCATTGTCCTCCCATTGTCCTATCCTGTTGTCCTCCTGTTGTCCTCTCATTCTCCCATTGTTCTCCTATCCTTCTCTTGCCTACCATTTCTCCATTCTCCATCTTCCCATTGCCAATTTTTGCCATCTTTATATTTTCGCATTTTTGCATTTTTCACATTTTTCTACTGGCTTGGTGTTCTCTTTTCTCATTTCCCCCAAAAAATCCCAAAATCCCTTTTTGTCCTTCAATTTTTACTATTTATCATCATATATCACAGTTACAGTACATATAAAATCATTGTTGTTGTGCAAAATGGAGGGCCAGTGAGCACCTGCCAATCCCATTGTGGCTCAATTTTTACAAATTCCCAATTTTGGACAGTGAGCTCGTATAGTAAGGGACAATGGTTTTCGCAAATTTAAACTCCGGTTGACAGAACCACATGGGATCCCTTTTTCAGCGACCTTAGCGAAATAAGCATTCCAAGCGGCTTGTAACCGAAAAAACCGACGCTGGCGACACCATGTGCGCTACGCGGAATACCCGTCTCCCACCCCTTCCCCCACACCCTTCTCCCTTACTTTTAAGACGAGTCCAAGCCCGTTGTGCCTTCGGCACAGGAAGCAAGCAGAGCATTTCATGCTCTGCTGGAGGCACCAAAGGTGCCTTGCCTCACTGTGTCTACATATTATTTAATTTTGTGAAATAAATAAATTCTTACATCTTACATTTAAAAATATTATATAGTTTTGTTTTAGCTATGGGATGTTGCACAAACAGTTTGACTGAAGGTTACCTGGGACACAGGCTTGCAATCCCGTGGCCTCGTGCCTCGGCCAGCGGGATGCAAGCCAGTGTCCCAGGTAACCTTCAGTCAAACTGTTTGTGTCATGCTATTGACTCATACACTTCCTCCCAATTATCTGATTTCCTATCTCCCATGTCCTGTGTCCCATGTCCCATGGTTCTGTGTCCCACTGTCCCACTGTCCTGTTGTCCTGTTGTCCTGTTGTTTGTCCTGTTGTCCCGTGTCCCGTTGTCCTGTTGTCCTGTTGTCCCATGTCCTGTTGTCCCGTGTCCCACTGTCCCATTGTCCCATGTCCCATGTCCCATGTCCCATGTCCCATTGTCCCGTGTCCCGTGTCCCGTGTCCCGTGTCCCGTGTCCCATGTCCCGTGTCCCGTGTCCCATGTCCCATGTCCCATTGTCTGTCCTCCTGTCTTCCATCCTCCCATTGTCCTCCCATTGTCCTCCCATCCTCTTGTCCTCTCATCCTCCTATTGTGTCCTCTTGTCCTCCTCTTGTCCTCCCATCCTCCCATTGTTCTCCCATCCTTCTGTTGTCCTCCTATTTTCCTCCCATCCTCCCATCCTCCCTATTCACCCTATTTTTCCATTCTCCATCTTCCCATTCCCCTGTTTACCCATTGCCAATTTTTCCCATCTTTATATTTTCGCAATTTTGCATTTTCACATTTTTGCATTTTGCATTTTGCATTTTTCACATTTTTCTACTTGCTTGGTGTTCTCTTTTCTCTTTTCCCCACAAAAATCCCAAAATCCCTTGTTGTCCTTCAATTTTTACTATTTATTATGTATTCACAGTTGCAGTACATATAAAATTCATTGTTGTTGTGCAAAATGGAGGGCCAGTGAGCACTTGCCAATCCCATTGTGGCTCAATTTTTACAAATTCCCACGTTTGGACAGTGAGCTCGTATAGTAAGGGACAACGGTTTTTGCAAATTCAAACTCCGCTTGACAGAACCACATGGGATCCTCTTTTCAGCGACCTTACCGACGCAACCGAAACAACCGACACTGCCGGAATACGCGGAATACGCGTCTCTCACCCGTTTCCCCCACTACCATTCTCCCTTACTTTATAGATCTGCTATTTCCCGGACAGACGGCATATGGGGGAGCTTCCGGGGCCTCCCACGGGCAGCAAGCAATTGAGACATGTGCATGAGTCCTCGAGGCTAGAGTCATCGTTGCTTCTGAGACGCCCACGACAGTTCTCTGCGTTCATTTGGCGGGGCCTTCAAGCAAATCAACAAAGCACAACATACTTACCCCTTTTTTTTGCGGAACAATCTTGCTAAGGGATAACTGACCCTTGACGTGGCTGGATAGATCGGTGAGCAAGAAAATAGTGATGAGAAGGAAAATATCCAGACAGCGGCTGTTAGTGAGTTTGAAAACCACTACTAACCGCCAACCGCCTGTCAGTGTCACTTAGACTCGCGACCAGTCCGTCTATGAGGCAAGCCGGCGACTTGCCTCATAGACGGGCTGGTCACTAGTCTACCTGTCACTAATGAAAGTAAAGAGATAAATTGGAGATGAAAGATATGCGATCAATGAATACCCCTCCATCGTGACAAACCAATCAGCGTATCACAAGCAACAGTTATATCATACCTCCCACCCACAACCCTAGCCGGCACGCCCCTCCTACTATCCCTCAATCCTACTAACCTAGCATCATCCACTAATTCCTGCTTCTGATAAACATTAAACCACGGATTACACCAATCACAACCCGCACCATCCTCGTACCTCACCCCCCTCCTCTTCATGGCCTCCCTCATAGCCTCAGTCAGGAAATTTTGCACGCCCTCGGGACATCCTGTGAGGGCTCCATCCAATACATTCCTCCTCATCGACCAAATGTCACCATCCAGCGCCAATAAATCTGGCGGTGAGAGTTGTAGTAAGTCGCGCAAGTTGGCGCCGCCGATGGTTGCTTGTACAGGCGTCGTGTCGGGACCCCGTGTTGATTCTGTTTCCAGCCGACATATGACGCCGGTCAACAGAGAGAAATTCCGCTGAGCCTCGAGGGAGAGTCTTTCAACGTCGCATCTTAGACGTCGTAATTCGTCTGTGGGGGTGTAATCCATCGTGTTTGAATGGCTAGACACTGTGTTTAGAGCTTCTTGTGGTGTCGCGGTCGTTGGTGAGCAGCTAGCGAGAGTGAGGTTCAGCCTATCGCAGAAAATGCTGCAATTCACAAGTACCTGACGGGAGTACTCAGTCTCAGTACTAGGCCTGTGCTACGAGTTAGTCCATGTGAATGCGAGTAATGGATGATACACACCCCAGCGTCGTGCGGAACAATACTGAGGTGGAATACTGATGCTATTGCGATGCTTAAGTACTTAATCGACGGATCATCACGATCTCCGATGTAACTTTAAGCTTTAGGTTTGCCCTTTGCCTTTTACCCTTTGCCCCCTACCCTCTACCTTCGACCCTCGTCGCCACCAAAGTCGTGGTGTAATGATGCGCAGTGGCAAAAGCAAACCCAGGGCAGGCGAGCAGAGGAGGGTAAGTGTCCCCGGTTCAAATGACGGACTTTGCACTTAAATGCTGATAGAAAAATCGGCGGTCTTATGAGGAGTAGTCTGAAGTATGCGTGTCTCCTGCTTGCCATGCAAATGTCAAGTTTGGGTCAGCATGGGCTGAAGCAGGGTATGGTCCCCGTCCCAAAGCTGAACGAGGTGGATAATAGACATTGAGGGATTCCGAAGGTATATTTAAGAGGAAGACCTAACAAGATACTAGGTTTGGTGAGACGTGTCTCCGTTCGGAGCTCATGGTATTGGGTGTATCGTAGCTGCGGTTACGCACCAAGTTCGCGACTCCGATTGCATAAATTCCAGAAAGTGGAATTGGAAGCTGCGAGTCTGTCTTGGTCCGCCATACATCCAGCGGTGATTGATATTGATGTTGTCGGCGTTCTAGAGCAACACCGTCCTTTCTAAGTACTAGTAGTACGGTAGATCTGTCGGGACTCGGTACGAACTTGAAGTTGAAGGTCGTTCGTATTCAGATATGAGCGACATATCATTTTAAGACACGGTAGCCTAACAATAGCTGATAAAACCACTATACGGCCTTCACTTGAAGTTGCCCTCATTAGAACTCGAAGATAGCGTTACGAGCAACATCAAAGAGGTGGGTCCGGTTTCGAGCTTGTTGCAGGAAATGATGTTTCGGTCTTTGCCGATTGTGAGGCCAGTGGCTCCTATCCTAGTACTACTGTCCGTCTAGTGGAGGACTGGAACACAGCTGCGGAAGAGATGCGGAAGATTGAGGGCTTCGGTCGCTTCCTACTCCCCCCCTTGGTTTTCGATCTCCAAGATGCGGCTCGTGAAGGGCCCATTATCGTGCTCGTTGCAAACAAGTCGTCTTGCCATGCCATCATTATCCCGCACAGGCAACCTCCGACTAGCATCCAACTTCCTACCAATTTTCTGAAACTCATGCTATTGTTGCACGCACTGCGATAGTCCGCCCTGTGGTTGACAATCTAGGCAGAGTTGCAAAACCTGGGTCGCGAATGTGGTGGTGCCAAACCTCGTTCTTCAACTTCCTCCCTTTGCAGCTATACATTTCTTCCTACACCCATCGCTCACCGCGCTGATCAAGGCTCGCGGACGTTATGACAGGTCCCTGCCAGTGTCCTTTGCTGTCATTGGTCAGAACCACCCACCACGCCATTCATATCCTTTGGAAGCTGTCGAGCCTGAACTGAACTTGGTGCAGAGTCTCCTCCCCCCTTCCCCGACTGTTTCCTTTACCAAAGTCACGAGCGCTGAATAAACGAAATCGAGCGCCCTGCGCACATTGCAAGATAACCATTGGATCCATCTTGCCTGCCACGGGACACAAAACTTTGCGGAACCCTTCAAGTCGGCATTTCCCATGCGCGACCAACCACTTGAACTTCTAGATATCAGTCACATGGATCTGTCTCGGCACGAATTTGCATTTCTTTCTGCTTGTCAGACCGCAGTCGGTGACTTGAAACCTCCTGACGAAGCCATTTACTTGGCGGCTGGCCTACAATTTTCCGGGGTGACACCGTGACTCGGAAGAGTGTCATTGGTACATTTTGGAATGTCAACGACAGCACAGTGCATCACTTAGTCGAGGAATTTCACAAGAATTTTTGTGGGGATGACAACATGAATTCCAAAAGATGGCACAAAGCAGTCCAGTCGTTGAAAGACGTGCCCTTGGATCAGCGCATCATGTTCATGCATATCGGCTTATGATCAATTTCGTGCGTCCTCCCTTACGATCAAAGCGTTCTCGAGACAATCTGACGACTTCGCGTGTAGCATCCAGCTGTGGCCTATAGCTACGTGCAGCCTGTGGCGAAGGAACACACGCTGATATTTCAGACTTTAGGAATATATACCTCCTCATGTATACCTAATCTCGAATTCCAATTGTATCTCTCAGTCTTCTGCGTCATGACTAAGGCCAACGCATGGATAACAACGAAATTTAAAGCTATTCCATTGGTTTGATTACAGATCTGATATAACACATCATAGCGGCAAGACACAGTTGCGATAGACATGATAGTCACGTCTCTGAATTGCATGACTTGCGATCAACCAGTATCAAAAACATCCGCCTACGTATGATTTCCTTGGCCTAATGCTCCGCATTGAACTTCGCAAAACGACTACGCACAGTCCGGTAAATGCTGAGCCTCATCAGTAAATTAGTATTCTACACTGAAAGCACGAAACGCTCAGCTCACGACATATATAATTCCATAAGTGTGAAAATGTACTTGCAGTATGGTATGATCACAGGTTCACATGGATGTTACTGATCATTCATGGCTATCAGCAGGCGGCGATATAGGAGCCATTTAGGGCACAACGAGCTAAATCATCAAGACAGCGCGGTGCGGAGATATGTGTGTGTTTGCAACTAGATCTAGATACCTGTCAGCAATTTATTGATCGTGTACGAAGAAAAAGACGAATGAGAAGTAGTACGTCCCGTGTCTAATGATCATCCGAGACTTGGAGATGGGTTACTACATCGTAGTAAGGGCGTTCTTGAATGTTCTCCAAGCATGCGCAAATGCAGCACCGAAATACAGTGCTTAGGGAGAGCTTGGTTTGAGTCGGAGGAAAATCGAATCAGCTACTTAGCCAGATATCCTACGAGTACATGTTGATCAAACAGTTGAGGAACGTTGAGGAGTTACTAGGCTAAGGAAAGGCTGTTTCGGCACTTGCCGATTGTATGTCGTGGAACCTGCAATACTTCAACTCAGTACTTCCTGTTGTTCAATGCTCTTTCCCTGCTGATATAGATACCCGGTCCTCGTTATGCCTTATCTTTCGCTCAGAAGGGCCCTTACGCTCTTCGTTTTCTTTGCTGTTGTTTTCGAGAGTTCATTGGCATCAATACTGGCAGTTGACTATGGGTCAGACTGGATTAAGGCTTCGCTCATGAAGCCCGGCGTGCCTTTCGACGTGCTGCTCAACAAGGACTCGAAGCGGAAGATACAATCCTCGGTCGCATGGAAGAAAGACGAAAGATTATTTGGGTCCGACGCGGCGAACATCGTGAGTGTCGTGTCTGCAACATTCTGCGCTTGGTCTGACCGGTACACAGGCGTCCCGTTTCCCTCAGGACTCATTCTCATCCCTAAAATACCTCGAAGGCGCACCATTCAACTCCGACATTGCCACATATTTCACCTCCATATCCACTGCTCAAATTTCTGAGACAGACCGCAAAACCGTTGCGCTGAAACAAAGTGATGGCACGGAATGGAGTACGGAGGAGTTGGTCGCGATGCAGCTTTCATATGTGAAGAAGCTTGCAGAGGATCTAGCAGGCGAGCCGGTGAACGAAGTCATCCTCACCGTTCCACCGTACTTCTCCCAGTTTGAACGCGACTCCATTACAGACGCGATAGAAATTGCGGGACTCAGAACGCTGGCATTGATCAACGATGGTACTGCAGTAGCAGTAAACTACGCTATGACCAGGACATTCTCGACGACTCCCGAATACCACGTCATCTACGACGCCGGCGCATCGTCAACACGTGCCACGGTAGTTTCGTTCGCCGCAGCTGAGGATCCCAAGACGAAGGCATCGTACACGCAGATTAATGTTCTGGGCGTAGGGCATGACCGAAATACGGGCGGAACAGAGCTGGACCTGAGGTTACGGGATATTTTGACGGACAGTTTTATCTCAAAACACCGGCGAGATATCCGAAAGGACAAGCGCGGCATGGCTAAACTTTGGAAGGAAGCTGGACGTGTCAAAGCCATCCTCAGTGCCAACTCCGACGCGACCTCGACGGTAAGCAGCGTAGCCAGATGTAAGGTGTACTTTTGATGCTCACGGTTATCAGGTGGAGAGTGTTGCATTTGACATTGACTTCAAGACCAAGGTCACCCGCGCACAGTTTGAGAACGCTTGTAAAGACCTCCACTCGCGTTTTGCAAGGCCCATCTCTGATGCACTTGCGAATGCTGAGCTTTCATTGGTACCCAATCCCTGTAGATTATTTTTGCAGATATTGTCTGACACACGTACAGACAGATATCTCTTCCGTTATTTTAACAGGCGGCAGTTCACGCACGCCTATGGTTCAGGCCGCTGTAAAAGCAGCTGTTGGCGAGTAAGTATCTCGTTCTGTCTTTCTGAACCCTTGATTTTACATGTTTTATTAGAGATCGCATCGCACTTAATGTCAACGCCGACGAATCCGCCGTGCTTGGCGCAGCGCTTCATGGGGCTTCCCTTTCTCGTCAATTCAAGACCAAGGACATTCGTGTCACTGATACCCTAATACATGACGTCCAGGCGTCCTATCTCGCATCTAATCCCGGAACGCGAACGATCCATACGACAGTATTGCCTGCTGGGTCGAAGCATGGTGCAAGAAAGACTCTGACGTTCAAGCGTAAAGAGGATTTCTCTTTGGTACTGAACTATCCCAATGAAGTCATGTCGTACGTTTCCCGCATATACGCATTGTTCACGTTTTATTAATGTTGTGTCTAGTGGCTTTCCCCGTGAGATCCTTGAAGCGAAGATTGTGGGCATTCCCGAGGCCATCGGTAACCTCACTGAACGCGGCGCAATCGACCCGGTAATAAAGGCGACTGTCGTACTTTCCGAATCTGGCTTTGTGTCTGTCAGAGACGCTGTAGCATACGGTGAGATTAAAGACGACTCCATCAGTGGTACGTATTTTCTCTTTTTGCCATTCTTAGTCATGAAGCTTGAACAGGGAAACTGAAAGGCCTCTTTGGAGGCGGTGGTGACCAGGTACCATTAGAGACTGACCTTGATGAAGGAGCCCCAAAGGACGGGAAGAAGGATAAGGAGAAGAAGGATAAGGCCAAGAAACCGGATATGAAAGACCAAAGCACTATTCCACTTGAGATCGAAATTGTGTACAATGCGCAAGGCCCAATGAGTCCTGCGGCGAAACGGGCTGCCCGTGACCGGTATGTTTGCATTGTCTCTGCCCATGAAACCGATTAAAGTCATGTTGCGACAGTCTCAGGGCATTAGACAACATGGAGGTTTCGAAGCAACGTCGGGAAGAAGCACACAACACTCTCGAAGGATACCTGTATAAGCTACGGGATCTCTTGGATGACGGTCCAGACACGCCATTCACGAAATGCTCGCAGCCATCTGAGAGGCAAGCACTCTCGAACAAACTCTCGGAGACTATCACATGGTTACATGACGAAGGAGACACTGCCGATACAATGAAGCTATGGGAGAAACGATCAGTTCTTGAGTAAGCGTTGTTTTTTTTTGGGGGGAAGCAAGACGATTCGACTACTTACTATTTCTCGATAGGCTTCTGGAGAAACCAATCGTGCATCGCTACAAGGAGATCGAGGCTTTCCCACAGGCGCTGAATAACTCACAAATGTGGAACTGGAGTACGCGATTATTCCTCACTCAAGCTCGGGAGAACATTACAGCAGACGCTATCGTCGGTGTTCCTTCGAAGTGGACGTCCGAGGAACTTGATGCGCTCGAGAAAGCACTCAAGGAGCACGAAAGTTGGCTTAATGAAGGCGTTGAGCGGCAAAAGAAGACAAAGATGAATGAAGACCCGGCGATAGAGACTAAGGAGATGCGGGAGCGAGCGAAGAAGTTGGAGCAGCACCTGCAAAGATTGGTAAGGAGAAAGGCACCCAAAGTCAAAAAGACGCCCGCGAAGTCTGGTGACGCTAATGGGTCGTCATCTGCGGAGCCAACACAGACGGCTGGAGATAGACAACCAGGACATGACGAATTGTAGATGTCAACGCTTATACTTACTAATTATTGATGGAAATCGGAATAGACGCATTTTGCATCGTCCGTTAGTCTCCATGAATTCAAATACGTTTTTCAGTTGTGCAGTCACTGCAATATTGCGCGTAAGTGGGCGTCTGCTACGGGTTTGACATAAATACGTGTGTTTGTTGGTGCTTGCCAAGGGCTAAAGTAGCCTATGATACAACTATCCGAAGGTACAGCTTCTATCGGTAGATAATCTCAGCTCTCCTCCCATAAAGAGTGTTCATCGCCGCCCCTCGATCTATCGGAATCCGACTCTTTTGCGCAGACTTGGTCGGCGCCGTGTTCAGAACTCTCAACATCTGCTGTAACCCATGTCCAGGCGGAGCTACGAGAGCAGTGCTCACGAGAAACGCATTTCCAAGTATCGTGTCAATGACGACGATTTATTTGAGTGTGTATAATCAGTCAACACCGTCCATCTCATGTAATTGATTGTCTTCGGGTCCACGACATAGATATGTCCTTCGTGTAGCGTGCGTACCCTTACCCAGACACGTACTAGCCCAAACCTCACATATTTTCTGCCATCCGCAGTATACTCAGCTATGTCATCCAGCCGAAAGTATCGAATCATCATGCTAACGCGTTGGAGGTAAAGGAGAAGGAATACCACTCAAAATTCTCAGGAGCCATATCCAACTCCATCGTATCCATAGGCGACATATTCAAGGAAATCAGGGATGGGTCAAAGAGCGTCAAGTTTCCAGAGAAACTCCTCAAAGTCTTGGAGCAGAGACTGCAGAATATAGCAATGGGGAAAGATGCTGCGTCCGTAGCATAGTTATCATGTGTTTTGTGACTATATGCTGACGCCAGGGTTGCAGGTACTCTGACCAACTAACAAGGCGAACTATGGCCGTTTTCTATGGGCAGTTCATGGGGGACCCATTCAGGAGGCAGATGAAGGAGAACAGGAGCATAGAGGAATTGATCTTGATGTTTGCCTCACAATCCACCAGTGTGCTCAGGAAGGAGCCCACGCTCGCTGATGACGGGTGGAAGGTCGAGGTGAATAATCAAATCGCACAGTTCGTGAAGATGCTTCGGGATTGCTTGAAGACTCTCAGCCATGTTTCGCCCGAGCTCAATTCACGGCTGGATATGTATCAGGCCAAGCTTGCACCACCGCAGTCTTCGAATGACTCGGGGTATGACTCTGCATCCGTGTCGCGCGACCGGGGAGATTCTATCAGCACACAGCCGAGTATCAGCGCCAGCATTTCAGACATGCCCTTGGTGATGATTGTGGGACGACTGTTCAAGATCCCTGAGAACGCCATGCAGAGCGAGGTGGATAGGATGCGGAAAACATGTACAGAGAAGGTAAGTGGTGTTCTTTCGGTTGATCTTGTCGCTGAACATCAGTAGGCCGCTCTTATAGACCTTAAGGTGAGACGACAGGTGAAGGAAGAGTTGTGCATTGACCGTGCGGATATCGCAGACTTGCCTCAAGAACATTAACGCTGGCGCACCATTCCCCGGTCGACGGGAAGACTTCAGCAGTGATGCTGCGTGGAACCATTGGCGCACTCAGGAAACTTCGATTCTGTCGCAGCTCATGGTAGCGATGATGTCCCTAAATCCTGAACTTGCGAAGTCCATGCCTTCAGACGGTTCCACCTATTCTCCATCGGGGGCTCGTCCAGGTTCGTTGTCATCTTCTCGTGTCGACTCCCCTGGTGGAACGACACGACATACTTCGATCGGGAGCCGACGTTCGTTCTTCGGAGCCGTGGACGAAGGTGAGGAGAACAACAGCAACGGGGAGAACGACGACGACGACGAGATTCGTGTTGGCCACAATTTCACGTTTATTCCGCCAAATCCCAGGAAGTTCTACAGGCGTCTCATCGAATACTGTCTCGTCACGGATCTTGAGTTGATGTTCAGCCCCGAAGTGGACGATGCTGACGAAGTGCCTCTGAGTATTCTCAGTCCTCCTCATGTGGAACTTATAAACGAGTGTGCGATGCGCTGGCGCATAAACCATACGTACCGTGCCACATGTTTCTTGGATCAAATCAAGCAACTATATGAGCGCAGCGACGTTCCCATGGAATGCATACCAGAGGCCCTGCAAGGTATCACGAAGGTACTGCAAGATCTCGAGGTTGACAAGTGGTCCATCCAGGATGTGCGTGGTGAATCCACATGATCTAACGTTTCGCTGAGTTTCTTGATAGTCGGAACTATTAGCATCTATCTATGGCGGACTCTACAACCTCTTCCTCTCTTCTCTGTATCACGCCATGGATGCCTTGCCGAACCTAAAAGCCAGCGCGGTCCAGCCATATCTCACTATTCTCGACCACGTACGGGAGAGTGGACTCGTTGACCGTTTTGAGGCAGATATCAGTACTCGTCTGTCAGACCTGACATCTCGCATACAAGATGTGTCAGTTCAGTATTATCAAGAGAAGATGCGAACTTTGCAAGCAAGCCCCGGAGTCAACAGGGCGTTGCCATTGCTGCTGATGACGGACGAACTAGAGAAGGGAGCAAAACAGTTGGACAAGCGATTCCCTGATCCGCTTGTTGGGTATGACCTTGCACGAAGCGTTGTCTTCGGGATGCTGATACGTATGTGCTTAGACGGGTGGATTTGGTCTCGCTTGTAGTGGAGGCTCAAGTTCCGCTATTTGTCAAGGATCTTCAGAACTCCTCGAAGCGTTTGTACGAATCGTCGATGAATGGTCCAACACCAGACGTGCCTATACAAGATATATTTTCTCTTTATCGACGAACGAAAGCGTTGTTGTCAATGTACAAGGCATTTGTTCCCAAGTGAGTGATTTCATGGCGTTTAGGGCGATAACCTCACTGCTTGTAAGGGGACAACTGGAGTTTGATCTTGGGCAGCTTTTCGCGCCGTACGTTCATCAATGGCTCATTGACACAGACAATAAGACAGGCCAGTGGGTGCAAGCTGTAAGTCTTATTCGTAGTTGTTGGGACTGATCTGAACAAGACTTATCAGGCAATAGCGGCGGATCAGGTTCGTATCGTGTCTGTATTCTCCCGTTTTCCACTGATGTCTGCCTTAGTTTGAGGCAGAGAATACGGAAGGACATAGTGCATCTATTGTTGATCTCTTTGACTCTCTACGTAGTCCGATAACTTTCTTGCAGGACCTCGAGTGGTCAGATGAGTATCAGGAGGCGAGATTTTTCACCAGTCTCTCCAGGGTGCCAATTCAGTGCATTTTCATCGTATGACGTTTGCTGATGGTGTTATTCCCAGACGATATCCAAGGCAATCGAGCAGTACTGCCGCTCTGTCGAAGAGCTTTTCATGACAGAGATGTTCCCGCGACCAGCAGATTACTTGCAGCCGCAGAAGTCCTCTGCTTGGCTCGAGAAAGCCAAGTCCCTTGCAACAACAGGCGAGAAGAAAGTCGAGCCGTTCAACTTCCGCCCAGAGTCTTGCGTCAAGCTGAACAACGTCGAAGCTGCACGCAAACTCCTTGACAATCTGTACAACCAGGTGCAAGTGGACAAGGTCGCTGATACGATTGCTAATCACGGGCCACCTGTTCCTGACAAGAATGAGCGGCCGCGATTCTTGTTTGCTGTGAAGATTGTTATGGCGGAGGACTTGGTAGCCCTTGATGGCAGTCCGTCATCATTGCTGGACACTTTCGTGACGCTCAGCGACGAGGCTGGGAATCGCCTTGTGAAGACGAGGACGATTTATGAGAGCTTGAACCCGCGTTGTAAGTCTCTCCACCAAAACCCATGAACATGATTCATTTATATGGTGAAAAGGGGAAGAGACTCATGACATATCGGTCGACAAGCCTTTGTGGTTAATGTGCAGTATACGTGATCGCGCGCTCGTGGGTCAACATGACGTTGTTGGCCGGTCCTTCATATGTCTCAACCCCAAGGAGTTTGGCGACTTCTTAACCCATGATGTATGGCTGAACCTTGAGAATACTAACAATGGCCACCAAGGGAGGATACTTCTTCGAATCAGCATGGAAGGGGAGAAGGATGACGTTCAGTTCTACTTTGGCCGAGCTTTCCGATTCTTGAAGCGGAGTGAGGGAGACATGATGCGAATATTTATCGACAAAGTAAGCTAATCACGATGTTTGCGTTCCTGTTCTTAGTCTCATTGATTGCTAGATGTCACCATATATACGACAGTCGCTGTCTCGACCCATCCTCAAAACCCTGATCAAAGCTGGATCTCTAGGGCTAGATTACAATAAGGCACTAGGGAATGTGACGGCGCTCTATCGCTCAGCGTTGGGCTCCAACGCCAGCGAGGTGCAGGTACCTCTCCCTCACAACGAGAAACCTCGCGTTCGGCCCGAGGAGCTCACTGACGTTGAGATTGAGCGTGCCATTGTTCCTCTATTCGACTATTTCGACGCCAACCTTCAAATTCTCAACACCTATCTTAGCGAAACCGCAAAAGATATGGTGATGATGAGAGTCTGGAAGGAGATCCTAGTCGTAATAGAGGGTCTGCTCATACCGCCTTTGTCTAAACTCTCGAGCGACATGAAACCACTGAGTGACAAGGAGGTGGATATTGTTTTCAAGTGGCTGAAGGTGCGAGCAGTCCTTCTATATACATACCTTTTCTGATGGCTTCAAAGTTCCTCCGCGACTATTTCCATGCGGAAGGCGAAGGCGTTCCACTGGAAAAACTGCAGAATCAGAAATATCGGGATGTTGTTTCCATTCGCTTGTACTACGACTGGCATACGTACGCGATCTCGTTTCATGTACTGGTAACGACGCTTCATTTTTTCTTGCAGGGATACTCTCATGGAAGAGTGCGTGCGTGCCATGCAACAAAGCTTGCGTGAAGCTGTTCCTGTCAAGAAGCGCGTGAAGAGCGTCTATAATCAACGGAATCTGGGGACCATCAAGGAACGCAAGAAGGTAAAGAAAGAAGAGAAGGAAGTATCTAACGGTGAAACTATTATGAGAATTCTCCGCATGAGGTAAGCATTTCATGTCCCTGCGATCATCATTTAAGGTGCTCACCGAGGAATTTAGATCAAACACACAAGAGTTCATTGCTCAGCAGCTTGAGATGATGACAACTGTGCAAGCCGAGCGCGAACGCGCACAAGCTGATAAACAACAGCGAAGATCTCTACGACCGCGGCAGGTCCAGGGGGAAATTCCCGAAGTTCCGCCATTGCCTTCCGCTGTCTCATAGCCTTCGTGTATCACAAACCGTATACCCTGCAGGCCATTTGTGTCATCTGTTGACGTATTTCGAGATGGGACGATGTACTTACCTAGTGTTGTCCAATAACTTTTGAATTTTACAAGGCGCAAGTAATGGTATGACGATTAGTTCTTTGACGAGCCTGCTCAACAGGGGGATTGCTGTTCTATTATGATATTGGAGTGACTCTTGGAGATTTGATGCAGCAGCCTGGTGGAGGGGGGTAGGCGAAGGCAACAATCAACTGTGAATGATTCCTTTGAAACTCGAATGATACCTGCACCTCTTGTCATTCGAAACGCCGTAAAGCATAATGAGACAATGACCCGGTAATTCATTCGGAATGGGCTCAAAAAGGTGCGACTTGTGGTGGCGTAAGTTATTAATGCCCTTAAAGTTGCATCGTCCATAACGTCGGGTCTGGTATGGTTTTCGCTGCGATCCAAGTAGGTTGTATATGCGTAAAACCCAGTGAGCTGCACCAGCTTAAAGCAAACAAAGACCTACGAATCACGATGGCTTGACCCGCCTCAATGTGAATGGGTTCCTGGATTGGAAGTTCAAAAAAGGCTTCACATCCTTGGGGAGAAACAACGCAAAATCTCGTGCCTTCTGGGAATAAATGTGTTTCCCCTGCTGGAACCTGTCTGCCTAGCATCATAGGGGTATCTGAAAAACACGAAAAAGTGCCAGCAGCGATGTGCAACTTCCACTGTTGGGGAAGAGTCACAGGATGACCTGTGAGAGGATCGACGAAATCAAAATGATACATGAGCGTGGACTCAAGTCCAGCGCCCCAGATGCGGTCTGAGTAGTCGCTAAACAACTTGTGGGTGGATCTGGACGTCATCATCAACTGAGTTAGGCAACGGTTTGAGCTAGTAGAAAGAGGCATTTGAGCGCATATTCGTTGCAATCAAGATGGGTACATACACCGATGTTAAACATCATGTATTGAGACTGCTTGTCTGCATCGATTCGCGAGCGGCATCCTCAGACCCCAGAAGCATAGTTTGTACTTTGGGGAGAACAGTACAAATCATACATATCTAATGTGCGGCCATCATCAACGGACACAGTGAAGTTGTGATTCGGAGTCGTGCGTAGCATGGTGGATGTTAATGTTCAAGCCTCGAAGTTTAATATCGACCCCTGTTGGTGGTTTCGATGCCCTTCGGAGGCGCTCGAAAAGGCAGGTGCCACTACTGAGTTCCTAACACGTGCATCACCTTTGGTCTCCTCTACTAGCAGGCTGCAGTGCAATCAAAGCAGTACTAGTGCAGCCTGAGTGCATGTAGATGCGATGGCATCGATCCGTGCCACCAGGGCCGAAGATCGCTCGAAAAGGAAAATGCACTAGGCGCCAATATTTGCGCAATCTCTGGGTTTTCGAACGACCACCATGACAAAGCACAATCGATCAGTCACCGATTTTCCTGCAGCTCCCAGGTTTCCGTCCTCCATATCTTCGCCATGTTCCATATTCAGGTCTCTTCATTAGCCTTACTCACCCATCTTTGTTTATCACAGAATACTGTCAAGAAAGTGTTCAACATCGGTATTTTTGCATGACCTTGAGTATCTCATCGACATCGTCCGAGTCAACTACCCCCAGGTTTTTTTGACGATATAATTTACCGGTCCCTTTGAATGGTGACTCACGTGGGGTACACTCGTTCGAGCCCATCTATGGGCGGTCACTTCAGCTGTACTTATGTACAGCTTGGGGCATTGCGCATCAGACTCAGACTCAGACCTTCAGCTAAGTTTATTGCTCGTTCTGTAGTGAGATAAACATTTTCTTTCACTACGTACTGAGCAATAACTTGTCTTCGGATGAGCTAAGTATGAGTGCGTACGTGGTACCCAATCCCGATCATCGCACCACAGCACCACATCAGCGCACTCTCCTCGGTCGCTTCCCCCTTCTTGCGCTGCCGCCACTCCCACCCACATGGAAAACCCTCCGATCCAAATCCTGCCCTCGCAACCGGGCCAAAAACCTCGTCTCTATGCTACGCAGACGAGATGGATCGAACATCCAACTGCGAGAGCCACTGGTAGTTGAGGTCCCCAGCCAAACCTGTTTGTTTTCCTTTCTCGATTCTTCTTTATCAGTGGCTCTTTTTTTACGCAGAGGAACTATAACGCGAGAAAGAAGCAGCTGCCAGCTCCTCTCGACCTCCCAATAATTATGTCATGCAGCATCCTGGAGCAACACGCAGCATACCACTATCATTACACCAACCGCCTACCACTGTCGCGGGGACAACGGGAACAATCTCGCGTCCTCATCTGACGCTGGATGGCGGGCTCCTCTGGATTTGTTGCATGTCTATTCAGCCCGCAGACGGTCAGCATTAGGCAAGCGATGTTTGGTCTTTTGTCATTTTTATATTCTCATCTGGTTCTCCATAGTTGCTACAGTTGTAAAGTATATGTTAATTGTAAACTCTCGTGGAGTGGACAAACTGACGATAGGCTGCGGAAACTCGGTCAACTGAATTCGAAAGGCACAATGTCAAGATCTGTTATCATGACATCCCGTTTCGTATAAAGCGTTGTGATGTTCGTACGCAGTGTAGGTCCATTCCATTCTTAAGTTTGACAATTATGCGCAGATAGCGTGTAGCCATATTACAATTAGCAGTGCCTTGAATGTGTATAAATATATAACACCTTGCCAAGTACTGTGATACTGGTAGTCAAATGATTACGGAGGGCATCAGTAAGTATAATGAGCATCCAATCAGACGATCGCGGGACAGTCGCGGCAATTGGAGTTGATCATTCTAGTGACTTGCCTTATTTGGCGAGTGTTATAGTTTATCACAGCCTTCCTCAAGCGACTTGTGAAAAGACACCCACACGGTGTCCACAGCGACGGCAAACCTTGCAAGGACAATGGCACCTTATTCCCCAGATCAGAAGCTCCCTTGACTCGTATCATATGAAAAGCAGGCCAGTGGCTGCTCAATTTCTCATTGCATTCTTCCGTCCACTTTAGCCTTGCCACCTTTCTTTCTTTCTAAGTTTCTTTCTTTCTCTGTTGCTGGTCATCTTCTACCTTTGTAGCATTTCTTCTCTAGCGCTGCGTCACTTTGGTCTTCTGTTGCATCTACACGGCCCATGATGTTGCCAGCCAAAGCTTGTGAGTTGCTGCCATCAAGCAATGTCCTCGCGAGTTGACAGGACCTCGTCAGATATCTTCATCAGTCTCAATGCTGTCCGCACTCTTAGCGTTATCGCCCTTCTTTTAGTTTTCTCCAGCAGCATCCTGGTGATGGTTGATGACGTCGAGGCTGTCAATGTATTTGTCAGTGGCGGGAGCAACTCAAACTCCACGAGTAACTATGGCTACATCCAGTGAGTTTCATCGTCTGCGTTGCTGTGAGTGTGCTCAATTTGCTCGCCGTAGGAACAGCACAGTTCCCAATCAGCCAGCTGGCGTATTCTGGGCAGTTTTGAATCGGCTGTTGATCATTGCCCAGACCATCGTTTTAATTCTTTCAGAACTAGGTATGATATCGGCATTAATGTGTTAACATGCATCATCTCAACATGTAAAGGCTGGCCCATGGCATTTTTTGACCACTACTTCCCCGTTCTCGGGAGCAACTTTGGAGTAGGTGCGCTGGGATTGATGCAATGCCTGTAAGTCGACGCCCTCTAATTAACAACTTACCAATTCATCATGGACACCAATAGCATCGGGGCGTCTGTTCTCTCTCACTTCGTCAAAGTTTTCCCCTTGGTCTCTGCTTTCTTCCTCTTTTCCATTGGCTGCCTCAACATTCTGATCGGTCTTATCTTCCGAGAACACGTCAAGTCCACGCGCTCCATATTGTCTTTTCGGGACAAAACAGAGGACGTGTTGTCATCACTTGATAAAAATAAAGAGCACTTCAGCAGATCCAGGATGGATCGAGACGCAGAAAAAGGCGAGTGACAAGATTTGAGTTTGCAATGGCGTCACTGACTTTTACATGGTGCTAGGCTTGAGCGTCAAAGAACCTGATGTCGTGCACGCTCGCGGTTAACTGTGCTATCATTTATCACACCGCCATGGCCCAATTCCCGCCAGTTTGTAATATAAGGGATCGAGCGTCCGATGAGCGCTCAGCTTTTGGAGTCCTAAGTACATATACATTAGCTTTTCTATCCAACTTTCACTGAATTGTACATCTACGCAACCCACCGTTCACCGTACTGTCATTACACCTCGTGTATTTCCTAGCGCATTCTTGAATTTCACTGCTGTTAGCAGACATGTCACGAGGTTGTGAGAACCACAAGTCATAGTGACCCCCTTCACTCCGGGATCCGGTGCTAACGACCAACAAGCCGCATCAAATGTGGCTTGTAATAATATTGAGTACCATGGCTAGGCTCTCTAGACGCAACAAGTAGGCCAGCTACGATGTCTCTAGATGGCTTGGTCAACGTCGCGGTCAGTCATGCAGCAAGTACTGTGGCGTATTCGATCGAATCTCGCACTCGTCCCAGTTATTTATCACCAGCGGCTGACTGCCAACAGCCACCTCAGGTCATGGGCTGACCGCCAGCCACCTATCATGGGTTGACCTGGGCTGACTGCCAACAGCCGGTCTGAATCATTAACCTATATATAAGTTGTGGTGAGCTCATCCGATCTCCACATCATTTCTCCTTCGTTCCGATCTGCCACACCCTCACACCAGGTCTGAAAAAATGAAGTACAACAAAAGCTTCACGGCTATCATGGCCGCCGGCCTGGTGCGAGGTTCGCTCGCTCAGAGCGCGACGTGGTACGTACAGTTTCGACCCTGCACTTGGCTTGCTGGTCCTAAATATTTCCAGGTGCGGAAAGAACTATAGGGCAAATCAGTCTGTGGTGCACCCTGGTGGACATTTTGTTTTGCCTACGCGAAGTGTTCAACCGCTTCTGTCGTTCCGCTGTGCCCCTGTCTTCCGCCCATACCTCGAGGAGGATGCGAAGAGCGCGGCATTTGTAGTCGATACGCCAATTGTTTATGACTCGATCACTGGAGCTGAGTCCATCATACTTCCTTCCAGCTCCAGCTCTTCTAGCGGCTCCACTGGCCTAGGCAGCCTCAATGTCACCATCACAGTGGGCTCCGTCCATACCACTGCAAATGTCCCTCTGAACGCCACCGGCGTTCAAATTCCTGTGGATATCAGAATGCTGGAGGCTCAGAAGACTGCATACGACGTCAGCTGCTTCGCTACATACTCTGTCCCTTCGTCTTCGAAGTCCCAGCCTGCAGACCAGCAGACATTCAAGACTAGCGCATCCCTGTTGTATCTCCCTGACACAACTGCTTCCGTCACGAAGACTGACTTGCGCACTGGCGCACTCTGGGTAAGGCCTGCGAATGGCGAGGGTGGAGCATTTGCGCCCTTCATCCCTCAAGGGTTCTACATAAATTTTGACAAGTATCTGGCGAAAAATTTGACCATGATTGATCAGCTCAAAGCCGATGGGTTCGTCTTACATTCTGTCGCCTCCTAAGCAATTACTTAATTCTCTTTTCAGGTTTAACACTGTATGTTTCACGATCATCTGATGTATCCCATGCTGAACGTTTATGCCATAGCTTCACCCAATTCCTCCATATGAAAACCTCACCATTTTCCAACAAGTCATCGACAAGACCGTCAGTGCTGGCATGTACATCGTTTACGATATGCGATCGTATGTCAGACTTTGTCACTTCATCTCATATTTATTGACATCTTTCTATCCAGGAACTACCTAAACTTGACCGCTGTCGCTCAACAAGTCAACACTTATGCCTCAGTTCCCAACCTATTGAACTGGGAGACCGCGCATGAGCCCGATGGCAAATCGGACCCCCAAGATGCGGCGCGGGCGACATACGACTTAATATACCAGATGGACGGATATCACCCCATCTCTATTGTTCTGAATTGCGAAGACTACAACTTCTCTCCTTATGTCAACGGAGCAGATATCGTTCTGCAAGTGAGCCATTCACAAGATTTTTATCTCTCGTGCTTCTAATCCCTGGTATAGGAAGCTTACCCTATCGGAATTAACGCCACATTCTCTCCTGTGTGGCATACAGAATGTACCCCAGACTTCGGCCACTGTGGTTGCGATAACTGCCAAGGCACCCTATCTGATATCAAGACCCGTGTCCAGACCTACAGGAACAGGCTCAACATCCTGGGCTTTGACCGCACCAAGTCCGTATGGACTACGCCCCAGGCCTTCGGCAGTGGCGCGTAAGTCCCCTTGAGTCCCCAATACGATCTGCGTCTTTGACACTCTTTACAGATACTGGAACACCACTCCCACCGGGCAGCAATGGGCCGCTATGGGACTCACTTCTTTCAGCCATGGTGCTCTAGGCAAGCCATGTTGATACCGCGCATATGAATAAAACTGACTTGCGTTGCCAGGTTCCAAGTCCTTCCAATACCCGACCACAACCGGCAATATCACGACAATCGAGGAGATGGCGGGTAACCTCACTGTTCTCGTCAAAAACTTTGTTCAGCCCTTCATCGTCGACCCGAACGCAACATTTGCCAGCTACGACTACAAGGGCGTGGATGCTGGTGTCTGGCACAACGGCACTGCATACTTACTCCTCGTTACCAACTTGGTTAATGCGGGGGTCTTCATGCCGTGGACAGCGTTCGGATTGCCAGCTTCGACCACCAACGCGACGACGCAGGTACAGCACATATTCTCCGTCTCACAGAATACCAGCGTCACCGGTCTGAATGTCCGACCTGGAGGCATTGGTATTTACACTGTGACGCCTTGAGGTGGTTGTAAAGTAAGAACCAAGGAAGCTGGAACGCGCATTTCTCATCTCCTTTTCGTATTTCCTTTTTATTGTTATTATTAACTTATTTTTATAATTCATGTCTCGAGTACGCTCTTGGGCTCACGTGAAGCCCATGGTAGTCTCGGCAGTGACGACTCGGCGGACGATTGTAGACTAACGTTGTGTCTAGGTCTCCAATCTACCTTGTTCTGCTCCATCCTGATATAGATAGTGGAGAATAGCCGCAGTTCAAGAATTTGGATTATTAGGTACATGATATAGCACCTCCGCCATCATCGCCTCGATAGCACATACACCTTCAATCTACGGACCTACATATATTATACTTGTCTACAAGAAAATTAGTACGATACAGTTACCCTCACTTGTCAACTGTGCTCTTCACTCCCCCGTAGTTCCGGCAGTGACGCTTCCATGCACACCCCACGCAACGCCAAAGCCAAATATCACCCACGCTATGAGGATTATGGTGATCCCGCCCCCAACCGCTACCCAGCGCGCATACAAAGACACAGAGCTTGCAACAGCGCTTTTCAACGCCACTTCCTTCTCCTTTGGTGTCATACTCTCGTCCCTCTTGCCTTCCTCCGTCACCGTATGCAGACGTAGTTCCCAAAGCTTCTCCACCTCCCTCTCTAGGTGCTTCGGTTGCATCTCCGAGAGCCGAGCGGCGGGTAGATACCGCTTTCCGAACGACGTATAGCAGGCAAGCAGAAGTGCACCTGATATGAGCACACAGGCGAACGCATACACGAGCCACACCGTGACAGCACTCTGAAGCGAGTTGGTGGGGGAGAGGCCTTGAAGCTTCCCGGCTACCGTCACGATGATGACAATCGAGCCCTGGACAATCGATTCTGTAACACACGACGGTGAGCGATCTGAGATAATTTTCCCTTTGGAAAGGAATGCATACTCTTGATGGCAAAGCTGAAACTTGCGTCAAAGAGGGAAGCACAATAAAGATGCGCTGAAGAACTCACGCTGTCGCGTAGTAATGAGGGTCCGGTATAATGCTGCGTACTATCTCCACTTGAGGAGCTGGTGTAAAGCTCTGCAAGATAATGTTAAAGTACTAGTAAATCAAAAGGGCATCTCTTGCACCCACTTGAGCAAATGCATACAATACATATGCACAGACTAAGTCGAGTTTAGCACACTATTTGCCCGAGGTGTTCCGACTCACCAAATGTCGGCACTGTCTCCGAAAATCTCAACAGTATCATAGAGATAAGGAACATACATCCCGAGAGAAACACTGGTCTTATGATCAGCTCCTGCATCAATCAATCGATAAGATGCTCACGAATTGTCACGCGATGCCCATATGTATCAATGAACACACCCTCCAAAGGAGTAAGCACAACAGGAAGGAGCAAGTAAAAACTCGACACCCATCCGCCAACCACGGCTCCTTTCTTGAGCCTTTGCTGTGCAAATTGCCTGCGCAAAATTTAACACTTTTAATAACACCGCAAAACCAATCACTCACGTGGAAATTGATACAAACGACTGCACGCCAGCGTTTTCGAAGGTTGCAAAAAGAACCACAAACCAATACGTAAACGGCATCTGGCGCACAGCCGGCCAATGGAAAGTTCCCCCCTTAGCGCTACCCGCACTTGGCTGGCCGAACCGCTTGGAGTAATCGACGACCTCGTAGTGTGAACGAAGGTATTTATCAAGGAAGAAGACGCAAATAGCGCACAGCAGCGAGAGAAGGCTTATGGTGGCACCTATCCAGAGAGGCCATGAATATGAACCGAGATTTTTGGACATAACGTTCGCAGTGCTCTGTCCGACATATTGAGCCAGATTTGCCATCGACCTATACGGTAGAGGTATACATGAGATTTGAAGGTGTAGTCATAGAACTTACCATATGAGACCTGAATAACATTGAATAACCAGTTGATACGAATCGCTAACGATTATAAGGCGCCTCACCTATAGACACCGCGAAGCCATTTCCCGGCGCAAAATATGTGGAGAATATTTTGTGCTGTGCATTGTCTAGGGATCCGTCACCGATGGCTGCAATGATCTTGCCTGCCATGAGGACATGATAACTGTTAAGTCCATTTGTCGTGGCGCCAGCCTCTATCGCAGCGCCTACAAGATGAAATGCGGCGAGTATGACAGACAGAAGTGGGCCTCCAAATTTGTCGATAACGAAGCCGAGGGCGATGCAGAGAAATGTGTTTACCTGTTGGACAGTAAGTGCGTCAGTCCCACGCGTTTAGCGAAAAAAGGCCGGCCGTACCAGGTTCGTCACAGATACCTAGCAGTCCAGGTAGAGAGACAAGAACGTCAGTCCCGCCGCATTTTTACCCTGTAATTCCTTACCAGCGTAGCAAATTCAGAATTATTGATCTTGAGTTTTTTCTCTATCGTGGTCTTCAGAGTCGTAATGAGACCCTGTTGCACAAAAATAATCTGCATTATTCGCAAAAAAAAAATGAAAGATGATACTTACGTTAGACCAATGATTTCCGACTTACATCCGATACATGTGTATGAGCTATGAGCGAAATTCACAGACGTGAACACTTACATGTGCACATGCACGTCAATGCAATCATCGCTACCTGCCACCTTAGAGGTAGCTCTGGCTTGGTGGCAGAGTAAGACAAGGCGCTAATTGATGGTGACCGAAGTTGGTCATCTTTGCCTTCAACATCGGCACGAGCAACAGCGCTGGTGGAGCGAATACTAATGGAGGACATGGTAGCTGCAGACGGACTCACAAGCAAAAACCAGGGCTTTGGTTGACTTATAAGTCCTTTTCGCAGAGTTTACCTTGGAGAGCAGAAGTGGAGATAACCCTTCAGGACATGAAACTTGGTCGGCTAGTGATTGTGGGAGATGTGACGAAGGGAGTTCGAGAGATGCCCAAATAGCAAAGGGCCGCGAGTCCCAGGGATCCAATCTATGTCCCGCATGATCATACCATGTCAATAAATGTTACGTCCACGGCCCTTAGCTTGGGTCTTAGCCGAGACTGGTTCAACGCTCATATCTTGCGGGTTGGGACATCGACCCACTACGTTGGGTTGCTCGTGATGGGGCCGATCCATTGCGCGCGGATCCCCTCTGGAACGACTCATCGTAGTTGTGATATTACTAACCCATCAAAAACCCGTAAATAATTGGGGAATGAAGGGGAATGTCCAAGCCATCATGGGCGTTAACATCGTGTCAGTACAGTCGGCACCTGTCGGCACTTGGTTTGTGTCCCTGGATCCGACGATTATCTAATAAAAATGATAAGATCTCCTAAACAATCTTATCTGATAGGCGCTTCTGAGAACACCAAACATGGCCCGGGAGAATTGATTGTGGCTTGCAACGTTCAACCATTTCCTTCTTTCAAATAGCATATATCCTACGAACCGCATCTTTTCTGCTACCATTGAATAACAGAAAGTCTTTTGTCGTTATGTTTTTGATGATGAAGACGAGGCTAGCAGCTCGGGTACGTCGAAGTCATTTGGGATATTTCACGTCGTATTCATATATGCACATGATACGTGCACGATGCACAATGTTGATCATGGTAAGTATATATAAGGTGCGCCAAATCTGTAAACTCTTTGTTCATGTACGTTTTCAAAAAAATTCATTGTTTTCCCGCCTTGAACATGTCGTCAAATGGCACTAGATGATGTTTCTCAACGTGTCACAGCTACATGCGTGGGACTCGTAGGTGTATATGAATTCCGTGGGCAGCCTGCTTCGTATTGATGTCGTCCAGTCTGCGATATTGTTTCTATTGGAAGCCAGGAGGGGCATCAACTTCACGAAGAAAACCCAATCGGCAGCAGGCTACTATGCATTGTGATCAGACAAACTGAATATCTTTTTACCTCGTCGTTCAAGACTGTTTGAAGAAAACCGGTGTGTGAAACTTAGGCACCAACCCCGTGAACTTCTACCTCAATGTCCATGACAGGGTCCCTGTGCCTGAGGAGAGGTACGCTCTGTTGCAGAGTCTCTTGAAGAAGGAAGGACCTCAATGCGCCTACTGGGACCGAGGTTGTTTGATTTTTTTTCTAGGGAATTCATCACCGGCATTCATGCACACATGGCAACCTAGCCGCGCTGTTGGCAAAAGAACTCTTGGTGAAGATCATTTTCTGACGGCACTCCTACTAGGGCCTAGTAGGCACTTCCCCCACGTTCGAAATGCCAGTACTCCTGAGTTTTTTTCTGGTGGCGCGCATTCTGCGATGTGACTTGGGTAACTCGTTGTTGGGATTCTCCACCTCCGAGTCACCCGCACCTCGCATCGTCGCTGAGATCAGTTCTTCTTGGTGCCACAAAGCACTACGTGGCACCCTAAAACCCACTACCTGAAGGTAGCGGGAAAAAATGAATAACCAAGAACCAGTAAACGAGTTTTTCTCTGGCCACGACGCTGGGAGCGCACTGAAAAGAGATCCGAAAGATGATATTTATACGTCGGCGAGCTGGAGAAATACTACTGAAACACTAATGTAGCACAATTACACGTAATGTACAAAGACACTGAACAGCGATGCAAGGCGATGGAGAAACGGGGGTATGCGTGTACAGGTATAGAGAGCGGTCAGCATGTCCGCAAAAGTGGTCATGAACGCGTCACTGAAAAGCGACAAGGTGAAAAGTTAGGGAGAATACTCGTAAACGAAAACCTTGAGAATGCGGATACGTGGCACTGATTTGACCAAAACCGGTTTGATCCCTTGAACTTCCTTCCGACAATTCCAACCATTCGGATGCGAATCAATCTTCCTCCGGAACCTCGCAAATACTGGACAAGGAAAGTCGGCGACGTGGAGTCACGAGACTAGCACTACTTCTACGACGGTGGTGGGTGCGCTTGGAGGGAACGACAGGGGGCATGGAGCTTGACAGTGGATGAATGCTGATTGAAGGGTGCGAAGTACTAGTGGAGGCGGCCGAGGATGTAGGCAAGTCGTCGGATAAGGACGACATGGAAGAAGACGGAGATGAACTATAAATGACATAGGGTTCTTCTTCTTCCTCGCTCGAAAATAGGGAGAGAGATGACGCCGAAGCAGTCAAACGTGCGACATCGCCATTCTCTGGCATCTTTGACGATGCCGCAAGACTACCAGAACACCCAAACGTCATCTGGAAGTTCCGTCAGTGACATCATTCACGAAAATTTGTGGTGTAACCAACCACATCCTGCCGTGCACTGGTCTCTCGAATCCACTCGGCAACACGACGTGCCCATTCTCTCTTTTTCAAAAATTCGATCCGTTCCTTCCTCTGCTGCGCACTTTCGACGAAATTTTGCTGTCTTCCGCGCACATCATAGGGAGGGGAATAAACAGGGGTCGTCACTGGATATGATGAAGCGACAAGAAGATCGTTCACAGGGTATCCTGCATCGCAGAATGAGGACATCGTAGAAATCTAGAGTGAATTGGTCTAGATGGAGATGGTAATCTGGAGAGTGTGGAAAGTTGTGTACGAGGGTTGTCTCTGATTATATATGACGGCATGGGTCGTGGTCTAGAATGTTTTCCAGAAGCGGTTCATGCTGTCTCGGATTAGTCAACGTCAATTTCATTTTGCGGTTCATGAGTTCATTTTTGACTACTCTGGGGTCGTTCAATTATTTAATCTGGTCCTGTGGAATTGACCGGCACAAGCCCCCAATGTCTATGCTACTAGCTAGCAGAAGAGCTCAGGGCGCTGAATGGTGCATTAAATTGTCCTCTCGAGGGGCCACAAATCTAGATCGGCATACGCCGAGAAAGACACCAAAGGGACATGTCACACACCTTGCCAGCTCTTACTCCTTAATAGTTGGATCCTGACAGTCCGAAATCATCGTGAGCATGTTACTGCTTACAAACTGTTCTCCATCACGAGACCCATCTAACCATATTTCGATATGTTTCGCGTCCGCGGTGATTGAAACCATTCCATAGATATCACACATAGGATTGTTTCGGATCGCCCGACGGACCGGCTCCAAGTGCGAAGTCATTGAACCTATTGCAATCAGGTGCCCCGCTCATACCTTTCCTCTGCTCTGCTTTTGAGGCCTTCAGCCATTGCTATAAACCCCCTCTTCAGTCCATTCCCAACGAAAACCTTGATCAGATACGCGAGGAGCCCATCGAACACCTCAATCGTTTCATAGCGGGTTTTCCCTCCCTCGACTTCTACGAGCGCTTGCCACCGTTCCGCGTTGAGTAGCCAGTGTGGCATGTCAATGTTCACCCATGCTGCACGATAGTTTTCATGATCCAGCGCAGTGATTCGCTCGAATGCGGAGCTTGGGAACCACGTGCTTTCGAAGGACGGAGGGATATTCACCGGGCTGATATAGAGGTAACACCCCTCACGTGGAGTCTCGTCGGGCAGGAGATTCTTCCGTGCATCTGTGATGCGCTGGCTTCGCCTTTCCAAAAATTTCGCATCAACTGGTACGAAAATGTTATGGAGAGCATAGCTTACACAAAAGGGTTCCTAAATTCCCGAGCCAGTTAGTGATAGTTATGGAAAGCGAGTCAGACCAGAAAGTCATCATCGTCAAGTGCGCAGCATTTACCATTCCTTGTATGACTTCCAGTCCATCAACACTTCCCACACTACTTCACGAGGCGCATTTATAACACAAGAAGATGAGGCTGAGAAGACGCCTTTCGAGGAAAGTGGGGGAAGACCAGTGCTAGACGTCATGAGGTTTAGATTCAAGCTTGTGACTTACCGTAAGCTCCAACTTTGCAGACTTCGGATGACGTCAGCAAAAGTGTAGCCGCAGCAGAAGTTTTGGTGCTCTTTAACACTGCTTCAACATGTAGCTTCCATGGTCGAAATGAGACCTAATCGGACTAGCCGACAGTCGCGATTCGGGAGGCAAGTATTACGATTGGTGCCTGGTGCTGGGGCTATACTGGACACTACTGGGGCTGTGCCGAATCACACCACAAGTGTTCTTGATGATCATGGTCAAAGATCAGATCGAGTGACAGGTCGTGGCAGGTCATAGCATTTTTCCTTGGTAGTCTTCGAATGGTCAGGCCAGGTGCCGTCATGGAAGACCTCAATAATCTTCAATAACTCGGATTCGATCTAGCCTTCAAAATGATGCTCGGCGAGGCGTGCGACTTGACTCATACGGGCTCTTACCTTGTGCAGCCGCATGTCGACGTTCTTTGAACGTTCCTTGTTCTGTGCGAGTTGATCAGCGATACTAGTGTCTTACCTACCTTATTTTGGCGAGTGCTATACCCGCCTGGTCGTTCATTGCTGACTTTCCGTTAGAAAGGTTCACGATGCCCATCAACACGGTGTCGACAGCGACGGGGACCCTTGCAGGAACAATGTCCACCTTATATTGTTCAGAAGGGGCATCTTATGAAAGGGTGACTGGCTGAAGTCTGTCCTCACTCCCACTGCGTCGATCCGACCACTTCAGCTGGTTGCATCATCCTTTCTTTCTCTTGCTGCAACTTGCACTCCATACCTGCCTCTCGTTGCCAATATCCTCGATGCAGAACCCTACGGTCAGTGAAACGCTCAATCACCAAGGCCAGTGACTGGTTCGAACTTTCCACCTCGGGAACGTAAGTATTGGTACACTGTTTGTCCCTAGTACATAGCTGTAGTTGCGACGTCCTGAAATAGTTACGAGGTCATAGCCAGGGAAGCTACTCAGCTGATTATCTCGGATTGACGCCTGGGTATTTATCATGAGAAAAATGAGAAAAAAAAACAAAGGAAAGCAGGAGGGTGATAAAACGTCCCGATTATCCGTCCTTATTTCTCGCCACCCAGGGCCACCCAATCACAAGCATTCATGCGAGTAGAGATGAAGCTCGGCACACAGAGCACCGTCTCGCGTCGCAGCTCGCTACTGTTGCATTCCTCACCGCACAGGACGAACCTCCTTTGTCCGCCCTCTGTTCCGGTAAACAGACAGATCGTGGGCGGCCTATGCACATGGACGTAGTAGATGGTGCCTAAGACGGTATCAAGGAGGGTGAACATGAAGCCTTCAATAGCGTTAAATGATAGGGTCGCAAGGGTTGCTTTGTACTGGGAAATGTGGCCTTCGCGAAATTTGAAATCACGTTCTGTTGGTTTCGCCAACAACGAACCTGAAGGTGTGTAAAAAGTGCTAGGAGGATCGCCTATCTGGCCTCCGTATAGGTACTTGGAGGCTTTCTGGGTAGAGAGATAACTCCTTTCGCTCCGACGAGCCACGGACGAGCAAGGACGACTCGTCGAAGTGCCCATAAGTTGTCAAGCATGGCGCAAAATGCATCAGAACACCTGCGATGGTCAGCAACACGGTGCCTGCCAATGCCATGGGTGCTCTCTTGTTGGGACACGGGTCACTGCTGTCAGCGCCACACATCTCGGGCACGGTGTCCTCGGTGAAGGTGCCCACGATGACTAGGAAGGCGCCCACCCCGATCAGGATGAAGGCCAAGTATGGCACTAAAAGTGCCACAAAACGTCGGATCGAGCGCCTTGTAGCGAACGCAACGTGTGGGAAACTTTTCCCCCTAATGGCTGCCGCCTGACATCCATCCAACACAAGAGCACCGTTAGATGTAACGCCCGTGACCTGTACAGCAGGCTCGATGTCCCAAAGCTTGGCGCCGTATTGGTCTTCCTTGGCGTACCATTGAATTCATTGCTCTTTGATCTCTGGGAAATCATGCGATCAGCGATGCGATCGCTATCATTCGCCATAAACAAACGCGCAAGTGCTTGAAGTTCTGTCTCCTTGGCGTCTGGGAGAACGCGATGCTTGAAGATGATCCCATGAGCGCACAGACCTTCTCTGCGCGATATCTCCCCTGAGAAATTGCCTCTTCTTTCGTTAGTTGACTAGAAGAGCTGTATCGGCACCACATTGCCTCCTTGAGCTGGAGATTACGGTCCAATGTCTCGGCGGATCCTTCCCGAGCATGAAATAGTTGATGATCTGCGACTCTTCATCGTGATGTGGGTAAGCTAGAGCGATCAGTTGGAAGAGGTTGATAGGGGTGATTCGTCGGCAGTGTTTGAGCGTTGAAATTTCAAAAATGATACACAGATAACCTCAGAATTATAGTTCCATCAAAAACGGACAATTGAAGGGATAAAGTCAGCTGAATAACGAATTCCGAGACGGCTAGCTGCTGCTACTGAGTGGTGTTGTTGTTCTCCGCCTGGCCATGGGAGATTCATGTCACGGATCACGAAGATTCCCCTTCAGTTGCTTCATGCCATGGTCCCGTTCGGCCCCGACGGTGATCCTTATGGAGTACAGCTCGTTTTCTGAGAGCCACTGAGAGACAGAGAGAGCAGCAGCGATTTGTGTATGATTCAAGTTGATCATAGATGTAGAATTGTTTACGTCAGCAACTTTTTTGATCGAGGCACTTTGGAAAAGTTGCAAAGCTCATACATATCTCCGATTCTCCGAGGGCTGCTGACACTTGGACGCGTTGTAATATGCCGTCTGCACTTGCCAGTCAGTTGGCTGCATCCGTATCTCTAAATGCATCTCTTCTCGATGCTCATACCAGCAAACGGAGACGAACAGAATCTTACCTTTTCACTGGTCGAGACGCCGACGTTCATGACCTCGATTCGATCCATGCACTTGCTAGCAATGCCTTCGCGCAATTGTGTTCCCTGTCTCCTGCTTTCAGTGCGCGAACCATAAAATTGGGTTCAGATGGATCTTCCCTGTCTGTGGACTTCGACCAGACTTTATTCTCCGAGGCTGCAAGGAATATCGACCGCACGATGCAGTCTCGGGAAGTGAATGCGAACCTCGATCGCACATTGAACGCGTTTCTATCATTGTTAGGCCCGTGGCTCATGGAGGCACCTACAAGCAAAGTATTAGAGTGGCTGGTGAGGAGATTTCGGTGAGTGGTTGTACAATTTTGCGAGCTTCATCAGCTCACAACGTCTCTGAAGCATTAATGAATTCAACGTCGATGCAGTTCTTTCCCTCTTTTTCCCTTATCATGAATCTCCGCACTTTGTCAAGATGCTGTCAATCCTCCACATCTCGTGCGTTTCGATCTCGGTTTGTGCCAGTTTCGTTTTTGACATCTATCCCTAGCCCTTCTTCCATCTTTTCATTTCTGTTACCCTTCAAATCAGCTGCAACGCCTCTTGCACGAAGCTCAATTGTCAAAGCCATGGCTGCCAACCAAGCAGTAGCAAGATTTATTGCATCCTTACTTCCAACTGCGATACGAGGTAAGAATCTGTGCATCTAAATTATCCTAGTACATGCTTCAACATATGCGATTTTAGGCTCATGTTCTCATCGCACTCTCGTGGCCTTCAATGCAGCTACGATGCACGACTATATTGCATCTCAACAGGCTCTAGATGAAGGCACCCTGGCGTTCCTGTTGTCGGCTCTCCTTGCGCCGTTCCAGGCTAGTCATAGTGATACCAACGCAACTGTAAGCATCTCATATACGATGCCTCATTGTTGCTGACATTATATCCCTTAGTTTGGTAGTTACGTGCTACTTTCCACACTCTCCCATAAAGTATCCCTGTCATCTGCTGCCGTGGCAGCTATTATCGGAGCAATGGCCACTTCAGCTGCTCCCAAGGGCAAACGAGACACGAAAGACAGCAAAGCTAGTGAACACTTCATCAAGGTCGCCATTGCAGTGTGCGCGCCTCAAGAGGAACTGGGGGCTTTCCACGCCAGCACAGGCAACTTATGTCTAAAGATGCCGTAAGTCGACTGATTGAATGCTGAATATTTGATGTTGAAATTATGATCGTAGCGCATTTACGGAAGAACTGCAAGGCGCGGTTCAATTTGTTGGCGCAGAAAAATTTATCTTGCCGCTCCTTGAGTGTCTCAAGCCTCGGTGTGTGCAGGCTAGCTCAATAATCGGGGAGAAGGGCTAATCATCTTCCAGACTGGAGGAACCTGTCGTATCCTCTCTTTACGCTGCAGTTCTCGGCGCCACGGGCGCCCCTCTCAGATTGTTAAAACACTTGGCGTCCTCACTCATACGACTAATTCTCGCTGGCAATGACGAAGAGACCAATGCGACCTCAATGATTAACGCTGCGCGTGCTCTCCTGTCTCTCGTTCATCAACGTCATGTCGAGATTCTTCGTGATGCCGTGGGCGAAATCATTGGCGACGGTGAGGGCGAGAACGACGGTGAAGATCAGCGGACGAAAAAGAAAGAGCGGAAAAAGAAAGCGGACGAATTGATGATCTCGTTTTCAGTGGTGAGTTTCCTCAGTAATATCATTACAGACATGAATTTGAGCATCTTTTCAGAGTCATCCTTGGGCCCAAAGTACCGATGTCAACGAGATTGTCGTTGCTTCGACAAGTTCCACCAAGGAAGCACGCCTTGGGGCCGTTGAGCGCCTGTATGAAATTTTGCAAGGGGGAAAGACGCTCGAGGCCTCTGACATGGTAAGACTGTCACGTTGCTATTCATGGGATTTGTTGCTAACATCAGGGTTGTCAGGCCTCAATACAATCAGCTCTGCTCGCTCGCGTCTACGATACACATGCTGGAGTTCTTCATGCACTTTACTCTTCACCTGAAATATTCCTCTCGACAGTCACTTCCAGCACCACCCCGCAGAAACTTCTGGATATCATCGTCTTGCAGGTTGTCCCGGACCCACCAGCTCGTGCTGTTCTTCTCGCACATGTTGCTTTCCTCGTCGGTCATTTCAGCAAAACTTACCCGGAGTTATCACAAGCCGTACAGGAACGCGTGCTATTCCCGTACGTACTTGCCAGCAAACCCAAGTTTAGGGTTGCGCGAGGGGTGTGGGAGGCACTGAGGGAAGTCGGAGGTAGCGCGACGGGATGGTTGAGAGGTTGTGTAGACATCTGGGAAAAGGCTGACCTTCTACGTGGCAAGAAGAATGAGGAGAACGACGATGTAGACGTGGACATGGAAAAGATCTGCCAGGTGAATCTTGATGTGGCAGCCAAAATTGCAGGTACGCGTTCGTTTGCTTTTATGTGATGTCCATATTTAATCATGTTTTGTAGAGAATATCCTCGCCTCCAATGACGGTTCAAGCGATATTTCCCTCATCCTCTCCAAGCTACAGGACCCCCTACCGCACGGTCGTGCTCTTGCCTATCTCATCCTCCGCGTTTTGCTACTCAGCACATCATGTGAACAGCAGGTCGATGTAGCCTTGCAGGCTCTGACCGCCATGAAGTTGCAATCTGTTGATGGTTACGATGATCTCGTAGATGGCTCCACGAACTTACAAGAGGTATGATCATTCTCCTTTTCCGAGTTCGATTACTGAATATGGGGCAGGCGCTTAATGATAGTACGCTAGGCATGAAAGTTGCGACAAAGCCTGGAGGAAGAGTCACGATGAAATTTCTTCAGGCCTCTATATTGGCATTGATCCCGGTTGTCCGACTCGTCGAGGGAGGCGCTCCTGCTTGGATTACAGCTACATCACTGGTGCGTTTTCGAGCCTGACGATTTATCGGTTGCTCACGTACACACCAGACTGGTTCGCAACCTGAAAAGAAGAGCATCGAAGATCGCTATGTCACGCTCATGCAAAACCTTTACGCTGTTGCCGTTGCTTCTGGGAGCTCCACTCCATCGCAGCTGTCTACTCACCTCATCCAGGCGCTCTTCCTAAATCTGAGAGATGCTTCTCTCCTGTTCTTGCTCGGAGTCCTTCTTGCGCGGTCTCCAGCCCTAGAGCGCGTGAGAACCCGAGCTCTCTTGCATGCTTTGGCGTTCCTACGCGGACACAACTCCGACAACGCCGTTGATTTCCAGACAGTATTGCCTTCCTTCATGGCGGTACTCATGGATACGCGGACGGACAAGCAAGGACGCGCTGTGATATTCGAATGTATTTCTGTGTTGGCGTCTACGTCGGAGAGGAAACATGTCTATGGGCTGGACACTATATACGGAGCGGAATCTGGTAGGTTTTTTATGCCGTTCATGCTATCCTTCCAAGTTCACATGCATTTCACTACCTAGCACACCTTCAATATCTTGATGCAAAGGATCTCGAGGCCTATTTGAAGGCTCTCCTGGAAAGCCGCACTTTGCTTGCGCAAGACAGCAACTACATCAAGATATTCCACCAGCAACACCTCGCCGCTGCTAGTGCAAAGTGTGTTTGCCGATCAATTCTGCGACCGTTTTTTGATTTTCCCGCTTGACCCAGATACAGGCGCCGAGTGATATGTTATTTGCTGTCGCACGCGGTCACTCATCCAGTGCCTAAAGCTCGCATATCCATCATGTTCTCTGTCGAGGACGTATCAGATGTTTCGAGATCACACATGGTGATGTCTGCCATGGAGACATTGGCCAAGGATCCTGCTCCCATCTCGAATCTATTTGGCGTCAACTTCCACCGGTACACTGCTCTCGTAGTGTCTACATTCCTCAGCGTCCCTGCTGGAGATTTGAATGCAGGTCCGGAGGATTCTGTCTGGCAGATCTTCGCTTTGGCGTTGCGAACATACTTCCAGCCAAGTGAGATTTTTTCTTCTTATTTCTCGGTGCGGCTGCTTGACGACATGTAGATGCAATCGCTGCCGTCAGAAAACTGTTTTCAGACGCATTGGAAGAGAAGCTTTTTGCGCATTTGGACGTGAAACGGCAGGCTGAAGTCTGCGATATCCTTTTGTCGGCAGGATCGTTGGGCAACGAAGTGGTATGATGACATGCCAATCGTAACCGGAACTATGACTGACTGTGTCTGTATCACTAGTATGTGTGCGCCAAGGAGCTTCTAAGCAAGCTTCTTCAGGATGTCCACCTTATCAATCAGCTGCTCGTGGTTTACCAACCTGCTGCAAATCAGTCGGATACCCCTGCCAGTAAACGTGCTAAGCTCGATAGGTATGTATTCCTACTCTATTTTCCTGGGCTGGCCTGATATTTCCCCCCCAATAAAGCCCATCTCATGGAAATATTGAGGACAAAATGTCGATACTCACTTTCCTTTCTGAAGTTCTCGGAACGAAGGAACTTCCTGGTTCGCTTGACCTTTTAACACAGCTCCTTGACACTCTTGGCAAGATTATCCATTACGACTCACCGGTCCCGTCCGATACGAGTTATCCTTGTCAAATGCTCATGGCTGCCGTGGAACAAGCAGCTAGTAAAATCAAGGTATTTGTTTCTATAGCGCGTACATAACAAGTCCCTGACTATGATGAGAAGGAGGCTCCTGCCCGACCCATTCGGTTGGACATACTTGTCGAAATCATCAGAGGTTTGGTCTACTTTCTGAATCTTTGTACTGACTGACTGAAACATTGTTATCACAGTATCGGAGAACCCGCAAACATTCCACCAAGCACTCCTTCTCATGGCAAGTCTGGCTCGACTCACGCCTGACTCGGTCCTTCACAACATCATGCCTATTTTCACCTTCATGGGCACTAACGTGTTTCATCGCGACGATTCATACAGCTTCAAGGTGGTGCAAGATGTAAGAATATTTGCGGCTGGTGGAACGTGTTGGTTAATTCCTGTTCCCCCACAGACCATCGAAAACATCGTTCCTGTCATGGCGTCATCACTCAAATCTAGACACCCCTCTGGACTCGAGCTTTATATTGGAGCTAGGGAATTCTTGCGGATCTTCACGGACGCATCCAATCATATTCCACGTCATCGTCGACAAAAGTATGTCCATCAAGGATTTGACACCCTGGACTTGGTGCTGATGTATCGAATTAGTTTTTTCATACACCTTGCTGATGTGCTTGGACCTGAAGAATTCTTGGCCCCGGTTTGCATGTTGTTGGTAGACAGGGTAGCTAATCGGGTGAGCCGGCAACAGGAGGATGAAGCTTCAACCTCGTTGGGACTTCCGATATCGCTGTTGCGTCATTTCCCCCGACAGTTGCAACTCCATGTAAGTTTATTGTGGAGCTTTTGGATATCGCTTGACGTCTTGCAGGTTCTCAAGGAAGCGCTGCGGGAGGCAAAAAGGCTTATCCGCAATCTCGCGTCTTCCGAGGAGGCAGGTGCTACCTTTTTGGACTACGTTCAGTACGAGAACCCGTTGTTTTCTGTCTCTTTCGTGCTCATACATTCACTGCAGCGATGAAGAACACTCTGCCAGATCATCTTCTATCATCAAGCGACGTGCGCAGGCACTTATTGTATTTGTCGGTTATGCCATTACACCCACGTCTTCCACCGATGTCTCAAGGGGCGACAACGCAACGACGGAACTTATCTCTCTCCTCGTTGATCTTACTACAATGGAAGGCGAAAACAGCATTGCAGACATCGTATCAGTGACACAGCAGGCCACGTCAAAAGTAATGAATGCCATCGGAGCAGCAGACTTCCTGAATGGGGCTTTAGTTATGATGCAGTCAGACGAGACTAGGGTAAGACTACATTTTACTTACGAGATCCTTTCTCACCTCGTCTCTAGATCAAGGCTGGAGCTCTTGAAGTCCTCGCAGAGAGGATGCCAAGAGTTACAGAAGCGGTCCGGCGCGAACAACAAAAGACCGCTATTTCGATCATCGACTGCATTCGGGACGTCGTTTCTCGCCAGTCAGCCGGTGCATTGGTCAACTCGGCCCTCAATGCTTTGAGAGCGATCAGCTCTTCCATTTGTCCTGGCGAGGAATCAGCACTGGTAACTACTGTCCCTTCCGTCATCAAGATCATCAAAGCACGTGCATCGTTACAATCTGCTATAGCTGTGTTACCGTGCTACGTGTATGGATCTTCCCTTCCTGCGCGTTCTACGTTACTGAACAAAGCATAGATCCTCTCTTGGACCTCGGCTTATACCTCACTTCCGAGAGATTGCGCAAGAGTGCACATCAGTCCTTCAAGAAGGATTGAGTGGCAAAATGGGTGAGTAGCTTGTTTTGCACGTACATCTGACACCCAGTATTGAATGTTCTGCCCGAATAGCGCAATCTTCGGTGGATGGTGCCATTTCTACCCTTCAAGGCTTGGTATCTACGCTTCCCGCTTTTTACGGCGCTGCAGAACTTGTGGACATCGTCAAACTCCATTTGGAATACTCCGTCACCTTGAGTGGTGCCATGGCAGGTTTAATGAAAGCTATTGCAAAGAAGATCCCAAGCAACACGCTACTACCTGTACTATGCGATCTGTGGCCCAGTTTGGAAAAATCTCAGAAAAAGGCATGTACATCGCGAGATGAGCATAATTTGTCATTATTGACGTCCTGTCATAGGAACATGTTGAAGGATTGATCGCGTTCTTCGCCTTTTTCAAACGCAGCCTTCGGGTGGCTCGACGTCCTGATATCCAGGAGCACCTCCGTTCAATTTTCTCAGTATTCCTCGACGCCTTTGGCGTGAACATGAAATCCACAACTGGTTCCAAAGATGTGAGTCACTTCGTTGTGACCTGCGGTGAGACTGACTGGTGCCAGGGAGAACCACATATCATTTCCGCATTCTTGGAACTTGTTGTGAAGCTTAACGAAACGGCCTTCAGACCGTTGTTCCGCCGTTTGTATGACTGGGCTTTTGCAGCTGAGAGCGGTGAGTTACTCCCCATCGGAAGCATCTTGCCCTGCTGACCATCGTGCAGCAAACGTTGAGCGTAAAGTCACGTTTTGCCATATGTACTCTGCCTTGTTGGATTATTTCAAGGTGCGTTCTCAAGGCGTCTTTCGGATATGCAGTTATTTATCGGGTGCAGGGCTTGATGAACCCTTACATGTCAATGCTTCTGCAAGCTTTGTGCGAAATACTGGAGTCTTTGGCTGCAGGATCAATTCAAAATCCATCGCTGTGGTTGTCAACAGTCGAGACCCTTACAAAGAGTTTCGAAAATGATGATGGTGGTGAGAAAACTTAAATCTCCCCGTGCATCCCTCATTCATGATTCCCCAGTATTCTGGCGTGATGACAAACTGGCCTCAGTGGCGAAGCCTTTGATAGCGCAAGTTTCCAGTTGCATCAGGTCGAATATCGCAGACGGGAAACAAGCACTGACAAACTGCTTGATTGCAATGACGAGCGTAGCATCGGATGATTCCTTACTCAAGTCCATCAACCTTGACTTGCTCATGCACACTCGAGCAGATGATGCTCGTGAGCGCATATTTGCACTGTCCTGTTCGGAAGCGCTCTGGCGAGAACAGGGTGGGAAGCTCATCGGTTCGTCCTCGTGCGGTTCATGCGATCAAGGATGATAATGCTAACGCCATCTTAGGCTTTGTAGCAGAGACCGCTACATTCATAAGCGAATGTGCTGAAGACGAGAACGATAGTGTCGTACGTGAGACACACAAACTTAAAAATGCAGTTGAAGGCGTGGCCGGGAGCATCAATGGATTATGATCTCAAAATCTGTTTGATTACTCATGCACATGTGCGACCTGAGGTTTCCACAATATATATATATATGAACGTCAATGCAATTGCTTTCAAGTAACGAGCGCAACATTGCTCACGATGGACGAACTTAGCAGCTCAGAGCCTTCGATCGGTCATATGTTGTGGCGATTCAGATAGACGCCCTGGGCTAGGATCGTCTACCCATGTGTCCGTTGCTATTGATGCGGGGGTTGACGCGCGCTGATGATCGAGGAAGGATATGATATCAAGAACGTTAACCTTCCGAATCTCAAGGCCACAGGACCCTTTCCTTGGTAGTACATTAAAATTAGACTGGTGACCAGCCTGTCTATGATGAGGCACATCACCGCAAGTCAGGCATCAACACGTACGGAAGTTCGAATTGTGCGAAGATGCCTCGAGCACGGAATGCGGTCATATCTGATGAGAAAATAAATATAAAACCAGCCAACAAAAGACCAAGAAAAAACATATCGAGATTGCGTGCTGCATAATCCAAGCTTTTATGAGCAACAGAGCTGTCAGTACACACCTACTGGGCTATAGGGTAGAAAATATACTAATGATCAGATTGACAATTGAGCAAGACGATCTGACACCACTTTTAACATCCCGACTGCAGACGCCTATCCACACATTCTTTAACATCATTCAGAAGCTCTGCCTCATCGATTGTCTTTGAGGAGCGTGAGTTACTCGATTTCGCAAGCACGGCGTCCTTGCAAACAATGTAGACCTTCTTAGGAGAGAGATTCTTGCTCTCTAGGTTCGTTTGCACATTCCGACGCGTTTCGTTGATGAATCTCTTCCGTTCTTCAGATTTCATTTGCATAAAATGACGGTGAGTCTCTTCGTCCATGTCATAAGGGTCGAAACCTATTGGCATCCTGTCGTACGCCATGTTGTTGATGTGCTGGTCTGACTTGGAGCGAACGATGAACGCATCAACGTTCCGGAACTGCTCGCTGGCGCGGAGGATGGCGAGGTCGGAGTCCAAGATACGATTGTCGATGAGCACGATGATGCAGTCGAATACGTAGAGGCCCAGGTCGTTGAAGTACTGCCATTCAGGCACATTTAGAGTGCCAGCTCCGGGAACGTCGTACCAAATAGTCCGGGAGTCTGGGCGTGGATCAGGGTAACTCGTGACAGCATCTGTAGTTTCGACGATCCCTGTACGAGCGGCGATGGGGTCATTGTTGGACAAGCCACAGACGGCATTGATGAAGGATGACTTGCCAGCTCCAGCAGAGCCAACAACTGCGAGGTGAAGGAAGTTTGTGCTGTAACCATACCGGGCCTTCATCCGAACAATATCTTGGTCTGAAGCGCGGTACTCGGGGCGAACTCCTTGGAACCATTTACGCTCAGCCGCGAGCCTCGCTTCCTCTGCTATGCAACGAGCTTCTTCAGCCTCAGCTAACGCCCGTTCCAGTTCTTCTTGACACCTCTGTGCATTTTCTGCTGCTTCCTGCCTGGCTCGTTCCGCTTCTTCGGCTCCCTCCCGTGAGAGTGCAGCTTCTTCTTGGACTGCTGTAGCTCGGTCCTCCGCCTCGTTGGCACTGCGCCTCGCCTCTTCAGCTTCTTGCCTCGCCACACGCACTATTTCTTCCATTTCCCTTGCCTTTTTTTCTGCTTTCTCTTGCTCGCATCTTGCGTGATGGCCCGAATAAATGGCACAATACGCCATGATCAATACTGAAATAGCTTGGCCCATGCAGTGCAAGTAAACAGGGTGAAAGTAGTTGAAAAGGGCTGCGTGGCACCGTCTTTTCCGTGTGCGTCAGATGCGGCCTAGACTAAGATTAACCGATTGTGTATTGCGGAGCTTCAAGCTTCGCTCACCTTTAGATTGATTGCAGTAATGTGAGTGAAGCGACCAGGTGATGGGGAAGACAAGAGACAACGATTGGAACACAAGGTGGGAAGCGGGGTGTATGGCTCGTCCAGACAGGGTCAGGCGAACACGAGGCCAGTACGAATGCGACCTAACACAGGCAGTTTCTAGGTTTTTGGAAAGCTATACAGTTACTTATCACATTTCTGGTCAGTATTACGCCGAGTGCACGTGAGGGGAAGAATAGAACATGCACGACAGGAGGCCATAGATCATCTATGATAGCCACCAGACAAGTGCAAATATCCACTCTAACCTGTCCAATAGCATCGGACCCGACGCACCCAATCTGTCCCAAAAAGAGCTAACCGGGAAAACTTACGAGTACTGAACAATTGATGACGGAATACTACACCGACTTTCTAAGTTCACATTCTTGACGTAGCAAACCTTATAGCACCTCACTGGCTGTGCACCACACACGTAGACAAGGCAGGCTGAATCTCACGAGAACGCAAGCCTTGGATGTGAGGAGAGTTGACGTTCTGTCATTGGCATATCAGAAGTTGAAAGTTACACTGCAGTTCTGCGAGTCGGAAGTCAGAGCTAGTAGGGCTTGTAAGACATGCAAGACAATCTAACCTTGACTTGACACGAGCTACGCTCAACGATCCCTCCAATTGGTCACTCGAAACCAAGTTTGTTTGCTGTTTGGGTGCATCGGAAGGGAGATGAAGGCCGTATTGCAAAAGTCATGTTTCGACGATGAATCCCGATCCTCGAGATATCTTGAGTTAAATCACCTCAGGCAGCACATTTTCGGCATCAGAGGGTCTTTCAGACGGAGTTTCTGTCATGTAGTGTTGGCGGCAGTAGCGAAAGCCTGCCAATGGCAGTTGCCGGATTGGAATGAAAGTGGCCCAGCGTAAATTTACTGTCTATCGCAAATGTACCTCGCTGTTATGATGTGTTGTACCACGTCTGTATTCAAACCAATGACACGACTTTGAAATCCATGCATTAGTTTCGGTCGTGAAGCAGAAGACTCAATCTAGAAATCTGTATTTAGTATTCGGATTTGTCCTTGTCTATGCTCGGTACGCACCAGTCACAGGCCAACCTAGTAGCCTGAAACAGATACTCGCTGTGTCGACTTCCCTCGTCTGCTGGGAAACACTTAATTCACAGTATGTATGCATAGTAGCAATACAACAGATAGTAGAGTTGGACGTTCAACGTTCAACCATAACACGCAGAGACATCAAACAACGCTTTCCACTCAGCACATCCACATGAAATTTCACCTACGCCTTACCACTAGCCCTTCCACATTCCACAACACCATGGTCTACTGCTTGGGCAAGATACTCTTTCAGGCTGGACGTGCCAGCCTGACAGTATACCGCGGGTCCAAGTACTAGGCCAACCGTTGAATGCAAGGGATGCATTATCCCATCATCGTGAATTCTCGTCAGGCAGGTAACGAGCGGCTGGAAACCAAAGTGGGATGGGCACGACTGCCATAAAAGGTTGAGCGTCTGGGTTTTGTGCGAGTGGTCTCCGCGACGCGGTGCTCGCGAATGGAATAGATGAAGATGGAGTTGGAGTGTTGCCCTGTAGTGTAGGAGAGTTATTGCTACGGACAGTCGATGGGATGGATAACAACTGGGGCGTATCCAAGTCAACGTCCTGCGTGAACCAATTTGGATGCAGGGCTATCCACGAGCCGCCACCGCCAGTCTTCCCCCCCACCAAGCCTGATAACAGAACTTTGTGCCGCTAGCAAAGTGTACTCTGCGAATCTAGTCACGCCCGCGCGCATGTATATATTCTTGTCGAATCGAACCAAGTCGTTAGCAACATCGAACCTGGATGGTTTTGTGTTTCCTTTTGACTTCGCCTGCAAAAGCAGATTGATCAGCAGCAGGAATTGGATGGGTGTCAGGCGTCGGATTTTGTCCTCGACGGACTCGACAAAAGGCGCTCGACACCCTGAAGGATTGTCTTTGTTATCACTGATAACAAACATTGTTTGTTGTGAGCCGATCTCAACGTCAGACGAGGTAACGTCGGAATCGGAGTCAGTCAAAGTCAGGGAAGACGGTGTCGATAATGACATCTGAGACGTAGGAGTTAAAGAAGGCTGAGTGGTGGGGGGAGTGCCATTGTCAGAAGGATAGCTATCAGCTCGCAATGCAAGAGCGCCAGCCAGTATCGAGAATTGATTCAGTAGAGTTCACAACATATGGACGCGAGTGATGATTAACCTCGGTCGGAAGTGGACTGGCTGAGCCATCTACAACCTCCTCGTTGCTGTTGTCGTCTTCGTCTTCATCATCATATTCGTCTTCATCCTCATCTTCATATTCGTCCTCATCCTCGTCTTCATCACCATCATCATATTCGTCTTCATCCTCATCTTCATATTCGTCCTCATCTTCATCTTCACCATCATATTCGTCCTCATATGTTGCCTCATCTTCATAATCATCTTCATATACATCTCCGTCTTCGTTGTTAGGTCCAAAAAAATACAAAAGCGCTACTTGGTCCGACGAAAGGACATGATCGTCCATAATGGCCGAGACAAGGCCAGTGTTCGTCGACTGCGATGCACTAGCGCCACCAGTCCGCCCACGTGAGGCTGCAGGCAACGAGGGCACTACAGGAGGCACAACTCTCTGGGGTATCTCGCCGTACGAGATGGGGGTGGTGCAGGTGGCGAGGCGAGGGCTCTTCAGACCTAAATTGTAAGGGACGGCAGGCACTGGAGATGGTGGAAAGTTCCCGAAGTTTATGCTAGGGGGTAAGTCCGGCCCCTTCGAGTTACGTTCCAGTCGGGTAAAATTTGTGCGAGTAGCATCCTGAATCTCATTAGCGTCCTCTTTAAGACGGGAGGCTGAGCCTCGATTGATGTCTAGGACAGTCTGTGTCGACTGTGTCGCGGATCTAGTCCATGATGCCAAAGACCCAAACTTAAGACGTGCAGGCGTCTCAGGGATTGAACTAGTAACCTTCTTCAGTGTGCACGTCAAGGCAGCATCCCCTGAAACTGTCGTACTCCGTTCAAAGGCTGATGGCTGAAACAGCTCTTCCGCACTGGCGCGCTGCGTATGGGCAGATGTCGCGGGGGGAGCTGGGGGAGTGGTAGTGACAGCAGGATCTTCATCCAACTCCCTGAATTCGCATAACACCCGCTCGACGATATCCCGGTAAAGGTTGCGACTCGGATAAGGCTGCCGCACGGGTGGCGTGTCGGCTTTTGTGCGCTTTCCCAGTACGGCAAAGTTCCAATCCACTACGAGAGAGGCTTGAGACTCCAGACTTTGGGAGATGGTTGGAGGCACGATGAGGATGACGTTATACTGGCGAAGGCGGAGGGTTGAAATGGCATAAGCGTAATCCCGGTCACCAGCTATCAGGATGATGGTGGCTGGTGAGGGATTATCAATGGCATATGCAAGCATGTCCACTGGTAAAAGAGGTTTAAAGTGCACGCTAGGGGCGCCTTAAGGAATACACACCGAGAATCATCTTGTCCACGACTTCTTTCTTACCGTTATGGGGGCAGTCGGTTATGGACACCCCAGAGGATTGAAGGTCTGAGCGAAACCCGACAGACTTGGGAGACTGTAAGCCTATGTCGAGGTATGCTTTGAATGATGTTATGTGTCCAAAGACATGCGCAATTCGTTGGATGCCATTTACAATGGCGTGTCCTTGTGAGTTCAAGGGAGGACTACAGTTTTCTGGGAGAGGATGTATCCCATGAGCTGTCAGAAGTGGTAACACAGAAACCTACCATAGTCCCAGAATACAGCGACCTTTCTATAGTTGAACATGAAACTTTCATTGAGGAGGGGGAATAAGTTGGGTATTTCGTGTACAGGTGTCAAGAGCCCTCAATTTGTATCGACCAAATGTGATGTTAAGCGGACCACTGTCCATTTCGGAGTTTAGCATTGCACAGCTTCGTGTTTGCGCTCGCAGCGTGCATCATGTACTGCAGTCGTCAAAAGGAGTAAACGTTACCTCAATGCTGCAAATGCGAGTTGGGGCACGCACCTCGGGAGTGCTTACTGCGGCACTGATTCCCAAATATGTTTCGTCATTCAATACAAAATGACCCACAACCGCGTGAGTGCCAGCCTATAGGTCTTCTTGATTCTCGCTCGCTAGAATAAACCCTAGAGACACAGCAAGCGAATTCCCCTCAGCAAGAGCGAGAAAATGAAGAGGAAGATGCATGCGCATTGTGATTGCCGTCTCATGATGTTGAATAGCTGAGCCAAGTTTTGCTGAAACTTGCGTAGTACATGCATGAACTTTCGGGTGTGGGGAACAACAAATAGAAGGAGGATGACTATTTGGCGAGGTGGTATTAATATATCAACGATTTAGGTGATTACTGCGGAAGGCTGTAAAGTAGGGTTGTGAAATAGACTTGTCCAGAGAGCACTTACTGGCATCCGCATGTATTGAAACACAAGTTTTGGACGCAGCATGACGTTTACAAGTGTATCGCCCGTTGCTCCACAGCACACATATTGTGGGTGTGAATCTATGCATATGATGCGATGGATCGCGTTTGACACGCTGAAAAACGACCGTCCTTGTTACCACTGATAACAAAATTTGCTTGACCTCGACGTTATAGATGGTGACATCGGAATCGGAGACAGTCGTAAAAAGCCGATGCTGCAACCTCGTTGATGCTGTCGTCGTCATCAAGTCATCAAGTCCAAGGTGCTGCATGGTCCGAAATCGTCGAATGATAATCGGTAATGGCCGAGACAGGTTGTTCGTGGAAGTACATGATGCCAAGTCCTCTTCAAAGCCAAGGACTTCGCGATCACGTGTACTAACGCGTAGGGTATAATTCTCGCGGCTGGCTCAACGACACCAACGACGAGCTCACCATCGCGTACAATGGTCATGACAGCGACGACGCGATAATATCCAGGCGCTAACGCCCACATCCCAACGACTCAACTCCCGTCCTGATTCTCCAATCTCCCTCCAGTACCACGAACTTTTTCCCTTTCCAACACAGCCTTGGCAGCACGCTCATCAAATTCAACATTACAGGCAAACCCATCACCCACCGCCAGCTCCTTCAACTTCCCTTCCTCGCACCAATTATCACCACATCCTCCCACACCACATCTATTGCCGAAGCAGATACCGTGGATACCCCGCTACCTCGTTTGTCTGGGAGGAGCATACCGCCTACTCCCACCAGAACCGTACCATCCACTCTCACCAGAAATGCTCTCGCTAGAACCGTACCGCACACTCCAATTAGAATCATTACTGGAACTGGAACTGTGCCACACACTCCCACTAGAAACCTACCTCGTACGCCAACGATCGATCTTCCTCCTAAAACGAATAAAGAGGATGGTCGGAAAAAGGATGATAATCCTGCTCTTCCGGATATTTCGCTGGATTTCAACGTTTTGTCGCTTGGTGTTGGTGTTCGGGGCTTGAGTACCACTGTAGAAGAGCGAGCGAGGCCTTCGTCCCGTCCTTCTGAGCCGAGGTCTGCATCATCCTTCGAGCGACTGCCTTCTGTCAGGAAGTCGCCTGCTTCGCCATTGGATCCTAGATCTAGAATCAATGTTACTGTATTTTCTCCCGGTACAACCCACTGGTGACCACGACTCTGGAATGTCAGCGATGACGGTCACACCCGCCACCATCATGAGCATCAGCGAAGCCATGGCCATAATGCTAGCAGCAGCCAGCGTCGTGGACTCCAACTAGACAGAAGACGAAGCCTCCATTATCGTGCCCGACTCAGACCCGCATGGCCAGAACCCCCGCTCAGCCATGATCTCAACGCCATCCCTCGTCAACCGACACATTTCCGCACGATATCTCTAATCGGTGCGCAGAGTTCTTCTCATAGCTCGCCGGGATCGAAAACAGATCACTATAGTTCATACCACAAAAATTGTGTGAGTTCCTTACTTATGTCTACTTCCAAGTACTTACTTACCCCCTGCTCTTGCAGTCCAATGGCGCCTCCCCTCTTTTTTCCCGGCGCTTCCTTCAAGTGACTAACTACACCCACGTTTCTGGTTGGACTCACTCACTGTATCGGACACTGACGTTACCAAGGTTGCAGAAGCGCCGACGAAAAAACGACACGAACACTCGCCCTGTCTGCCGAGAACTCGATAATGACCTTTGATGGACTACGAGCTCGAATGACGTGAACGCTAACTCGACCATGACATCTGATGGACCTCGACCTCGAACAACGCGGTTCAATGCTCACCCCGAAACTCGACATTTGATGGACTGACCGCAAATGTGAACGACGCTGCTAGCTTCATCGCGAACTCGACCACGGCATGGGTGGGGGTGTTGATCAATGCGCATGATAGGTCCTATTGGCACTCGAATATCTCCAAAAACACCATATGGCTCACCAAGACTTATGTTCGGACATTTTGCTTTTAGATGCGAGTGGGGTCGTGAAAGTTGGTGAGTCACTGCGTTTCATATCTGTGTTCGGTGTCCGGTGTTTCTACGCCAATCGCCATCTGTTTTGTTGCAGGGATGTTGATATTGATGTATAGTCGATTTCCGGAATGAGGTGTGCGTGCGCGCGCTTTGTGTTCTTAGTTTGGGTGTTGATGGTCTTGCAATTCGCAGGCTCCAGAGATGCGAGTGTGAGTGCATACATTCATTTCTCTTACTTGGATTTTTACTTCGTTTGTCTAGTTGAGCGTATAACACACTCAAAGTCGATGTCTGGTCATTATGCGCTACGGTATGGCAACTAGTGCAGACAGAACCTCCCTTTGCAGACGTCCAAGACCCACGTCAAATCGGTGCCCAATGGCCAGCTCTTCATCAATTTGAGCTCTATTCTCAGGATTTCCATGATTTTTTGCGATTATGTTCCCGACTGAGTCGAGACCGAATGCTAACGAGTTGTTGAATGTGCGCCATTTCTGTCTTTGTTCTTCTGAGGCGTTTTCTAATCTGATATCTATGACCATGTTAGATCCCCTTTATCCCCAACGCATGCGGCCATCCCAGTGTAGAGCTATTGAAAGCATGTTCTGCAGAGGGAGTCCATGATGACGCGGACGGACGACACCTCGTGACTGTAGGATCTGCACGAGATCCGCGCCTCATCAATCTACGTCAATTTCTGGGTTCACGCTGTAAGGTTTTTTTTGTCGTATATTTGTCTGGGGGCCCATCGGCACTCTGCGTTTGACTTTAGGTATGCCTTCATCAACGACTCACTGACGCGGATAATAAAAGACAGGCCAACGGTTGCTATTCACGATCTTTCGCAGTCATCGGGTTGAACAAATCTGATCAGGCGTAAGCAGCAGACAAGGTCCGTGGCGTGTTTCTGTTCTTGCTTTAAGGGATCAGGAGAGTATCAAGAAGTGGATTTCTTTCCAAGGTGCCGAGTCAGCGCATTTTGTTGTATGGCGTTTGATGATGGCGCCTTTCATAGACGATCTCATAGGCCATCGAACAGCGATCATGACGTCGCTCTGTCGATTCTCTCATGACAGAGATATTCCTGCAATCAGCAGGATACTTGCAGTCGCACATGTCTTCTGGAGAAGGCCGAATTCCTTGCAATGACGGGCGAGAAGATAGAGAGTTTAATGGACTCTTCGTCTTCTCCCCCATCGTTCCAAGTTGGTAGTCTTGCTCAAGCTAACGACATTGAAGTCACATACGATGCAAGTTTGGACAAAGTTGCTGAGATGATTGCTGATCGCAGGATATCTGAGAATGAGCGACCACGATTCTTGGTTGCCGTGAAGATTCTTAATCTTATGGCGGAGGACTTGATGCTACTCGATAGCGGTCTGTCTTCATTTCTGAACACCTTCGTACACTTGAGTGGTCACTGAATAATGCCAAGTGTTTACCAGACAGTACGTAGTATCCTCGGAGTGGTCCTCATCTGCCTTGCGGCACATTATGTCTACGAAAATGTGACATTCTTTCGATACTGGTAGATCATGGGTCGCACAATTCAAAAGCACAACTATCACATCCATTCAATTTTGTCTTGCCGCTATGCGTCTGTAAATCACATCGACGATATAACTTCTTACTCACTCTTGAAGCAATCAGCTGGAAGATACAACGAGAGGTTGAGATGATGTACATGCGCATGTTGGTAAGGTATACAGTCCTAAAGTCAAGACAAAGTCCTCAAGATATCCTTGGTCACAGGCTGTGCTGTGAGCCTCAGCTCGATGCTATGGCACGCAAAGTCGTCAGATTATCTCAAGAATGCTTTGAAGGACAACGCACGAAATTGATCATAGGCCGATATGCACGAACACGATGCGCTGGTCCAATGGTATGTCCTTGTCAGAAGCTAACGACTGGACAGCTCTGTGCAGCGCTCGGGCAGCTCTTTTTGAATCCATTGTGCCATCCCCACAGAAGTTTTTGTAGAATGCCTCGACCAAGCGTCGCACAGTAGCATCGTTGACACTCCATAATGTCCCAACGACACTCTTGACCCCAGAAAATTGTAAGCCAGCCGCCAGGTGGATCACTTCGTCAGGTGTTTCAAAGTTACCGACTGCGGTCTCACAAGCGGACAAGAATGCGAATTCATGCCGAGACAGATTTGTTTGTGTGATGTCGAGGAGCGAAAGTGGTTGGTCGCGCATGAGAAAGGCCGACTTGAATGGTTCCGCGAAATTTTGTGTTCCGTGGCACGCAAAATGGAGCCAGCGATTGCCTTGCAATGTGCGCAGGACTGTTGATTTCGTTGATTCAACGCTCGTGACCTTGGTGAAGAAAACCGTTGGAGGAGGTGGTAGAAGACTCCGAACCAATTCCAGCTCGGGCTCGACAGCCTCCAAAGGAAGTGAATGACCTGGAGGGTGGTTCTGACCAATGGCAACAAAAGACACCTGGGACAGGGATCCGTCATTACTTTTGCGAGCCCTGATCATGGCGGTAAGGGATGGAGTGTATGAAGAAACATATAGCTGCGAAAGGGATTTCCCACCACGTTTGTATTCGCCAGCAGCGTGCAACGGCAAGAAATTGAAGAAAGTAGTTGGGCACCACCATATTCGTGAACCTCGTCGGGCAAATCTATCCAGATTTTCAACCACAGGGCGGACTATATCATCCCATAACTCCCGCAAAACTTTTATCAGCCCTGGTTGAGTCCCTCTGGGACCGGCTTCTTTATCAACTGTCTGTGAGAGTGCCTTCGACAATCGCACGAGATGTTCTAAATTGATGGCGAGTCGTACGCTAACCGGAGGTTGCGTGTGCAGGATGATGATTGCATCGCAAGATGCCTTACTTGCAAGAAGGACGATGATAGGTCCATCGCAAGCAGCATCTTGAAGTTCAGAGAACAAGGGAGGAAGTAGGAAGTGAGAGAAGCCCTCGAGTTCCCGAATCTCTTCTGCAGTTTGATTCCAGTCCGCCACTAGACGTGTGTATCGGACAGCTGCTGCTTCTATGTCAACTCTTGGGATCCCTTCTCGATGTTCTGCAGGAGGTTTATCAAGGAGGAAGCTGAGGTCTCTGAATTTCTTCATCAGAGCCTGTGCGTGATCTCCGCGTTCCTGGAGGCTGTCAAGGGGAGTGCGGACTCGTGCCATCTGAGTCCAGATGAGAGTCCTGCCTTGCTCTAGTAACTCTACAGCGCGGCGCACATCGTTACGACGAAGAGCGCATGATGCAGCTTTAACTGCGAGTCCGGGGGGGAAGACCTTCATGATATCATGGCGAGATGACACCGAAGCTGTCGCGGACATGTAAGCATCCAAAAGTTGCATGGAAGTTGCATAAGCCTCCAGTTCAGTGCCATGTGTATGTCCATCAGCATAGCGAACCCAGTCTAGACTTGCTCGCAGGCGACGTAGCAAACCTCCAGAGACAACATTTGCTGCTGCCTTGAAATGATGCATAGCGGCATTGAGACTGTCAGCATCTTCACTTGTGCCATCAAGTCCTGATTGATGGACCAGTAGATAGACAGCGGCTAGTGACAGATGGACTTCTAATTGACGAGGATCATGTTGCGTCAACAGAGTCAATGCACAACGATTATGCTCTAGTGATCCGTTGAGGTCTTGGACGTTGCCTCGGTGCTCGAAGCGGGTGAAGAGACTATTCGCAAGGTTATTTAACGACGAGGATCGATCTGGGTGACCGACAGGGCACAAAGCCAGTGCTTCGCCGTGAAGCACGATTGCGTCATCCAAGTCTTGGTCATTGCCCCGGTGCTTGAGACGGGCGGAGAGTTGATTCCCAAGGATGTTTAATGACACAGACCGATGTGGATGACCGAGCGGGCGCAAAGTCAGCGCTTCCCTGAGAAGCGTAATGGCCTCATCTAAGTCTTCGTCGTTGCCTCGGTGAACGAAGCGGGTGGAGAGTCCATTCGCAAGGTTACTTAATGGTGAGGACCGATATGGGTGACCGACCAGGTACAAATCCAGCGCTTCCCTGTAAAGCGCGATAGCCTCATCCAAGTCTTGGTCGTTGCCTCGCTGCTGGAAGCGGGTGGTGAGCCCATTCGCCAGGATATCTAATGACTGGGACCGATGTGGATGACCGAGCGGGCGCAAAGTCAGCGCTTCCCTGATAAGCGTGATAGCTTCATCCAAGTCTTGGGCATTGCCTCGATGCTTGAAGCGGGTGGAGAGTTGATTCGCAAGGTTATTTAATGACATGGACCGATATGGGTGACCGAGCGGGCGCAAAGCCAGCGCTTCCCTGTGAAGCAGAATAGTCTCATCCAAGTCATGGACATTGCCTTGCCGTTCGAAACGGGTGGAGAGTCCACACGCAAGGTTATTTAATGACGAGGACCGATCAGGGTGACCGAGCGGACGCAAAGCCAGCGCTTCCCTGTAAAGCGGAATAGCTTCATCCAAGTCTTGGTCACTGCCTCGGCACTCGAAGCTAGTGAAGAGTGCACTCGCAAGGTTATTTAATGGCACAGACCGAAACGGGTGTCCGACCGGGCGTAAAGCCAGCACTTCCCTGTGAAGCACAGTAGCCTCATCCAGGTCTTGGTCATTACCGCGGTGCTTGAAGCAGGTGGAGAGTCGACTCGCGAGGTTACTCAAGGACATGGACCGACCTGAATGACCGACGGGGTGCAAAGCCAGCGCTTCCCTGTGAAGCGCGATGGCCTCATCCAAATATTGGTCATTACCGCGGTGCTCGAAGCAGGTGGAGAGCGCAGCTGCAAGGTTATCTAATGACTTTGACCGATGTGGGTGACCGACGAGGTACAAAGCCAGCGCTTCCCTGTAAAGCGCGATAGCCTCATCCAAATCTCGGTCATTGCCTCGCTGCTCGAAGCGGACGAAAAGTTCAGTCCCGAGGTTATGTAATGAGATGGGCCGATCTGAGTGACCGACGGGGTGCAAAGCCAGCGCTTCCCTGTGAAGTGCGATGGCCTTGTCGAGGTCTTGGCTATTGCCTCGGCGCCTGAAGCGGGCGCAGAGCTGGCTCGCAAGGTTATTTAATGGCACGGGCCGCTGTGGGTCACCGACGGGGTGAAAAGCCAGCGCTTCCATGTTAAGCGTGATAGCTTCATCCAAATCTTGATCATTACCTCGCTGCTCGAAGCGGGTGAAAAGCCCACCCCCAAGGTTGTTTAATGACCCACCCCGATATGGGTGACCGACAGGGTATAAACCCAGCTCTTCCCTGAGATGTGTGATGGCGTTGTCGAGGTCTTGACCATTGCCTCGGCGCTCGAAGCGAGTGAGCAGAGCTATGCCCAGCTGACCCAATACCTGCCCTCGCCGAGAATGTGTCCCGCTGTAGTATTCCAGTGCATGATGATGAAAGGAAATCACTGCATCTAAGGCAGCGGGAACATCTCTCTGCAAACAAAGATCCAATCGTTGACCAAGTTCATCCGGAGACCAAGGAAGCATGGATTCAGCGAGCTGCTCCTGCCCAGTGTTATCTACATCGATGCTTCCAGCCTGGTGCAGAGCAGATGTTTCAATTGCAAGTAGAGCTGCTCTGAAAACGTGGCTGTTGGCGTAGCAGACGTCGAGGACTTCGATCAGTAACTCTTCAGCCATATCAGCATCCGTTTGAGATCCCCGTTTCGCAAAACGAGACAGCAGAGCAATGGCAAGGTGAAGCTGGGTGAAGGGTCGGTCTGGATGACCGGTGGGACGTAAATCAAGAGCGTCTTGAAAGAGAGAGATAGGAATGTCGAGGTCGAGGTGTGTTCCATTAGCTTGGCAACTAATAAACTTTGCGGTAGCTAGATTGGATAATGCTGCAGGGTGGCAGGGATGATCAACGGGGCAAAGATCAGAGGCACGTTCGAAGTGCTTTATGGATTGCTCGAGATCCCTGCTGTTCTGCGTCCTGCGGTATCGTGCGAGAAGACGATGTCCGGCATCCGTCTTGAGTGCTAACGTGTTCATATCGCTGGTCATGAGCTGCACGTTACACATTCTCAGCATCAGAATATCAGAACGCATGGATCACTCACGGTAGTAACAGGGCGAAGAACTGTGGCGTCATTGTCATCAGAACGTCGCTGCTCCACTGTCATGAACAGTGAAGTACACGAAGATATGACTTCGCCTGCCTTTGGCTGAAAGACGATGGCTGGGTTATTTCGTTAACACCCGGCACGAGCCATTCACATCAGAAGCTACTGACGATGTGACTTTGCACTGCGATCCAGTAATTCTCCAACGGAGATCTCGAATGTGCGCAGGAGTTCTCCAGGACCAAGCATGGGATCCAATTCAAATGAGGCATACACACTGACCCGAACTTTAGAAGATGGCTCGGATGGCCTAGAATCTTTCTCAATACCTGCAGAAAAGACAGGATTAAGGACGACCTACAGAAGTATGCAGTCGTTCCATTCGGCGGCGGCCTGGTCTACGTGTAAAACCTTGTTACTTGTCTTACATTCAGCACCGTCAGCTTGTACTGTCACGTGAAAGCCAGCTGGTATGCGTCGGAGACTAAGAGTGAGATCAGTCGCACAAATGCCTTCGGAAGGTCAATTCATGGTAAATGGTGATACGTATCACATACTTACTAGTAATTGTAACTTGTCGCATTTCACTGAGGTGCGTCTCCCCCAGGTCCTGGGGGTGTTCTGTGTGGCTTGGCTCTTCACTCGAGTGTGGAGGGTTATCATCGAGTGGATCCGGTATGGAGCGTGTCGCGAAACGAAACGCTAGCGCAATGACAAGATAAAGTGTGGCCAGAATGGCTTCGGAAAATCATCAGTAAGTGTTGAATGAAGATAAATGGCCGTGGACACATACCATTGATTGGCATTTGTAGCATTCCACTAAACGAGAGACGTGTCTCTTCGGGGTCCTGAGGATGTTCTTGGTGGCTTGATTCCTCACCTGACAAAGAATCATCAGGAGGGTCCGGTACGACGCTTGACATCTTGAGAGACGGATAAGGGCAAGTGATACTTGAGACAAAGTGTGTACTAGCGTGAAACACTGTAAAAACTTAATGGGTTATAAGGGAGAAAATAACAACATACACGTGTCACCCACACGGCACTGCGATGTGTAGCGGTAATGTTGGAATGACCTGGAACCGGGGTTAGCTGGAGGGAAGCACTCGAACTGTGGCATACATCCATGAATGGGCATCAGATGCGTACAGCAGGGACACGTTGTTGAGTGCGACACTGATCCAAAACGAGCAGGCCGCGAGGCTCGAGAGAAGCACTGTACTTTACAGGATCGAATGCTGTGAGGCACCGCCGCCCGAACGTCCATACCCTCAGGCTTCAACCCCTAATTGAATGCTCATGCGAGAAGTCACAAAATTCACAAGAATTCACTGTCTGTAACAGACAAAAGGGCACTGCTCGGAAATCCTTGGACTCGAAGATGCGCATGGATGAAGGCTGTTCTGCGGCACGACCGGCGAGATATTTGAATTTATGTTTCGGCACGTTAAACCCTCCCAACTGCTGACATCCAAGTCGTGAAAATGCAGCGGTCGACTTCATCCAGATCATCTACCTCCACCTGGCCAGCACTTACCTTGAATCGAGCTCAGATAACAGGGCGCAACGACCCTGTTCGTGAAGGATGTGCTAGCGTTCTAACCTAACTCCACGCCGCGACATGATGTAAAAGTCCACCTGATGTCCGCATGTTATCACGGATGGCTCACCTCGTGGCGGAATCGGAAATGCATCTCCACCGGCTTCCATTTGTTCAGGCAATGAAAACATTATTTATGTAATTGACTACCATCACGATATCACAATTATCAAGACTCGGCATCACCAAAATTCCCAAAGTCTGAAATTGCCTTATGCGGACATTTTCTCGCGCCACAATCTTTTACGGGCCGATGACGCGATGACGATTGATGGCAATGGGCTCGCAGGTTCAATGACATTCCGTCAGACATACCTCAACACCCTCCTAAACGTGTAAGGCTATCATCAGTCTGACGTGCCCCTGGTAAGTTCAGATTTCACCTTATATGTTATTACCGTATGAACTGACTGGTAGACACGACTTGACAGTTTGTTCATACCCTCATCTCATCATTCATGGCACACTGCAATTTCAACAGAGCTCAGAGTTTGCACACAAGTTGTCTGCAAACTCTAGGGTCTGTTGAAATTGGTACTGCTGCTTGACTACATTAGCAACTACGCACCTCAAGATGACAAGGTGGGCTCGTGAGTGATTCACCATCCTTCATGTTCTCAACTTCTCTCCGCAGATGTAACTTTCACTTCCTCTTCACAATAACTCAGCTTACATAGGTAAGTTCATTTCCTGTCCATCGTGCTATGGCCTTATTGCTGCAGAACACCTGGAACCTGTGAGTTGATTTCCTGTCCTTATATTCTCTTGTTTTCATCGCAGACTGAGAACTTCACAGTCTTCACTGCCCCATGGATATTCCAACCTGCATCAGTTGCGGAAAAACTTACAAGACCCAGAAACAACTTTCTAAGCATGCTTTGGGATGCGAGCAGAATCATGTGTTGACCCTGGACTCAATTATTGAACGCCGGGAGAAAAAACGGAAATCACAAGCGAGAGTCAAGCTTCACAATGCTAAAAGGGCCCGTTTACCTCCCCCTCCTGATGAGTTTGACTATGCCAACCTTGATCAGAACATTCCATTCAATGAGGTAAGTTTGTCTTTAGATATCTAGCTGTTTACATAGTAATGTCTTTTAGGATGTACCTATTGCAGGACCTTCAGGCCATGGACATAATATTCTGTTTGATGAGGTAAGTTTGTCTTTAGATATCTAGCTGTTTACATAGTAATGTCTTTTAGGATGTACCTATTGCAGGATCTTCAGGTCACGCACTTTCCCCAACCCCACCCCCACCTGTTGTTTTGAAATGTTCAGGGCGCGCTATTTGAATACCTCGATGGTTTGTTGATTATCTTCCCGGCTCGGAGATACCTCTGGCTCATATGCCGAATCAACTTCCTGCGTCTCCTCCACAACCTCCATCTGAGTCTTCTGACAAAAGCCTGCCCGACCAGCCCTTACCTGCACCATTCAAGACAGAGCCCGATTCTATGGGTCTGTATCGAATCTACCTGACACGCCCCACATTTATTTCCCCCAACAACTCATCTCTTGTCAATTGCACAGATGCACCAACACTAGAAGGAGAGCAGGTGACAGAGTCATCTGCATCCACAGGATTTGCTCCTCCTGATGTAGATAATGATCATATTTTCGATCCATTTACTAATCCAATGTGTGGGTTGATGATGACTTGGTGCTAATACTATACTGGAACCAATGAGAAGTCTGATGCAGAAGTCAACTAGTCAACTGTCTAGGTTGCTTCCATCAGCACCTGAACTTCACATTGGAGGATGTCCCTGGCTTCAATTGTGCTCGTGAGTCCAAACTAATGGATGCATACCTGCAAGACAAGACAAATCCGCTGTGAGAAGAATTTGGCTGGCGTCAGTCAATGGTCACAATAAGCCTCCCCAAAGAACACCAGACTTGGCCATCCGAGAAACATGCACCAGAACTCGAGGTGCCCAGTGTGTATCACTGTTTGCTCACGTCAATCATCCGTTCAACATTCAAGGACGACATTTCAAAAACATTCCACATGACGCCCTATTCACAGTACTGGAAGGCTTCCAACACAAAAACTGTCCAAGTCTTTTCAGAAGCTTACTCCTCTCCTACCATGCTTGATGCCTATGCTGAGATCAATGCTATTCCCCGTGAAGCAGACGACAATCTCAAACATGTACTGGCACCTCTCATGATGTGGTCCGATGCAACTCATCTTGCAAGTTTCAGAGACACATCACTGTGGCCATTCTATATGTATTTTGGCAACCAGTCCAAGTATACACGAGGGAAGCCAATGTTGTCTGCATGTCACCATGTGGCCTACATTCCCTCGGTATGTTCTATCTTAACAACAATCTGTATGACCATTAATAGAAGAAATATATACTGCAGCTTCCCGATAATCTCCAAGACATATATGTTGACATCTTTGGCGAAGGCACAATGGACCAGGTCCACACATTTCTCAAGCGCAAACTTATTCAAGCGATCTGGAAGCTGTTACTTGACGGGGACTTCATGCATGCATATGAGCATGGAATAGTCATTCGTTGTAGCGATGGAATCACACGTTGTGTTTTCCCTCGATTTTTCTCATATTCCGCAGATTATCCAGAGAAGCAAGTCTAATCTTTGTTCGTTTTTTTCGCATGCTTACTAGCTTTTTGTAGGGTTCTTCTCGCAACCATCAAGTTTTTGGGCCAGTGTCTGTGCCCACGTTGTCTCATCAAGAAATCCGATGTTCCTGATATGGGCACCAAGCTTGACATGAGACGCCGTGAGACTAGGCAGCAGGTAGACAACGAACATCACCAACATTGTGTAGAAGATGCTCAAAGGCTTATTTTTCAGTCAGGTGCATCTGTCGATGGTACTCATGTCAAAAAAATTCTCAATCATGAATCTTATGTCCCTATCCATGTGAATATTGTTTTTCTGGTGTTTTGAGACTGATGCTCAATAAATTGAAACAGAATGCATTCTCAGTTCAGTTGGGACCACTCGACTTCAATGTTTTCGTCATGTTCATAATTGATTTTCTGCACGAATTTGAACTCAGCATTTGGAAGCATATTTTCATTCACCTCTTGCGAATTCTCCATGCTCAAGGTGGTAGAGTGATTAAAGATTTGAATGAGTGGTGAGTAATTACATTAAAGAGTTCACTAATCTAACTGTACATCTGAAGCTATCGGATGATACCCACCTTTGGCCGCGGCACTATTCGATGATTTCATACAAACACATTGGCTATGAAGCGACTAGCGGCTCGAGATTTCGAGGATCTTCTTCATGTAGTTTGACAGATTTGTTTGTACCTCGTGTTTCTGATATTATGGACTGCTAGTGCGCTCTTCCCGTGTTTGAGGGTCTGCTACCCAGAGTCCACAATTCAATGGTCTTGGACCTACTTTTTGACCTAGGCACTTGGCATGCTTTTGCCAAGCTTCGCATGCACACTGACGATACCCTTTCCCTATTCGACCATGCTACAGTTACTCTTGGGAAGACAGTTCGACAATTCCAGGACAGTACCTGTGATCACTACCACACTACTGAACTTTCCATGGAGTATGCAACACGAGGCTGATGTGAAGCTGCTCTAAGTGCCAAGCAAGGCCCACCTTCAAAGCAAAAGGGGAAGGGATGGTCATCTGGTCCCAAGGTTAAGAAACTCAATCTTCAGACTTTCAAATACCACGTGCTCAGAGACTATCCCAACACCATCCGACTGATGGGGACAACCGATAACTACTCAACACAACCAGTGAGTGTTGCAATTGATTGTCGAGTTAGTACTCACTAGTGTTCTCGTAGGGCGAGTTGCAGCATCGGCGTGCTAAACACTGGTATCCCAGGACACCAAAGAACAAGAAGACACTGCTGAAGAACATGGTCGTTCAAGAGGCACGAACTCGTCTAATTGTGAGGATTGTTGCTCAAGTGGATAGGGTTATTTCTGCAAGGTTGGGACAATCACGACGGCATCAACACACACCCCCCTCCAACCACTATCATACTTCAAAATATCCCAGGGCATCACACAACCTCACTGGCTGGTTGAGCGACTTCGAAGACAACAACCCTGCCAAAAAGGTTTGTTTGTTTATTTTCTTTGATATATACCTACTAATGATGGACCCATCAGAACTTCATCCCCCAACTCAAAGATCACCTCCTTGCTCATCTCTGGGGTATTGATTATTCAGGTGACGAACATGACTTCTCTGATGCAGACCGAGACCTTGTAGTCCTGGCCAACAACAAGATCCACGAGCATAGCATCCTACAGATTAACTACACGGCTTATGATCTAAGAAGGGAGCAAGATTGTGTTAACCCT